TGTAAATTTAAAAATATAAAAATTATGGAACAAATTTTAGATGGAATATGCTTAGCGTTAATTTGGAAATGGTTTAACGCAATTCATTTGAAGGCGAACTTCAACAAAATGACATTCCAAGATTACATCAATTGTCGGTGGCCCTAAGAAGAACAGAGTCGATTGGGATAATGAATATTTCATAGATCTCTCGTATTTGGGATCAGTGAAAAATCAATGTAGATGGCTCGGCAACAAGGAACCCTGGTCGGTTCCAACTGGTATATAGGCGATGTACTAAGGGATGATCTTGGTGTGATTATTTCGATTATGTCAAAACACATAAAAGTATATATCGAGTTTAGCATTTGTAGAATTGGTGACGGTAAACGGTTCTTGGGGTCTATCGGTTCCTCGATAAATTTTTCTGTACTAAATACCATATTAGAGAGCAATTCCACAATAGTGGTGACATGGTTGCAAAAAAAAAATCACAATATCTTTGTAAATAAGATAATGAAATAAGGAGATTTTTAGTTTATAATCACAGTAATTGGGTGAAGGTTCTAACATATTTTTAAGAAAAGAAACGGAATGGCAGATGGTCCGATTTCAAATCGACCTCATATATACCTATAATACATAAACTAAATAATTGGATTATATCTTCATTTTTAACATAATTTCATTTATTAAGATATTTATAATTTATTTAAAAATTATATTTAATTTCAAAATTGGGCTAAGCCAAGCACGACTCGACTTTGATAGACTCGAACACAACCCAGTTCATACTCGTATCGGGTATAAATTGAATTTGCAGATCGCATCTATATTGTTAACATTACTTAATGTACAGCAGCACATTAAGCTTGTATTTCGACATGTGATCGGTTTGGACAATCTGTGACGCGTGCGTGTGTGGGATTTAAAAACAAAAAAAAAAAAGAAAAAAAAGCTCAATGATTTTAATTTTTTTAATTTTTATTTTTAATGGTTTGAGTACAATTTTATTTTTTTTTAAAAAAATGTACATTTTTATAAATAGTCATAATAATTGTAAGCTAACATCTTAAATCAAATTTTAAAAATAACATATAATTGTAATTTTCATTTTGTAGTGATTGCAATTGATATTGATTTTTCTCCAAAGTGTTGTACGATTGTGACACAAACCAAACAAAGGCCTCTGTTATTTTAGCTGGCGTTTGAATTTTATTATAATTTTTAAAAAAATTTAGTCAAATTTCAAAATTTTAAATGATTTGGTTTTTTTTTTTTAATATAATTTTTAAAAATAAATTTGAATAATTATAGTTGATATTTCAGAGACTATAAATACTAATTATTGAATTATATTATTTTTTGTTTATTTATTAAAATGGTAATAAAAAATTAAGATAAATAATTATATATTAATTAAAAGTTAATTTTTAAAACAAATTATCTATTTTACTTTAGTAGTTGTTCTAATTTATATAAATAATTTAATTATGTCATATATAATAATTATATTAAAAATTATTACATAATTATTGTACAATATATACTGACTTTATAATTATTTTTTTCAACTTATAATTTAAATTTTTTTATTTTTTTTTATATGAATATTAAGTTTTTCTGTATTATTAGACGAATTGATCATATTGATGTTCAAAATATCTGAAGTGAAACTAATGTTACAAAGATTGTATGTTTATATGATTATAAATACATCGTAATTTTTAGTTATATTTTATATACAATCTTTAGTATAGATATAAGACTAATTAGACAATAAAAAGACGATACCCAAGTATGAATTTAAAATTGTCACACAAATAATTTCAATTTATCTTTCGATGTCAACTATTCTATTTAAAAAAATTACAAAATAAGACATATTTTACACATATAAATATACATATATATTATTTCATTGTTAATTATTTTAGCATACTAATATATTTTTTAAATATAAAACAGGAAATAATATATAATTAGTACGCGAGCTTATTAACACTTTTATAGATTGTGTTTTTATATATATACTACTAATTATATCTTCATTGATACAATAAGAAGAATTCGTTACATGGTAAATTTAGTATGAATTGTTGAAGTCTTAAAAATACTTGTATCATTTTATCAAATATTTGCAAATATAATTAATTATTTGTTTAATACTCCCTCCACCCCGTAATTATGTATCTATTTGCTTTTTGTACGAAGTTTTAGAAATCTTAGTATTATATTGGAATGTAATAGGAATAAAATAGAAATGACTAAAATAACCTTATTACTATTGTGTGATATAAATGTAATGACATTTGTGTAATATATTGTAAGTTGTAAGGGTATTTGTAATGTTACGTAGATAGTACAATTACTAAAAAAATGAAATGAATACTTTATTATGGGACAAACTAAAATAAAAAAATGGATATTTTGTTATGGAACGAATGGAGTATTATTTTAACAATTTGTACGAACCGTGCATCGCACAGGTCTACACGCTAGTAATAATAATAATAATACTCCCTCCGTCCTAGAAGAGACGTTTTATTGGATGTTGACACTATAATTAGAAAATAATAGTATTTAATTGAAATGAATATAAAATCTAATGTAAAAGACCAAAATGTCATATTTTTTTTTAAAATTTTAAAATAGATTAGAGTAATAATTAAAGATAGTTTAAAAAAATATAAATAAGAAAACATGACAATTGTTTTGGTAAAGACGAAAATGAAAAAAATAAGACAACTCTTTTATGACGGAGTTAGTGAAAATATGTAAAAAAATTTGACATTTTTGTCCTATGATATGATTTTATGTACAAAGTAATTGTATGTGCGATAGTATATTTGTAATTTAGGAAAAAAATAAAAATTATTTTAATATTAGTATATAATTATTTTTACTAAAATAGAAAATTAATATTTTAAAATGAGGCAAATGAAAATTATAAAAAAAATACTTTGACTTGAGACGGATAAAATACTATTTTTTAAAAAAAAATTATAAAGTAAATACATTTTAAAATGTTTTGGTGAGTCTCAAATAGAAATAATAGCAATCAAATTATAACTAATGTTTTCTTTTGTGGCGATTTTTAGTTTTTTTTTTTTTTTTACAATTAATTGAATTTAAATTGTATTTTATCTTAAATTTATATATTATGATAAAATTGAAATTAAAAATATAATTGCTATATAAAATACATATCACTTAAAAACACAATAATGTCATTTTTAGTATATATTTGTATTTATAAAAATTCATTGGAATATAAATAAAACTGTTTTTACTTTTGATTTTGCTTATAATTTATATTGTATTGTTACTAAAGTCAATTCACAAACAGTCACTTTGTATATTTTGTATTAAAATATTAATCATATAGAGATGATAATAATTAAATCTAAAATTGAAGTGGTTGATGTTGATTTTGGTACTTTTAAGGTCGTCCATTGATATTGCATTTTTGGCTAAATTAAATTGTTTCCCACTTTGATTACATTATGTCTAAATGTCCAATATTTGGTTCACCTTTCTTATCATCTTCCCTTTCCATTAATAGCATCATCATTGCTATCATGTTTTTTTTGGTGGGGGCAATTACAATGCTGATTAGACTTAATTAGTACTCCATTTGGTTCACATATTATGTTATATTGTTATTTATGTTTGTTGGGGTGGGGTGCAAACTCAAGTTCCACATCTGAAGTTATGAAAATTTTTTTACATTTTTTAAGTCCAAAGTGAACTCCACTGGTATGAGGCAATTTGGAGGATATTAAAAAATAAATCCGTGCGGACTCAGCCAAAAGCGGACAATATCATATTTGTGTTGAGTTAGTCAAGTCCTAACAGTGGTATCAGAGCAAGGTTAGATGATGAAGTGAACTGGGTGGCATTGGGCATTGGTTGTAGTGGTGGGCTCGCGCGGTGTTGGGTTGGTCCCAATTAAGGTGGTCAAAAATGGCCCAAGTCCCACATTAAAAGTTATAAATTCCATACTTATAAGTTCTAAATCAACTATATCAGTACGAGACCTTTTGAAGAATATCCAAACAATGTTTATCTCATATTTTATTTTATTTTTTAAAAAAATTTATATATTTTAAAATTTATAACTTATTTTATAAATATATTTTTAATTATTTACTAATTCGGTATTTACAATAACTCTGGCAATATATGAAAAATGAAAAAAATATATGAATAATTATTTTCAGGAAATAAATTAAATTAAATAAGTGGGTATTGTGTTATTGTTATAATATAATATCAGTTCAAATATATCATCGTGATATGTTAATTTAAATTTTGTATTTATATTGATTGTGTCATGTATTTTGTGACCTATTAATATATGTTTTTAAATCCATAACTTATAGTATTTATATAATGTTAACATAAATTTTGTATCACTACCAACTGTGTTTTGGGACCTATTAACAAATACTGTTTTTAATCCATAACTTATATTTATAAGTTGTGTTGCCAGCATTGTAATTTAACACATAATTACAATCATACTTAGTTGTTGATGAAAGTTTCATTTAGAAGTTAAGTAATTTTGAAAAAAATTTGTAAATAGTAAAAAAAATAAAAATTGGATATTTAATATGATTTTAATAAAATGAAAATAATATTTTTGTCTAAAAAAAAATAATATTGATAAATAGTGTTAAAATTTCTAAATCAAAACAAAAAAATGAAATATTTAACGCTTAATTTACACACGTATTATATTATTAATAAGCAAAAAAATAATAATCCAATAAAACAAATATCACAAAAGTGGCCCATACGGAATTTAATTGGGCCGAACTTCACTATGGGCAATGGCCCAATGGGCCTAAAAGTAGTACAAAAAATCCTCATATCAATTACCGTTTTTTTTGGGCCTAAATTAGTACCACCTCAGATTCATGGAGCGACCAAAATCCATGGTGACAGTAACGATCGCAAAGAAGAGGGAGAAGACAAAAAAATTGTAGCAGCAGATTTTTAGGGCCGCGTTTGGATTCGATTCACGACAAAGCTGGACAGCGAGGCGGTAATGGCGACTGTAAATCTGTAAAATGTTTCGAATTGAAACATGGCAGGAAAGACAAACACAGAGCTGTAAGGAACAAGGAAAACGTGTGCGCGCAACGAAAAATCTCAAAGCTGTAAGAGAAGTCAACAAACCGCGGTTCTGATCCACAAATCGGCGCCGCACCTTTCTCAGCTCAATCCATACATGGAATTATCCTCTCGATTCTGATCCATAATCGCCGCCGCACGCAGGTCGTCTTTCGATTCCTTAATTTTTTTTTTTATTTTTTTATTTTTAATTAGTTTTGCCTTTTCACCGATTTCGATTCTATCGTTCCGACAGACTCTGTCCGTTTTTTCGACAATTGTTGAACATTTCGATTCAATCGGAGGAAGTTTCCGGTAATAATGGGCGGTTGTTTTAGCAAGAAGAAGTACCAAACCAGCTCCGGCGCCAACGGCTTCAGATCGGAGAAGCCGCGCCATAGCGATCAGGACAGACAAAGTTACGAGAATTATTACAAATCATCGGCTCCGACCGCCGCCGCCGCCCCCCAATCCCAACCCCCACCGCCGCAGCCGGTAATTCGGAACCCTAACCCTAACCCTATCCCAAATCCAAATCCAAATCCTGTACGGACAAATCCCCAACCCCAACCTCCTGTCCAAAAATTGGAGCCAAACAACATCCTAGGAAAGCCATTCGAGGATGTAAGATCAAAATACACAATCGGGAAGGAGCTCGGGAGGGGACAATTTGGGATAACCTATTTATGCACGGAGATTTCGACCGGCCACAATTACGCCTGCAAATCGATATTAAAGAGGAAGCTGGTGAACAAGAACGACAAGGAGGATATGAAAAGGGAGGTTCATATAATGCAACATTTGAGCGGACAGCCAAACATCGTAGAATTCAAAGGCACATTTGAGGATAAGCTGTCCGTGCATTTAATAATGGAGCTCTGCCGCGGCGGCGAGCTTTTTGACAGCATTATCGCGCAGGGCCACTACTCGGAGAGGGCCGCCGCCGATCTCTGCCGCCAGGTCGTAAACGTCGTCCACCATTGCCATTTCATGGGCGTTATGCACCGCGATCTCAAACCCGAGAATTTCTTGCTTTCGAGCAAGGACGATAAGTCCATGCTCAAGGCCACCGATTTTGGGCTATCGGTTTTCATCGAAGAAGGTCGAGATCTTTTATAATGTACACGTTTGTACAATATATGATTGATTCTAATCGAATTTACGGAATTGTGTTTGTTTTGAATTTTTAGGTAAGGTGTATCGGGATATAGTCGGAAGCGCGTATTACGTCGCTCCCGAGGTTTTGCGGCGGAATTACGGGAAAGAAATCGATATTTGGAGTGCTGGCGTCATTTTGTATATCCTCCTTAGCGGGGTGCCTCCGTTTTGGGCCGGTATGTTACATGATGATACAGTTTAATTGTGTGATGCGATATAAAATAGGTATTGGTGTGACGTTTTTAATGTAAAATTGATTTTTAATATGATAAATAAAAAAAAAGAGTTCGATTTAATGTTTTTTGGTGCAAAAATGTAGTGAATAGTAGAAAATCTTGAAAAAACCCAACCAAACATGCCCTATGGTTTCGGATTTTTGCACATTGAGTCGTATTTTTGTAATTGGCTCGTAATTCTTGATGCAGAAAATGAAAAGGGCATCTTCGATGCCATCTTGAATGAAGACATTGATTTCGAGAGTCAGCCGTGGCCTTCGATTTCGAGTAGCGCGAAAGACCTCATCCGGAAAATGCTGTCTAAGGACCCTAAAAGGAGAATCACTTCTACAGAAGTACTTGGTAAATTTTATCTTTGCTTAGAAAGCTGATTCGGAACATTTTTTGATGGTCGGTAATAGATGATCTCATCGTATTCAATTGGTTGTCTTGACAGAGCATCCTTGGATTAAGGGACAGGCTCCCGACAAGCCGATAGACAGCGCTGTCCTGTCTCGAATGAAACAGTTCCGAGCCATGAATAAGCTCAAGAAACTTGCACTAAAGGTAATTTGAACGCGAAATAAACATAGAATCTTGCAATTTCATTCGATTTGTTAATCTAGGTTGTGTTCTGATATGTTTTGGGAGTATTTCGAAGTTTTTGGAGAATTTTGAAAATTATAAAAATTTAATACAAATAGATATTTGTGTGTTAGATGCGATGTTTTTATATAAAAAAACCATATGTAAACATAGCCCTAAATTCTAAAAATAATTTTGCTCGTTTTCGTTCAATATGAAACTACTTGTTAATTATGATGTATTAAATATTCAAAAACAAAGATCGGATGCGATTCTTTATATATATTTTTTCTTACATTATTCTTGTCCAGGTCATTGCGGAAAGTTTGTCCGAGGAAGAAATTAAAGGTTTGAAAGCGATGTTTGCGAATATGGACACGGATAACAGCGGTACGATCACTTACGAGGAACTGAAATCTGGTTTGGCTCGGCTAGGGTCCAAACTGTCTGAAGCTGAAGTGAAACAATTGATGGAAGCTGTAAGAATACCCCCACTCGTTTTTTAATTTTTTCGAAAACATTTAGCGAATAATTCTTTATACCTTTGCTAATATTAGGCCGATGTGGATGGCAACGGGGCAATCGACTACATTGAGTTTATCACCGCTACAATGCATAGGCACCGGCTCGAAAGAGACGAGCATCTCTTCAAAGCGTTTCAGTATTTCGACAAAGATAATAGCGGGTAAGATGCAATTATTATTCCTTTAAAAAATTTCAATATTTAGTCTCGTAAGTAGACTCTATTATCGTTTTAATCTTTTATACATGCGATGTTTGATTTTAGAAGATCAACTACTATCAATGCCTAATTTTGGTACCTTGGTGATTGGAAGTGACAATGTAGACTCGTCGGGATCATGCATTGGCATCGACGTATACAAAAAATCAAATATTTATTTTATAAAGGACTATAATGATAATTATTTGTATTTTAACTATAATTTAAATTTATACTTACTTTTTTTTTTTTGTGATAAAAAATATTCTTATTTCTCTTTTTAGTAAAAAATATCATTTTTTAAAATTGTTTCTATATTTATCCATTTATTTAAAATATGCCCCCGATCAAATGGATATAAATATTGATGACGGAGGGAATATTATTTTTCTTCACAAAACATCATATCAAATATCATGAAAATGCAAGTAAACATGACCGTAGATCTGTTTCTTTTTTATTTTTTTATCTTTTTGCCATACAATGTCATCATTCTCAATAAAAATGTTTTCGTTTTGCTTATACAAAATATTGCATTCCGGTCGGTTTCTAAAAATGGATGCTACCGAAAAACTTTCATCTTGTGAAACTTGTATGCATTCATTTCAGTTATATTACGATGGATGAACTCGAGACGGCCATGAAGGAGTACGGTATGGGCGACGACGGCACAATCAAGGAAATCATTTCGGAAGTGGACACCGATAATGTAAGTCTCTATCCAGCCGGGAACTAGGACATCATATATAATCTTACTTCTCTCGTTTAGTTCGACATATGATCCCTAAAGATTCTATCTTTTGCACATTTCATCCGACATGAGATCCCTATCGGTATGTTTGTTAGTGTGTGGAGAGTTTAGTTTGGAGTTTTGAATAGTTGTTTGATGCGATATAAATATGTGATCATGTAATATTTTGAATATAATATTGATTTTTAATATAATACAAAAAATAAAAGATGAGTGTTCGATATAATGTTTTTGGGTGGAAAAAATTAGTGAATAGTAAAATTTAGAATAAAAACCCCACAAAGAAAATTTGCACATTTCGTTCGACATGAGATCCCTAACAGATTCTTATGTTATTACAGGATGGCCGGATCAATTACGAGGAATTTTGTGCGATGATGAGAAGTGGAACGGCGCAACAAGGCGTCAAGCTGTTCTAAAGCGACGATACGATCGACAGAGGTGAGTCAGTTAATCCGGCGACAAAATTGCATTTTGAAGCGAATACAAAAGAAATTTCGATGAGATCTGTGGTTTGCGGTATGGATATGTTTATATTCTTTCTTGTGTTTCGGAACCCTTCAACACGGTGTTCAAATGTGTAAAAGTTGGTATGATGTTTGAATCTTAAAGATTTCGCAAGTAATGTTGTGTGGTTCGGATATGGTCTAACCTCCGGATGCTCGGCTAGTTTTTTGTCATTCATTGCCTACACTCGTTCTTATGTCTTTCCCAATTATTACCCTATTGTCGGAATGATTGTACTGGAATTTTTTGTCAAGATTGTGCGGTTGTTTGATCTCGACGATAATCTCGGTTTTTTAAGATTTAAATTTTGTTTGAACTCAGCTCGTTATTTACAGTAGCAAGCCGAGCTCGAGCTTCGTATAGTAGTCGAGAAAAACAAAAGATGCGAGCATTCTTTTTGGGAGTATGCTTGTTTAGAAAAATGGTAATATGGATTATTTGTCATACGTTTATATACTATTATAAGTTTATATTAAAAATATTATTTTATTTCACAAATATCACATGAACTACTATAAAAAATATATAATCTAGACAAATTTAATATATATGTAAAATTTAAGTGAAAATAAAATAAAAATAAATAAAAGACACGGCGACAGATGTGAACTTTTGTGGGACAATCAAATATGTTGCACTTGGTACTTTATTAGTATATTATTTCCCTTTCACTTTTATCCTTTCCTCCTTCATCTTAATCTTAGGGAATATCAAAAGAACTTTAAAAAGCACATATTTGAACTCTAACAATTTAAAGAAAATTCACAAAATTAAGTTGGAGAATGGTTAATAATTTCATATATGTTTTGCCCTCAGATTAATAGTATTATAATATATTTCTTCTATTCTAGATAATGTACGTTGAATTTGTTTAATTAAGAAATTACAATATGGAATGGCGAAATATTACTATTAGTACAAGATATGTTCAAAAACACTATCTCGCATTTAAATTCAAAACCTTAAAAATATTTACATAAAACTATTGTAACCCAACATATTATAGGGACAAATTATATATATATATATATATCATTCATCGATCACTTTGATTTCTTGCTCGATTTTAATTTCGATTTCTTCGATTTCCAACTCTTGTCGCCGAAACTACTCCAACTGTACCCACTCGGAATTCCAAAAGGGTCCATCCCTTGCCCGTCATCGCTACTAATTCGTCGGCCATGGCTCGAGCCCCCCGACGACGAGCTAAGACCATTTTCGTCATCTTCGACATCGACAAATTGTTGAGGACTCGACAAAGGAGTGTAGAAAGCTTCCGATGGCTGAAGTTGTACAAATTTTGAGAATGTAATAACCACTCTCACTGTAGGAACCACAGGGATCGAAACCTGAGACAATGTCCAAATGAAATTAACTTTCTAACTATCAAATTCGACCGTTGGGATTTTAAAAAATAAAATAAAATAAAATAAATGGTAACATTTAATTTAAGTATTTCATAGTATTCATGTGACGATATTTATAACTAAGGTAAGTGGGCCCCGTGGAGATGCTTCGATATCAAATCTTGAAAAAGAAAGGAAACATTGGTTAGTCATTAAAAGAATATATTTTTTAAAAAAGGAAAAAATAAATTAAAATTAGAGGACAAAACTTTCACTGAATCAGATAAAATTAGGGCTGTGGGACCCATGTGGGTGGTCAAATTTACGGAGTTTGACCGTTACCTTAACGGGGAAAGTTGACGGAGGAAACGTCGTCGTGAGAACTTCCCGCAGACGCTTAACGGCCTTGATTTTGTTCGCCAATATGTCGAGTAACGGCAGCAGTTCTTCCGTCTTTAACGGAAACTGCTCCGTTAACCAAACCGTCGACCGGAGGGTTTTGCTGAATTCCTTCTCCTTCGTCCGCGGCGGCGCCACCAGCCTCTCGACGGCGCACGGCGGCGCCGGTTTTCGCCGGAAATCGGTCGGGATTATGTCCACGCTTTTCCGGGATACTGTGATCAAATCTCTGTCGTCGCGGATGAAACTGCTGTGCCGGCGGTGGTTACAGTCGCCGGAATAGCTGAATCGTGGATTCTCCGCCACTATAAAGCCTTCGTCGGAGCTTTCGTCGATCTCTAATGGCAGAATGCACGTCGGAGAGAAAGGATCCTCTTTATTGTTGTCGGAGGCGTTCAATTTGCGTGATCGGAAACTGAAGGTTACGTTGTGCATTTCGTAAACCTTAGCTTTCCAATCTCCGACGGTCTCTGTTTTCTCGTTCCGTCGCCAATTTGATTTTCCGATCAGTTCAGCTTTTGTGACGTCCATTCCAGGCCGGAAAACGCTGGTCTGGCTGCAGAAATTGGCAATTTCGCCGTCCGTTAACGGCTTTCCGGCGTTCTCAAAGGCGTCGTAGATTTTCTTCTTATCGTGGTTGAGAATGAGGAGTGAGCCTAAGGAATCGGAGCAGCCGTCGTTGAGGAAGAGGAAGCTTTGATCGGCGCGTTGGATTTTCAGGCCGTCGTAGCCGGCGAGGGAGGTGTCGGCGCGTAGGTTTCCGTCGCGCTTCCAGATTTTGTAGGTGTCGGACGGGGCAATTTTTCCGACGAAGGGTACAATTGAGCTTTCGAAGTGAAAAGTGATCTCCATATAAAAATCTCGCATCCGGCGGAGAGCGGCGACGAGGCGGGGGACGCGGCGGCGCCACTTCGACCAGGCGGCGGAGTGGTGGTGCTGCACCAGTAAGGAAACGATTTCAGGGCAGCGGCGGAGAAGCGCCTCCTGGAGAGGATTCCATCCGGCGGCGTTTTGGAGAGAAACATCCGCTCCTGCGGCGGCAAGTAAGCGAACGGCGGTGGCGTCGTTGAGGCGGACGGCGAGGTGAAGCGCAGTTTCGCGGAGGCGGTTGTCGCGGCGGTCCACGGCGGCGGCGATCTTCCCGGCGAGAGCTTCCATGGCCAACGATTGGGATTCGGTGCGAATCTGGTTTGGATCGGGCAATTTTGGCAACGACGAGAGAATCCGGCTGAGAGTGGCGTGATCGCCGACAGAGACGGCGTAGTGGACGGCGCTCCCGGCGTAGTCCTGTGGCCGGACGACGGTCGCCGCCGTGGAAGAGGCGGCCGGCGGTCTGGACATTCTGTTCATACGGGCAGATGCAGTGAGGAATGTTGTAGAATTCTGTCCTTAGGCAGGCACTCAAACCACGCCTTTTAAATATAAAAAAGGTAAAAACGCGACTTCCCGTTATTTATAAGAAGTCGCTATTGTAATATGCACGACTTATGGTTAAATCGTGTTTTAGGCAAGTAATTTATTGTAGTATATACTGGGCTGGACCATAAAATAGTTAGGTAGCCCAATGTTCAATTATTATGTGGGAATTTTGTAGGGTTTGTTTGCTAACTATTCAGGTTTAGGGTTTCACTAGAAATAGTTCTCTCTCTATAATTTATTTATTTTTTATTTTGATTGGTTCGAAATTAGACTATTCATTTTTTTTGACATTTACATAATGTGATACTCTTGAGTAAAGTAAAAATTTTAATAAATTTATTTGACCATTCATGTTAATATTATAGATATTTTCTTAGAGCTCATTTAAAAGAATTATATAGTTAAAATAAACTATTCATATCAATATTGTAATTATCCAATTTAAAACAACTCTATATTTAAACATTTTTGTTCTAGAATAATATTAAAAAATAGACGATTATGTCAGATAGTTACATTTAATATCAAAACCAATACATGATATAAAATACTAATATTAAATTAAAGAGTAAATGGATATATACATATCCGATAGGAGGAAGTGTACTATTTCCTCTATTTTGTTTGTATGGTCTAACTTATCTTTTAGAATTGTTGTCATAAAAAAAAAAAAAAAAAAAAAAAAAAAAATTAAAATCGATGGTATTTTAAATTTTTGTTTTCAATTTTATACAATTTTCCTTATTAATATCACAGTACTATTTTTTAATCTAATATTCTTTCTATTTCATAAAAATTGTCCACATTATTGTAGACATCGGATTTTAAAAATTATAGTTAATAAATAATTAATGAATGTATTAATAAAATAATAATTATATAATACAAATAAATATAGTTTAAAATAAATAAACATTTAAATTAAAATTTTAAAAATTATATAAAATTTAAAATATAATTAAAATATATAATTATTTTTTTAAAAAAATATTATATGATATAAATGAAAATATAAAAAATAGACACCTTGAGTCAAAAAGAATATTGTCACTTTACATCAAACTCTGCTTCAAATAATAATAAAAAAAATCCCATAATTACAATTGAGTAAATTATAGCCTCTAACGCCTCTTATTCAACTTCACAAATTATTTTAAATCGTCATATTCTTAAATTATGACAATTTTTATGTACAAAATTATTTTGTATTGTCAATAATATTATTGATTACAGAAATTTCAATAAATTTAATATGATTAAATATTCCCAACCAATCATTTAAAAAAAATAATTTTAACTAGACTGGGACTTTCGCACTCCATGATTGAACGGTTGGGATTTGCCGCATACGAATGGACGGCCTTGATTTCTTCAATACAAAATCTAAATTGGATTGTAGCTGCGTGTGGGTTAACGCCAGGACCACTTTTTATATACAAAATTGGAGGCTGTAATAAATATTAATAAAATAAATATAATGATAAGAATATTAATAATAATTATATATAATTAAAATTAATGTCGAACACGATTTCGTCTGGTGCAGAATTCGCACTCTTTATGAACCACGACTCTACATGACGAAAGTGATGACCTGAACCACACTAACTCAGCGGCCAATCATCTCTCGCCACGTCGGATCGCGGTAATGTTTCGAATCACGTCCAGGTTCAATGAATCTGTTATGGCCGCCCTCCCTGCCGTTCATTTGTCGCCTTTATATAGCGGTTCCATTTCCTGCCTTCTCTTCAAATCACAACACTGCTTTTGTAACATTCGGCGAGGCCAATTTTGTCTGGAGATTTTTGTTTTGGTTTGTAGCAGTTTTAGTGGAAAGAAAGGAGGCATCAATGGCGTTTTCTGTCTCCTCTACGCCTGCTGCGATTCGCAGCTCAGCGCTGTTTGAGCAGCCGAGAGGTGACCGTTTTTCTCTCTGTTCGTTCTGTGGCTATTTTGATTTAAATGTTTGTTTGGGGTGTTTTTGGCTAAATTGTTTGTGGTGTTGTTGTTTGCAGTAGCTCAATTCGGCGGATTTCAGCCGTTGGAACGTCCGATTTCGCCATCGACGGTGGTGATTTTTTCTCGGAGGCGTTGCGCTGTGAAGGCTTTGAATGCGGAACCGAAAAGGAGCGATTCGATTGTTCCTTCTGCCGCAACGTTGTTTGCTCCTGGTACGGAATAAATCTTCTAAAAATCGGAGTTTGTAATTGTGAAAATTTGTGTGAAATTTGGTCTGATTAATGTTATAATTGGTGGATCTGTTGTTTGATTTTGTTTTCTCGTCTATTTATTCAGAGGTGGCTGAGAAATCGGAGGTAGAGGAGGACTATGGGAATCTGGCCGTGGAGCTTGAGAATGCCTCTCCTCTTCAGATTATGGATAAAGCTCTGGAGAAGTTCGGAAACGATATCGCAATTGCTTTCAGGTAGATTTTCTCTTTCAACCTACTACTTGCAGTGAACACTGTGGATTTTCCAAGTGGTTGATTTAATAGCATGTTTCTGCTCATAACGAATTCATTTCGATCATTACGAATCTGTTGAAACATCAACGAACATATGCTTATGACTTCCAATCATAGGAAACCTAGAAATCTGTTTGTTTGATTTTCCAATCTGTGCATATCTGGATATTTACGAACATATGTTTATCCTTCCAATTCTTCTCCTATGAAACCTAAAATATAGCTTATCCGATTTACTAATCTGTGGATGCCTAAAACCAAGTACAACTATGAACATTATGTAGCATTTGTTGTTACTCAAATTGATCGACATCTCTTCATGTGATCTCTGGAGGTCTATTTAATCTCATAAACAATTCGACATTGATTGATCCTGATGTATTCCAAAAATTCTGATATTTCAATTAGCTTTACTGATCTTGTGTCAACATCTGCAGTGGGGCAGAGGATGTTGCCTTGATCGAGTACGCACACTTAACCGGACGCCCATTCCGGGTTTTCAGCCTTGACACGGGAAGATTAAACCCGGAGACGTACAAATGTTTCGACGAAGTCGAGAAGCACTACGGCATTCGCATCGAGTACATGTTCCCCGACGCAGTCGACGTGCAGGCTCTGGTTAGGAACAAGGGGCTCTTCTCTTTCTACGAAGACGGCCACCAAGAATGCTGCCGTGTAAGGAAAGTCCGGCCATTGAGAAGGGCCCTCAAGGGCTTACGGGCGTGGATAACCGGCCAGCGCAAGGACCAGTCTCCCGGAACCCGATCCGAAATCCCAATCGTCCAAGTTGACCCCGTCTTCGAAGGACTCGACGGCGGGGCCGGTAGCTTGGTGAAATGGAATCCGCTTGCGAATGTGAAGGGTGTCGACGTGTGGAGCTTCATTCGTGCAATGAACGTACCCGTCAATTCGTTGCACGCTCAAGGCTACGTCTCGATCGGGTGCGAGCCGTGCACGAGGCCCGTCTTGCCGGGGCAACACGAGCGGGAAGGAAGATGGTGGTGGGAGGATGCGAAGGCGAAGGAATGTGGCCTACACAAAGGGAACATCAAGGAGGAGAATTTGAACGGGAACGGGAACGGCGGGGCCCACACGAACGGGCATTTGTCGCATCCTGATATCTTCGATAATCCGCACATTGTGAATTTGAGCCGGCCGGGGATTGAGAACTTGTTGAGGCTGGAGGAGCGGAAGGAGGCGTGGGTGGTGGTGCTGTACGCCCCGTGGTGCCAATTTTGCCAGGCGATGGAGAGTTCTTACATGGAGTTGGCGGAGAAGTTGGCGGGGATGGGCAGTGTTAAGGTTGCGAAGTTCCGGGCCGACGGGGAGGAGAAGGCGTTTGCGCAGTCGGAGTTGGGGTTGGTGAGCTTTCCGACGATCGTGTTTTTTCCGAAGCACTCGGCGGGGCGGGTGGTGAAGTACCCGACGGAGAAGAGGGACGTGGAGTCGTTGATGGCGTTTGTGAATGCGTTGAGATAGTAAGAGTAAGAGTACATGAATAAGAGTGTGTGTGTGTGTGTGTGTATGTATGACGATGTTGTGGGAAGGAAGTTGAAAGAAAGTAAAGGCCAAGAGTGCTTGTCCGAATTGGAGTAATTAGGACAGAAAGATGATGATGAATTGGGTTTGTAGGGGGAGGTTATGTTGGTTTTGAGTAATGTGGATGGTGACGAATTTGTGTTGTAATACGGGTATCAAGCATGGTGAGGGAGAGTGAAGTCGATTCATTTCAAGAATAAATTCTCTACTTTTTATTGTCTTTTCTATATTTATTTATTTAGAATGTAAGAACATGCGGCAGTTACGTCGGCTTAATTTAATATCCTGCGAATTAGATCCAATACGAGACATATGTTAGGCAACTATATATTCCTTTCGTCTTACAACAAAGTATTCATTTTTTCATTTTAGTCTGTTTCATAACAAAATATTAATTTTTTTTTTAGTAAGTTTACTATCTATCTAACATTACAAATACCTTTACAACTTATAATATATTTACCTTCAAAAAGCAAATGAATAGTTACTTTTGGCACGGAGAGAGTATCTGATACGACCCTGATCATTGTTCGGATATATGTGATGTGACCTCAATTCATTGTTCTTGTCGGAATTAAATTGATTCCAAGTACTAGTAAAAATAATTTTAGATAAATTAAGTTGGAGGAGTATTATTTGATAGAGATAAAATTCAATTGAAATATTCTTACTGGCTTATTATGTATATGGTTTTTGTTGATTTTCGAATACAACGTGTGCAAAATAAATGTGTTTTTAAGTTAGTTAGTATACTATATTTATGCTAGAGGTAGAGAGTTTCACAAATATAAATATGAAGTTCAAATGGGCCAAGATTATTAGAGCTTAAGCCCGTCTAGTTGGATCGAACCTCTACATACTTTAATTTAAATTAATGGGTCATCACAAAGCCCAATTATAATGGGCTTTCTTCGATTTATTCATTAACCCGCATAAGCATAAATTGTCTAAAAACAATTTTATATAATTCTTTCATTTGATCAAAAATTAACATGGTTCTTACAGTGAGGAATTTAATAATATAAACATACAGGATATGATATTGTTGTGACAATACGAGTGACAAATTATACGACACGAGAATATATTGTGAATAAATTATATGAATATAATATAAATATAATAATACATAACATAATAGACGATAAATCATATGGGAACAAACAAATGATAAAAGAGACAACTCACAATACTTTCTTATAGCAACTGCGGATTATCACGTCATAAAAAAAATACTTGATTTTTAATATTTAAATTTTTATTATTATTATTATATATTCTAGAAAATAAAAAATATTTATTATAAAAATTAGACGGGGTATTCTTGTTGGCCTTACATCCAACGGGTTCATGACAAGGCAAATTTTGAACGAGAATAAGAGAATGAAACAATTTCTGCATTTGTTTTTTGCAAAAATTTTATTATTTTTTTAAAAAAATTAAAATATTAAATCAAATATATATATTTTTTATTTTACATTTAAAATATAATATCATAGTTCTAATTAAAAAATTTTATTATTCAAATTTAAAACCTATGAACAAAGACACCCATAATCTTTTTGAGAGAACAAAATTTGAACCCTGCAAAATCAAGAAATATTAAGAGCATGTATTGTTAAAAATCGGAGGGAAGAGATTATTAAATAAAGAAATAAAATAAAATAAAATAAAAGCACCGCCCAAATCTTAGGGAAGAGGCGGCAATCTTTAGGGCAATGCGCAGCTGAGTAATAATGTCGTGAAATTTGATGCATGTTGGAATGCGTGCATTACATTACATGACGTCATACATAACTACTGTAAATTTTTGTAGTAAAATTATTTTATCTACGAATCCCCGAAAATCCTGCACGTGTGTGATTTGTGCCCGGTCACCGCCCCCACGTGCTTCCGAACATTAATTAATCAAAACCACCGCCGCCCGCCGACTGTGTTGGGATTCTTCAAAATTACAGTTCAAAATTCGGTTGTAATGCGCCTCCCGAATAGTATTATTTTTTATTATATTAAATATAATTATGTATTAATGTTCAAATATTTTTTAAATTTTACATAATTTATAAATATATTATTATTATTATATATATATGTTATTTATCAGTAAAATATAGTTATTTTGTAATTTATTGCAAAAGTAAAAACCAGTCATTTGAATTGCTAGGGAAAAAGTATTAAATAGTAAAATATTATTATAATCTAAATTGCAAGAATGATTGTGGCAAAAAATAATAGTCTATTAAATATGTGGCCAAAAATTGCAAGAATGATTATGAATTAAAATTAAGGTTTTGTTTTCTTTAACACAAGAATTGAAAGTTAAAGTTTTTATTCAAACAAATATTTTAATTTTTTTTTACAAAGTAAAATAATAATGTTTTTTTTTTTATTTAAAATGGTAAGTATTCAATAGTAAAATAAAATAAAATGAACAAAATCTTTGCTCCAACCAACAAAATCTATTTCCCACTAGTATTAAATTAATAATGCTATAATCTTTTGTGTTACACTCGCAAATTGTAATAATTTAAGAATACGTTGTTCCTATTTTTAAAATATGCATTTAATAAATCTGTATGTCAAACGTAATAATTTGCAAGTTACAATGTTTAATATATGCTTTAATTTATTTCAATTAATTTTGACAAATACATGTTTAAAAGAAAACATTTATAATTAATTAAATAAATTTGGGGTCAATGTTCAAGGCAGTACGTGGCAAAAGAAGAAATTCCTGCAAATTTGTGTGTATTAATTGTCAAAGTAAACTTACCCTTATGTCAACTGCTGTTTGTAGTTTGTACTCATTTGTAAAAATTAATAAAATATTGGACGTGTTTAGTTTATTTTGATGTTTATGATTAATATTTTTTATTTAATACTAATAGATTTATTTTTTAAAAAAATATTTATAAGAATAATCTTTTATATTTAATTCTTAACTTTTATAAAAGAGCAAAATATAAATATTATATATATATAATTGTATACATTGTACTAGTCCTCCGGCGTGAATATTAAATTGCGGCGGGAATGTCGGGGCGACGCCGGCCACCGCCGCCGGAATCACCATTATCGCCGCCGATCTCAAATTTCTCTCCTCAATTATTTCCCCATTAATCATCAATAGTCAAACCCTAATTTCCCCAATTTAATTTACAACTCAAATTCATTCTCAAAAGTCAAGAGCTCAATTAACACACTCCATATATAAATGAGCTAGAAATTTTGACTTTTTTTTTTTATAATTTTTTTTAATAATTATAAAAAAATTATTTTATATTTATTAAATAATATTATTTTCAGCAAGGCATCTCTGCACGCCACGCCTTGTGTTTCTTCATTTCTATTTAAGGCGACAACAGTTTCTCCATTATTGTACCAAAAACCCATCTCTAGCTAACTTCAGACCTCAAAATTTTCGAAAAAATTCAACCTCAAAATCCTCGAAAATGATCTGTCTACACACAGACTACCAATTCTTATCCAGTTTGACTCTGATCCTCTACACATTCGTCATTTTTCCATTTCTGGAGATTATCCAAACAGCAGCCACAGTTCTGTGGTTCCTGATCGATCCCCACCGTCGGATCGAGAGCAGCGAGGAGAATCAAGGGTGGGAGATCGATCTCCAAGTTTCGAAGGTTCTAGACGAAGATGAAGACGATAATGTGTGCTCAATCTGTTTGATGAAATTCCTGAAAGAGGAAATGATAAACGAGCTTCCCAGATGCGGACACGTGTTCCACATCGGTTGCCTCGAAAAATGGATAGACACGTGTCACTTCACATGCCCTCTTTGCAGGGCATCTCTGCTGCACCAAACTGCCACGTCATCATCGTCGGCGGCATCATCCTCGCCGTTGAAAAGAATCAATCTGCCCTTCTGTGTTAATCTCTGATCAACAATGTCTACTGTGTATATATTATGCGTGTATATTTTGGGGTTATTCTGACTTTTTGGATTTTTTTTTTTTTGTATAGCCATTGACTAAAACCAATTTCTCAGGTCATATCTGATTAGTTATTCCTTTTGTGAAACGTCATAGTTTCTTGTTATTCCTTTATTTCAATTAAAATATTTATATGAATAAAAAATTAAAACCAAACCCAAACCAAAAAAAGTTATGTTTACAATTTTTAAGAAAGTTTAACAGCACGGTTTAAGAAATTGTAAATTTTTATCAAAATAATAAAAGTACCCAGTATTTAATATAATGCTTATGTAAATAAATATATAATATAATATTTTTATCAAAAAGTTATTGAATAGTATAAAAATTAAATAATTGTCTATGTAAAATAGAACCTACAGATTAATTTGAATTTGATTCCATATTTTTCATTCATATATATATATATATATATTTTTAATTAAAAAAAATATATATTTATATAGTATACAAAGTAGTAATAATATTTTTTATTTAAATTATTACAACAAATATTATTTTAATTAATTTTTCTATCATTTCTAATATCCAAATTAAAATTCAAAACTCAAACTTTGAAAAAAAAAAAAAAAAAAAAAACAAACCAGCACTTTGTCCTGGAAAATAAAAATTATTTGAAAAATATTAATAGCAATTGTATTTTTTAAGTTAAAATTTCGTAAATTAGCTTATTGTCTTATTGGCCAGACTTTCTCTTGATTTAATTCTCTCACTTTAGTATCTTTGTATTATTTAATTTTTTTAATTTTCAACACTATACCATGTTTAATATTAAAAACGGTCATCCACTTTTGTCCATGTAATTTTCATGCTTTGTAGTATTGTTACATATAAACACTTTCATTTCCTTATGCATCTTGGTCCTAGGTCTCGTTTGATCTACGTATTTCGTTAAAATATCTGCGTAGTAATGTCTCGGTTTGGTTCAATTCGGCTCGTTAAAATATTTACGTATTAATGTGATGATTTTAAGGAAGATGTTATGTTACAGTATATCTCCATTCCATCAATGCTCAGGACAACAATGCAAGAAGAAAGAAGTCCTACCGATGGAATAATCGCGATCGAAGATTATATACTTACAACCTATCAACAAGCTCTATTAGCCCTACAGTTAAGAGGGCCGGCATCAGACGTCAATGCCGGGACCTTCATTCCATCGGCAACCTTAAACGACTGAGTCTTGGTGTAGTCCGGCGCGCAGTTTCCGTATCCGGATTGGACAAAATAAGCGCCGTTGATGAATCTATCCCTGGATGATCTCCATTTCCAGTTCTTCCACCCCTTCTTCACCTCTCTCTTGGTTACCTGTTCGATTCGATTTGTGTAAACTACTCTGTTTCATGTAATCAATCTCTAGCAGATGTAGAAATATGTCATTTGGATTACCTGTTTTATGTCGGGACGATTCGGAGCCATAAAGTAGTTTCCTTCGCTGAAGATCGTTGGATTCGCGCTTCCACCAATTGCATACATTTCCCATTGCTCGTATCGATTGTTAGCCACGTGCGCGTAACCTAACCTTACCCTGTTCATGATCATCGTCCGATTAATAATTGATTCATTCCCGAGTCACAAATATTGAAAATGTCGATTATGCATACCTCGGCATTCTTTGAACTAATCCGGGGCCGAAATGGTTGAAGACTACTGTCACTTTGATGTTCTTGTCCTCCAGATTGTTATCGTCGTGCCCAAACAGCATAACCTGTCGAATGATCGGAAATTACATCGAGTCAATAACTAAAGAATCAATACGATGTTTTGATATGGGGAGATTATGTTAGTTTTTGACATACTTTGTCGTGGTCGGAGAAGAAGTTGTTGGAAATGGTTATGGCTGTAGAAGAATGGATCACGTCGATAAGCCCATCCGTGCAACGAGCAAGATAGCAATGATCGATCCAGATATTGGAAGAGGCGAAGATATCGATAGCATCGCCATCAGCGCCACGGCGATGCCCCGAATGAGTCGGACTGTTGCGCACAATGCCGGAGCTTCCGGGCTTACAGTCGTGGATGCGAATCCCGTGTATGATCACATGGCTAACGTCCTGTATAGTTATACACGGCCCGTATGCAATGTCCACTACGGCCCCTCTCCCATCTATCGTCTTGTAGCTGTTCATCATCAGCTCGTTCTTGAGCTTAATAACCATACTCCTCCCGAAAACAATCCACAGAGGCTTCTCTTGGATCGCGCCGTACCTCAGTGTCCCCGGCTTCGGATTCTGTGGATTGTCGGATGCATCCGTCACCACGTAGATTGCGCCGTATTTCCCCCCAACGGCATCACTCCCGAATCCTACAGCACAATCAGCAAGAGCACGACGATCATTCGCCCAATTCGAGTTACCTCTCCAACAAGAATCTATAGTGTTCATAGCTTTCTTTCTACTCTGAGATAAATTGGAAATGTAGGCAGAATTAACCAGTGATCCTGTTAGAATCATTGTAAGTATGAGAGACAAATTGGTTGCAGGGGAAGCCATGGATGAAACAGTGTCAGAATTGCATTGAGAAATCAGACAATTTATGTGCAAATGTTAGGTGAGATTCACTAAACAAATGTGGCTTCCACGATCATGTAGGAATGAATGTTTCTTTGGCTTTTAGCTAAGAATTTGGGAATAGCATCGACGTGAGTACTTGTATAGCTCTTGACTTTCGCAAATCTGACTTTGAAATGGCAAAATTCACTGAATTCTAAATTAATCAACAATTTTTACTAGTTCTGGGATAAATTATTTGAAATTGAGACTGGAATACTGATTTACTGCATATCATGATAGAATAGAATATAATTGTATAATCCGAAACAAAACAAGTTTCAGCAGCAAGGAAAAGACTGTGAGGCAGTGAAATTTGGAGCATGACCGAGTAAATCTCGATAGAGAATTTCGCATACAGAATTTACGGAATAAGAAAATGTTTTAATTAAAAACTACTCAGAGTTTTTTCAGCTAATATACATCCAGAATTCCAGATCCAGTTATGGTGAAAATTAAAAAGCAAATGATGAATCAACAAACAGAGGATTGAGACAGACCTGAGAGCCGAGACTGATTTCTCCTTCAATTGCACCAATCGAGACGATCGCCATATTTGAAAACCGATTCCTCTCCTTCGCCGGCGAACACACTAACTATTCAGTTTGCAAAACCAAAATCAACAACAATTAGGGTAGAAACTCCTCCAGATATGCAATAATTATCCATAAACAACACATCACGTGCCATGGCGACGAATCTCTTCACTTTTCATCGATCACAGGATTTACAGATTCATTGAACGTCACGACGAACGCCCGTCGGAACAGCCAACAGCTCCGACAGGGAGACGCACAAAACGACAACGTTTTCTAAGCTCCGGCCCATTAACTAAAGCCCAAATTACACACAGCCCAAACAACCGCTCAGGCTCTCAAACAAGAAAAAAAAAAAAGAAGAAATCCACGGAAATTACTAGGACTCGTTACGATTAACCAAATGATCGGATCATGCTTTATATAGTATTGAATTTTTCGGTATGTTTTAGGTATAACGATAATTGTATAAAAAATTTGATATGATATATATATATATATATTTAAATTGAAATTTTAAAGTTAAAAATAATAATTTTAATTTTGATATATATACAAAATAATATATAATTTATATATATATACACTAAAAATATCAAATTATATATTATTCACTCAAAAAAATTTCAATACATCAAAATTTTGATAACTTCTTTATATAGTATATATATATATATATATGATATTTTGATAATTGGATATATTTTTTTAATTCTAAAAATCACAAAAGGGGACGCACGTGAATCGCACGTGCATAGAATCAACCATTATAGATAGAAATAAATAAAATATTCTTACATAATTAATTAGAAAGATACTTGACGACACAAATTATACCAAGTATAAAAAATGGTCCGACACGAGACGACCATTCAATAAACACCCAATTCTGAAAAGAAATATGCTCAGATTGAGCAGTGTGACAGAACATGTCTACCAATGATTCAAACAATAATAGTATCAATTTTAATATATATATTTATATATTATTACACCGTAAGATTCTTCTAAATTTATGTATGTTGTTGATATTCATAAAATTTAATTATAAGATGATACGATACACGAATCGTATGATGTAATAATAGAGGAATATATAAATATTTATATTTTATATGCTATCCTCTAAAAGTTGGTTTAAAATTATTGCCCCCTTTTCATAAATATACATATATATATTTTTTCATTCAAAATGTTTTTATTTCTTTAAAATCGTAAAACAAAAATGTGAACATATTAAAAAATAATAATAAAATAAAAAGAGTATTTTTAGGGTGTATTTGTTTGGGAGTTTGGATTTTGGATTGGGATTTGAATAATAAAAATTTTGAATTTGAATAGTTGTATGATGTGATATAAATAGAGTTTGATGTGATGTTTTGAATGTAAAATTGATTTTTAGTATAATATAGAAAATGAAAAATAGATGTTTGATTTGATGTTTTTGGGGGGAAAAAATTGGATGAACAGTAAAATCCTCCAAAATCCTCCAAACAAACACACCCTTAAATGATGGGAGGCGGTTTGGGTTGATAAAGAAATTGGTTAAATTAAGGTTGGTGGGGCCATTTCTTTATTCTGTTGCATCGCTGCCAGTTGCCACTCTTGGCTCTCCAATCACCTATTTCTCTACTCTACACTGCTACATTCATTGCTCAATTTATTTAGTGGGTGTTCCGTTTTTTTTTTTTTCTTTTTTTATTTTATTTTATATTATTATTATTATTATTATTATTATTATTTCAAATTAAACAATTTTTTGATTTAACATTCTATACAAAACAATATTACTATACGTTTTGATTGAAAAATATCGAGTTTGATTGGTTTTGATTTGAACTTAATATCTTTTATTTGTATTTTAATTTAAATACTTTTTAATATATTATTATTGGGTGCATTGAGTTAAAAAATAAATAAGAAAAGTGAAAGGGATTTTGTCTAGCATAATAAGCTACTATAAATTTTATACTAATCTAATAAAATACAAAGAATAAATAATACTCCGTTCGTCTCAAATACTATGCAATATTTTTTTTTTGTCCCAAATTCATTGCAATATTTTTAAATTTAGAAATAATTAATAATATTTTTATACGTATATTAATATACATTTCACTTTATCCCATCAAATCACTCAAATAAAAAAAACAAATAATTATTTTTCTCTCCAATAACATTATTTAATATCCAAATTATCTCAAATTACGGTACTAATACTCTCCACCTAAATTTCTGTGCCAAATACAAATATTGCACGATGTTTTGGACGGAGGGAGTAGTATATAACAATAGTCCAAACAAATCATCCTATCATCTATCTTAGCACAAATATGTTCATACAATAGTAGAAATATAAATAAAAAATGATGAACACAATAGATAAGAAGCTAAAAATTTAGTGGTGGAGTTGATTGACTAATTTTTATTGACACGATTCTCAATAAATATTATTATTGTAATACTATAATATAGAATATATTTTCATTTCAAAAAAAATTAACCACTAAATACAAAATATTAATATTATTTATATTATCAACTTAAAATTTTTCATATTTTTCATAAAAAATATTTTAAATTTAAAAACCAAACATGCAATGGGTTCTAATTTTGAATAAACAAATTTTGAATTTAAATATTTATTTAATATAATATTAATACATGTTGATTTTTATTTGAAATATAAAATTAATTTTAATATAATCTAAAAATATAAATAATTATTTAATTTAATATTTTTATAAAGAAAAATTGAAAAGAAAAGTGAAAATTCTTCAGACGAAACACAACAATACGAAGTTTAATTCGTTTAGATATAAATGTTTGGAGGATTTTGTAATTTTAAAAGTTCTTCAAAAAAATTATTATGTAATAATGTATTATTTTCTATATATATAAAGTATAAATTTATGTAATATTTTTAAAAATTAAATAGTATACTTAAAATTTCAAAATTACTGTGCAAAGAGACCCTTAATCCAATTGATAAGCTAACACGCAGCCGTACTCATTTGAGGCAGGCAGTCATATATCTGCCCCCATTAACTCCAGTCTGCCTTTGTCTCCTTCCAAATGTCCGAATCGAAACGGGCCCGGCCCTACGGCTGATTTTAAAGGCCTGGGACCCCAGAGCCAGACCATTATATTTCATCGCTCATGTTTGAAACTCAAAACCAGGGCCAGACCATTATATTTCATCGCTCATGTTTGAAACTAAAAAGGGTGTATTTAATATAGATTTTGTAAGATTTTGTAAGATTTTTAAAATTTGGATGTATTCAATTAAGATTTTTAAAAGTTTTTTAAAATCTTGAAATATTCAATAATAAAGTCTATGAATTTTAATGAATTTTTGTGAAAATTTTGTATAAAAAATCTTTTAATCATCACAGATTTTGATGGATTTTTGTAATTATTATTATTATTATTATTATTATTGTTGTTGTTGTTGTATATGTGATAAATAATATGATAATATTTATTACTATTATTATAATTTTTAATAAAAATAATAATTTAAAACTAAAATATATTAGCAAATTATTATAATTTTTTTAAAAATATATATTTTTATATTATAAATATAATTTTAAAAAATATTATTATTACAATAAATATATATTACTATCGTATTTTCTTTTCAATTATCGAATACACTATATTATCATTACGATAACGGTGAAATATATATTTAAATATATATATTTTTTGTTGAACCGTTAATTTATATTTATTTATTTATTTTAATATTTTTTGAAAAATCATAAATTATTTATTTATTTATTTTAATATAACTTTTTTACATAAAAAGTAAATACGTATATATTATTTATTAATATTAAATATATTATCTTATTAATAATTATTTATTATATTTATAAAATTTGTTGTTTGATATAAATTTATATAATTAATATATATTACAAAAAAAAAATTATTTTACAATCCTATCAAATTCATATAAATCCATAAAAAATTCAATCAAATCCGTAGAAATCCATCTAAATGAATGACTAAAATACATGAAACTCAACGTAGACTTTATGGATTTTCTAAATTCAAATAAATCCATTGGCTTTTTAAAATAAAAAAAAATCCATTAAAATTCCAATTGAATACACTCCCTTAAAGATATACTACAATATTTTGAAAATAATACTATAAAACATTAAAACTAATAGATAAGATATTCTATGTAATATTTGCAATATAATTTTTAATATTAATTAAATAATATATATATATATATATGTAATAGAGATCACTACATGCGTATTAATATAATAAAGTTGGTATAATATATTACATAAAAATAATATTATTCTTTATACATTATTATTATTATTATTTTATTTCACTCTATTTTTGTATTATTTCGTAATTATTTTTATTATTATATTATTATGCATATTGATTTTCTCATTTGGAAAAAGAAAAAAAAAATTATATTTTAAATTTTGTAATTTTAATCTTAACTAGAATAATTATTTATTTTAATTTATAATTATTACATTCTTAATTAATTATTTATTAATAATAGTATATATTTTAAATTCTAGTGTTTACGGATTGAATAATGATTATTTTAATTTTAAATTAAAACAAAAATACGCGAAAGTTAAATTGTTTTATGAATTTAATTTTTCTTTCACTATTTAATTAGTTTGTGCGTAAAAAGAGTAAATTAAATAGTTATTTTTATATTATTTTAAAAATTAAATTTATATTAAAAATATTTATGTATTCATATAATATTAAATAATTATTTAAATTTAAAATTTTCCAATAATATTTAAAATTTCAGATTCAAAGTCCTAATTCCTATCGAACACACCCTAGCAGTCTAATGCTGGTCAGGTGGAGGCATCCGCTGGACCTAGAGTCCGGGCCTCCTCAAGAATGAGATTCATCCCAAGGGCATTTCCGTCCATTGCTCATGCCTAGAAAAAGCAACTACGAGAAAATTGGGATTTAGCTCGGAGTGACGGAACAAACTCGCTTCCTTCAATCCAGATTCTCTCTCTCTTTGTGATTTGTTGGTTCGTAATTTCTTCAAGATCATGGAAGATGATTCGCTGAGTTCCTACTAGTCGTAGGTTTCAATTCAGTATCTATCATCGTAATATTCGTATGAACTGGATTAAGCAGCTTTCTTCTTAATCATGAAGCTTCGAATCTAAGCTTGTGCATCTGCGCTTAGGGACGCCTCGAACACCGAAGGATCACTCCTCCTAGCTCGTCAATGCGGATTTGTGACATTGCTTGTTAGATCAAATATCGCGTATTGAGTGCAGTTCCCTATACGCCTCGGCATTGATGGGGAAGCACGTGGAAGCCAGCCGTGCTGCGTTCTTCGCTAAGCTTGTGGTGATTGCAGGAGTCGGTTTTGGCTTCCGTACTACGGTTAAAGCTGCTACTGATCCTAATGATGGTTAAATTTCGTTATCCTTGTTTTCATTTTTTTTTAATTCTTTTATCAGCTTGATTTTGATTGGTGAGTTTCCCGATGTTTTACTTTAAACTGTTGCTTTAGATAGAGAATTATAGAAATCATATGAACATCTTTTGATTCAGCGTGCATTTTGTATTGGTGTGTAGAGGAGAAGATTTTCGTGATGCGTTGTTGAATTTTTTTTTTAATTTTTTTTTTTTAAAAAAACACGAAAGTTTCTGCAAAAAGCTGTTGAATCATGAATGTAGCTGTTATTTAGAAAGGAGAAGAAGGATACATTTACTAAGCGAAAGAATGGATCTGAACATTGGTGTAAAGCATGCCAAGTATATAATACAAAAGTTAATAATCTGACAAACTGGATTCGCTTTGTGCTTTAAAGATGCTTACTTCATGAAAACGATGTACAGTTTTTTGCTCAATTGCCTGTGAAGATGTTGATTGAATGTTTAAGTTGAATTACCTTTGCTTTCTACAGTTCAAGGGCTTCAAGTTTTGTACACTTCATTGAATAGTCCTTCACAGCTAATAGGTTGGAAATCTAGCGGTGGCGATCCTTGTGGAGAGTTATGGAAGGGAATTACCTGTCAAGGTTCTTCCATTGTTTCTATGTGAGTGTAGTATGATATTAAATGTACTCATCTAGTTGAATTCGTTTGGTTATGCGTTTCATGGCTTATAAGATACCTTTTCTTGATATTGTAATAGCCAAATATCCGGGTTGGGACTTAGTGGATCAATGGGATACTTGCTTAGCAACCTTGGCTCACTCAGGACATTGTAAGAGAGTCAATTCATCAAGCCATATTAGTTTTTGTGCTATTAATTTCCTTTTCGATGTAAATTCTTTGTATATTTATGGCGCAGGGATCTCAGTAACAATAACATTCATGATTCGATACCATACCAGTTGCCGCCTAACCTGACCAGTTTGTAATGTTCAATGCTTCTTTACAAGGATTCTTGATTTGTTATAGTAGTAGATTTATTGCACTCCAAGATCTCAAATTTCGAATGTTTGTTTTCTTCTTTTTGTAATGTGCCATGGTGCAGAAACCTTGCAAGTAACAATTTAAGTGGGATCCTTCCTTATTCCATAGGTGCAATCAGTTCACTCAACTATCTGTAAGCTGTCTTCATATTTGTGCCTTTTGCCATGATGTAAGGAAACTCTTTGCATTGATGCTCTATGTTTTTTCTCGTCCCTTACCAGGAATATCAGTCGAAACTCATTATCCCAGGCGATTGGGGATACACTTGCCAATCATTCTGCACTATCAACTCTGTAAGTCATTGAATTGTCTGTCCATTGTGTGCCCATCTTGCATGTTCGACTTATCTTTAATCGATCTTTGCGCATTCGTGCTGTTCTGAATCCGTAAATTTAAAAGTGTGCACTAACAAAGGCCGTTTCAGGGATGTGTCATTCAACAACTTAACAGGGGATCTCCCACCTGTTGTCTCATCATTGACAAATCTATCAATTCTGTGAGTACTGCAAAAACATTACTATCATGAACATTTCTTCATTGTCTCACTATCCTCTGCATTTTCAATCCTTTTGGCAGTCATGTACAAAACAATCAACTTACAGGTTCCCTCAACAACCTTGTTGGCCTGCCTCTGTCGAATTTGTGAGCATCGTTTCCCTGAACAGAACGCACGATCAAAGCAATACCTTATCACTAACCAATCTGTAACTATTTCTAACTTATGCAGGAATGTCGCGAACAACCATTTCACCGGCTGGATACCATCAGAACTCCTTTCTATTCCGAATTTTGTGTTAGTATTGTAGTAGTTTACACGGTGATAGATTATTTCTTGCATCTTTAACTCATAAACATGTCTTGCTTAATTAAACTTTTCCATGTATCAGATATGAAGGGAACTCATTTGACAATGGTCCTGCTCCTCCACCACCACCATACACGTCGCCTCCTCCCAGTGGATCTCACAATAACACCAAGCGAGCTCCACCTAGTGGATATAGCCCTGGCTCTGATTCTCCAAACAATGCTGAAAATAAGAATGGATTGACAACCGGACCAATTATAGGGATTGTTCTAGGATCTTTATTTGCAGCAGCCATTTTGCTTCTTGTTCTAGTTTTTTGTCTTAAAAGAGGTAACAAGAAGGAAATTGCTGCACAAGCCTCAGCTGGAAGTTTTTCGATCAGCAGCCACGAAGGTACGATGATGATGCAGACAAATGTGCCTATTGGATATTCGAATCCAAGTTTATCTTGCTTAAAAATAGCATGACCAATTCATTCCACTCTTTACTTTTGTCTGAAGTGAATATCGAGCTACACGAACCAGGGATGAAGCCTACAGCAACTCAATCTGATTTAAAGCCCCTTCCGAGCGAAGGTGTTGCAGTCGAGAGGTCGCATGGACGGAATGGATCTATGAAAAGAGTGAAGTCTCCGATAACTGCTGCATCTTACACAGTTTCTTCACTTCAGTCTGCCACTAATAGCTTCAGTCAAGAGAATCTGATCGGCGAAGGATCTCTTGGACGCGTTTACAGAGCAGAATTCCCCAATGCGAAGGTAATATGAATTCGGTAACTTCTGTTTGAAGCATGGTATCCGATGACAGCTGCATAAGTATGCTTTGATAAGTGTTTCAGGTTATGGCCATCAAGAAGATCGACAATGCAGCGCTGTCCCTGCAGGAGGAAGATAATTTCCTTGAAGCCATATCGAATATGTCTCGACTGAGGCATCCAAACATCGTTTCTTTAACTGGATACTGCATGGAGCACGGGCAACGCCTTCTTGTCCATGACTATGTCGAGCACAGTAGCTTGCACGATATGCTGCACTTCGCTGATGAGAAAAGCAAAATGCTGGCGTGGAATGCGCGAATTCGCGTGGCACTTGGCACTGCTCGAGCTCTAGAGTATGTTAAATTGCTAACTAACACACATGAACACGATAACCTTCGACAGGAATGAATCTTAAAACTCGATCCTTTTCTTGCTTAGGTACCTTCACGAAGTGTGTTTGCCGCCTGTGATACACAGAAACTTGAAGTCGGCGAACATTTTACTCGATGAGGAGTTCAATCCCCACCTCTCCGACTGCGGATTATCTGCTCTGACACGAAACACCGAACGGCAGGTACATCATTAGGCGATGGAGATCTGCTCAATGGCTTCGAGAAACCATTGATACTCGATCTAGCGGTAGTTCTAACTACTTTTCATTGATAACAATTGCCAGGTTTCGTCGTCTAATATGATAGGCTCATTCGGATATAGTGCACCTGAATTCGCATTATCCGGAATATACACTGTAAAAAGCGACGTATACAGCTTTGGTGTAGTCATGCTCGAGCTACTGACCGGTCGAAAGCCTCTCGACAGGTAATGCTTATCGCGCCGTAAACTATACATGCATCGATTTATTGCTACCTCAATGCGTATTCGAGCATATCTATGTCATTGTTCAGTTCACGACCGAGATCAGAGCAGTCGCTAGTAAGATGGGCGACGCCTCAACTCCACGACATCGATGCTCTAGCTAAGATGGTCGACCCGGCTCTCAATGGCATTTACGCTGCCAAGTCCCTCAGCCGGTTTGCAGACATCATCGCACTCTGCGTTCAGGTAACCTTAATTTTTTACCTGCGACAAAAGTAGAACTATTGAACGAGCTATTCGAGCTCGAGTATTTGTTGTTTGAGCTCTACTCGAACATATTATTGATAGAGGCTTAATTTGATTCATTTAGAATTCGAGCTAAACTTGTAGCTTGAGCGCTTGCTAAGCTCGAATTCAAGCTCGAGTTTAGCTTGTAAAATTCGTTTTCGAACTCTGAGTTTGAATTTGACTAGAATATTATATATATGTTATATGTTTTTAATATATAAATTAAATATCTAGTTTTATTCTTAATTTATTATAATAAAATATTTAAAAATTTCATTAATAAATATAAATTTTAATATAAAAAATTATATATATTATATTAATATATAAAATAATGCAAACATACAATTGAGCTCACTCGAGCTAATCACGAGCCAAAGTTGAGCTCAATTAGTTTGAGCTTAGCTCATTTATCGTTATAAGCGAGTCAAGTTGAACTTTTAATGAGTCAGATTGAGATTAGCTCACCAGCTACTCAATTTGTTTATTAGTCTTAGATAAAAGTCCGGGTTTTTTGAGTTAGAGCGGACCAGGAGAAGATGTGTGTTTTGAACTTGTACATGCAGCCGGAACCTGAGTTCCGACCACCAATGTCGGAGGTGGTGCAAGCACTGGTGCGGCTGATGCAGCGGGCGAGCATCGGGAAGAGACGATCGAGCGACGATTCGGGTTTAGGGTTCAAGGCTCAAGAACATGATGCTTCTACTGCTGCTGCAAACGACTTGTTGTAGAGAATAAGGTAAGATCTCTCGTACGTTTATGCAGTTCTTTTGCACACACTTTGTGTACAAATGGTTCAATGCTATTTTATTTTATTTTATTTTTTTTGTTGCTATCCGAAAGTACGGGATAATACTTTTTGTTATGTATCTATATATATGTATAGTGATTTGATGTAATACTTTGTTATAGAGGATATGGTTTTTTTTTTAAAACATGAAATTTGAATAGTAACAAAATAAAAAATTGTTAAAATAGGAAGTTGTACTTAATAGGCCTGAGTGCAGTATTTAATCCTACAATAAAGAGGCCCGAGTTAGCCTTATCACAATATTAAATATATATATATATATTTGATATAATATTTTAAATATAAAATTAAAATAATTTAAATTTTAAATTACAATAAAATATATTGTATTATATTTTACATAATTAACTAAAACTTATAGCCAAACAAACACAACATTTATTTTCCTATAATAATTTTCGTTTTAAAAAATTATACTAATAATAATAGATCCCTGCTGTCAACTCCAATTATTGTCTGTCATAACTACCAAATTATTGCAATAAGAGTATTTTTATTATCATATATTTACAGGTATTATTATTACAAACGGCAAAAATAAGTCAGACAAAGTGATATTTAAGTATTGATAGAAATTAACATTTACACGGAGTATATTATTGGATTTTAAAATTAATATAAGTATATTTTTATATTATCTACGCCATGAAATTAACTTTTAGTTTATTAACAAACTTTTTCTAGTAAATAAGCTCCTGATGTTAAATAAATTACTTCTGCGTACCCCTTCGCCGGCGACGCCTCCGCCGCCGTCGCCAAGGGCGGAGGCGGCGGCGGTCGCGGAAATGGCACTCTGCTCTTCACTTCTACATCTCAGATTCTGCCGGTAGCCGATACACATTGGGACATTCAGGCTCAAAGCTTTCGCTTTCGAGGCTGCCGGAGAATTTTTCCGGCGGCCGTCTACGGCGTCTTTTCTGGAGCTGTTTTTCACGGCGGCTTCTGAGCTCCGGCCACCGCCGCCACGGCGGACCTGCCAGACAGGACTGCTTCTTCCTAAGTGAACTCCGGCGGCTCGGCTCGGGCTATTAGCCGCCCACTTTCGCGACTTCGACTCGCCGGAGGAGTTGCTCCGGGAACACGGCGCGCTGCTCACTTTCCGCGGCGGAGCCACCGTACGAGGCCGCGTACCGCCATTTCCGGCGGATCTACTCCTTGAGAAAGGCCAGATGTTTATATTCAGCTCGGCGGCGCTAGCCGCCATATTACTCGCGCCGGCGACTCCATTAATATTCTTCTTCTCCCGCCGCTTCTCCTTAACCTTACCGTCCTTCGAGCGGCGATCCTCTCCGGCAACGGCGCCGCCGCAGGCCAGCGAATCGGAGCTCTTCTTAGCATTTTTCTTAAAAATTCTCCGCCACCGCTTGGAATTAATCGAATTAGGAACGTCGCCGGAAACCTCAACTTCAGGCAATTCTACGGTGGAATTCGGTTCTGGCTCGAGGTCGGAGAATCGATCCGGCACGGCGGCGGCGTCTTCGTGCGGCGGCGGAGGGGTGTTGGAGAGGCGGAGGAGGTGGAGAGGGAGGAGGACGCCACCGGAGAAGAGCTCATCGGCGGAAAGAAGGTTAGGCTGAGGAGATATAGGGTTTCGTACCATCCAGAACTCGAATTCCGGCGAATTGGAATCGGCGGTGGTTGTTCTTCTTCCGGTACGGCGAGGAGAGAAAATCTGCGGTGGCCATGGCCGCGCCTGAAGCTGAGGTTCTTCCATTTTGTTGATAAACCTCAAGCAGATTATTTTTCACTTTATTATAAGGGAAAGTTTTTATGGCCTCATTTATAATATTCGGGGAATAGGTGACCCAATGTGCAAATACATATGAAAGGAAGGAGTACCGAGTAATCTATAGTTGTGTTGAGTATTATTCTCTCCGGCGTTATTCATAGTTTAATGTGGTGTTAATTTTCTGTTTTTTTAAAATAAAAATTATTTTTTTAGTAAAAAGTATAAATTTTACTAAAAAGAAAAACAAAAATAATCTTTTTATAAAAATTAAAAAATGTTAATATATATTTAATGACACGAATATTAGTTTGTTGTGTGTTTTTTTTTTTTTGTAATTTATGTATCCAACAGGAATTAAACCTATAATCTGAAATATGTTAAAGGAGAGTTCAACTGCTTAAACTACATACATTTAATTTATATGACAAAGACTCAAAGAGTATTAGTTATGAGGTGAAGAAATTTTGATTTTTTGATACATATGACTTTAACAGTGTGAGTAATAATAACGGACTAAACATGACACTCACGTGCCTTCATCCAATTATTTGGAGGTTATCCAACCATGTGATTTCTTCTTCTGCATGTTATGTTATGTAAGGGTGTGTTTCGTTTAATTTAAATTTTGACTTCAATAATATTTTAATATGCTATTTTTTTAAAAAATAATAATACTCCATGTATCCCATAACTTGGTATTCGTTTGCTTTTTGCACGGAATTTTAGAAATATTAGTATTATATTAGGATGTAGTAGGTATACAATAGAAATTACTAAAATTATCTTATTAGTATCGTGTGATATAAAGGTAATGATATTTGTGTAATATATTGTAAGTTGTAAGAGTATTTGTAATGTTAGATAGATAGTACATTTACTTAAAAAAAAAAAAAAAAAAAAAAAAACAGAAATAGATACTTTGTTATGGGACGAAGTAAAATAGAAAAATAAATATTTTGTTATGGGACGGAAGAAATATTATATTTGTTCATTAAACAACATATCAAAATACCATTTAACATAAAATTAAAATAAAAAAAACACACACATATATATATATATATATATGCATATATAAATGTGGTCCAAAAAAATAAGGATATATATAACAATATAAAAAATCAACATTAGCTCGATTGTCAAGATGCTCCTGTATTAAGGATAAAACAAGCCAGCCCAAAATGACAGCTCAGCAACGCGCTGTTTGGGAGTTTAAACAAGTGACGCTATTTTACCAGCTTACATACATACGTGTACGCATGGCTGGGCGGTGGGGTGGGGGCAGTGGTTAGAATCCAAACAAACAGTCCCAATTGTGAGAAATAAATGGGATGATAGCGATATTTTTGTTTACTCCTTTGTTTGCAACTAAAATTTCAAAATATTGCAACCAAACACGGCGTAAACGTTTCACTTCGCTATGTCCCCACCACTCGGGTGGCTCATGCCCTAAAACCTGCCGACTGACACGTGACATTATTATTATTATTATTACATAAATACACAATTAATGATTGATTGTATTATTAAAATGATTGAACGTACTTATTTTTGTTTGTATTTTAATTTTATTTTAGATGACAAATAAAACTGCCGTAATAACTTTGTTGGGAGAAAATTAGGTGCTTATCCAATCAAACAATCGTAGTAATGATTTGATCGGACCAATATCAAAAATATATTTTTACATAACACATCATATCATATTTTATGTTATAAGATATCATATATATTGTATCATAAATCAAATCAGCACCATAGTGATTTAATTAGTTGGATCACCTCAACTAATTTTGTTATACATGCGCTTAGTAGCAAGAATGGAATTATAAAAAAGTAATAAAAAATTATAGAATTGTAAAAATAAAAATAATAATAACATAACATATGAGTGATTCTTAATATACAAATATAATATTATTTTATTCAATTTTATCGTTAAATAAAATTCAATATTTGGATGTGTTTCTTTATATTCAAACTTCAAATTTTTATTATTAATTTTAATTTAAAATCACAGAATAAAAAACTAAAATCCACCTAAAAACCACGATATGCATTTCATTGAAATACCACTTTCAAATTTATTTTTCTAAAACATAACCAACTCACATCTGTTTTTGGAGAGGTCCACATGGGAAATGTATAATTGCACAATGCGGATATTATTATTATTATTATTATTATTATTATTATTATTATTATTATTATTATTATCATCTCAATTATGATTGTAGAATGAGTGAGTGGATATTTATAACTAACTAACCAAATGATGGTGCGGTGCCCAATCGATCTCAATTATACTACGAACATGCACTATCATAGCTACAACAAAACTAGCTAGTCTATTCACTACTAAATAAATAGGTCTGGCATTTACTGATGAAGTCTACACATACATTAATTAAATTACAGAATAAATTAAAAGACCCTAAATTCATTGATTTATTTATTGGAAATTCCAAAAGCCTCATGTCTATGGCACTTCTTTTGATAAATAAATAAATAAATATAATCACTAGTTCATAATAGTCAGTTTCTTCTTGGGTATAGTAGACACACATTTTGAAAGAGCTCATATCAATAATCACTTTAAATTAATAGTCTTGCTGCGTGTCTACACAATATCAAATCACTTAGTGCTGACTTGATCAAATAAAAATCGAGACAGAAACATCAAACTAAACCTCATATTTCTTAATGCAAAGTATTCTAACACTACACATGTATAACTAACTATCTATTCAAACTATTTCACAAACCAAACACACTACAAACTTATAAGAATTTGTTTATTTTTAATTTAAAATTAACCCAAATTGTTACTATTACTATTCAATTTGCACAATTCCAATAAAAATGAACTATTTTACCCCACAACGTAATAAAATATTATTTAAATTTTAAAAAATCAAACTCAAACCAAACAAAATAGACATTCTCTATCAGCTATTTATTTATTTTTACATATGGATAAAGTTAGATTCAATGAGAAGTGAATCATAGATAGGAATAGTATTTTTGAATTCTTACAGTTAGTGAGCAGCAGGAAATATGTACATATAGTGAAGATGATGGGGCTCTACTGGAATATTGGGGACCAACTAATTAAAGATTTGTCTAGATCCTTTCTTTCTCATGTGGTTCCAAAAAGCTCTCTCTCCACATATTAACAAGCCACGACAAGGCATTCACGTGATCTAAGGGATGTGGATGGATATACACATATATATATATATATAGGGATTAATTTTGTGGATCTTATAAGGAAGAAGAAGAATCACATGCTGTCAGAATCTCCACTTCTAACTAAGTCTTCACAAAATGTTAACGTTTACCATGTAAACCATATCATTATTTCCCCACCTTCAATTTTATTATTATTTATTTAAAGCATTGGTTATAAATTAGCATCTAATTTTAATTTATTTAGTATAAGGCCTTTTTAAAAAGTTTTAAAACAAATCTCAAAACAGATAATATCGTACTAACTTGGAGTTCCACCAATTCCAATATTAATGTACTTCTACTCTTCTAGCATGTAAAAAACCATCATGTATTGTTTCGATGTAAAGGGAAACTAAGATTGTGGAGTCTCACAATTTTCTTTTAGACCTGAGCAACACGTGATGAACTTTGTCAGACTTTGGCCAAGAAATCAGATAAATGGAGAGCGACGCTAGTGATGAAGATTTGGTTTTGGACATTATTCTTAGATGATTGATAACTAATTAATTAGATGAAACAATATAATATAGAAAACAAACAAATTAAATGGTACTTATAAGATTTAATATATCTGTTGGCAATAAACAGCTCAATTATCATAATCAAATTGTTTAAAAACCCTAAAACTTAATGGTGATAAATAACTACAATGCTTGTACAAATCTTCACTAGATATATCATCAAATTCATCTTTATATATATATATATATGTTCATGACATCAAAGATTAATTGAAGCTCCCATTGAATTATTTTGGGTAGGAAAGGTTACTAGTATGAGAAATTGATACACAATATACATCCATGTATCCTTCCTCCAATTAGACTGATCTTAGGATGAATTTGCTAAGGGAATTCTAATGTTATGTGCGAAGCAGCACAAAATGAGATGTTTTTTCATAGAATCAAACCTACAGTGTGGTGACTTATTGGTGGACAGGACATGCACTCAACAGTGCACAAGATAGCAATTGTATTTCGCAGAATTCATTGTGAATATGAGAAAAAGCAGCATAGTCAATATTATATATATATATATATATACACACATATATACGTATGCAAAAGCACAGTTTCTCTATAACAGCCGAAGTTTATTGTTGCCACCGAACTATATTAATCAAAGAAGATCAACCCAGAAAAGAATCAGCCCGACAAGCCCAATACGTATGAGCTTAAAAAGGAATCAAAATCAAAATGATGCTTGCCAAATATGACCAGGTCAAAAATAGTAAAATACTGATTCCAGGTGAGCATTAGGAGTGTGTTTGTTTTTGTATTTAGATTTTAAATATTAGAATTTTAAATTGGAAAAGTTATTCCAAATCCAAGCATCAATACGTAGTCACTTCAAAATCCTTTCGACTCAAACCAAGAACTTCTGAAACAGTAGCTGTTAAGAAGGTTTCGGACTTCACCTTTATAAACTAAGAGAGATTCAACAGTAACATCAGCAACCAGATCAGTAGAATTCAAATTACAAGAAAAAAAAAAAAAAAAAAAAAAAATCAATAAAACATGCAGAAAACATCCCCGCGTAAACAAGTTAAATACGAAAAAAAAATAAATAAAATCATTGTGAAAACAGTACAAATACATACCAGGATTGATTCTCGAAGCGGCTGTTCCACACTTGGCTGTAAACCGCGACGGCCAGAGATGTTACCACAGTCACATCGCCACCAGCAAGCAATGCTGCAGTCACCGGTTGACAATCGCATTTCTCGCACGCCCCCCTCGCGCGTATCTCCGAACTTTCCGGAACCGACTTTTAGTAGCAGCTTTTGCAAGTCGGTTTGAAGTATAAATACTTGAGTAAAGGGCAAAATAGTAATATGAGGTCCCGCCAAGGGGCTGTTGGAAAAAACTGAGCGTATATTTACACTATATTTGAGCCCAGGCCCATAGTTCCTAGTTGTGTCACTCACTTGGGCTCATAATGTAGCACTCACAAATATTTATTCCACTCAAAACGTTTGACAAGCAGCATGTGAAGAAAAAAAAAGAAAAAACTCCATTTACTCGGAGGCTTTTATAATTTTTGAGTTTTTTTTTTTTTAAAAAAAATAATAAAATAATACTTTTGAAAAAAAATTATTATAAAGAAATAATATATAAAATTTTAAAAATGTATGTAAAAGGGGACAAGTATTTTATTTTTTATTACTCCATTTAAAAATGTTTAAGATAAAATATTAGGTTGTGCTTATAATATTTTAACATAGATAATTACTCCCTTCCTCTCATTGACTGCGTATTCCCACTTGATAAAAATAATAATAATAATAATAATAATAATTAAAATTGTAACATCAATCCACTATTTAAACAAACCAAAACATCCTATCCTATCAATGTGTACTTGTTGACTTAAAATAACAAAGCCATAATTAGTTAGGTACACAAAAAGCACTTCATACACTCATTTCTACCACACCCCAACAAATGATACAATCATATGATTCAACATTTCATTCATCTTTATCATCCTGTAAAGTGGAAATGAAGAATCTTATACCCCTAGATTCTCCCCATTTTTATATTCACTTGATTCACCAATCAGATGTCAAATAATTTGAGGCCTAAAAATAGGCATAAGACAAGCATAATAACAATGCCCTTTTGTCCCCAACTACTAGACCAACTTCATCTTTAATTCATTCTCCAAAACTTTTTAATTAAATTTAAATGGATTCCCAATAATCATCATCACAGTGTCATCATTAACCACATTATTTCTTTAAACCTCAGCCACTATTGCAAAAGCATAAGAGTGATGGATGACACCTAGCAACAAGCCTACAATGGGAAGGGGGCAGGCAAGGGCAAAAGCAGATCTGGGCAAAATACAATGCCCATATCATTAACTTTGTAATAAACAAATGTGTCCCATTTTCAAAAATTTCTTAAATTTAAAACCAAACTAAATTAATCTCCAGACATAATCATGATTATCCCCAAGAAGGCCCACATCCTAATTCCTTAAACAAACTTGTCTTCGAACCCCTAATGTTCTTCAAATGTGTGTTTAAGCAAGCAACAAAATGCAGAAATCCAAAGCAGTGAGCAAGAAACAGAGGAAGGCACCACAAAGTAAAGGATGCAATAGGGGATTGTGTTGTACCTGTCGGCTGAGTGTCTCGTCTTCAGAAGAAGCCGAGAGTAGCCTCAACAGCAGCAGCAGTAGTTCGGAGAGATATCCATCGATTTCTAGCATTGCTCATGCCATGGTTCAGGAGAGACTCGATCAGATGATCAGGGAGAGGCAGGAGGCCAGACATGAGGAGAGGGTCAGACGTCGGGGGGCGAGGTCAAGACGGGTGGAGGAGACCAAGTTTGTGGTGATGGTAGCTATGGAGAAGTCGACCTATGATGCTCGGGAGGATTTCAGGGAGTCTATGATGCAGATGATAGTGGCAAACAGGATTTATGAGGTGAGGGATTTGAGACGGCTGCTGAACTACTATGTCACGATGAATGGAGAGGAGTTTCTGGGGATTATACTTGAGGCATTTTATGATGTTTGCACTGATTTGTTTCTACATTGTAAAAGATATTGATGAGGGAATGTTGCTTTTCTTCTTCCTTTTTTTTTATTACTTTCCTTTTTCGGCTACAAGATGACATTCTTGATGCTTAGCATACAGCAAAGTGTGTGCCAGTGCTCCGTGTACCTGAAACGAGCAGGGTAAATAACAAGCAATAAAATAATAGTAACTCTCATGTCATACTAACATAATTCAAGATCCACTGATTTGTAAGTAACAACAACGGGATTTCTACAGTAATGTCACAAAGAAGAAATTCAGAAATGAATACAAACACATAGATATGTGTGCACATGCAAAGTTTTGAATTCTCTAATAGTTTCATTGTGTTTTTATGCTATTGGATGATATATCTTTACTCCTTACTTTAATGTTTGAGTTATTGAGAAAGAACCATCGAGCGTTGCAGCATAAATAGATAAATAAAATGTTGCACTTGTAGTGTAAATAAAGCACTAAAGTCAGGACATCAGCATACCTATAAAATTTGTGGACATGCAGGTTGATTAAAGATGAGCTTCAACAATCCACAGGATGCAGCAAGCTGTAATCCATAGAGATGGGAATTATTCTAATCTAATTTTATCATTCCGGCAGTCTATGAGCTCAAAAACTGTTCAGAATTAAGATAGCACTATCAGCTAAAACAGTACAAGAACATTTTGAGTTTCATTCACTCTTTATAATATAAGCCGGGTAGCAAAAGGAATACATAGAGCAGCAAATTTACAAAAACACCAGAAAGGAAGTCCTATAATGCATTCTACAACTACAAACACCTCTGAATAACATGTTGAAACTTCTCTGCAGGCACCAAAAACCATAATCTAGTTCGAACAAATTGTAATGGCAGGGAAATCTAACTAGTATAGAACACAGGGTTATATTGGTAAGTGGTAAAAGATGCAATGATTCATATCAGGTTTCAAAGTGCTCATCAACAGATAAGGCAATTACAAGACAGCAGACACAGCTTCTTTCAATGATCAGTTTATGTAGATACATCAACCTCAACTAATCTTCTTTCAGCCAACACAGGAATAAACAGCAACATTATAAAATAAAGAAAACTGAGTAAAATCAGATTATGGCATAATTAAGATAAGAAGATCACAGTAATCATTTATAATGCTACCCTATTGAGTGACGAAAAGGGAAATAAAAAACAAACAAAGAAAGAAACTAGGAATTAGTTCCGAAGCAATTAATGATATAATTATGGCAAAAACTGCAAAGCAAGATAAACTTTCATCAGAATCACTGCAAAAATCAATGTCACCCGGCACGTCCAGTAGCTACAAGGAAATCTTGGAAACATTTCCAAGCACAGGGACTTAAGACTTGATGGGCAAAGTAGGCAATATTGCCCCTGAGGCAAAAGAGGAAAGCAGCTTTTAACGCCGAAGATGAAGCACTAATCTCCTTTTGACTCCAATCCCAATGCAAAACACATTGTAGAAGTGAATGCCATGAATCTTTAACTCTGGGTCAATACCAAATTTTCAGACATTGACTTTTTCAGCCACATCAGGGGTTGGGTTGTTGACCTTTGTTTTTTCTTCTGCAGCTTCTTCATTAGAACAGTGATTTTTCAGAACAGTTGCTATATCGGCTTCAGAAGCTCCAGCAAGTTTAAAACGCTCCACTGCAACATCCAGGTTGTTCTTCCAACCAGGCAAACCCAATTTACATTCGATTTGAGATCTCTCAAAAAGCATGTTGCCCCAAAATAGATGAATTTGAGATCTCATAACAGCAGCTTGCTCTGCTGCTTCCTCAGGCGAAATCTCCACTTGATTTCCTACACCAGAGGAATCACCCTGCACGCTGCTACCCTGCTTCTTCCTTCTATTTGGTAGTTCATCCTTCTTGCTCGTGTTTCCATCTTTCAACTCAGAAGCTCTCTGCTCCTCCAGCTTCTCCCACATCTCAGTTGCTGATTTCATTTTCTCTTGTGCACTGTCAAAAAGACCAAATGTCTCAGTTGGATCCCATTTTGATACTTCGTCTTTCTTGGCCAGCACAAATGACCAATGTAGCTTTGCCATTTCAAATTGCTGCTGTCCTAGAGCCAACAATCCTTCATAGAAGTCAGGTTTGATCGATAAAGCCTCCTCATACTTCCCTTTAGCAAGAGAGTACTTCTCCCTCACCCAATCGTAAGCATTTTGAAGCTGCGCACTCACCAATTCTTTAGAAGATGAGTCATCGAGTGGAATTTTTTTCCTTGCTGCACACATATATACGTTTCCCCAGTTGAAGAAAGCCAGGGCAGCAACCTCTTGAAACTTCAGGGCAGCCTTGTCAAAAAGGACCTGAGCATCTTCACTAGTTACTGTTTCCTCAAGTGCCTCTGAACACATCTCCATTCCAAGCTCATGAAGATCAATATGAGCATCTGGATCGATCCCGACATGAGTCCTGAACAATTGAGCAAACTCAAATAACCAATCATCCATCTCAACCTCTTTACATTCTGGATCTTCTGTTGATCCCTTCTTCTCATTCTGTTCACTTTTCTCAGTTTTACCAGTCTCTGAATCCGCAGCTTCAATTGAAGAATCCATAACTGAAGATGATAAAACAGTGCCATCTCCTTTAGGCACTTCAGTCTCAAGAGGTTGCTCCTCCTCCTCCTCTTCATCATCCAGTAATGGTGGCTCTTGTTCAGGGCTCACTTCAACTATGTGCAATCTCAACATACTAAGGGAGTCTCCTTTACTAGAATCAGGGTCTCTTGGATTAAGGTTGTCAACAAAGATCTCTGCCAGTCTAAGTTCGGCGGAACATGTTATAGTCACCAAGTCACCATCAGCATCCTTGTATTTGATGAGCACTGATTTAGACATTTGCAAACGTTTACTTACAATATCTCTCAAAACTTTCAAACTACAATTGGCAGGCATTTGTGCAAGCCTGATGTCATGCCCATAAACAAGCTTCAGTGGTCTGCATTGGATTGCAATTGCTTTGGATTGCCCATGAAGTGGAACCCCACCCGATGCCAAATACGTCTGCTGCTTCTGGTGATCCTTGCTAGCATTAGGGCTAGGTCGTGAAGAACCATTGGAGGGCTTCAAAACAACTTTTGGGAACTGGTTTTTCACCTCAGGACCATTTTCAACAGGCGGAATTGGGTAAAGCTTATCTGCCTTAGCAGCTGGAACACTTGCAGTTGCTCCCATTAAGGATGCCGCTGGCTTCTTAGATACCGGTCGCGCCGGCAAGCACGGTCCAAGGCCACCTATGGGTGCCCCACGGACAGCAGATGCTCCAAGGGCTGCTGGTGATGGGCGGCTTTGAAGGTCCTGTTGAGCCTCTTGACGAGGGCCTAGTGCAGTTCTCAGTCGTCCAGCAATCTCCAAAGCATCTCCATAATTAGGATCAGCAACCAACAGTGCCTCCACATCTTGCATAGCCATTTCATACTTCCCTACAGCCTCAAATGCCCGAGCCCTCCGAAGTAGGGCCCGAGCAAACTGTGGCTGCACCTGAAGTGCCAGACTACACTCCGATATCACAGCTTCATAATCTATCGGCTTCATTTGCATCAAACAGGCCGCCCTATTGCTATGAAACACAGCTCGATCCGGATGCACTTTTGGGATAAGCTTCAGTGCATTCTCATAGTGTTGAAGAGCACCCAAATAATCTTTGCCCTGAAACCTCCTGTTACCCTCTTCCTTTAGCTCATGGGCTCTTTTCATGAAAACCGCAGAGTCCAAATTAACACCGCCATTAACGACAGGTTGCGACGGGTTCTCTCCATTGCTCACTTGGCTTTGGCTCTGGTTTTGACTACCACCACTCTTCTTTTTCCTACCCCCAGACTTCCCCATAAAATTCCTTCAAACACTCCCAGGATTCAAATCTCACCCTGGGCAAAAGGAATTCATCAATAAACAAAATTCCCCATCCAATCGCTAAATGAAACCCTAAAAAATTGGGAGTAATCACCAAAACCAAATGCAAAATTAGAGACCCAAGTAAAACAACAAACGTAGGACTTACAGAGATCAAACCCAAGCTCTTAGTAGAAAGAGGCGCGCTTCTTCTTAAGACAAAACCCGGGAAACACAGCTGCAGGAAATGGTAGCTTGTTGAGTGTGTGTGCAGGTGGGAGATGAGGGTTTTAGGAACTCGTCGAAGCCCGAAGAAACCCTAGGAATGTAGAATTTAATAAGGTTTTATAGTTAAGATGAATATCGATATCCGTCGTCGTCTCTGTCCCCACTCCTTTTCTCTGGCCATCCAACCGTACGATTAGGATGTGGCTTATTGCATCACCGTTACCTACAACTGCAGCACTGCATTTGCATTGTCATAAACTGACACACATAAAGTTGGGCCATAATTATTTGGGCTGTGGAGTCCTATATCAGTCCATTTTCATCTCAATATACATATAGAGAAAAGATTTGTTAGGTTGCTAAGTACCAAATTAGCATACGAAAAATAATAATAGTGTGTTGTATGTATTGTTTTCAGTTGTATTTATGTTATATAAACACATCTCTTGTGATTTTTAATTTACTTTTTTTTTTATTTATTGTTTATCAATACAAGTTTTTTGCCACACTTGTTAATTTATATTATATGTATTGTTTATCAATGTAAGTTCTTTGCCACACAAAGGAATAGCACATACGGCCGGTACTATGCTTAATTTTTACTATGTTGAATTATAAAATTCAACAATGCTTACAACAGGATACAAGAACAAACAAAATATGATTTTACATAATATAACACTATCCCATAGTCACTAATATCGTCTGATTATTTTGTGTATTAAATAAAGACCAGCCCCCTAATCATAAACTCCGTACTAGCATACATAAGTTAATTATATCACACCTTTCCCAAGGGAATAATATTTAACAAAAAAAATTATATATATACATAAAGATTTCTGAAAATAAGCATGTTCAGGCAAGACTAAAGATCAAACTAGCATAAGGGTATACTACACACTGAACTTACCATTTTATCAAATAGGTGACATTTTATCCCACAGAGCTAATTTAATCCAATAAGTTGGATCTCATAACTTCTTGATCTACCTGTAATTTTCTGTATGTTCCCGCAGTTTTTTATCCAGATGTGTAGACTCAAGGAGCAAGTACTAGGACCTTTATTGTTCCTTGGCTGTTCGCCGTCAGGACGGTCGGGCTATCACTTTTCCAGCACACGGCGCTGATGAAATAGGAGCCCGTGTCCTCCTCGCGTTCGTCTGCATCCGAGTTCATGAATCGGTGCCATGCTGCTGGTTTCGATATAGCCTGCAACAATAGATTCCTCGGTTGATAAGTCAAGCTCGGCAGATGGAAACTAGTTCGATGGGATTGAATAGGCCATACCTTGTGATACACGAAAACGTCGTTTGTTTCGCTGCCACAGGCCATATATTCCCTGTTCACTGATAAGCCCACAAAATTCTTCTCATTTGTGTGTCCCCGGAATATGCGCAGCTGAGATGATATAAGGAGCTTAAATCAACTGAGCATTTTTGAACTATTGAGAAGAATAATTATACAATAATCGATATACATGAGTATGCACAACTGAGACAGTATCGGAAGCAGAAATCAGGGGAGCATTCTTGCACTATTGAGCTGAATAATTAGACAAGAATCGAGATATATATATATATGAGCATGCGCAGCTGAGACGATATAAGGAGTATAAATAAGTGGACTACTCTTGCATTATTGAGCGCAATAGTTAGACATGAACCGATATATATATATATAGTAGCTTTTTATTGCAGGCAATATGGTGTGTGCTATAAAAGAAGGGAGAATTGAGGATTGAAGTATGAAACTTACTGGAATGTTGTCCTTGACATCCCAGAGGCGTAATGTGCTATCAGTTGATGCAGAAGCGAGCTCATTATCGGACAGAAATTTCACATATGATACCGCCTTTCCATGCCCACTGAATATGTGCAATGGCTGAGCGACATTTCTCAAGTCATAGTAATGAATATGATGATCTGCAGAACCAATCTGCAGGAAACGTGCACGCGCACACACGGCATCTTAAAAGTGAGTCAAATGGCTGAACAAGGATGCATGAAAGAACAAAATAAGTTTCTCAATAATAGAAGCCCTGAGATTACCGCTACATGAAAGCTGGATGAAGGGTTGTATTTTACAGAACAGATATTGGCTTTCATGTCGATATTGAGCACACTCGCCTCCTGTTTTGTACACCAGACTTTGACCTGTTGAATGCAACTGATTTGCTTAATATGTTTCAAAAGTAACTTCTTTGTTATTTTCCCAGAAAGGAACCATAACGCTTAGAATCATAAATTTGGATTGCCATCCCCATATTAATAGCTTTAGATCCAAGGTCAATAGGTTTCATACCTTGCAGTCATCGCTACCGGAGACAAGCATTGAGGGCTCTGTGCGGGAAAAATCAATGCTCCATGCACGTTTTTCATGTTCCTCGTATTCCATCATGCTCTAGACAAAATTTCATGGGGTAGTTCAAACGCGAGACAAAAATCAATTTGACTTCAAAATTGCAGGACAGGAATAGATTAAGTGACTCGATTAAGTACTACCTGCCGAGTAGTCACATCCCAAACTGTTACTATGCCATCGTAGTCACTACTGGCTATGTGACTCTTTGTGTATTTGTTCCAGCTTAAACAACTGAGTTTTGATCGTGTGGACATTTCCGCAACTGGGCATTGTACATCGGATGACTCGTTAACTACCTGGAGAGCAATGATTCAGTTTTCAAAGTGAAGCAGAGAAAAATCATAGTTACAGCATAAACAGATTCGTGTCCCCAAAGTTGAAATTGAAGTAATCCACTTATAACTCTTTTTTAGCACTACTGGATAGCTGCAGACGATAAATAGTTGAATATTTGGTACTCTCACATATAGAATGCCAAATGAAAACAAAATCGGAAAGACTGATTGATTTCCTTCATGTCCATGGGCAGTTGTTTTGGTAATATTTCAGATTACAATGGTAACTAACAAACAAATACGAATTTTTGAAGCAGTTACAAACATGCTTACCGATGAAAACTCAAAAATCTTGATGCGCCGGGACACTCCAGCTGTAGCAAAGAGTTCGTCGTCTCTGTCAAATTCTATACTGCAGTAAAGAAAAGGATTTCATTACACAACAAGATACAAGTAGCAGATAAAATCCCTTCAGAGGTCCAACAACAAGAAATTGGTCATATGTAAGCTCAAACAGTAATGCAAAAAGATATCACTATCAGAAGCCAATAACTAATATCCCCTTGAAATATTACACAGTTAAACCATTCCACTAGATGTATATTGGCCATTGACATGGATGTTAACAGAATCTTGCATCTCTAGCAACTAAGAAAAAAATGGGCTTTACGTCTCCAGCAATCCACCTTTCTTAAAGGAAATGCGTCAGGCAGGTTGTAAATACAAGCATTAATTTTTGTGCATGCTACTGTCTATTAGCATCATCAATGCAGCATCACAAAATGGTTTTACTACTTAGAACAAGGGGAATAATTTTTCAAAATCTCTTCATCATTTGATATTTGCTTCTGGGTGACAAAATAGAATTAAACTCCATGCATACACAGAAGATTCCACTAACCTTGATACAATATTAGCTGAATGAAACAAATCTCCATGTCTGAGTTCAGCAACAACTCGTAGCCGACTGATTAAGCATACAAAATCAATTAGAGGGTAGTGAGAATGCAATTAAGTGTGTAAGAAGAACATAAAATCACACCTGTATCTGGTGAAGGTTGACAAAACAGACTGAAAATCCTCAAGTCCTTCCGTGTAACCTTCTTTCTTTAACCCATGTGAATCCCGTTCTTGCATTTGCTGTTCTAGAGATAACCTTGCCCAATATCTTCGTTTTTGTAAGTAACATTCTTGTAGATCAGTGAACTGTAGAATGAAGTTAGAATCTCTTAAAAAAGAGCTACAACTAATTCACTGTAAGATGGGTGCAAATTAATTGATGTTTACATGATGAATTTTTAACCCAAACACTATAAATTTCCAAACTGATATCATATCTTGGAGTGACAACACCAACCACTATAAAAAACCATGCCAAAATATGTTAAAAGGAGGCCGGTGATTCAGTTGCTTAACCAACTTTGCTGAAAAGTTTTTGTAAGATAGCACTCTATTGCAACAGAGGAAAGACATTAGATGCTGATGTAGGGCATTGCAAGTAAACAGTAAATGACCTGTGCATGGACCCGCCTCTTTCTTGCCAACGCCAGTCCACATTGAGTACCATTTTGGGGGTCTGATCCTCCATGTGCATCCTTTCTTGTGACAAAAGGGCTTGCTGGAGGTTTTGCATCAGATTTTCTGTTTTGAGAGCCAGTGCAAATTAAGCGTCCTTGAACTGGTGTCATGCCCTTCTTCGAGAAGGGAGCACCACTATATTTATTCATCAATGATGGCCATGCTGGTTGTGGAATGGGGTTATCAACAAGCATTCTCAGTTTTGCGGAATATCTATCCCTTCGTCGATACAATTCTATCCGATGTCTCTCCACAGCATGAATGTCTTCTTTAATATACTTGAGGTCAGATTGAATCTGAACATAAAATGAAAAATGAGAATATATACACAATATGCATAGTTGGTTGAGAACATGAATTTCCATTGCCTATACATACATAAACGAAATTTAGACAAACTAGATTAGAAAATGCAATGGTAATCAACTTGGATCCATCCAGTTCTAATCATTTTTGACAAATTAAAAACGTACTTTTTGGATATTTAATAAATATAGTCATGCCCCATCCTAAACAACCCACAAGAAAATAAAACTTTTCTTTTGAACAAATTAAATTAATTGGGACCGTTTAATTTAGTCACTTCCAAACAGGATACAGGCACTTATCATTGCCATCCCGCTGTAATAATGGCAATATAATGCATTAATGAAATAAAGGGTGACAAGAAGTTCAGTAGTCAACTAGATGAATTATGACTTGCATGTAGCAAGCATAATATGATGGGGGCCATAAAGCTAACGAATCAGATCCAAGCACCTCATTGAGCTCATCGAGTTTTTTCTTTTTCAAACAATGCAGAAATTCCAGCAGAATCTGTAGATTAGTCTCAGCTTCTTCTTGCTCCATTTTACTTTTCCTCTCAGCAATAAGATGCAAGAGGCTCTCAAGCTCCTTGACAGATGCTTCGCATCCCTGTGCGATTATATACATTGGAGTTGCATTAAGTCAGTAGATAGGGTAACAGTGGATAAAACATAGTGTACGGAAAGTAACAGATATGTTTCGAGTCTCAGGGGTACGTGACAGATTTAGAAAATGTGAGTTCCAGTAATTAGAGTAAAACGTTCAGGGAAAAGCTACAGCTAACAATGTTTATTCTTGCGTAAAACTTTGTTTAGTTTCCTATATAATAGAAGGAAAGATGAAAAGTTAACACTTAAAAATTTCAACACATTCCAAATTTGTAATATCTATTTCCTGGTGGAAAAAACTTTCAACTTGGCTGACAGTTTCCAAAGTTTAAAAGAAAAATGAGCTATCAATTAAAGCACATACCTAAATAGACTATCTCTTCAATTAAAAACATATGATGGAAATCTACCATTGGACGATATAAGTAGCATCTAGGCAACCTATTTTATTGAAGAATTAATACCTAGACATACATAAATAGATGCTTCAGTAATTAACCTACAACAGCAATATACCAATTGGATGATGCATGCAACATCTAAGATAGCAATTGCAAGACAATGCAATAGAAGAGATGGCAAAGGTAAAGTTATTTCGTGAAAGCATTTACCACGGTTCCAATAATACATTGTTATGGGCAACATAGAAAGTACCTGTTCTAGCGCCTGGCGAAGTTGTTCCAAAGGACTGGAAGTTTTAGCTATTTGACGGGCAGAGGTTTTTATTAGTAACTGCGCAAAAGATCAAAACAGCATCAGAAGGTGTTGGGATGTCGTAAGCTAATGAACTCACATAAAAGCTTCCAAAGGCAAGAGAAGAGACTGAAATGCCATATCTTAATGGCTTCGACAGTTGAATAAAAAATTACACACTTTCGAGGTCAAGTCACTGGTTCTAAGAAAATGATCAAATGAGAAAAGCCTACACAAGGTCAGCAAACTTTCAAGGTGACATAGTCTCCACTTCCCCTAGTTCAATTTTCTGATGTCTACCCATTTCTTATATACAAGCTCATGCCACTCATTGCATGGTATTACTGGGTTTCAATACAACACTACTATCTTCCAAATCCAACTAAGCAAAGTATACTTCAACCACAAATAAAGGACTTAATCTAATTACCTAAACATTTTCTCCACCTTCACATTCCACATCAATCAAGAAAGCAGTTCCATTTAGCAAAAATACATGCAAATCTTTGAAATGATTGGAATTCTATATTGCTTATACATTTGATCCCATACGCTAAAATGGAAGCCATCTTAAACATGCAAAATGACTTTCTTAAGACCAAACCCAGTGACATTTTAAATGAAGAATTACACTATTGAATTTTATACAGCAAATGAAATCCAATTTTGATTACCTGAAAATCCCCTCTTAAAATAGAAAAAACATTCTAACTTCTAAGTATAGCTTTCATCCATTCTTCAACAGACTCATAATTCAAGTATGATGTATGCACGCACGGTAAATACGTGTATAGCGCCAAGAATAGCTCGAATTTCACATACACCGTACACGTAGATTTCACAGAAAAAGTACTACTAAAACTTCCAAATTAAATAAAATGCAGCTCGAAACTGAATGATCATCGCTTAGCACCAGTCTTCCAAGCTAAGTAACTGAAAGCGAACCTTGTTGAGGAGGAAATTAGGATAGAGACGATTTGTGGTAAGGAAGTGAGAGCAACAAGGACAGTCGCTCTTATTCTGAAGATGAATCGCGATACACATGTAGCAAAAGCTGTGTCCACACGCCGTCAGAAAGGCATCCTTTATTATTTGCATGCAAATCGGGCAGAGAATATCCTTATCCACCTCCAATTCCTCCTCCTCCGCATCCTGCTCCTTCTCCGGCGCCTCCGATGGCGGAGGCAGAGCGAGCGGCGCCTCTGCTGAGGAATCTACGGGTTCCGACTTGACCGTAGGCACCAGCGCGCCAACCGACGAACTCTCGCCTCCTCCTCCTCCTCCTCCCATTGGGTCCCGATCTCGCCGCCGGCGTGACTACAAGTAACAACACCGATTCATGGAAAGAGAAGAGAGAAAAGAAAAGGCAGCAGGCGTGGGTGGGGAGTGAATGGTACGTAGAGATGTGTGTGGGTGTGAAGGAACCACGTTAGGCGGGCGTCCCCTTCAATTTATAAACACTCACGCAGTTAACGAAACTGCGGTCACCGCCTTTATTTACATCTGTAATTTATTTAATTAACGTACTCTCTAGTTATTAGTTATTCAAAAAATTCAATAAAAACCGTTTTTTTTTTTTTTTAAATAAAATATAATAGATTCATTTGAATTACAAATTATCATTATTAGAGATGATTTTTAATAAAAATGTATTTTTTATAAGATATTTATCAAAATATTATTTAAATTATTTTGATGTCAGAATAATTAATCTCATCCACATAGATCCCCTAATTAGTACTACGTACGTCCCACGTATTGTCATATTTTTTATTTTCTATTGTCTTATTATGTCATTTTAAAAATATATATCTTATATTTTAATTATATTCTATATTTTATTATTTTTAAAATTTTTATTAGATGAATTAGTTGTAATATTAATATATAATTTTAGTTGTATTATACAATATTTTAAATTATTTATTAATTATATTTTTTCTTAAAGTTTTTATAACTACGACACACACGGTAGTTCACTCTAATTTTTGCACGTAAGATAAAGAAAATTTTCTATCCCAAAGTTTATTTGATTTTTAATAATAATTTTTATAGTATTATGTAAAATAAAAATATTTTGTGTTTAAGTAAAAAATAAAATTATTGAAAAATAAAGTTGATATATAAGTTAATAAACTATAAAATGAATATTTTGAGGGTAGACAAAAATATATGTTTTATCCAAAAAATTAATAATTTAATAAAAATTATTATTATATTGACATATGATTAATATATTTCATTCGTCTAAAAATAAATTATATAATTTTTTTTATCTTTTTTATTTAGCATTTTTTATATTTAAAAAAACCTATTCATTCTTAATATACTTAACAAAAATATTTAATTAATTTTTTTAAATAAGTATTATTATTTATATTTAAAATTTCATTATTTTATAAAATTAATTTAATCTATTTATAAATATTAATTTATTTATTTATATAAAATGTTATTTTCTAATCAATAATATCTATATTATATATATTTTTTATCATGATAAAAATTTTAAAATATTTATATATAAAAATAATAAAATAATATCGTATCACTATGATTAATCAATTAAATTTTATTACTTTACTTTTTTCAAAAATAAAGAATCAAAATAATAAAATTTTAGAATTTTAAGTAAAAAAAAAAAAAAAAGCCTAATCTATTCGCAAATATCTAATACTACTTATGTCCTAGGTAAAAATACTATACAATAAAAATAAAAATAATTATAAATTAATATTAAAATAATTAAATAATTTAATTAAAATTAATTTTTAAAAATTGACAAATTACGTAAAACACCCCTAACTATCCTGTATTAAGGACATGCAAGAAATATATATATATATTAAAAACAAAAAAACAAAAAAAAAGAAAGATAAAGAAAAAGTGAACTAAGGGGGAATTGTGTTTGGTAGAGAGAAATGAGGCTAGATAAATAAAAATAGTCTCATTTCTCTTGTTTGTTTGAGTTAGAAAAATAAAACTTGAAAAATAAATCATTTCTATTATCTGTTTTTATTTCTCTCATGTATGCAGGAGTATATATTTTTTTAATTTTTTTAAATTTTTTTTGTACTATCTAATTTTTATATATATTTTTTTTAATATATTATTTTAATTTGATTCCGTAACTGGATCCCTTATCATTTTAATCCTATAAATGGAGCTTGTAGTAAACTAATCTCATAAGTGAAAAAATTTCGATGTTTTAGTCCTCCAGCGCCGGAGACGCCCGCGTGGCTCGCCGGAGGCCACGGGTCCGTCAGGTCAGCGACACTTGGCGGACACGTGTATTTTATTTTATTTATTTTATTTTTTTTAAAAAAATATTTTTAATTATATTTGCATTTTTTAATTTTTTTTTTTTGGTCCAATTAGAAAAACTAAAAAAAATTAAAATAAAATAACATCTACGTGTCAACCAAATGTCGCTATTTGACAGGACACCTGGCTGACACATGGCTTCTGGCTCCGTTAGGCTCCATTTATAAAACTAACTAAAATGATAGGAGATGCAGTTAGATTTTTTATCCTAATTTTTAAAAATAAAAAAAAAAAAAAATACCTTCTATAAATTTTTATTCATTAAGATTTTTTTTTATCTCATTAATCATTTATTTTTATTTAATTCACTGTATTTTTTATACATTTCTCAATTAAATTCTCTATTTTATAAGAAAAAAAAATTATTTTTATTCTCTGATCAATTCTATTTATCTCCTATTCCATTCTCAACTTCGATTTCATTTACCCCACCTAACTACCCTGTATTAATTTTCCAATTTGCCCCCTATAGGCTCTGTCTGTAGTAGGCCACAGCCGCAGCACAGTAGCGTTCATTTCGATGCAGGATTCTTCCACACGACAAATTACCGAAGATCGAGCACCCGATCGACGCGGTTTGCCATATACATAATCAAATCTGCGAACAGGAGAAGAAGAGAAGAAATCGCGAAGATGGAGAAGAATTTCGGGAGAAGATTTGAGGGTAAGGTTGCGATTATCTCGGCTTCTACTCAGGGGATCGGTTTCGGCATAGCTGAGCGTCTCGGCTTGGAAGGCGCCGCCGTCGTCATCTCCTCTCGCCGTCAAGTAATCGCTCTCGTCTCTCTTTCTCGTAACTGATATTATCGATCCTCGTGTTTTGGATTGTCGTTTTATTGAAGTTTGGTTGAGATCTGTCCTCTCGTTGGTGTTTGTGCTGTAAAATGTGTGTTTCCTGTGAGGTTGGGAGGGAATCAGCGCTTGCTGCTCAGCTTGAATTTAGAGAATCCGCTTTATGATTACTTTAAACTGTTTGGTTGGTTTTATTGACAAACTTTTGAGGGATATGACAGAGAAATGTTGATGAAGCAGTGAATAAGCTTAAGAAAAGAGGAATTGAAGCGCTGGGATTGGTATGCCATGTTTCGAATGCACAGCATAGAAAAGATTTGATTAAGAACACTATTGAGGTAATTATGCTTGTCAGTGCTGTGATTCCTCCATTTTTGCTCATCGGTTCAAAGTTGTTCCATTACTCAGACATGATTGCTTCACTTGCTAGAGCTAAGAACCGACAGGTGTAATTGTTTGTGTTTATATGTATTTAAGCGTGGAATTAAAAATGAAAAAGTAAATTTCAGGCGCAAGACTCATTTTTATAACTTGGAAACTTTGATAAATTCCCTGAATCTATGATGATATAAGACATGTAAAATACAAGAAATTTAAATGGTGATCTCCAAATAATTCACCTATAAATTTTGTTTTGTGCAGTAATTGAGTTTTTATAGACATTCTTCTAGGTGAAAAGTAAAATACAAGAAATTTAAATTGGTGATCCTGAAATTATTCTTCTAGAATTTTTTTTGATCGAAGATGCCTAGTCTTGCACAGTAATTGAGTTTTATAGACATCTTTCTAGATAAAAGTAAAATAAAGAAATTTAAAGTTGTGATTGCCTCGTCAAATGTTGTGGGAAGATTGGAACTGCTAAGTCAAATTTTGTGGGAAGATTGCCTCGTCTGGAATCGACCAGTTGGAGTTATGTGTAGAACTTGAGAAAAAAAAAAAATTAAAAAAATTCAACCGTCTGGCAGCAAGAATGGGAGTACATAGCCTTGGAAGTTAATCGAAATTTGCCTCTTTCAATAGGCCAAATTTTATTCATTAAGAGTGTGTTTCATGGTGTTTGAATTATATTTCTTTTTAATCGAAAATAGGTATTTCAACTTGACATTTTTATTTGGAAACAAGTTTCGAATGAGATTCTTTTTAGGAGGAAAAATGTATGATTGTAGTTTGCTGAGAAAAGGACGGTAGTTGGAGTCGGCGGCTCCCCCAGGGTCCCTACGCTTCAACAGGAATCGCACAAGGGTAGATTAGAAACCTCCGGTAAAATGCCCGTCATTGCTTCTTCTCTGGGAAAAGAAGTTCACGACCCGTGGGGGATGCCTGTGCCCATAAGAAATCCCGGAGCCACCCATTAATAGTAATAGAACTCTGCGCGGGAAGTACCTTTTCCTCTGGGGGAAACAAGATAAAAATTGTAGAAACACCCTACAATTTTCTTCCCAATTTGTTCTTTTTTGTGGAATTTAAACTTCTCATGTTGCGGTAAGCAGGCTTTAGTCTTTATGCATCATATGAACTTCAAATATGTTCCTTATGAATTTCTTGGCTTGCAGAAATATGGAAAAATAGATGTGGTTGTGTTGAATGCAGCAGCAAATCCGTCTGTTGAAGGCATCTTGGAAACTAAAGAATCAATTCTTGACAAACTGTGGGAGATCAATGTGAAAACATCCATTCTACTTCTACAAGTATGACGGCACCAAAGTTTGTGAGTTTAATGTTAATTTTCTGCGTTTATGTGTTGATCAAATCCGTATCTGTGTGATAGGAAGCAGCTCCCCATTTAACAAAGAACTCTTCAGTCATTTTTGTGTCTTCCATAACCGGCTACCATCCGGGACGAGGCTTGGCAATGTATGGCGTTACGAAAACTGCCCTTTTGGGGCTAACAAAGGTATTCCAAAGTCTTATTTCCTCACATTCTTTATTTTACAATAGGCAAAATTGTTTAGAACTCACATATGATTTGAAAAGTTTCCACTATTCTGTTTTAAGATTTAAAAATTGTGAAAGACTTCTTGTATATCGAAAACATTACAAATCCCTTTTTAGTGGAATCTGTGCAATTTTTTTCCTTTTTGTGCAATTTTTTTAAAATATGAGGGAGTCTCATTCAATATTTAGGGGACCCACACCATTTCTAAATCATAAACGAGACTAGTGCAGAATTTTCAAACTGCAAGTGAATTATAAAGAATTGTCTTTTATTTTTAATTATCATATTTCTTAACTTACGTGTATATATATATGCATTGGTTTTCGTTAGGCCCTTGCAGATGAAATGGCACCGGACACTCGTGTAAACTGCATTGCTCCCGGTTTTGTTCCAACTCACTTTGCATCCTATCTTATAAATGATGATGAACAGGTTATCCCAACTGTACTCAGCTTTTGTTGAACTTTTTGCCTCAACTGATTACTGAGTTGTGCAATGATATATAATGGTTCGATTCACAGAAGCGCGCAATTGAGGAAAAGACACTATTGAATAGACTCGGAACTACACAGGACATGGCTGCAGCTGTTGCTTATTTGGCTTCGGACGACGCATCGTATGTCACCGGAGAAACATTGGTAATTGCAGGAGGTATGCCTTCCAAACTCTAATTATTGTGTTCGATCATAATATTATAATGCAATTGTTGTCTTTGTGCAAGGATTGCTTGTTAGAACATGATATTATATATAATATTGAGATGGTAATAAAAGATGGCATACATTCCCCAACTTGCCTGTTTTTGCGCTTGTTTACACAGGAGTTTGTTATATTTTGTTTTGAATTAGTGATTTTGATTTAATTAGTATTTTCATATATTTTGTGAGGGAAAAAATCAATTTTGATAATATTCATCAATTTTGGTCCCAATATAAAAAATTCATCAATTTTGGTTTCAATATAAACAATTTCAATCAATTTTGGTCCCATTATAAACAATTTTTATCAATTTTGGTTCCACAGTTAAAAAATTAACGGAAATTGCTGACGTGGATATGACGGAAGTAATGTGGCAGTTGACCTGGAAAGTACACGGCCATGTACAATTATACACGGCCATATTGTTACATGATCATGTATATATTTCAGTGTATAATTATACATGGTCATATTGTTACAGGGCCATGTATATATTTCAGTGTATAATTATACATGATCATGTTGTTACACGGCCATGTACAATTATACAAGGCCATGTTGTTACATGACTATGTATATTTCAGTGTATAATTATACATGACCATATTGTTACATGGCCATGTGAAATTCTACCCGGTCGTATATCTTTCTGTTTCGGTCTAAAATTATAATTTTTTGTTATATTTTTAATTTTTTTAAATTTAAAATAGTTAATTAGTTAAAATGGAAAAAAAAAATAATAATAATCATAATATAATTAAAATATATCAATTTTAATTCAAATATAAGTATTGAAAAAAATGACATTTTTATTGTTAACTCTTTAATAACTTTACTATAATATTTTTATTTTACTTTTTACATATTTTATTTTTATATTATTATTTTTTAATCTTATAATTTTTTATACTATTATATTTAATTTCTATATAATTTTTGAAATTTATTGAATATAATATTTTATAAAAAATTATTGTAATTGTATAATAAAAAGTTAAAATTAAATCGTATATAAAAAAAAACAAAGTTTATTAATTAAAAACAAAAATGAAATCCAAAATGCCATAAATACCCCACCCAAATTGAACTCCCACACTAGGAAAGCATTAATTACAATTGCCATAATTTTCCTCGTCAAAGACAAGATGGAGCTTTCGCATCCATTACTTATTTACAATGACAAGTGACATGTTCTTCTTCTTCATCTTGATAAACATGCTGGACACGAAAATTTTAAAAATATATATAATAATTTTAATTTTAGCTGAATGAAGCATATTTGGACACTAAAGCACGTTAAAGAGAATTAGAAGTAGAAGTAGAAATCGAAAAATGTCCATACGCACCTTGTATTGTATTGTAATGTATACTATACAGGAATAGCGTTGAGAGGTAAGTCCTCGCACACCACAATAAGGCCTTGTTCGACGTAGGCCGGTACAAGGCAACACGCCCATTGGCAACCCGTCGACACCGCCTCCGTAGGCGGCACGATCATTACAACATTATCTTGCCGCCGAACCATTCCCATCACGCTCACCGCCATCCCTTCTCTTATCCAACTGCATTCATTCATTCCACAAACACAACTCTCATAAACAAAGAAAAAGAAAAAGAAAAAGAAATCGATAGTCAAAGAGGCCAAGCATATCTACCACCTTTCCTTTAGTCGCATTGTACGGTCACCCTCGTTGCCACTCCATAACCTGCGCCCCGACAGCCAGTTCACAAACTTGCAGTTTGCCTTACTTTTCTTGTCGACTTGTAGCCACGAACACGGTACAACAAAAGGGGCGACTTTCGCGCCGTACCCTGCTTTCACAAGCGCTCTTAGGCCCGACTGAAAGTCAGAGATATAAAAATCCGCCACATACTTCTGTCAATAAGCAGCCAAATGGAAGTCAGTCTCGTGCGCAAATAAATTCAAAAACCAAGCAACTTTACGGCTTTGTCTAGATAAATGTTTTGAATTTTTTTTTGAAAATAGTGAAAAATTGAATATTAATGTGATATTTATTGTAAAAGCTACCATCGATGAATGGCGTCAAAAATTTCAAAAGTTTATGTAAATAGAGCTTAATATTCGGCAGCTGACCTCGGAATGTTTTAGTCCCCAAGAGACATTTGTTAAGCAACTTTCCGAAGTGGGCTCGCCTTTCACACCACAGCCTCTGTATTCATACACCTCGGATGAAACGTACACGCATCTGTCCAGCTTCTCAATTGGAGTTTGAAGAGGTATGCTTCCACATGTTACGACCTACGACAAAATCAGCACGCACAATCTCAAAACATATACGGCAGGCGATACAACCAATGGAGACGAATCAGCCAAAGTTCTCCATGATCAGCAAAGAAGCTTCTACATTTTCGACTATCATGTTCTACAATAAAAGCTTATACATACAATGGCATTGTTCTAGGAGGAATTTCATATTCAATACCATCCTTTGTCCTTAAAGTTTTAGAACATCCCAAATTCTAAACAAACAATTCAGATCCGTAGTCAAACCAAACAAAATGATTACATCTCTATTCTGCGAGAAATAAAATAACAAAATATTACTATCTTGAAAATTTTTTTAGTAAGTACGACAAATCGCACATTATATATATAAGCAAACTTTACATCACTAAATGCAATAATATTTCTCAACCTTTGTATGGGCGGAAAAAGTAACTACATTTTCCATTCGCTTAAAATTATCCATACTTTACAAGTCACTATTAATTAAATACATTTCCTAAAGAATTTTCCAAAAGATTCACGTAGCTTTTATTTTTATATCTTAATCTCGGTATCTTACAAGCATAATTTTCAGGGTCAGAGTAAAACATTATGTTAGGTGAAAATACAATTTTGTCGATTGTATGTTAGCAGCACATGATCAGAACCCAACTCCCAAATCACGTGTTTAAAGTACAAAGGTTTGCTGCTTATGGGGAGACACTATTAATTAATTAATTAATTCCCTTAATCAACATATTTCCTTTTCAATATTTAAATATGTCAAATAGAATGCTAACAACACACACACACAAATATATATACATACATATATTATTAGATTAGAATTAAACTACTACTCTCTTATTTATGTAAGCAGGCTTGACACGAAAGATTAATAATATTTTAATGTTATAATAGAATTGTTAAAAAGTAAAATAAAATATTATTAAAAATTAATAATAAAAAAATAGTGACAAATCATTTTTTTTAAACTAAAAGTAGATAAAATTTATTTACCAACGTAAAGAGCAGTAATAATAATAATAATAATAATAATAATTAATAATAATGAGAAGTGAAATTACCCCAGTGACCTTGACGTACTGTCCATCGACAGCTCCCCTGAGCTCCGCATCTGGAAACTTCCTCACGAACCGCCAAAAGCTGCGTTCCTTGTAGGCATAATTCCAGGCGCCGACCACCACGGCGGCGCCCAACACGCCGACCACCGCCACCAGTATCACCGCCTTCTTGACGGCGGCCATCAGGAACGCCCCGACCACCAGCCCCATAACCGCCACCACCAGAAACACCCAAATCGCCACGCGCGAAACCCTAAGCCCAAGCTTCACATTCTCTCCAAGGCTCGTCACGGCGGCGCCGTACGCCGGCTCGTGGAACGAGCTCGGAGCGCTGTCCTGCTGCCCTCCGGACCGCCGGTTCGAGGAAGCCGACGTAGACAGCGGACCGGACGTGATGAGCCCGGTCGGCTGGATCGGCGTCAGCGGACCAGAGAAAGACGACGACGACGACTTCTTACTCATCGGCCCCGAATTCGTCGATCTCAGCCCCAATGTGCCGGAGCTCTGCCCGGATCTGGCGGATCCGCTCGCCGGCCGGGAGGGGAGCTTCGGCGGCGCCGGTCCGACCGCCTCCCCGCCGGCGATATCGATTCCGTACATTTTCCCTAATTCCCCGGACTTTTTGACATCGCCGCCGGTGTAAATTACCGCGCGCGACGCCACCGCGTGCTGTCGCTGCTGCTGCTGCTGCTGCTCCGGCCGACCCGACACGATCAACCCGCTGCTCAGCTGGTGCGACCCTGTCCGAGTACCCATTCGGATCCTCCGACCCTTTTACCCGCAACACGAAACCGACTGAATTTGTGGAGAGAATAAAGAAGAAAGGATTGGTTTCTCGCTATGGAAATTTTGGAGCGAGCACAATGAGTAGGTAGAATGGGGGTGCCACGTGAAATGGCGGTTTTGCCCCTACGCGGCCACACTTCCGCCTCCTAGTTGCTGTCAGTCGTGCTGTGTCTCGGGATTCCCAGAGTTTGTTGTCCGCTGTATTTCATACCAACTCCCGGGACCCTCAGCTCCCGATCAATCCCATCCGCTACATAAATCATTGAACGGTGTGGATTCTTCGGGGGTTGAACTCCAGGGAGGTACTGAGAATTGCACCAGTGTGGCAGTGACGGCAGTGTTAACAACTAGGTGAGAATACAAATCTGTCCCGGATTAGAGATTTCCTGAATCCAAATTAAAGAAAAAACAATCAAACCACAAATAATTCCATATAAATTCTGCAAACCTACCTTATTGAGAAACCCTTGTAATAAATACCAGCAATAAATCCACCAAACCCTTCTGATTGTTGTTAATTATTTTAAAATGATATACATTAAAAAATTAAAGATTATGATAATTAAAAAGATTATAGTACAAATATCAATAAATTATAACTATAATATAGTAATAGTCCAGATTTTATAGTAAGAGTTAATTGTGATTTGTGGGTTGCAGAGAGTGTCGGTGACACCTGTACTGTACTTACACAACACAGCATATTCATTTATGAAGGGCCCCACTTTTCCCAACACACCTCTACTCTTATTTAAACCTAGCTACACTCTACGCTACACTATTCTTCTTCCAACTCAAATAAATAAGGCTATGATTTCGTATCCCACCTATCGTATAAACACGAAAATTTATAATATATATAATTAAAAATATCTTAGTAAAAATAATTATTTTATAATATAAATAATTAAAATAAAATAAATTAATTAGTCAGTCTTGTTAAAATAAGAAATTTTAAAATAAAATTAAGATGTATATAAAAAAAATGACATAAAATATAAGGAGGACAAAAACAGAATATAAACAAAGGTAAGCGAAACAAAAGAAATACTTTTTGAAAGTTGAATGTAAGTATTTTTAGCTTATAGATGATTTAAATAAAAAATAATAATATTTCTTCCATCCTACAATTTCTGTTTCTATACGCCTCAAATCTTATAATATTTTTATTTTTAAAAATAAATTACATATTTCACTCACATTTTAAATTTATAATCTTTTTAAAATTTTAATTATACTTATTAGTTCTATAATTATTTTTATTATATTATAATTATATTTTCTAATACATTTTAAATTATTTAAAAATCACATATTTTCAATTTTCGTGTGTACGGTCAAATTGACACTATCACCTGTGGAGAAGAAGTACCAAAAAATACAACACCACCAGCAATAATAATAATCAATATCAAGATCTTTTGAACCTTATTACTGATGTAGTTCTAATGGATAGACTTTTACTTATACCAACAACATAGGCAATTATCCCTAACAAAATTGGAGAGAGGATTCCTTCTTTAAAATACCCTAAATAAAAGTATTAATAGAACATCCTTGAACTCTACTTAAGGTTTCCTGTCACCCTCTTCTGTGATAAGCTACTTTAATGTCTTCTTTTTCTTTCATATGCCTAACCCCAACTTTCATAAGTCTCTCAAACATCCACCCCCTCCCACCTAGGCAATTAGATGAGAGCTAAAATTAATTTCGTGTGATGTTCTATAAAAGTCATGTTTCTGAATCAATTCAAGCACGCTTTGAGAAGGAAAGCAAGTTACCTTAAGTGTGCTTTAACCCGCCATTTCTTGATTGCCGATAACTAGAGAGTTAGGGGTTTCCATACGGCTGCCTCCTGTTTAAGTCTGCTTTTCCTGTGAAAACCAATCAGCAAAATTACATCAGTTCCCTCAAGTCAAAAGTGGGTGCAGACAATATGGAGTGGTCGATACATTTGGACTCCAAGAATGTTGAAAGCTCAGAAGCATCCAAAGAGGATTAGGAGTATATGGAAGAATCTTCGGAGGAATTTGCAAACAAGAGCTTGTTTTGCTAAAATTGGTAGAGACTCCAACATATATGGAAGAAACAAAAATCTTTACTCTGCTTTTACATTTATGTCATCCCAATATAGTGCACTTTATATGCTTTCTTAACCATCAGTTACGATGTTATATTTAATATGAGATTTCTTATAATCAATCTTGACCTGCAGCTTATTGCTGCCTGTAAAAAGCTCAACCGTATGCAGTTTAATTACAAAATACAGGTCACAAGGACTTTCAGGACGTACCTCAACAAGAAGGCGCCGCGGTTCATAATCCATCGAGACCATTCTGAGGTGGAATGGAGTGTTTATATTCTCAAGGTGTGATGCGCAGAGACCTGAAATCAAACAACATGCTTTTTAATAATAAAATGACAGTTAAGATGGGAGAAAAGGTAAGTTTTGAATTTTTACTAAATATGGTTTTGTTTATTTTGCCAATATACTGTATGCTGCTTATGTTCAAGTAATGCATAATCACTGTGCTACATATCGAAGCATGAAACTAAAAACATTAAGAATTTTCGCATACCTGCGTTGATAATCTTCGTCGAATGAGAGACCACTATTACCAGAAAACAGCCAACCCTGCACTTGCTCGCCTCATAAAGTGCTGCTAGGTATTAAACCCCTCCCAACATCCAGACTATTGTGACATTGTATGTACACTATAAAAGTTCGATAAATGCCCATTCTTAAATGCTTAAAAGGTAGTGCATCCATAGGTTCATCACCCTAGCTGTACACAACTGATTATTCCAACTCAAGAGTCTTGCAGTATCATATTCTTCTCCAATTTGGCTGCATCTATCATTACTGCAATTTTTAGATGCGTAGGCCAAGTGTTTGAGCTGTTGTCAACTTGGTGTACTCATCTCTTGACTTATGAAAAGCAAAAGCTTGTGAAAATGACAACTGATCCATTTTAGATATAGTTCTTGTTTCGGTGAATTCTTTTAACTCTAGACTCTACAGTATGAGAAGGTGGTCTAAATATAATGCATTTTATGTTCTGTTCAGTTTATAAAGGTGGAAACAAATTTTGTGCTTCATGCAACAAAATTCTATTGGTAATGCCTTAGGCCATTTTGAGTTGTGCTTCGAGATGTTTGACATTTCTTACTACTTTATATTTCCAGTCTCAGAAACAATTGGGTTTTGTTATTTATATCCCACAGATCCACTAATTAAAACACTCTCAATCAGAATTTCAGTGTAAGGAAAGCAAGTATCTACTCTTAGGCAGCACAAATTAGTTGGCAACACAACACGGTCTTCGATGCATTATCTATGCCCATGGCTAGCCAATATATCTGGTTAGCATATCACATTAAATCAATGAAATATTACAAAATAATGATAATTCGACATTACTAATGACCTAATATTCTGAATAGCATAATAAGACATCTTCATTGGCAGGCGGAAACACAAATCATATTAAGAGATCAAAAATGGCACTGCAAATGTAAACCTGACTTATTAAGTATGTCATTTTGGTTTCTAAAGGGAGAAACAGGATATTTTTACAGAACATTTCATGGTGCAAGGTAAACCAAAATAGAAATTCAAACTGTTCTGATTCAGCAATGTGCAATTTCAATACAGCACCTAATTTGGAAAAATAGCTCATTTTTACACTAATCTTTACATTAAAAGTGAACTTGTGTTAATTTTCGTCCAAATGATATTTATCGTAAACTTGTTACATACACAATCAAATGACATCATTCATCAGCTACCTGGTTGCAACAGTGGTAGGAGTGCAAACACAAGCCTTCATGTCCTACATATCTCTTGAGAATGGAAAATAAAGCATATGCAAGTGAAATGAATGGTACCCCATACACGTCAAAACATAAATCAAATTCTTGAAAAGTATTAATATGGGAAAAATAGAACATATGCAATGACATAATTCACAAATCACAAAGTCTCAGTAATGTCGGTCTTCCTCTAATTTTTGCATTGCCTTATATGCTAATGCTAAGCAGGCTCTAAGGAATTCAATTCCCCAAAGATGACATAGGTATCAAACTTCAGTCTCGATTGAAAACAGAGACCACTCTACAGATCCAATCTTGGCATCCATGCTATCAGAATTACACCAAAACACACAAAATTCCGATTCCCCAAACATATATAAGAGCACTCTAAAAAATCTAGCAAATCCACACGATGTTGAACTACAGATAAGACAACCCCTATTCAAATTACCGAAGCATTGCATGACATTGAGCAATCATACCTCGCATTTATACATTGGGCGACCTCAAGCTGAAGCTTCATCACCATATCCCTCCACTGTTTGCTTCATCACATCGAGCTGCGCAATAATATATTCTAGTTTCTTGCAGCAAATCTCGTTCGATATTCTTGGAACATAATCACACTTCTCGAACGGGCGATACTCACACGCACTTTTAATTTCCTCCCGCAGCGTCACCTGAATATCCTGCTCCGAAAAATCAAAAGCGAAAAGGATCGGAACCCTAATTCCTCACCAAAAACAAATCCGTACAGCAATGGTAACGAACTGAGCGTAAAATTGCAGTTAAACGAAACAAATAACCACGAGGGTTTCGAACAGAAAGGGAAAAGAATCGGACCTTGACTAACTGCATGAACTCCCCGCAATGGCTATTAACAAGATCTTTCCGAGGTCCGCTAGGGTTCCCTAATTCATCCATTACCCCACCTGCTAACTCCAGTACCCTGACGATTCTCTGCAATTCACGAAAGCAAATACAACACAAACTATGGCCCGAATGCATGAAATTGAGCACGCAGAATCCGAAAATGCCACTCCTTAACTGTGGAGAAATTACCTTTTCGACGTTCTGGAGTCGTTGCAACGAAGTAGTCTGGCTCTGCGGTTCCATAGCGAATGTTCGTTTCGTTGCCTCTAGAACTCTGAGGAATGGTTTTATAACCGTACAGACCATTTGGTTCGACTAAACTCGATACCGGTCCGGTTTACGTCACAACTCACACCATCGTACCAAACCGGTTTGGTTCCCATTCGAACTTAGCTTCACAGCTTGAGGTCTCACCATGTATAAAAATAATTTTTTTAATAATATTCATCGAAATTATATTAATAGAAAAAAATAGTTAAGTGGACACATCTTTTATATTTATACATGATTTTTTATTATATTTTTCAACTAAAATAAATTCACATGGAGTTTATTGGATTGTGCTTTATCAATATAATTTTTACTAAATGTGGCAATTTCAAACCAATCCGATTTTTTTCGTGTCAGATTAGCTAGGCCGTTTCACTTCGTCTCGGGCATAGACCCAATTCAATTTTAAATCGGGCCTAGAAACTTAGATGCAGACACGGTTTGATTCAAATCGTGCAAGAAGGGGCTAACCCTAATTTTTTAAAATTTATTTTACATAATTCTTATTAAAAAAATTAAAAAAAAATAACAGTAAATACATAATCCCTTTTATTTTATTATATATTTAAAAAATATTTAAATTAAAATTTTATTTGACAAATTATGTTGGTCCAGAGACAGCCCAATTTGCACAAGCCCAAAGATAGTCCAAATTCTCAATATTTTCAATGCCCAGCCTAAAATTATCGAGTCTATTTTGAAGCCCAAGTACTCATTTTTAGTATTTATCTATGATAATTTATTTTCTTCCACTTAAAAATATCATAGTATAAGTTTAATTTTATTTAAAGTATTACATAAAAAATAAAATAAAATAAAATAAAAAGAAAGAAGAAGAAGAAGAAACTTCCAATTCAAACATATAGAACATTTGTTTTCACTCCCCAAAACAGTTGCTAAAATTTAAAATTATTGCTACTCCAAACCTAACATAAAAATCACATCAATCCAAAACACACCTACAAAATTCTCTTGAAAAATTGTATTCAAAATTTATTTTTTTATTAAACAGTATCTCATCCCAAATCATTCACTGTTACCGGATCTTACCCAATAATTACTCAAGTGAATCAAATCTACCATTGGCAACTGAGAATTTCTACAATTATAATACAACAGATTTCATTCCCCTAAAGATGGGATTATAAGTTCAGAACAAATACAAATTGACACAACTCCAAATAGCAGAATCATTGTAAGAAAACCTAAAATTACAGCAAGTGGTAAGAATTCTTGAGGAATCTAAATAATCATCTCAACTGACGGACCGCAGGGAGCAAATAGGCGAAACAATGAATCTTTTCGAGTAATTACAAGCTCATAAAACCAAGATCTAACAAGCAAACAACACGGTGGATTATTACTTACTTGAATTGAGCATCTTTACTTTGTTCTCCTTTCGAATCGAATTCATTTTCGCCATTGTGTGCGCCCATTCCCAGGCTCAAATCCAAGGTGCTCTCGTTCAGATCTTGGCATCCCACCGGATTGCTTTTGGCTGCTGCCTGAAAAATCATTCAAATTCCTCGCGATAGTTATAAACTAATTACGAAACCTATTTGAGCTGAAGTGATTGGAAGAAAACTGAAATGAGAGATAGAAGTTAGCAATGAAGGAAAAATATTTGATTCTAAATTGCTCACCTTGTTTTTCAAGTAAAGCCCAAGCATCAAAGCTTGATGCTCGTTAAATGTCACTTTGCCTCGTATTTATAGGTATAGTTATTGTTTGCATGTTGATTAAAAAATAATACTTCATCTGTCCCAATATATTTGCTATTATTTCTAATTTGGAACGTCTCAAAAATTTTGAATCTTTCCTTCATTTATACTTATTCTTTTTTTTTTAAACCCTTAAAAATACAATTTATAAAATCATTTCTAACAAAAAGTAAAGGCAAAACAATAATAATAATAAATAAATAAATAACTCTCAAAATTATACCATCTAACAAGTTGTGCTCAAACTAAAACTAACAATCTTTACGGGGCAAAGAGGTGTCAATTGTGTAACGAAAAAAATATCATTGGATAGTAAGGCTCACAACTAAAAAAGAATGTATGTTGAAGGGATATTTTAATACATTTAGGGTGTGTTTACTTCGTATGATATGACCATAATGCATGTATTATTCTAATAGATTATATAATTATATGATAAAATAATTTAATATTTACTTTAATTGATTATCGTATAAAATTATTAATTTTGATAAAATTGATAGTAAGTTGAGTATTAATGAAAAACAAAGTAGTCTTTTTAACATTACTAATACTTTATTATTATTTAATACAATCTGTACAAGAATGATTAATAGTCATTGATTATAGTATTATATGAGTTTTACTTTATCCCGAATTATAATAATGTATAGTAAAAACATAATCATTCAAAGTAAGTACACCCTTAGGTGAAATGATGGATATTTTATTAATATCCCAGGGTACACATTTAATAAATAAGGATACGTATCTATTATATGTTGATGAGTGTGTCTATTGTTAACGGTGGAGGATATGTTAGATTGTTATCTGCTCAACAAGCACCAAGACGTATATGTGAATCAATCCGGATCCCTTGATGAGCAGTAAAATTCAATCCTACTGAATAGTGTGGTTGAGTATAATTCTTTCCCATTCATTATCATATTTTGCAGTTTCCTTATATGGTTCGACAGATTTTTATCATTCGATATATATAAGTTTTCAACATATTTACAACATAGTTCAATAAATCAACACCACACAAGCATTTTATTCATGGATCAGTAGATTCTTTATACCATTCAACAACACAACTTTAAAGGAAATTAAGGATATGATCCCATCCCTTTCTTTTCACCTTGGGCTGTGTTTGGAGTTTGGGGTTTTTGATTTAAATAATGTTTAATATGATATTTTATGGGAGTAAAATGTTTGGAGGCAACTGAAAAGATACACACCCTATGTGTTTGGATGGGGTTTGGAATTGATTTGGGACTAATGCCAAACTTTTTTCTCCCAAAACTATGAAATCAAACACCTAATTTTCTATTTAATATATTACACAAAAAATCAAATTCTCATAACATCACATCATAACATATTCATATCACATTAAACACTATTTCAATTCAAAATTTTTACTCGTCCCAAACCTCCAAACCAAATATGATCCTAATCCAAACTATGTGTGTGGATGTGTGTATATAACTATATATATATCATTACTGATGAGCTAATGACATTAAATAGCCCAGCAAGATATATAAGACTCCCTCTATTGTTTTTGTGAATTTCATCAAGTCTTGGAGCTGAACTTAACTTGTTCATGCTCAGAAAAGAGATTAAGCCGCAGTTCCAAGTCGAAAAAACTATTGTTCCTATTAAGCTTATAGATGTCACTACTCAAGCTTCACCTAATCACAAGAACATTATTCCACCCCTACCATCTACGACTGTGTCATTCTTGCTTTGACAGAACAGAGCAGCATTTACAAGTGTAACAAACGATTCAAGACAGCCCATCAGGATAGCATCAGATCATGGGACGGGGAGACAGTAAAAGCACTTGATAAAAGAACTACACAGGTACTTGCATTTGGATGGTTTTCAACAGGAAGACTCACCAAACAATTCAAAATCAAACAAACAAGCCAAGACAATTGTAGAATATGTCTGCTAATAACCTAGTTTTCATCAATTATTACCTCGTTGATGTCCGGCTTTTCATCATATTCTTCGTTTTTGGAGGTTGTCTCCACAGTGCTTGGATCAATTTCAGTTCTCTTGGCTCCATCCTCCATCTGCTCTGAGTGTTCATCCCTTTGTTCTTCAAGCACAATAACCTGGCAATCATCCAACAAACAAAAGACAATGAATCATTTGAATTTAAACAATCTGGCAACAAATTGACACAAGTATTAGAACTTAACAGAATAATTTAACCAAGAAGAGAATTTCAGCTGAAACTCTTCTAGAAACGAGATTTAGGCAAAGAACTGCAAAAAAATCCATGGAAAATCTCCCAAACTAGTTATCAAACTTGAACTTATACACAAGATATTAAATCCAATAACATATTAAAACCCTAATTATGCACAATTCAGGAACCCTAGACTGCTCAAAGAGCTAATAGAGCAAATTCGTGGATAATTTCCAGACATTTCATATCGCGATTCAAATAATTCGAACTCAATGAAGTTAAATTAGGAATACTTACCGGAATATACTTGAATTTCTTCTTCTGAGGCTCCTGTGCACCAACGTCGTCGTCTTTACCGGAATTCTTATAGTCGGCATTGCCGTTGTTATCACTGATGCTACTGTCCTTTGTTTGGCTAGGAGTGATTGGAGTCCACTTGTAGAGGAAAAGGTGAGGGGAGCCGTCGGTTCTGGTGGCGGTGGCTCGGTGGTTGTGGCCGGAATTCGGTGGCGGTATGTTAACCCACTTTTTCTCCCAATTACGAACTGGACCAGTGAATACGGTGCTTGGTCCATAGCGGTTGGAGGTTCGGCCGAGTCTTGCCCCTACTCCCTCCATATGTTGGGATGGATCGCGGCGGCGGCGGCGGCGAGTCCCGGCGGCGTTTTGGAAAGTGGTTTTAAATCGGAAAGCGTGAAATGATGGAGCAGCGCTTCTTGTGTGAGATAAAAAGCGTCTTATTCGTTCCTGCAATAAATTATGACGAGTACCGACTTTCTTTTATTGAAATATATGATTGGTTTTAATTTTTGTATTTTTTATTTATCTTTCAAAAAATATATTATTATATTAATGTATTGTAATACAAAATAAATATATTTAAAATAAAATAAAATAATAAATTAAATGTATAGATTGTAATTAAATATGTATAAATAATAGTATAATATCAAAAAATATCTATGTACAAAATACTTCATTTTCCTTTTTTGTCCACTCACATGGGACATTCAAAACCCTTTTATTTCTATTTCTCTCCTAATAAATAAATATTTTTATATTTATTTAAAACTTCTTATTTTTAATAAAATTAGTTTTAAGTTAATTATAAATAAATAAATTATTATTTTTTATTTATATTATATAAAATTTTATTCTCTATAAAATAATATTCATATTGTATATATTTTACTGATATATAATGTTAAAAATATTTAAAATACCAACAACACTACTCATATAAAAATAATAAAATAATATCATAACTTGTTATTAATAACTTACTAATCTACACTACCTAAAATACACAAAGGGGTCATATTAATGGAGACGGAGGAAATATGTGAAAATCTTATACTTTTTATGGATAAATTAAAATGATAACACATGTAAATTTAATGGATATATAGTCATATATAAAGGACGGTTGTTTTTTTATTTGTTTTGTATTTATGGTTTCACAACTTGTATTTGTATTGAAATTCAAAATAAAAAGAGTTTTTACCTGCATGTCATATTGATTATATTGAGTTAATTTTAGATATCTGCTTTAACTTTTTAACAAAAATTATTTTTGGCTGACCACCCTACCTGAACACGTAGCTGCCATCCATATGATAAATAGATGGGTAGTATTGAACACAGATATTCAATATAGAGTCTGTTTGTTGCTTGCCGAACTTTAAATTATTTTTATATTTCTCTCGTCTAATTTTTAATATCTTAATTGATATTTATACAGATAATTAGTTTTTTTTTTTTATAAAATGATAAATTTATCTTTTATTTTAAATATAAAAAAGAATTGGTAAATAAAGTAAATGCAAAAAAATAAATTCTACATATAAAAATAAAAAAAAAACAATAATTATTGAATATAAAAAATATGATGTTAGTTTGTGGACTGATGGAGTATTTTAAGGCACTCTAATAAAATTAATCAGTTTACATATTTTCTCAAAATAATGTCTATAACAAGATTACATTAGTAATATAAAAAAATAAAAAAATATATATATTTTTTTTATTTGGAATAAAAGAAAAAAACTCAAAGCATTGTTTATAAATTTCATAGATAAAAACTAAAATCCATTTTAAATCATTTGCTTTTATAATTTTATGATTTAGATCCATTTTAAAATCTTTGTTTATGAAGTTCATAGATAAAACTAAATTTTGTGTATAAAATGTTGTAGAATATTGTAAAAGCACTAAAATATTCTAAATGATACTAGCTGTAAGATCATAGTCATTTGGACTTTTTTGTTGTAAGACGAAATTGTATATAAAGGAATAAAGTATTTATTTATAAACATCTAAACTAGAAATCAAACTCCTTTCTTCTTCAATTACTAATGCTCAAGTGTTCCTATATGAGTTTTTGAGATTCTTTTTTTTTTCATAAATCAGAAAAGAAATTATAAGTGAAAGAGAACATAAAATCGGTCGCGACCGCTGATTGGACGGCAGTGCAATAATGGCAACAGGGTGTCTAGGCACCTGATTGGGGTGTGATTGGAGCCCCGAATGAGAGTGAATTTGAAAAGTAGGTTTTTTTTGTTAGATATTAGTCGAAACTATTTACAAATTTGTGGTTTATATATATATATATATATAAAAGTAAAATAGTAAGTTTGCCCCTCCTAACTAATTATTTTGTGATGAATTACTCCGGAAATCAGTATCTAAAAATAGGGAGTTGTTCTGAAAAAAAAAAATTAAAAGAATTTTTTAATATTTTCAAAATTAGATAAAATATTAAAGAACATTTCAGTTCATTAAAATTTTAAAAAGATAATTTGATTTCAAAAAGAATATATATATATACATAGTATAGGTGAAAAAAAAGAACAAGTTAATATTGAAATTTGTTCGACCAGAAAATTTTTCGATATTGCTTTATATGTTTCGGAATTTTAAAAAAACCAGTAAAATCAAATATGAATAAAAAATAAAATAAAATTGGATATTGGATACAATCGGATTTAGTGTTAACCTTAAACATAAAAATCAAATAACAAAATAACCCGAAATCCAAAACAAATTTGATTTTATAATTAAAATCTATTTTTATTTATTCAAATTATAATATATTACAAAATAAAATTGTAATATACTATTATAAAAACATAAAATCAAAATTTCAAACATGTTCTTAAACATATGAGGGCGTCGTCCAGAGAATTTGTAGACATTTTAGAATAAAAGGACGAAAACAAAAGACACACTTCACATAAATTATAAAAACATCACGTAAACCAAACCGAATAAAGGAAAGAATACAAATCAATTCACGGATCTTTGAGTAAAAAAAATATTAGAATTACATTCTGCAAATTAACAAAAAATAAATAAATAAATAAATTTCTTGCAACAAAATTCCTTCAATTACTCTCCGATCTCAATTGTCATCTAAGATGTCAGTCTAACATAGTTTAAAATATCTCAAAGATATTACAAAATAAATAAACAAATGCAACAGATTCCTATTGGCTTTTTATTATTATTTTCTTTTAAATCAATATTCATGTGTAAACAAAAATTCATACTCAAATTTGCCGCCCATGCTTGTCATTTTTCAAAGCCTTTACGTCACCCTCTCCCATGCTTTTGAGAAAATGCTGCACAGCAGCAAATCAACAATTGGACGTGGGTCCAGCTATTGCCGACAACAAAAACACCGCATTATATCTCTTCTCCTCTTTATTATTCTAACTCTTTGTAAAAATCAAAACCTTAACCACAGTCATAATACATATATTCTATCCATTTATAAAAATATTATCCACTATTCTTCATTTCTAATATAAAAAGCATAAAAAGTGTATATGAACATAATCTTTTAGTTTTGAACACAATACAATAACAATCCGGGAAAATAAATATTATTCATTGAAAATAAAGAGAAAATCTTCCATGGGAGGATAATAAAATACGGACAGGATGAAAGCCATGATGATATGCAGTAGCAATGCCAATTACATAATTCTCAGCATCCTCTTCTACTTTTACAAAGTAAGTAGTAAATCTGAAGAAGAATAATAATCATAAAAATAAATTAAAATAAAAATAACACAGAACACCCCTCTGTGCCGGGACATCGAAGCCTTGTTGATTGATTCTACTTCTATCGTCTCATCAATTACAATCGATTAACATTAAGTAATCGGAACTGAAATCAAAATGTATTCTCGAGCAAAGGGTAAATAAATATTGTGTCGAGCAGGAAGGCTACCAGTCTTTCTTGATCTCGAAAAAGTAGTTCAGCTCCAAGTAGCATCTTTTGTCATCGTCAAGGAACTGAATACAACCGGGAAAAGTATATAAAAGGATATTTAATAAAAATGTTACCACAATTTTTAAATAAATCACACTGAGCATATTTAATTTAGGTAATAAATATCACATCCAATATTTATTTCCATTTCAAATATTATACTCCCTCCTTCAAATTTATATTTACTTTCTATTTAAGATTACCATTAAAATATGTTTATTTTACCTTATTAATAAAAAAATTGTATTATAGTTTATATGTTTTTTTATTGTAAAAGATCATATGTACCAATTATTACCCATTTGACAGAAAACTTTCAAATCCTTTTAAATCTTGTTTTTTACTATATAATCTAAAATATATATTTCACCTGAAACTTATTATATCCAACTTCCATTTTTCAGTCAAACAATGATAATCAAAACCTCTTTTAAATTCGGAAAAAAAAAAAATCATATCTAACAACTATCTTTCATTTTAAAAATTAGATCAAAGACCTACTTTTATCTAAAACACGAGCAAACACAACTGTACATCTAACTGATAGTTATGTACATAGAATCAATGATGTTAAAAGGAAAACCATGATTCTAAAGCCATCTATGCTATATAAGTTGTTTTCTTATGCAACCAAATTTTGCTATATCTAGCTGAAAAAGGTATACGAATAATTCTTGTGCAGATTGAAAAAAATGTGATAAGTAAAGATGGAATGAATCGATGGTTCTAAAAAAAGGGAAAACCTGAGTTTTTGCAGAATAAGACCCTCTAGCGAACATGCCGGAAGGGGTAGTATCTTCAGGCATCTCATGGGAGTAAGGCTCTGGCTGAGGGCTAAAAGTTCCGAGCATCTCTTTTGTGCTGTCAACTGTAAAAAGCAGAGTATTCGCAGATAAAAAGAAGATCAACAAAAACCGAAGGAAATTCCATTTTGATAGAATTGTGGCAAGAAGGGACAACCTTTAAGGCCAGTTTTCCAAACAGTGTTCTTGTATTTGAGCCCCGATACAATGTTATTGCTGACCCTGAAAGTAAAATTAAGACTGTACTTGCTTCCCTCTTTCAATGTAAACCATGGGTTTGGAACATTTCCGTCCTTTGGAATCGGAAGAGAGATGTCATCCCTGCCGGGGGATTTGATAGCAAGGTCCAGGATCACCACTTCTGGATCAAGAGTCTCTGCAAATACAAAAAGGTAGGGAAAATTGAATTTGAACCAATGATCTAAACAAAACCAATTATACTTTGTTATATTCATGAATGATTTGCAGAGTTTTTAATAATGATCTTTTTAAAAGGGAAAAAAAGTATAAATCAATCATATGCAATAATTATTAAGAAACTACATCCAGCGAAAAACAAGTCCTAGTTAAATAGTCTGTTTTCTTCTACTTTATTATATAAACAAATCTTTCAAATGCATTCACCACTTTACGATTTCTATTCAAATTATAGAGACACATCAAATAAATAAATAAAATAAAATAGAAAAAACACCCTTAGGACAATAATCTTTGGATTTTTCTCAAACATACAATCACAAATATTTTAATAATGGCAGTTTATTAACTAACACTCCTGTTTAATTTAAAAATTCACATTGAAATATAATTATACTTTGAAAATATATTGTAGCTATGAAAATCATTATATAACTTTTATCAAACATATATTCAAATCATTCAAAATAATTCAAACACCCAAACGCAGCCATTTGGTGATCACCCCACAATTACATTTTCAATCTTGTTTTCGTACTTTGAAATATACAATAAAAATAACTTTTTTCCCTTTAAAAAAATAAAAACTAAACATTTGCCTCCATAACCTATTTCACATTCTCAAATATCGTATTCATGGCTTATCATCCACTTAAAACATCATCACATCAAAATTCAAACAACTTTGAATAAAAATCCCCTCAACATCCAAAACACAAACAATCATATCTCCCAAAATTTGACACCCATAGTTCAATGTTAGATTCCCATTACTTTATGTAACAGCTAGATCCATGAAACACAAGGATACCTAAACATTCAAATTTCGAATAAAATCCAAATCTTCAATTCCAAACAAGCACATTTCACCAATAAAAGGCAAGAAATGATCACCTCCAACCGACTCCATATCCACGCTCCCAAGAAGCTGTTCCTTCCATTTCCTCAAACTCTCGTCATCCTGCAGATCACAGTTTAATTGAATCATCAAATTTTTAAACGATGACGAACAATAATCGAACAATAATCTAATTAAATCAATTTCCTTCCCACCTTATCCTTCTCAGACAACTCCTTGAGAGTGACCTGAGGACCCAACTGAATCTTGGATTCAACGTCATCCTCATCCTCAGTGGCACCCAGAGAACTCTCGCTCATATTCCTGCTAATAACCCCTCCAGTTTCGGACTCGTTCTCTGATTCATTTCCCCCAATCTTCTTCCCCTCTTCGCCACCTCCCATGCCTTTGGAGCTCGAAGCAACCCCAACACCCAAAGACATCAACGAACAAACACCTCAAGCGCAAAGATTCTCACTCACCACCAACGAAATCACAAAACGCCCATAAAACAAACCACGATTTCTGAAGAAGAAATCGAAAAAATAAATAAATAAATAAAAACCCTAATCGCAAAAATTACAGAGAGTACGCAAAATTAAAAGGGAATCTCACGCGGAGTGTGGCAATTTATACAGGTCGTAATCAAGGAAATGGAATCCAAATAAGGAAAGTTTGGAGCGGAGAATCAGGCGTCGACGAACTAAAGAGGCAAACCGATCCGCAAACATAGAATGTAGGGAATGGTCATGTGGCTATACGTAAATGCGAATTAAAAACGATCGGAGATTGGCAGAAACCGTAGAAAAAATAGAAAAGAATTTGCTAAAAGGTGGGAGGAGGAGGAGGAGGAGGAGAGAAGCTGGGAATGGATCGTGGAGCGCAGTCTGCCTCCATTGCCATCGATCGAGGTCAATTGATGGACCTGTTTGGGATTTGACGTATTCTCTCTCTCATTGGCTAATCATTGAATTTGACATTACTAATCTGATTCCGAATTTAATGCAATCCCAATTTACATTATTTATTTTGTCATTATGATCTAAATTTATTTATTTATCTCAAATTATTTTAATCTTTATGTCTACAAGGAAGACTACTATTTATTTTTTACACTTAAATTTTTAAATATTAATATCATATTAGCATATAGTATAAATTAATTAAAAAGATAAAATTAAATAAATGAGATATAACAATTCATTTTACAACTTTTTAAAAATCAAATAACGGTCTGTCCTTGTCCTCGTTAAAAATAGAAATGATAATTTTTTATTTGTTTGTTTTATTTAAAAAATATTTATATATATATATATTTCACAGCCTTTATTATTTAAAATATATATTTGCAATCAAAGTTAATTTGGAATGAAAATTATATTTTGTGCATATTAGTATTTTGTATATTTACAATAAAAATAAATATATATTATATTATTTACCTTTTTTAGTTTAAGTTATTTATTTTGATTTAGGTGAAATAGCAATTTACATTATCTAATATGTTACGAAAGTTATAGATCTCGTGTTCGTCATCGTCCAAATATCCCTTTTCACATGAGAGCTGTATTGATGGTTGACTTATGTATATAATCAAACCAACCCACAATTTACACTCAAATAAAAAAGGCATCTTTTTATACCACAATTTATTGTTTAATTAATGGGCTCTAAATTGGGCCAATCAGATGGGTCCGGGCGGATCCAATAACTCAAATCGAAGAAATCAGGGCGGAGCAAGCGGAGGGGAGAAGAGCAGATTCACAAAGTAGCGACTGGAATCGCCGCAAATCGGTGTTGCCAAATCCTGCAGCGATCGAAAATGGCGGAGGATTTGGTTTTGGATACAGCCATCAGAGACTGGGTGCTGATTCCGCTCTCCGTGGTTATGGTGCTCATCGGAGTGCTTCGCTACTTCGTCTCGAAGCTCATGCGATCCGATCAAGTTCCCGACCTCAAAGTCGTCAAAGAAGGGTAACTTTTTGTTTTTAATTGCTTGTGCTCATCTAATCTATTTTCTGGCGATCGGCGTGTGAATTGATGTATAATTACTTGTGAAATTTTGGATTTGTGTTTCTTCGCAGGCAAGTGGTGGTTAGAGCAAGAAATCTTAGGGCAGCTGCGAATTTTATCCCCGCAAAGTCGTTCCGTGCTCGTAGGTTCTACTATAGTAATGAGGTCAGAGATTTGAACATCATTTTTATTGTTCGAATTTGTGTTGTGATGGATTTTTCTGTTTACATAAGTTGAGATAGTTTATAGTTTCTGGAATTCAATGAAGTTGCTGTTAATCTTTATGAAATTCTTATTAATAGCATAAGCTGCATACTTGCATTGAAGTTAAGTATCAATGGCGGACGAAGCAGTTTGATATAGGAAACGTAGAATAGATTTTGAAAAGCAGAAGCATGGTTGCTAGCTAGTAGGTTTTAGGTTAAATATTTGAGATCTTAGTTGTTGGATGGTTTTGAATTCTGGTCTAGTTTTTGACGTAAGAACATTTAATTTGAATGTTTAGGAGAATGGATTGCTATTTGTGCCCAAGGGCCAAGCTCAGAATGCACAGGCACAAATGTTTTCGGATCCCAACATGGCAATGGATATGATGAAGAAAAATCTTTCAATGATCATACCACAGGTATTATTGCTGGCCGTCTTTCGAATGTTGTTCTTAGGATGAATTTCAATGGTCATTCGTAATATGTATGTATATCTTTTGTGGGACAGACGCTTACTTTTGCTTGGGTTAACTTTTTCTTCTCTGGATTCGTGGCAGGTTTGTCCTTTATCAATATTTTGTTGTTCCTTCTCGCCGTTGTATATCTTAAAACATTGTTCCTTGACGTGGTCTGATGTTAGGTCTTCTGTCAGCATTTAATTAAGTTCCCGAATCAAGCATTATGCTGAATTAAAAACTGATTGGAATATATCCCCCACTTTATTTTCCAGCAAAAATTCCATTTCCGCTCACCCAGAGATTTAGAGCAATGTTGCAAAACGGCATAGACTTGAGCACCGTTGATGTCAGCTATGTTAGCAGTCGTTCATGGTACCTAACAATGCTCTTTCAGTATACTGTAAAATAGTTTCTTGTCGATCCACGTTGGAGTCTCACGATTAGTTATTGTTCTGATTAATTTTTCTTGCCAGGTACTTCCTCAATCTATTTGGGCTAAGGGGTCTTTTTAGCCTTATACTCGGAGAGGATAATGGTCAGCCTTATTCTTCAACATATATTCCTTTGAACAAATTGATCGATGCTATTTTGATATTGTATATTGTGTAGTACTCTGACCCTAACTGAAACTTATTCACTATGGTTACCAGCAACTGATGATGCGCAGCGAATGATGCAAATGGGCGGTGGTGGATTTGGATTTGACCCAACAAGGGTAATAGATTTTTTCTTCCATCTTTCCATGTTTATCTGATTAAAGATTTCAGTGTTTTATTTCTTTTGTTGTCCTTTTCTGTGTGGCTACTGTTTCTAAAGCTAATGATCGACTGTTGAATTAGCAATATATAGGATTTAATTAAGAACTTTCTACTTTTGTAAGTATTGTCTGCCTACATTACATGCATTTTTTCAGAGAATCACTTCCCAATCACTGTCTACCAATATATTTTCTTTGTGTGAGAGCATCTAGAAATATTTGAAAGCAAACTATTAGCCTAGACAGCATATGCTTATTTAAGAAGGATTGGTTAATATTTTATATGTAAATTTAGTAAGGTGCTGATTGGATTAGCGTTAATCAACATATGGTAATAGTACACATAACACATTATCGTAATTAAAACATCATGTGTTGTGTAAACATATGATATGTGCCGAAGATCAAATATGGTATGTTATGAAACTATTTGTGCATATCATTACCATGTGCTAATTAACCCTAACATTTGCCCTTTATATTGATTGAAATTAAAGATTTTGGGTGCTAGGGAATAATGGTACCGAATAGTATCATCCCTATTAGCTTTTAGTATTTATTTGTTTGTAGTAACAACTGCGCAAGAAATCTTCAAAATTTAGATGTGTCCATCATGCATACATATAAGGCATGTTAGTTTTTGTTCTGTAGGTCTTTATAGTTGTTATTGCTTAGGTGAAATAGTGGTCAAATATGATGTTGTGTATAGAAAATAAGTACATTTTTAATAGCCACGACGAAACTGCATAGTAAAAAAAATTGAAAAAAATGCACTTGTTATTAGTTATTGTAAATTGTGAAAATGTTTTGGGAATTATTATTAGTTTTTTGGGTGAAGTAATGTTTATTTTTATTTTTAAATATTTTATGAGATGAAATAATATATTTTGAGCATTAGCTATATCCCGATGCATGGTGTTTCTATTTCAGAGCTTAGGCGCAGAGAAAGACAGTCTAGACATTGTTCAACACGAATGGGCTTTGCCAAAATTCGAGCAACGAGCCACAGCTGTACTGAAGAAGCTCGTAGCCGAGAAATAAAGCAACAATCCTCTGTCCCCCCACGCAAAAACTTCATCGGCGCCTGTCTTGACCATCATCAGCCGAGAAGTTAGAGCTGCAGGAATTCCTGGGCATCTCCTAAATCTGTAAGTTCTATTCATATTATGAAACCTTCCTAACAGGGATTTGCATACGTGCATTCTTGCCAGACCTCTGTATTTAGATGTAATATGATGATATTACACTCTGCTTTTACCCTTGGATGAAATTAATTGGGGAACTTAAAGGTTGTATTTAGATGATTTTGATTTAAATAGTATTTTGACCTGATTTTATGAAAAAGAATAATATATTTATATTGAAAATCGAAAACCCGAAATCTTTAGGAATTTTGATGAGTTTGGGGACTATTAAAAAGTTAGAATAAGAGGTGGTAGATATTCAACCGGATGTAAATATTGAATGTCATATTTTGTTTAGATAGAGTTTCCATTTTTATAACTCAATATTGAATTTTTTTGAAAATATATATAAACAAAATCTAGATCTATTGTTTTGGAGTTTGTTTTTATGTGTATACGTTTTTAGTTATACAATTTTTAAAAGGTATATATTTAGGTTTCAACTGAATTTTTTTATTATTATTATTTTTATCTATTTCACTCAAATATATATATTTTTTATTATAATATAAATAATTAAACACATCACTACCAAATACTTTTAAATTTTATATAATTTACAAAATATAATTATACATTATTTTGATATTTTTGTTTTTAAAAGCAAAAAGAAAATAAATATTTTTATTAAAATTAAACGTATTTTAATATATATATATATACGTATAATTATTATATCTCCGATTTTAAATGTCTCATTTACTTTTTTTTTTTTTTTAAGTGTTTTTGAATATTGCATAACTATCTTAACAAGTGTCTTATAATAGTAATAAAAAATTATACATGATGCAGTGAAAAAAATAAATAATAATAATAATAATAAATAAGTAAATAAACAAAACCTTATGGACGTATGAAAATAGTACAATTTACATACATCAAATACTACAATCATTTTTACTATTTTCAAAACTATTCAAAACTCCAAAAAGACAACCTTAACTATGCAGTAATAATCAACACATACCCCTTATTTCTGAAAATTGTAATAACAACATTGAAGATAATTTACATACCTCAATACAATACAGGTTCCATTCCTCTTCAAGCTCCTCCATTTCACTCTTCCATGGCTTCCCTCCATCCTCCTAATCCAACACCATTCAACAAATCCAAGTCAATCGTAGAAAAATCCGTCGCATTGATCGCCAAAAACACAACGATTGATCGATGCGACGATCCGAAAGAGAAAGACAATAGATCGAAAGAATCACATATATTACCAGTCATTTGACGATAACCCGCTCCGATAACCTCATCTTTTCCTCCCGGGAAATCCGAGGATCGAGCGTCGAAAGATTGCCAATAAACGTCATCGCCTCGTCGCTGCGACTAAGCTTGCAGTACCAATCCACGATCGAGTTGTACGTGCTCTCGTTCGGTTTACATCCGTTTCTAATCATATATCGAACAACGTCGATGGCTTCGACAAACATCGCATCCGCCGCATAGCTCGCTACAAAGGTGTTATACGTAATGACGTCGGGAGCGATTCCAGATTCCGTCATTTCTGTGAAAATCCTCGACGCATCTTTCATTTGTCCGTTTCGACAGTAACCGTAGATGATTGTATTGTAGGAAATGATGTCGGGTTTGATCCCTTTTGACAGAAGATCCCTCAGAATCTCCTCGGCTCTTTCGAAATTCCCCGACCGGCTGTACATGTACATCAAGCTGTTGTACGTAGTCAACGTAGGCGTAAACCGACATTTCTTCATAAAGTCGAGGATCTCGTTTGCCTTCTCGATCATTTGCCTTCGACCATAGATCGACACCATTGCGTTCAACGTGGTAATATCCGGAGACAAGCCTCGTGTACTTAGCTCTAGAAAGGCTCTCTCGGTTTCCTTCAATAGATCGCTCTTGCTGTAGACGAGGACGAGCGTTTTCAACAGGACGGCGTGCGGTTCGATCACACCCGAATAGATATCCGTCGCTAGAGCATCGATCTTCTGAATCTGTTTTCCGTTACCGTAAGCGTGGAGCAACGAGCTATACGTCATCTGATTCGGTTTGCATCGACGACCCTTCATTTCTTCGAAAATTTTCTCGGATTGTTCCCACAATCCGCCTCGCGCCAACGCTGCCAAGACGGCATTGTACGTCGAGAGATCGGGAGTGACGCCCGCTTCCAACATACGTTTATAAATAGCCATCGCCTGATCGAACGATCCGCACCTACTGTAAGCGCCAATCAAGGTATTAAATGTGTCCCGCTCTGCGACAAACCCCGATCGCTTCATTTCTCGGAACACACCCGACACTTCCGTGTCCATCCCGTTCTGCCCGAACACGGCGAGCAGCGTATTCCAAGTAACAACATCAGCTTTGCATCCGCACGCCTTCATATCATCAAAAACCCTCATCATCTCCGCAAACTTCTTTCGATTCCCAAACATCTTGATCAGGGCGTTAAAAGTGCATATATTCGGGCTACAACCCGCGCCTTGCATCTCCTCGAAGATCCTCATCGCACAATCGTCCTTCCCCGCCTTCTCGAAACCCGACAAAAGTGTCGTGTAAGTGAACACATCCGGCTTAATTCCACCCTCCACCATTCGATCTTTTACCTCCATCGCTTCCTCTAACAAACCATCCCTAGCGTAAGCAGACACAAGCGAATTATATGTCACAACACTTGGAGAAAATCCGTTCGCCTCCATCTCCCTCAAAACCTCCATAGCCTCCTTAGGCTTCCTCGACTTTCCATAAACATCCAACAGAGCATTATACGTAACCTTATCCGGCGAATATCCAGCAACCTTCATCTCCTCAAAAACAGCCTTAGCTTCCTCGTACAATGATCCGCGCCTGCAACAACTTATAACTGTATTGTATGTGTATGCGTCCGGAGCTACCCCCGAGCTCTTCATTTCATTGATAACCTCGACAATTTTATGCCAAGGCATTCCCATTTTGCCATAAACATTCAAAATCACATTGTAAGTTATCAAAGTAGGCCTGCAACCTTGCTCCTGCATACCTTTGAACGCCATTAAAGCTTCCCTGTACCTTCCATTGCTTGCTAATACAGTAATTAGAGAAGTATATGCATAAACATCCATTCCAAATCCACCTTTCTGCAAATCATTAAACAAAGAAGCTGCTCTAGAAACCCTACCTTCTCTACCCAACATACTGATGATAACAGCCACAATCGATCCATTAATCAAATGTTCTAAATGCCTACGTTTTGTAATCCAATCGAGCACACTCAACGCTAAATCGCATTTTTTGTAGTGACCTAACGCCTTGATTATCCCTAATACATCATATATAACTGTTGAAGAAGATTGCTCGGAAAATTCAACTTCTGGATTGTTACCGGAATTCAGCAAAGCGGAAAGCTCTCCGTCGAGAGCGTCGATGTCGAAATTAGGATCGATTAAGGAGCGGAGAGTAAGCTCACCTTGAGCGGAGAGACGTTGGTGTGTCCACGGCTTGCCCTTGTTGGGGTCGCGGTGCTTCCCGATGCGACGTCGTTGCCTCGCGATGGATGGGGACGGATTTTGTGAGGAATTGGGGTTTTGTTGGTGGTGGAGTAATTCGTGGAATAGAGGAGTTAGAGGCGGCGGGGAGAGTGGCGGAACGGCGACGGAAGCGGCGGCAGGGTCTTGGAAGAAAGGCTTCGGCGGTGGAGGGTTTGGGAGGAGGAGAGGCAGAGAAAGTTTTTCCGCCATTAGCGCGGCCACCATCTCTCTGCGAATGCTGCTAAAAATATCTTATATATGGGCGATTCTTTGATTATCCTAGCCGTCCATCTTGTTGAGCCTCAAAGAATCAACGGTGCAGATTATACTAAACATTCATTTTAATTTATAATATTATACTTATCAATTTCAATTTTTTGTTATTTTAATTTGGATGTCTCGAATAATTTTATATATTTTATTTATACATTATTTTTATTATAAAATTATAAGTATCATTTTAAACCAATAATAGAAATAAACTCATTTACAAAGTTAAAACTATAGCATCAAAATTAACAATAAAAAATATACGAGGATGGTAGTTTTATTTGAATTTTAATTTAAATAAAATAGTAAATTTTATTGAAAAATATAACAATTAAATAAAATAAATACACTATATATGATGTAAAATTCCTCTAGTTTATCCAATTCTTCGATTAAATGGATTGAATATAACTTATATTCTATGATAATTGAACTTTATTTACATAAATATTTTTCATTAAAAAATGAAAACAAAAATCATATCATTGACATTTCTTCCTGAATATACTTTGTATTGGGCTGGATTGGGCCTTTCTTGTAAAGAACTTCACGTTTATGAGTTTGTTAATTTTGTGTATGTGCACGAACCAAACATACCAATTTGATTTGTTTTATTTTATTTTTTAATTGCATTTGCAATTTAATTTTCAATTATGCATTAATATATTATCATTCAAACTTATCATATTTATATATTCAAATAAATACATTTAAATTTATTTTGTATCTGAAATATCACAAAAAAAAATTATTATAATTTAAATATTTATTTTTTTAAAAACACTCCAGTTTGTATTATTTCAGTATGTTTGTGACTTTTGTCTTTTGTTTGATAAAGAACAAATTATATTACAAATCAGACTAAAAATATTTATATTTGTATTATATTTTGTACAAATTTAAATTCGTCCCACAAAATATTATAGCCATATTTATAAAAAATCACTTAAATTAAGAAAAGAAATCAGTCAAATTCTACATAAAATTTATAAAATTTCTAAATCTACATAAAATTTATGAATTTTCTAAATTTTCAGACTTTTAAATTATTTAAAAAGAAAATCAATACAATTCTAATTGAATACATCCTTAAAATTACTAATTAACTTAACTAAAACTAAAATGATTATAAATTAAAGAATTTAACATGTAGTTTGAGTGTGCTATTCTTTTTTGTTTCCAAAATATAAAATAAGAAAAATAAAATAAAAATGAAACATATGAATATGACTAACATAAATAAAAGATATGAAGCGCAATGAATAATAATTTTATTAAAAATTTACGTGTATTCTTTTCGTTTCAATTATCGTGTTTATACGAGAATTTGGAAAAATGTAATTAGTGAATAATTAAAAATATATTAATAAAAAATATTATTATATAATAAAAATAATTATAATATTTTAATTTAAAAAAATATATAAATTAAAAACTTTAAAATATATTCAAAATGCGTAATTTTTTTTTTAAAAAAAAAAAATAGCATAAAATATAAAACATGCAGCTGAGGAAATAAGTATTGGCTTACTTCTTCCAATTGTTTTTTTCGTATATTTTTTCAGAAAAAAGTAATATACTAAAATATTCAGTATTTTTATATTTTCTAAATAATTTATTATACCTCACCTTAAATTAAAAAATAATTTATTTATTTTTCACAAATCACATTATATTTTCTAAATAATTTATTATACCTCCCCTTAAATTAAAAAATAATTTTATTTTTATTTTTTTCACTAATCACACAAAACAAACACACCCATCTTGCAATTTTTAAATTAATATCTAAATACAGCCATACATATAGTTGATGGCTCACATCATGGGATTGATTGATGGATTGATGATCCCAACCGTATTGCCACGTGGCGGATAGTGAACGGGGCGATCCTGTTATAGACGGGCAAATGGTGGGTCAATCCCCACCGTCCAAATTTCCTAATCAGGCCTTTTCATCTTTACAGAGTGTGCCACTTGCTCATGGTGTGGCTGCATTCTTTTTTTGGATATTCAAATTTGATCCAACCTTTTTAAAATATAAACTTTATTTATATATTTATTTTAAAAAAAAATTATACTCTTTATTAATAATATATTATATATTTTAAATATTAAATCTTATATTTATTATTTTAAAAAAATCTGAATACCATTATCTAAACGAACCAAAATATTTATTTTTATTATTAGTGAAAAATAAAAAAATAATATCTCTATATATATTTGTTTTTGCAATACCACTCTATGTTAGATTATGATGTTGTTTGAACGAAATATTTTTTTTTAAAAAAATAAATATTTTATAACAAGAAAATAATACTCTTTATATTCAATTTCTATTATCCTAAAATATATTTGTACGATTTTTTTTAATTATTTTTTTTATATATAAATTGACAAATTTACTCTTTTATGATAAGGTATGGATTAAATATGATAAATAAATGAATGATAAAAAAAATAAAATTTTTGTTTGACAAAAGAAAATAGAACAATAGTTATTAGACGTTCCAAATAAGAAAATCGGACATTAAATTATGGACGGGAGAAGTATATATTATTACAAAAATAATGATAGATTTTTATTTTAAATTGGTAACCATACAATTATGAAAGATTTATATTTGGCTTTGTCTTTGTTTTTTATTTTTATTTTATAAATATTAAATAAATATAAATTATAAAATTTAAAATATAATAAATATATATATATATATATTTTCTTTTAAACGAAGAGAGTACAATCATTGCCACTACTCTTTTTTCATATTTACATAAATTTTTTAAATATTTTTTTTTTTTAGTATCCTTTTTAATTTACCATCTTATTTTTATATTAAAATATTAATATTTTAAAATTCAAATTTAAAATTGAATTAGAAAAAAGAGACCAAATAAATGAACTAATACGCACAGCTACGCATGACTGCAATCCTGCGTGGCAGCACGCGGGGTGGGCCCCGTACAACTCCTAAAAGCACCTTCGGGGCGGACCCACATTTCCTGAAAATAGGATCCAATCAAAATCCCGAGTGACGCCACGTCAGCTCCTGAGAGAAATTCCACATTTCGTGGGTCCCAATCAGGCACCGCCCCTAGAGGCTAGTAGTAGTTATTATCCTTGTTAAGAAAATATTTAGAGGAGTTTTATTGGTTGTGTATTTTTTTATTTTTTCTATTTAATTTCATGGGGTATTTTTTAAAAAAATTTATTCAGTGTTTTACAATTTACATTTATAATATTTTGAAAAAAAAATATTTTCTTCTAATAATAAAAAATTCAAAATTTTAAATAAACAGAAAAAAAATACACAAGTTGTTTTTTAAAAAAAATAAAAATATTATATTATTATTAAAAATAATCAATTTCAAAACAGAAAACTTCCAAATAAAACCGACCTGATAATTTTTTAGCCTTTCAAATTTGTAATAATATCAATTTTGACCCTCCTATGGTGTCCTCCTTTAAATATCACTTCAACACTATTTACATTTTCTTTTCCTAATGATTTACATTTATCTATTTTGAAAGTAGAGTTTAGTATTACTTTTCTTTTTTTTTTTTTTTTTTATCATTTTTGTTTGTATTATTTCAAAAAATATTTTTTTTATTTTATAAAAGTAATCATACATTAATACTAAAATATCTTTAATTTTTACTTAAATTATAAATATACTATTACACATATAATTATTTTATAGAAAAAAAATATCAAAAACTTTTACATATCTTCACTAACTAATAAAATATTATTATTTCTAATCTTATTATAAAATCTCAAATGATCCATTTGATTAGAGAAATAAGGGAGTATGCTATTTTGAAGTTTATACAAGCGTGTGGTGGTTTTGTGGTTGGAGTTTGCAGTGTTTTTTTATATTTTCTCTATCCAATTTCTATTGTTTTAAAGTATATTTGTACGGTTTTTTAGGTGATTGTCTCTTTGTTATGAATTAATAAATTTGTCATTAATTGAACGATAGAGATTAAAAGTAATAAATAAATGAAGAGTAAAAATGTAAAATTTGTGTTTTAAAAATAAATAGGACAATAGTTGTTGGACGTCCCAAATAGAAAAATAGAACATTAGTTCGTGGATAGAAGGAGTATTAGATATGCTCATAATATAAAAAAGTAATATTACAAATCTACTATTATATATCTAAATATATTATTGCATATATAAATATTTTATACATAAAATTAAATGATAAAATTGTCAAAATTTGTTATCAATTTTTATTAATTAATAAAATATTATTATTTATTAACCTAATACAAAATTTTAAAAATACATTCATCAGAACAAAGGGAGTAATAGTACTCCATCCGTCTCAGATACCATACCATGTCCACGTTGCCGTTTCTGTCCGTCTCACATACAATGTCACTTTTCTTTTTTGAAAAATATTACACTTTAATCTCATTTTAAATTTTTTAATTTTAATTAAACTAATTAGTTATCTTAATCTTAATTTATAATTATTTATATTATAGGATAATTATTTTCACTAATACATTATTAATTCTCTACTGATTACACTCCTCCTAAAATACCGTGTCCACATTGTAGCAGACACGATATTTGAGACGGATGGAGTAATAAAAGTAATTTATTTTATTTATTTGTTTCTTATTTACAGTACGAAATCAGAGCCTTTATGTAATTGATGTAAAAAGACACGATAATTAAGGTTTTAAGGATATGATTCCCATGTGAAGATCTCAATGAGATTATGTTGTAATGATGTTTGTTTGCTTTTTTTGGGATCATTTTCAATTACTAAAAGCATTGGATTAAAAATCGTAATCGCCACGTCTTTTTATAAATATTTGTAAAACCATTTTCAAATAAATATTCTTCTATGATTTTTTTTCACATATTTTTATTATTTTGTTTTCTTTAAAAAAATATTAAATTAAATAATTATTTTTATTTTTATATTAAATTAAAATTTGATATTCAAAATATCACATTATTATATATTTATCAATATATATTTTTAAAATATAGTACAAATTAAAGGAATATGATAAAATTAATTCAGTTAATATATTATAATACTAATATAATGACATTTATACAAATATAAGAATATTTTTAATATTAAAAACAATGACGGCCAAATATAAATGAGAAATTTACCTAAATGAGTATATTATATTAGTAATTTACTATATATCTAATATAATTAATACTCTTGCAATTTTTAATATACTACACAAATGTCATTACTTGTCTTATCATATAATCTATTAAGGACATTTTTGTCTTTTCTATTATAAATCAATATAATACTAATGTTTAAAAATGTAAATAAAAAAACAAATGTTTACTTTTTTTTGTGGGACAGAGATAGCATTTAATTTGGTTTTGATTTAAAATTTAGTTTTTTTGTTTTTTAAAAAAATAAATTTGTATTTAAATACTATTATTTTGTTATGATAATACAAAATAAATATATATTTTTTTTTCCTTCTAACTGTGAGACTTAACACTATAGATTTGTGCTTGAAATAAGAATTGTTCATTTTGTAATTTTTTAATATTTATTTATTTATTTTTTTATGTTGAATATAAAAAATTGTATTAATAATACAAATAAAATTATTTTATATAAAATAATTAAATAAAAAGTAAATATTGCAAAATATATATTATACATATACTTTTAATTTTATTTATAAGAAATCGTATCATTAAAAAAAAAAGAAAAAACAGTAAACACATACTCCTTTACTCTCAATACAATAGTTTTATTTACTATTTTTGTTCATCCCAAAACAATAATCTCATTTCCATAAATAACCATATCACTATAAATTATTCCTACTTTTTTATTATTATTATACACTAATTTTTACACTAATATATTCACAAGAGCAAAAAAAGTCATTTACTTTACTTTTTACCCACTATTAATATAATATCAATATTTTTTAAATTTTATATCTAATACAATAAGACTATATTTTGGCACCGATGAAGTATATTTTTATAAATTATAGTTAAAAAACTGAACCAAATTCCAATTTCCAAATCAATAAAGCAATATATTTCAGGTAATTAAAATTTATTTTGAAAAGAAAATTCTAGAGAGATTTTTTATTATAAAGTAAAATCATTTACAGCTACATATCCCTAATGTGTCGCCAATTTTTTTAATTGTCCCCGAATTTTTAAAAATTATTTAATTTAATTTTTGCCGTATAAATACCCCACTCTGTGTGAGCATTTCTCACCATCACATTCATTTTAGCTTCCACTGCCATCAGTCTATAAGCTTTCTTTTTCAGCAGCAGCGATGGCCACAGCTCAGGTACGTCTGATTCGATTTCCTGCACGGCACTGCGTTCATTGATACGATTAATGCTGCTCTGCATTTCTCGCGTTGATCGAGATTGAATTCTTAAAATACCGAGATCGATCGTTCTATAGATTAAAATACGTCGTGTGAGTTGATTAAGCCCCCGATTTTGTGCTTCAATTTCGAATACAACCAATAAAATCTTGTTCTATAGATGATTCGTGTTTGCTATTGTGAAAAATGACGGATTTGATTCTAGACTGCAGCAAGGAGTATAATCGTGGTGTTTTATGCTCGATCGCTTTTCACTTTCATTTAAATATCGTCGATCGGATCGAATTAATGTTTACCTCGTTAATACCAGGTTGAATCAGTTCCAACTCCAGTAGCAGAGACGAATCCGCCAAAGGAAATCGCCGCTGCTGCAGAGAAAGACGCTGCGCCAGCCGAGGAAGTCCCGCCGCAGGAAGAACCTAAAGAGTCCGAACCTGTAGACAAAGCAGCTGCTCCCGAAACCGATCCACCGGCTGCGGAAGCCGAGCCAGAGAAAATTGTAGCTGAGGAGCCAGCAGAGGAAACCGCCACTGAGGAAGTTACAGAGAAGAAGGTTCTGGAAGCAGTAACGGAACCAGTTGTTGAAGCCACGGAAGCAGAGAAACCTCAGGAAACAAAAGAAGAAGAAGAAGAAGTCAGTAAAGAGGCAGCACCAGCAGCCGAGCCTGAGGCTCAAGCTCCAGCCGAGGAAGCGGCGCCGGCGGAAGCTCCGGCTGAGAAATCTGAGTGAAAAATCGATCGCTTCAGTGAAGAAAGGTGCGACGGTTGCAAGTGTTTTTTTTTTTTCTATAGTCCATATCTTGTTGGTCGCTATAATTATTATTATGATTATAATTATTGATGTTGTGTATTTTGAGGTTTGAAAAAGAAACATATATATTAATATATATATATAATATATAAATTATTATACGTGTGAAGTTTGAAGCCTGTTCCTGCTGTATCATATTATTGTGATGATGATCCTTTAGCTCTGTTGCTTAAATACCGTTGGTATATGAATGTGTGCGAATTCTCGTGTCTTTCAAGCGTTTATAGATATCATTTTTTAATATATATATATATTTTATAAAAATCAGCCAATATAATATAATATATTATTTTTTTTTATAATATCGACACCTTCCTTCAAATACTTCAAATTAAAATGTTAAACAATAATACTACATCGGTTCCATTATATTTGATTGATTTACTTTTTACATTATCTTTTAGGTGATATAAACGGAACCAATCTTTCATTGCATTATTTATTTTCCACTCAAATAAGTTTTTTATTATTTTTTACATTTCAATGTTTAAAAAACTGTCTAAATGGTATTCCCTCCGTCCCAAAGTACAATATTTACTTTTGGCACCGATTTTTAGGTGAGTAGTATTAAATAGGATAATTTAGAAATTAAGTGACGTGATAGAGAGAAATATATATATATTTTTTTTTATTTAGATGATGTGAGAAGATAAAATATGTAGTAGAAATTAAATATAATTAATTATTTTTTATTTTAAAAAATATTACAGGGTGTTTAACACATACCAAAAACAAAATGTTGCAGGAGGAGGGAATATCATTCTTCATTGCATTATCTTTTAGTGTTGATAAGAGTATTAATTATAATGGTGATAGCTACACTTACGGACAACATATGATAAATATTTAACATAATCCAAATACATTAAGGGTGTGTTTGTTTGGGGGATTGAATATTAATTCCCCTATTAATTTCATTTTTTTCCCCCAAAAACATCAAATCAAACACTTATTTTTTATTTTTTATATTATATTAAAAATCAATTTTACATTCAAAACATGCGCATCAACACCTATTTATATCACATCATACAACTATTCAAATTCAAAATTTTTACTATTCAAATCTCAACTCAAAATACAAACCCCAAACAAACACACCCTTAGGGAATATATATATCACATCATACAACTATTCAAATTCAAAATTTTTACTATTCAAATCTCAACTCAAAATACAAACCCCAAACAAACACACCCTTAGGGAATATATATATATATATATATGTATTAATAGTGCGTAACAATAGCCTATACAATACATAATATAATTAAACTCAATACATCGAGACATATAAAAACAAGACACGCCTTTAAAATATAAGATTGTAAGAATCATTTAAAACATAAACTAACAACAAACATTGTAAGAAAATGAATAAATTACATAACCAAACCGATATAATTATATTATATATATATATACACAATTTTCATTTTTCCCCTTCTTAGAACAACTAAAGAGTCACCTAACAATTCCATTTCTAAGCTGCTGTACAAAAAGTCACCTAAAGAAAAGCAAGTAAAAGTGTCTTGTTAGCAAGTCTTACCAGTGTAACACAAGAAGTGGCAGTACACCCAAAAACAGAAGGGCTCCCATGACCAAAATCCTCGATTCCACAGCATCGTAAATCTTTCTGGTCCTCCCTCGAACTTGCCTCGCAACCTCATGGCCTACCTTGGACCACATGTTTACTAGGATTTGATTGTTAATGCTGTTTTTTACTTTTTCTTACAAAAGTTGTAGTTTCTTCGACATCCAAAGTGGAGGAGAATCCACAGTTGCTCTGATGGCCTCGGGATATAAGTCACCATTCCTGGTCGATATATATATACATATATATATATGTGTGTTTGTGTATGTATACACAATAGTTCCAGCAAAGATTAGGGCCTAGACGCCAAGAACATCAAAACTTGACAGAAGAACTGAGTGAGCCTTTCTTTCCGGTTATTCTTCACACGTGAATTTGTTACTATCCTGCAGTTGAATTGCACAATCAGATCTCACGCCGAAAAATTTATATATAAATATTATTCTAACTTTTAAGAAGTTTTAGTTGATTGTAACGAATCAGGGTTAGAACTTACAAATGCTCCCGATAATACAATAGGTACCCCATGTGAACTAGTTCAAGACATTTTCCAAACAATTTAAACAGTTTGTCAATCGGATGGTATAACATGTGTGTGTATAAACTAGACCATATTTAGCAACCACAGTGATGCGAGAAATTGCACAAGTATAATTAACAAAAACTGTTGATTACAATTCTACCCGACTAAATATTTGAGAATATTCTTTACCGCATAATGACAAAATAAAGAATGAAAATAAATCAAGGAAAAGACAACACTATGGGCGACATCAAAATTAATTTCCTTACATTCATTATATACTACAAGGACAAGTAAATTCAAATTTGATGTGATGACATTGCAAATGGAAATAAGAACATGTATAATATGGCTATATATATATATACACACATATTCAAATCCACATTCTACTTCCTTTTGCTGATTATAGATATCTAATGTCTGATAGCAAAGTTCTTTTATCCTCGACATAAACATGTAATGATATTTTCTCAGGGTGAAATGAAAAGCAGGTAATTTTTATTTTATAATTAATCAATTACATGAACAAATATTTTTCATTAGGACAACAATTGCATCAGCGGATATTTATTCAAATTCAAATCACACGCATTACACATACTGTACAATGAAATGCAAGTGAAACTTGCAAAACTAAGTTCATACAATACAGGCTGAATTTTATACACACACACACACACACACATATATATATATACATACACACACACAACACACACACACACACACATATATATATATCTTGAACACTTATCAACTAGAGAAGACTATAGAGAAGCTGATGGGACTCATGAAGCTGTATGCAGGTGATGCCGATCATTGTTACTTTACTGCTTAAACGAGAATAATACTTCAGAACTGAAACCCAGAACATAATTAGAAGAAATAATTAAAATGCTACGGCTATGGCTACGGCAGAAGTGTTAAATTACCTATACTGCCATATCCAGCTAGCTTTCTTTCTTCAGTTTGGTCTCTTTCTTCTGCTCTTACTGTCAGAGAACCAGCTTGAATCCCTCGGACAAGAAATCATCTCTGAGACAAACAGACAAGAGAGAGTTTGATATAAAAATCAGGCCACAGAAGAATGAATAATCGGTTTCAAGAGTGTAGAAGTGATGCATCAAGATTCAATTTCATTTGTCATTTCTATAACATGGCCAGTGCTATAACAAGAACATGGACAGTTTACTTTCAACCATAACATGTAAAATGGTGCTTATTAATGAACACTAAATCAACAAATAAGAACTTAGTTCTTGCAACTCACTTGATCAACCATATAGATTCAAATCATTTTGGTAGTTGATAATTGACCACATAATGATTTATACATGTAGTGTCTGAAATAAATTCATATTAATATCTCTATAAAACGAACAAAAGAAATTCATTAGTTCATGATTACTAGTTTACCTCTTGTTTCTGATCTTTTCCTTCTTTCGCACCGGAATTTGTTTTTTGATTTCTTGCTTGTTGTTCAAAGAAATGAGGGTTTCAACACAACTTTCGGCATAAAACACAAAAGGCATGCCCTCTACTATAACTTCCTCAATAGCTTTCGTCCGTAAATCATACCAAATAAGCCGCTTATCATCACAATTCAACAAAACCATCTTTCCATCTTTCGAATACACCAATGGCTTCACAATATCATTCCTCTCAATGGCAGGTGTACTAACCGACAACAATTTAAACCACGATTCCTTCACTCCATAATCATTCATCACCCAAATCACAATCCTTTGTCTTTTAGTACATACCATGGAAAGATTCCCATCAAGCACATCCAAAGTTACATCAAAACCATCAGTCCGAACACCTTGCGGCAACATCATCTGATAATGCTTCTCAGTCTGAACATTGAAACACATTATTCTGATCTCGTCTTCATTATTCGGATCCTCAACCAGCGTATGCATCGATCCACGAACATGGACACGCCAATTTCCCTTCAAGAAAGGCAGGGGATAAGGAAAATCCTCAATTCTCCTCCAGGAATTCGATTTAAGGCTGTAAACCTTCGCCTCCGACGCAATCCAAACATGTGAAAACTTATGCCTGACTTCCACAATCCTCACAACCTTGTAATCATCATTGCTGGAATCGTAACCAAATCCATAAGCAGTCTTCGGATAAGCTTCCGCAGGAGTCTCATACTCAACAGCACAATCAGGCAGAACTCTATAGTCTGTCGAAAACGGATTCCACAACACAGGGGGGTCACTCATCACAAGAACAATACCGTGGCACGAATTCGAAATCCAATCAACACTCTTGTAGTAAAACGGCGGCTTCATTACCTCAGCCTTGTCCATTGCATCCAGCTTGATATTATACAGACCAAGGCCTCCGAGCAGAAGACTCCGATTGGAATTCGATAGCAACGACTGGCGCAAGTGCAACTTCCTGAAATTCTCGCTCTCTATAAGCAAAAACCATGACTTCGCCACCGCACAGAACCGCTTGAGGCTTTTCACCGGCAGGCGGCGGAGGATGTCCTCTATCAGCTCAAATGGAAGAATCTCCATCCCTTACCTCTAATCAGAAACAATTCTAGGGTTTCTCCAAACTTCGCAGTGGCTCTATCTGCTTCACCAATCCCAAATTCGAGATATCCTCAATCATTCCTCGTACAAATGGATTTAGATACCGAACTAAACCAAACCTGATCAAAATCACATAGAAATCGAACGAATTAGCATTTTATCCTCAAATTTTTCTACGTAACTCATAAACATCTTCCGACGACGATTCACGTCGAATTAAACGCTCAATCCACAAGTAAATCAAGACCACATATTATGAAGAAGCTGATTACCTTCGAAGAGCGGAAGCTATTGCACCAAAATCCGTAGCACAGGTCCGAAGAACACTGAGGACTGAAGGAATATGAACGAAAGAATTTGAGCTATTTATTTATTTATTATTATTGTTATTATTTATTTTCTTTTTATATTCGTCCTTATTCGCTTTTGGTTGTACTTTCCATAAACGCGCTTTTACGTATCATGGAAAACGCGTGATTTTATTTCTGCGGGAAATGCTAAACGCGTGGTTCTGATCACTTTTTCAGTAAAACATAAATATAGGTGGAATAGACACTAATGTGACGTGTCAACTTGCCGTGGGCTGTGGTCTTTTTTTTTTTTTTTATAATAAAAACAAGCTCATTATAACTACGTGGTTAAATTATACTACCTCGTCCCATATACCAGATATCGTAGATACTGTGTATTTTAGAAGGGGTGTAATTAGTAGATCTTACAATATAAATAATTATAAAATAAGATTAAGATAATTAATTAATTTAATTAAAATTAAAAAATTTAAAATGAAAATAAAGTGTGTAATTATTTTCCAAAAAAATGAAAGTGACATAATAAGTACGACGGACAGAAACCGACAACATGAACATGGTATCTACGGAGGAGTACTTCATCCCACATAAAATGTTTATTTATTCTTTTTTTTTTTCCAAATAATTTGTATAATCATATAATTTTAATTTATAGTTATTTTTATTATATTATTTTTAATAATAATTTATTAATTATGTAATGTAACTATGGCATTTGTTAAAAGTAGGAAATACAATTTTCCGATTTATTATTGCGTTAAATTTTTTTATTTAATCAAAGATTGCATAAATTTTTATTGTTTTTAATCCAAAATAAATATTTAAATGTAAATACAAATTTAATTATACAAATTTTACATAAATAAAAAAGATAAAAATATTATCTTTTATTTTATAATTTTTAAAAGACAAATACTAGTAAATATTATACTCCTCATTCAATGGGGTATTTTAGTTGAAGTTTGTAATAACTCTTTAATTTTACATATAAAATAATTATATATTTTTAATTAAATTAAAAAAAATAATAATATTTTAGTACTAAGGTTATTTTTTTTAAATAAATAAAAAAAGGAATACTTTGATTCAAATTGAGATTAAAATAATATAATTGATCATGATTAAATTAATATATAATCTATTTATAATAAATAATTTTTTTTTAATTTTATAATTTTATTTTAACAAATAATGTTCAATTTAATATTATCTTTTAATAATTATTTTTTATCATCATTTTTACATTTAGACTACTCATTTTGTTCCGACGAAAATATCTTTTGAAGTTTTGTATGGTGAAAATATAATATTGTAATATTTTATTAGTTTATATAAATATATAAGATGATTTTAATATTTTTATACTATATTTTTTTTCTTTATAACTTATAAGTGCAATTATATTATATGTTTTTTTTTATTTATATAAAAATTTAAAGTATATTGATATTGTTAATTTTTTCATTCACATTTAAAAGGATTTGTTTTCTATTATAATAAGTAATAAGACGCTAATATAAAAAATTATTTTTAAAATTTTTAAATAAATTATAAATATATTATTAAACATATAATTAATTATGTAGAAAATAAAAAATATATAAAAATTATTTCACATATTCGTTTGTTTCATTTGAAATGTATAGTTTTTTTTTTAAAATAAATTATACAATAATACTAAATAAAAATATAAAAACTTATTATATATTTTATTAATAAATAAATTATTATTATTTTTTAATTTACTATAAAATTGAAAAAAAAAATATATTTTATGAAAATAATTTTTTTAAAATTTTCTTTCAAAAGTCCTTGTATAAATTCACCAGGCGTACTTTTGAACCCGCCGCAAGCCCCATTGCACCCACTAAATAGATCCGCAACGTTCGATGTGGCTCCCACTCAATACTTAACTGTTCCGATTTGTTTGGATGCATAATTAATAAGGATGTATTTATTTGATTTAAATTAATTTAAATATAAATTATTTTTATAAAAAAATTAAAAATTTAAATGTTATATTTTTTTTAGTAAGTAAAAAATAAGTAGATATTTAGTTAATATATTATAAATTAAATTATATTTATTATATATAATTTATCTTAGGATACAAATAAAAAGGGAAAAAAATCAATTTTAGTTTCAATATATATATATATATATTTTTATCAATTTTGGTCTAAATATAAAAAGTTCATCAATTTAGTTCTTTATAAACAATTTCAATCAATTTTGGCCTCATTATAAATAATTTCAATCAATTTTGGTCTCACCGTTAAAAAATTAACGAAAATTGTTGATGTTGACATAACAGAAGTGACTGCTGACTTTACACAACCACGTAAAATTATACGCGTCCATGTAGTTACATGACCATATATATTTCAATGTATAATTATACATGGTCATGTTGTTACACGATCATATTATTACATGACCATGTATAATTATACATGATTATGTTGTTACACGATCATGTATAATTCTACACGGCCGTACCTTTCTGTTTTGGTCTAAAATTTTATTTTTTTTTGTTATATTTTTTAATTTTTTTAATTTAAAATAGTTGATATAGGTAAAATGGAAACAAATCAATAATAATTATAATATAATTAAAATGTATCAATTTTAGTTCAAATATAAATATTTATCAAATATATTCTTTTGGAAGATTTTGTCTAAAGTTCTACTACTTACTAAAAAAAATTCTCTTACAAACATCTAATTATTGTATTGAAATAATAAATTAGTTTTTAATACTACTGTAATATACAAAATTAAAAAATAGTTGTGTAATTAGATGTTTGTAAGAACAAAACTTTTTATGAATAATAGAATTTTAGACAAAAGCTTTCAAATGAATATATCTTATAAATTTTCATATTTGAATTAAAATTGATAAATTTTAATTATATTATGATTACTATTGATTTTGTCTATTTTAACCATATCAACTACTCCCCCGTCCCAGAAGAAATGTCTTGTTGGGAGTTGTCACGAGAATTAAGGAATAATAGTATTTAATTGAAAGTGTGTATAAAGTAGGATGTAAAAGACAATTGTTTCGGGACGGACAAAAATGGAAAAACAAGACTAACTCTTTTGGGACGGATGAAGTATTTTAAATTCAAAATAATTTTTTTTTAAAAAAAATATAAGAAGAAAAAATAATTTTAGACTTAAACATAAATGTACAAGGTACATATCGTATACGTTCTGTTTTAATCGGTGGACCAAAATTAATTGAAACTATTTATAATAATACCAAAATTGATTGAAATTATTTACAGTGAGATTAAAATTGATGAGTTTTTTTATATTGAAACCAAAATTGATAAATTTTTGTTATATTGCGACAAAAATTAATTTTTTTCCTAAAAAAAATTTAAAAAAAGTGTTAATTGTTATTTTGATAAGTACTCTATATGACTATATAATTTAAATAGGGAAAATTAAGGAACTTCAATAAAAAAAATCCATCCTGAATCTCATATACTCAGTTCAATCTACACCGTTAATTCATAAACGGACGGTATCGATCTAAAGGTGTCGAAGTCTGCACAAATTATAGTTAGGGCATAAACGATTGTTTACAGCCACATACATCATATAAACGCACGTAAACAGTCTCTCTTAGATCACTAAGTTGCGTCGATTTGATCATGCACAACTGAAAACCCTAACCAAATGATCCCGCAACCTTCATTGAATCGCAGTCGAATTCTTCGCTGAAAATCTGTCTCGAAGAAATCCAAAAACTTGGAGGAAAAGGAGTTTCAAAACCCTACTGAATTCCAATTCAGTATTTTTTTTTCCCATTCCACAATCCGGAGCGATGTGTAATTGAAGGGGAAGCGACACTGAATTGGCCGTAGAAGAGAGGAATTGAGAATGAAGAGTCTCTTCAAATCGAAGCCCAAAACGCCAGCGGAGGTGGTTCGTCACACGCGCGATCTGCTCATTTTCGCGGACCGCGGTGGCGCCGAGGTTAAAGAAAGCAAGCGTGAAGAGAAGGTCTTGTTTTTTTGCGTGTTTGTTTGTTTTCTGTTAAAATTTCTTTGTTCATCTATCTGCATTGTGCTTTGGATCTGCTATTGATTGAAGAAATTCTGATGTTTTACACTCAAATAATCCGTTAGGGCTTATTTTAGGCGTTGATTTGAATTTCATTGATCAATATAGATGTGTAATTGACAAACAATTTGCCTGATGATTCTATTGCTATTGATGTGTTAATTTGAACAGTTGGAGGTTGTATATTTGATCTATTCAGGAATTTATGTTGTCTTGTTTACTGTTATTTTTTTCTGTATTAGATGGTTGAGCTGAGCAAACATATTCGGGAGTTGAAACACATTCTTTATGGGGACAGTGAATCCGAGCCTGTATCGGATGCTTGCACGCAATTGACTCAGGAGATCTTTAAGGAAAACACTTTTCGACTGCTCATTATATGCCTTCCAAAGTTGAACTTGGAGGTACTTTAGAAAGCTTTCAATTTTGATGTTTTAAATGGCATGGCTCTGTTTTTTATATGGAATGTTAGGAATGGAGATAAATGTTTTTTGGATTGGATATTATCATAGCACAACCTTTTGTAGGCCCGTAAAGATGCCACACAGGTTGTTGCGAATCTGCAGCGGCAACAAGTTCAATCGAAGCTGATTGCTTCTGATTACTTGGAGAAAAACTTGGATCTCATGGATATCTTAATAACAGGGTAACATTACATTGTATTTTTAATTGGATGACTGATTGTTGAATGAAATTGTTAAAAGAGTTTTGGGTTTCTGTTTTCGTCTTTATTTATTTTTGGAAATTTGGTGGATAAATGAGAAACAGATTGATGTGAAATAAATGCTTTTCAATTTCTTCCTTATTTCGACAAAACTTTTGAAACACAAGCAGTTTTTTTTAGATATGGGATGTTATTGTTTAATTTGCTATTTTCGATTCATTTTCTGTTCCATGCTAATTGGTCAGTTGACACACCATAAAGTAACACCTGTTGAAACACGCCGTAACCAGACATCTCAATTTTTTACTGCCAAAAATTTCTTTACTTCATTTAGAAACATTAAGAATCTCACTGATTTTGTATACCGGTTTATAACTCAAGGCTGCATCCTTTTTCTCCTCAAACTGCAGTGCAATATGTTGATATCTGTCGGAGATTATACATTACATGTCCTTGTCTGAATGTTTTCCTGGTGATTGAATGTCTACATGATTGTAACATTTGTAATAACCTGTGGACGATTTGGTTTTGAGATGTGTTCTGCATGTTTGGGCATGGCAAGAGATATAGAAATTTGGTTCTTGATTTCTCAAAAGTGTGTTTGCTTTTAGTGGTCTACCAGATGATTTTTGTGCTTATGTTTTTAACATGGGCATTGGTGTGCTAAAATTGCTCTAGAATGAAGATATTAACCTATATGATTCTTAGCCATGGATTTGCTGTTTAGAGTTTGCATTCAGCCTAATGTTTGCCCTGCAGAAGACCTTGTACAGAGTGTTGCAATGCACCCTTCTTTTTAATTATATCATCATACTGACACTATTTGTTTACCCATCAGTTATGAAAATACTGACCTGGCATTACATTACGGTGCAATGTCAAGGGAATGCATACGCCACCAATGTGTTGCGAGGTTAGTTGATTATTTCTTTATTTGCTCACTTATGATTATTTTTGGTATTGTGAATGCCAGAAGATATTGTGATAGAAAATAATTCCGTGACTGTTTGAGGCTAATTCCACAATCAAGGGTGACGACAGTTTCAAAAACAAAATACTGACTTTAATTCGGTGACCAGGTACGTCTTGGAATCACAGCATATGAAGAAATTTTTTGACTATATGCAGCTCCAGCACTTCGACATTGCTGCCGATGCTGCTGCCACATTCAAGGTAATGCATTACAACCCAATTAGTCGTTTGTTTTTTTGCCAATCAAATGTCTACCAGAACATAAAACTCCACCGCCCTCTTTCTGTCTCCAGGATGATTAAATCCTCGACATTTTGGTGATTTTATTGTTCCATTTTCATGGCATAGCTCTGATGTGTATATCTCTTGTTACAGGAATTATTGACTCGGCACAAGTCAACAGTTGCTGAATTTCTCTCTAAAAATTATGATTGGGTTGGTACTTTTTGTTTGGATGCTGAAATTCTTGCTTTCTTAGTATTTTTCCATTTAAGTTCTTTAAGCATTTTCCTTTTGCAGCAATCACACTGATATATTTCCCCTTTTTTCGTTTGCATGATCATTTCTTTATTTAAGGATTTCTCTGTAGTTCTAATCCCTTAATTATTCACACTTCCCACTAAAGATAAATACTGATAGTTTTTTCTCGATAGTTCTTCCCTGCGTATAACTCAAAGTTGCTGGAATCTCAGAATTACCTCACCCGGAGACAAGCTGTGAAGGTAGTGTCCATCAGTTCGTGTTCTTAAAATTTTTGTGGCGTTAGATACCATCATTCTAATCCTTTGTCTTGATAATGTAATGTGTGCCCATCAGATGCTCGGGGATATCTTACTTGATCGGTCGAATTCGTCTGTGATGATGCGGTATGTTAGCTCAAGAGACAATCTGAGGATCCTCATGAATCTTCTACGGGTGCGTTGCTTTAATTATACTTTTATAATGGGCAATAATAACCGAAAATCACTAGAGATTCGAGTAGGGTTTATTGCAGCAGCACGACCTCATCGAACACGCTAATTAGTTATCTTGATTATGATCCCGTACACGGCCCCTTTATTATAAGTTTTCTATCAAGGTTTAGATGTGTGAAAAATACCAGTCAGTTTTGAAATGATAAAATCTTTCTTTTCTTCTGCCAGGAGTCGAGCAAGAGCATTCAGTTTGAAGCGTTCCATGTTTTCAAGGTACAAAGTTCTACAACAAAATTTGTTTTTTCTTTTTTCTCGACTTTTAGGATGCTGCCTACTCATCATCACCACTGTGCAGTTATTCGTAGCCAATCAGAACAAGCCTCCGGACATTGTTAGCATCCTCATCACAAATAAAAGCAAGCTTCTCCGCCTCTTTGCTGATTTTAAAAGCGATAGAGGTGATGAATAAAGAAATACACATTTTTGATTTATTTTTTTCGCAAAATTGCTTATAATTCATTGGAAAAGTTGCATCATATCCATGATTTAGAAACCTTACTAGGCTCTTGTGTATTTTAGAAATATTGAACAAAATTCTCTAAATAATGTGCTAGGCTCCCTCATTTTTCAACAATATTGCACAAAATTATCTAAAAATAAATTATGTGCAATTTGAAGAATGGTGCAGATTTTCCAAATGATTTATTTATTTATTATTATTACTTTGAACATTATTTGGTTACCAACGTTGGTTTCTTTCGTTATCAGAGGACGAACAATTTGAAGCCGACAAAGCACAGGTTGTCCGAGAAATTACGGCACTGGAGCCGGGGGAACAGGCGTGATCGAATGGAGGTCGTACTATGATTATCAGCTGCTTTCGGTGTGTTGTATGTGTAAAGTTTTTCCTTCCACACATTGCACATATGGATTGCTAATTAATAGGTTCTTATTTAGGTTTATTTTTTGGCTTCTAGTTTTTGGAAAAATCTCATTTTAATATGCAGATGATGGTTTTGATTCCTCAGCTTTTGGAAATTTTCGTTATTAGATTTTAATGCAGATATGGTTACTTTTATTTTATTTATAATTGTAGCCGTGAAAGTGGAAGTTTTAGAAAATTTTGAGTATTTGATAGTAGTATATTTTGTTATTTGAAAAATGTGATTTTTTTTTTTTTTTTATTTTTATTTTTTTTTAAATATTGCTATTAATAAATACTGTTTAAAATTTTTAACAGTCATTTTATGCAAATAGAAATTATAGATTGTAGTTGGTTTGTATTTTATAGTTAAAAAATATCTGATAATTATATGGTATTTTATGAGATAAAAATATATATACTTTTTTAAATAGGAAAATTGTATTGGAAAGAAATTGAAAAAAATTCAAAGAAAAATAGAGCATGAAGTGTTCAATTTTTTTATTTTTTTTTAATTTTTATTTTTATTTTATAATGTAAATTGCATGCATTTATTTAGGGCAGTTATTAAACCTATAATAATAAATACTTTAATAAAATAAAATTATATAATATATTTATATTTTATGTAAAAATGGAAGATATTTTAATAAAAAAAATATATAAGAATAATATTATTCTAATTTAAAAAGTACACATTTGAGTGATAGAAATAGATAAAAATAATAAAAGATTATATATAAGTAAAAAGGATAGAGTATTAAATATAATAAATAAAAAACAATAAATGTATGTATATATATTTGGAATTAACATAAAAAAAATAAAATAAAAATTAAACTATATGTGTTGTTAATCAGTATTAACGAAGACAACAAACAATACACCATATATATATATATATATATATAAGACAAATGCATCACTTTATTTATACACTATTTATTTTTTAAAAAAAAATTGTCAAATCAATTACATTTTTTTTTTTTATAAAATAACATGTCAAATATTATTTATTTATTTATTTTTTAAAATTTTAAAAAACCTTCAGAAATTTATATCTAAACCAGTGATTGAATGTTTTATATATACGGATTAAAATAGTCAACATAATGCTATTTTTTTTTAAGTTACCACCATAACCCATTCGTTTCCAATGATATTATTCATGTCATTTTTATTTAAAAAATGATAATTACATAATATTAATATCAAAACAAATATTACGTAAATAAAAAATTAACTGTATAATAAATTGTTGCTTATTCGACCGTTGGCAGTTCTCGAACGACGTCGTTCCTTACGCACAAATGTATCATGACAAATATTAATAATGATAAAGAATGGCGTAATGGAATCAGCATCTTTTTGGACGTTCAGTTCATGTGCTCAGAGGAAGGAAAGTGATTCGATTCATCATCAATCAAGAAATTGCAATTTACAGCGAGTGTTTATTCTAATCAATCTGATAATCTGATTTCCAATCTGATAACCCGATTTCGATCTGCTCCAGCGGATGGCGCAACCAGGCAAGATTTTAATTGTCTTCATTTTTCACTTTTCCCTTCTTTTAAACCCGTTCGCTCACAAACTCGCACTCACAGTTGATCGGAATCGTGGATTTGCAGGTTCAGTGGAAGATTTCTTGGCGAAGGCTTTGGATGCGGCTAAGAGTGCTGGGGAGGTATCATTTTTTTCGAAATTCCACAATCTGCCAAGATTTCATTTTAAAATTGTAAAACGAGCTCTTTGGTTGCCAGATTATCCGTTCTGGATTCTATGAGTCAAAAGTTGTTCACCACAAGGGCGAGGTATACTGTAGGTTTAATTGTGATTTTTATTGTTTTTAGATTGTTGTATCCAATATACGCATATACATGATTCTTTATATATATAGGTTGATATGAAGGATAAAAACTGGATATCTTGTTGATAACAATACTATAGCCTCTTCTTTGTAGTTGAATTCCACTAATTGAATTCTGATGTCATTGTGGTTAATAGAGAGATGTTTAGACTTCAAGAGTATTTATCAGTTGTAGGATCTTATGTTTTACATGATATTTTGTACAAGAAAGTGTTGAAAAAAAAACCCAAACAAACTAAGTTCTACATCGGAAAAATAAAGAAAAATATTATTGGTTATAAGATAGCTAGCTCCACATAGTATGATGCCTCTTGGGGAAATTCAAAAGCAAATCTGTACGGGTTTAGCTCGGACAATATCATACCAATATAGAGTTATCTCGGTCACAACAAACTGGTATTAGACTCAAAAGATTTGTTGGAAATAAAGAAAATAGCATGAGGTTTTTTAGGAAATTCCAAAAGCAAATTCTTGCGGACTTTACTCAAAACAGACAATATTATACTAAGTGTGAAGTTAAGCCTATTCTAACAAATATAAATTTGATTAATTTTTAGCATCCTTCAGACTATGGGAATGACAGAGTCTGTATGCTATAATATTCAAGATAGATAATTTCTACTGTATTCCTGTACCAATATACGATATCCTTTTCATGTGATGTGCTGTAATCTTACACTAGATATGGCATTATTAGATGGCACTGAAGTTGTAAGGCCAATGTCTTGGTAATTGATTGTTTTTGTGACTAGTGAGTAATCACATTTGTTCGAAATCATGCCAAAGATTTACAGAATAGGAGATGAACCCTTGCACTGTGTCTATTTTTGCAGGTGGATTTGGTGACGGAGACTGACAAGAAATGCGAGCAACTGATATTTGATTTTCTAAAACAACAATATCCTAACCATAAGGTTTGTTCAGTTTTTATTTACTTTGTAGGATCAAGATGGTATTGGATACTTGGTACTGCATCTTATACTGGCCTTTGTTCATTTTAGTTCATTGGCGAAGAAACGAGTGCTGCTTGTGGCACTGAAGAATTGACTGATGACCCTACTTGGATTGTTGATCCTGTAGATGGCACAACTAATTTTGTGCACGGGCAAGTGACTTATTTCAAGTTCATTTACATTCTGATTCTTGTTTCATCTCAGATTTCTCAAAATTTTGAATGCAGATTTCCATTTGTTTGCGTGTCAATTGGACTCACAATTGGAAAAATCCCTACAGTTGGTGTTGTATACAATCCGATTATGAATGAGGCAAGATTCCACGTAACTTCTTCTAAGATTTAAGTGGTCTACGATTTAGATACCTGGCTTGTGTACTTTCTACATTTCTGCATACTACAAAATAATGTCAGATGACAAATTTTACAGATTGGAGAAAAAATGTTACTAGCCAAAGTAAAAGCTTCAGTATTTTATCAAAAACATTTTGCCTTCGATATTTTGACTAAACCTTGGTTTCAACATGTAGCTTTTTACCGCAGTTAGGGGCAAAGGGGCTTTTCTCAATGGAGAACCCATCAAAGGTTCGTTATTTCTTCATCCAGAGATTGCATTTCTTATTCAGATTGCAGTTTATGTGATCCATACAGCTAAATTGTTTATGTGCAGTGTCTTCTCAAAATGAGCTAGTGAAGTCCTTACTTGTCACTGAGGTACTAACCGAAAGTCAGTTTATTTTATGCCGTAGAAAGTTAGAGAGATTTCAAAATTTACCTTTTTAATTATCATGCCAATGCCGAACATGTTTCCTAAATTTCATTTTTCTCTGAATAAAAAGGTGGGTACAAAGCGCGACACAGCTACAGTTGATGCTGCTACAAATAGGATCAATTCCTTACTTTTCCAGGTAAATATGATTTCACCATTGCCTTCGAATTGTTGTTAAATGACCATCTCATTTAAAAATTTAAGTTTACAAGGGATAAATATAATATCACCATCGCCTTTATATATTATGAAGTTAACCAACATGCCCTCACTTTATGCTACATACGGATCTTGCATTTGAACGATGACGAATGAAGGATGGTACATTCTGGCTCCGATATTATATTAAATGACAATTTAACCAAAAAGTTCAAACTTAAAGCACTATGCTCAATTTATTTATTTGATATGAATTCAACCAACAACTCTTTACAAAGCAAAATCGTTTAGAACGTGTAGTTTGTATTTTACATGGTCAGGTCCAAGCCATTCGGTCGTGCGGCTCCACTGCATTAGATTTGTGTGGAATTGCTTGTGGAAGGCTTGATCTTTTCTATCAACATGGATTTGGGCCCTGGTATATATGATTTCATTACAATATGTGACTCCCCACAATGATGCATCATAATATTCACTAAAATCATGAAACATTCGTGCAGGGATGTGGCGGCTGGTTTTGTTATTGTCACTGAAGCCGGAGGACTTGTATATGATCCGTAAGCAATGCCTCTCCACCTCTGCTTTATGTCTTAGAAATTTACATTAGGGTTTTATTTTCTTTAAAAATCACGAGCATATATGTTGTGTTGTGAAGCACTAAGCTGGAGGTTGAAAGAGTACTAGACATCCAGCTCCTCGGACACCGTTCGACCTCTACGGTGAGGTCGTTGGGGTGTTTAAGAGGGGCAAGTAGGCCCCCTTTTGGGGGTTCGGGGTGTGTACCTGAAAAAACTTTTGGACCATCGATGGTCGTGTGCTAAAGTTTTGTCTTTCGACATCTAATATGTATTCTTTTTCAAATTTACATTAAAAATATTAGTGAAATATTTGGTTCGGTCACCTCCAAGTAGATCAATTAGATCGAATTGGGTCACCAAATCATTGCCTTTATTGTGCTTTTTTATCTTGATTTTTCACAATTTCACAAGAATAATACAATATATGTGTGTGTTTGTTTGTGATTCGACAGGACGGGGAAGGATGCCGACATAACAATTCCACAAATTGCGGCTTCGAATCCTCACCTAAAGGATGTTTTTGTTAAGGCATTGCAATGGAAATAGTTAAAAATAGCAGGAATCAGGTAAATTTCTGACCTGATTTCTATTAATTTGTTTAGCATTCTGAAAAATGCATCTTTCTCTGCCCTGCATTCGCTGATATTTGTAATGTTAGCATAAGCTGTTACAGAAATTTGGATTGAAAATGTCTGATGCTTATGAATTCTCTATTTGTTTCAATTAAAGATGCTTGCTCCAACAGATCATTCTTGCAATTTCATCTTCATTTGATTCTCTGCATTGTTCATCCACTTTATTCATTTGCTTCAACCTTTTCAATCTAAATGAGTCGTCGATAATCTCCTGATGCTGCAATGCAATGGTTTTATTAATTCTTGCTTATAACCACACCAAAGTACAATCTCAGTACTACCTCTACCTACCTTGTTGATAACTTTTATTTTTTATTAATTCTTGGAATGATTTCAAGCTTCGATTCTTCTTCATTCATTCTTGTCGGTGGAATAAAAGCCAAGTAGTAGTAGTAACAATACACAATCCAATCCAATCCAGGATTAAGATTAGGTGGATGGATGTGAAATCAGACTCACCCGAAAGGAAAGATAGCGGCTGCAGGTAAAAAAACAAAAACAACCCTTACAAACTAAAGAAGCAAAAGCAACCATGGCAACTGAGCTGCTGCAACTAATCCCAAAGCCCCACCAAGCTTAGCCATTGCGGAAGGTGCCGCAGCAGAGAGCTCCACCCGGACGTCGTCCACCACCGGACCACACAGCGAGCTCATGTCATCCGTCCTCGTGTTGTAATATACGCTGTAGAAGGCCACACGGGTCCTCTCCGCCTTGGCCGTGAAGTTGAGGTTCGCCGCCTGAAAGGTGGAGTTCGAATCCGGAGTGTAGTGCACGTTCTGCGCCTGGTCGCCGGCAAACGCCATGACTGCCAGCGGCTGCTTGCAGGCGTCCCCTGCGTGCCCCAGGGAGAAGCTCAGTCGGTAAGCCTTGTTTGCCTTTGTCGCCACCATCTGCGAGATGATCCCTTCCTTCCCCGACAGCAATTCGACGGCGCGCTTCCCTCCGGGGACTGAGAAGTGGTAGGAATCGATGTAGCGGACAGCCCGGTTGGACTCCACAGTCCACCCGGGCAGAGAGGATGTCTCCTCGTCCAGGTTGGTCGGGAGGAGCACCCCTAGAGACTCGTTTCTGAACATCCACGGGCCCTCTTCGAAATCTCCATTTACAACGGCATTGTCTGCAGAGTTGCTTGAATGAATTATTATTAATTGTGTTGGATGCTCAAAATGACTCACCTAAAAGCTCAAGAAATGAATCATTAATTTATTTATTTGCCCATCAAATATGCAAAACTTGCACATATATACATATATATATATATATGTATGTTTATGCAGAAATGAGGACACGGCTCATCACTTATATCATCTAATATAGTGTCGGTGGTCTCAAAGTCATCACTTATATCATCTAATATACCATTACAGTTTTGGGTCTGGAGTTCGAATTCTGGCGTTGTCCACGGCCGGGCAAATTTAGTTTAGTAGTATTTACACCTTTGTGTGATTAACTCCCATTTGTAAATAAATAAACGGTGCTTATCCCTAAAAACTTAATTCAAAACTTTTTAGGTGAGTCTGATCATAATCATCTGAAAAATTGAATTGAATTGAATCTTCCTTATTATGTCCTTACCTTTGGGTTTGTCGGGGACGAAGAGCTTCTTGATGGCGATGTCGTCGATGATGGGCCCGCAGGTGGGGTCGTCCTCCATGCCGGGGTTCCGGAAGACGAGGCGGGCGTCGTGGTCGGCGGCGAGGAAGGCCCAGGCGTAGGTATCCCAGCCCTGGACGCTGTAGAGCGTCTGGAGGTCGATGGTCTGGGAGGCGGCGGGGGGCACGGAGACGTTGAGGGACTCGAGCTGGGCGCAGGTGCGGGCGGCGCTGAACGTGACGGAGTAGAGGCTGCCCTTCTCCACCTTCACCTCCTGGCTGATCTCGGCGTCGTTCCCCAGCCGCACCGCGTGCGATCCCTGCGGTACGATCAGGATCATCCCCCCCTGCTTCTCCCCTGATTGCACCACCTCCACTTCCCCTTTCGTCTTCCAGTTAGGAATGGCGGCCGGGCCCCCCTCCTCCGACCCCGATGGAGGGGGAGGGGTTTCAAAATCACCGTTGAGGAGCTCGCCTGCCACCCACATTTACATTACATTAATGGGTTACCCAATCAATGGCATCGTCATTTAATTGGCTGGTAATCATCAAATTCCAATTTCGAAGAAAAAAAAGAATAGAGATTTGGAGGATCTAATTTGTTGGACAGAAACAGGGGGAATTATTATTATTACTGTTACTATGAGGACCATACTGATACTGTCAGGTTGGTTCGGTCAGGTTGTGGAGGCATAGCATAATAATGGCCATCACCACCACCCGCCATCTTCTCACTCACTCACTCACTCACATGGCTGCAGTGCAGTGCAGTGCACGGGTGGGTGGGTGAGAAAAAAAGGGCAGTGGATTTTGGCGATCAACAAAAGTGTGAAGAAATCAAGAAACCGCGTTGAACCACAGTAACTCTCTGACCATTTGACTCTCAGAAAGCTCTGTTCTTGAACTCCATGATGCCTAAAAACAGTGTAGCTATATAAAACACCCACACACACAGCAATTCAATTAAGGGCCAGGCCAGGCCAGGACGCCCAGCCAGAAAAGGTTATAATTATAGATAAATAAATGATAATAGCCGTGCCTCCTTTGCAATTCCATCTTAAAAGATCCACACAATAGAAAAAGGTTGAAATTGGGAAATTCGTCGTGTCGACAGAATGATTGAAGGAGCGAATTAAAAGCTTGAGACAAAATGCACTTAGTATAATTTTAGAAAAAATACAAGGATGCTGCAAAAACCCAACCCAGCGAGAGAGGGAGGGGCATTGGCATTGGCATTGGCATTTGGCATACAAAAGAAAACTCCAGATCCACTGAGTAGAGTAGAGCGATAGAATAGGTAGTAAGTAGTAGTAGTAGTAGTGGTGGTAAGTGCAAGTAAGTGAGTGAGGGAACAGAAAAGATACCATCTTCAACATCCACATCAGCAGCAGCAGCAGCGGCTAAAAAGAAAGGGAAGAGAAGCACAAGGAAGAAGACCCATTGGCATTTAGTGGAGCTCCGAGTCCGAGTCCGAGTCCGACTCCGACCAGCCATCTCTTCTCTTCTATTCTCTAGTCTAGTGTCAACCACTCACTCACTACTCCCCCTTGTCGTTGTTGTCGTCGTTGTTTCGCTCAGGATGGAAAAACCCGAGCAGAGCAGAGAGGGAGGTGGCTAAATTGAAATATAAATACCTCTCTCTTGGAAGAGGAGGAGAAGAGGAAAAGGGAATGAGTGAGAAAACGATATAAAGAGAGAGAGAGAGAGGCAGACAGGGCAGGGTAAATTGTCGTACCCAAGATTCGAGGTATGTGTTGTGTAGCGCAACACTTTAATTATTAGTGATAAAAATAATAATAATAATAATAATAATGATGATGATGGATGGGAGGAATCGGCGCATTATACACACATACATATACATATACAATACTACTAGAATGAAGGGAGGGAAGTAGAGAGGGGTAAACAGTGGTTTTTTTTTAAAAAAAAAAAATCATGTTTTTATTATTTAGATTTTATATTTTTGAAAAAAAAAAAAAATTATTTTATTTTTTTATCACAGAACATTCAATCATACCTTATTTTAGATCAAAATTTTGTCAAAATCCATGGAAAGAAAGCGTACACCATTAGCACAGGGAGGGAATAGAGAATAAGGAATGACATCTACAGAGCCACTGGTAATATGCTAATATGGCTATGCTATGGTATTGATCAGCGCAGCGCCGCGCTCTCTCTCTCTCTCTGGAAATTAAAGGCTGAATTTTTGGACAAGTTGTTGGGTGCTTTTCTTTACAGGAAAAATGGATAGATAATAAAGAAAAAGCAGCATAATAATACATTACTATACAACACAACACACTGCATTCTTGCATGCCTCGATTCGATAAAGGCTGAGTGAGTGGGGGGGTCACTCTCTGTTTTTTTTCCTCTTTTTTTTTTTTTTTTAGTATGTAGGAGTATTAATTAATTAATTAATTATTGTTGTTGCCACTTGCCACTTGCCTGCCTGCCTCACTTCACTTCACTTGTCCCGCCACGGCATTCAAGTTCAACTAACTAAATCTACATGGTGTAAATGATTGATACAGAGATGGAGATGGAAGAAGAGGCAAAGTTGATTTTCCAGTGGAGTGGAGTGGAAAGGAAGTTTATAGTAATAGTAGAGGACATTATATTATTATTATTATTATATATGTGATTGTGCCATTGTTATGCATGTTTGTAATCTGCAGTGATCTTGCTGCTGCTAATAGGTATTTTATCATCACACAATACAATACATTACATTTGGAATGGAGGCCATATAGATTTTTGAAGGCATATAGTTTGTTAGACAACAAGTGATTTGTAAAGAATGAGGGACTGAGTGGCAGTGTTTATGGCTAATATCCGAATGTAGATGAGGTAGATGAACACAGCTCTTATGTAAATTCAACTTGTTCTTGTTTTGAGTCAAATCATGCATGGGTTTCTACTCTTTAAAAAATAAATCTCTTGCAACTAATCGGAGTTATCAATTTTGTATGTTTTATCTTTGAGCTTGTAAAGTGTGAGTATGCGTGCCTTGTTTGATGTTCCCCTCCTTGTTTGTCTAGTAAATAAAAAGATAACAATCTAATAATACAAAGTTAGCCTTCAGCCATTTATTCTATGCTGAGCTTAATTGGCAGGGTATTAGGTTCGGCTCGAAATTTACTCAGTGCGCATTTTCTGATAGCGGTTGGGATTCCCACGTCATTAAAAATAAATAAATAAATAAATAATCCCTTGAAGATGTCCATATGGAATGATGCCATGGATGTGTGGGTAGAACTAGCCCTGTTCACAAACAGCAGATTACAAACATCTGAATACCTATTAGCAGCAGATTACAAACATCTGTATTGTGTGTGTGTAATGAATGTAAAAATTTTGAATTTGAATAGTTGTACGATGTGATATAAACAGATGTTGATGTGATGTTTTGAATGTAAAATTAATTTCTAATATAATATAAAAAATAAAAAATAAATATTTAATTTGATATTTTTTAAGAAAAAAAATTAAAAAAATCGTAAAAATTTGGGTAAATCCTCCAAAAGAACACACCAGAAATATACTTATATATATGGCATGTGTGTGTGTTGGGGGTGGGTCGTTTCATGATGATGATCATCACCATTAGGTGGTACACACTGTTCACCGCACCTTTTCTTTTTTCTACTATTATTATTATTATTATTAATTAGGCATTGCACATTCGATGAAATGTGGATAAGAAATATGAATTAATGGTACGTACATATCTTGAGATTTAATAATAATACTAATAATAATAATAATAATAATAATAATAATACGTATCATCTGTGCGGATTTGTACGTGTACAATGAATCTACATTATAGTAGGATCATTAGTTGTCGATGAACATTGAATTTTGAACTTGGAGGTTCATATTATATAGTGTTCTTATCTTGTGTTTTTATTTTTTATTTTGGGGTTAGGTTTTATTCTTTTATTTCAAATACTTGTTTAAATGTGGAATATTTGATGTTTGTTAATTAATAAATTTTTTCATTAGCATAATTCTCCAAAAATATTATAAAAATTAAAATTTCTATAAATATTATAATAAATACAATATATACTTATTAAAAAAATTTAATAATTCAATAAAAATAATGTTTTCTATATTATTGACAGAATTCACGTACTTAGCATACTAAATATATTAATAAAAAGATTCAGCATTTTGATAATCATTTTTAAATGAAAAAAAAAATTAATCGAAACCATTATTGATTTTTCTCTCAACTAAATCTCGCACCTGGTGGGCCCACCGACAGTCATTTCATCGCTGCCGCATTTTGATTATCCGTTTGGGCCCACACATTTTTCACACGCATCAGCAGAGACTACACTCCACAGTTCACTTGTGTGAGCCCAAATTTGAATTCGCCAGCTGTCACTGCCGTACAACGCCTATAACTATGGGCCCCACCCCCGACTACAATTTACCAATAATTTTCTCCGTGTATATATATATAAACCTTCATCTTCATTCCTCCGCCGTGTCCTCCACCGCACCACCGCCTGCCGGCTGAGTAGTGACTAGTGAGTACTGTTCTCAATTTGCGTTCTATAAATTCACTTGATTTTGTTTCTGTCGAAAATCCGATCATGGTTTCAACGGCGGATTTGCGCTCTCGTTGCGGCGGCGGTGGCTTTGAGGATCGATTTCCGCGGTGGTGCTACTACTACACTCCACCGCCGTCGTCGGCGAGCGTTTGCCGGTCATTCGGCGGTCGGTCCATGCGAACTTTTCGGTCTAACATGTTTCAAGCCGAGCGGAAGTACTGTGAGGTTCCAGAGAATTCGATTCCGGAGGAGGTAAATGTCGCCGGCGGTGAGGTAGCGGATGGAGTGGTGAGTAATGCGAAATGCGTGTCGGATTCGGAGATTGGTGATGCGGTGGACATATCAGGTCCGGTTAGCGATTTCTCGGCCTGTTCGAGTGACATTTCCGGGGAGCTTCAGCGTCTGTCGGCTCTACCTGATCCAGGATCGAGTCCTGGAGCGAGTTCCATGTCGGAGACGGAATCGAGTTCAGGAGTTTTGCAGATAGAAAGGTTCTCGACGGAAATTATCGAGAGCATGTCGCCGGAAAACCTTCAGTCTACCGTTAAACTCTGCGTGGACGCCTTGTGTTCGTCGTCAATTGCACTGAAACGTTCCGCCGCGGCAAAGCTAAGGTTTCTGGCGAAAAATCGAACGGATAATCGCGCCTTGATTGGTGAATCCGGAGCAGTACCAGCTCTGATTCCACTCCTTCGTTGCTCCGATCCGACGACGCAGGAACACTCCGTCACGGCGCTGCTTAATCTCTCCCTCCATGAAAGCAATAAGACCTTAATAATCGACGCCGGCGCTGTCAAATCCCTAATCTACGTCTTGAAAACAGGTACCGAGACATCCAAGCAAAACGCCGCCTGCGGTTTGCTGAGCTTAGCTTCGACCGACAAGAACAAACTCTCAATCGGTGCATCCGGCGCCATACCTCCGTTGGTTACATTACTGAAAAACGGATCAAATAGAAGCAAAAAGGACGCTCTCACTACGCTTTACAAGTTGTGCTCCGTGAAAATCAACAAGGAGAGAGCAATAGCTGCAGGAGCCGTGAAACCGCTTTTGGTGCTCGCCGCGGAAACTGACACAGGTCTGCCAGAGAAGGCTATGGTGGTTTTGAGTAGCCTGTCGTGGATTGAGATGGGAAAGGAGGCTGTAGTGGAGGCGAATGGAATCGCTGTGTTGGTGGAGGCTATTCAGAGTGTCAGCGACAAAGTGAAGGGATTTGCAGCGCTGACTCTGCAACAGTTGTGTGAGGAAAGCGTTGCCAACAGGGAGTTGGTTGTGAAGGAAGGGGGTATTCCGCCATTGATGTTGCTGTCACAATCTGGTACAGGGAAAGCAAAGCAAAAGGTCAGTTTCAGTTTTAGTTTCATGGCATGATTTTCTTTTATTATTTTTGTGATTAGTTATCATCCATCCTGATTCAAGTCTGTTCATCATCATTCATCTTTGCTTCAACTGAAGGTTTCTCCGAGCAATTTTTCCTTGCAATTGATCACTATATTGTTCATTGTGATTATTATGGTCTTGTACATATCTTTGCGTGTGATAACATCCTCCTTCTCAATTGTGAATTAAAAAACTGAAAGTGACCTTCACACAACTGTGAATTAAAGTGATTGCCTTTTCGTTTACTTTGGGCAGGCTTCAATACTTCTCGAATACTTAACAGAATCAACAATGGGAGCATCTTCTTCAACTTCTTAGGCAATTGTTTTGAATGGTTTGCATCATCCTTCCCTTTTGAGAACTCTTCCAATTGGCTGTTCATATATATAGAGAGAGAGCAAATATCCAATGAATGCGTATCTGTATAGAGTGGATAGTTATTAATTAATTTCAACATTTTTGGCACCTATCATTGGTAATGTCCATATTTTGAACTTATATAAAATCCATTTCCCGTTTTGTTGACAGCTTCCTATTATCTATCTTGGCCTTTACAAAAATAATAATAATGATTATAATCAATAAAATAAAAAATGTGTGGTGTTGTCTCCTATAATGTCAATGTTGCGGTAAATTATAAAATTAGATACAATAACTTGAGAAGACATAACACACATGAATCACACATGCGTTTTTTAATATTTTTACTTGAGGTCTTTGAAATCCAACTCCTTAGCTGGCCAAGTTGCTCGGAAATGAAAGGTTTCACCTGAGGCTGAGTAGGTAAGAATTAGACATTTCGATCATTTGACCTGCACGCCTGTTTGTTGACATCTTAAATAAATAGCTAATATGTATGAGTATATGTTATTATATGAATTTAATAATACTTTTTGTTAGACTATGCTATTTTGGAATTCTCTTCTTGCTAGTATTATCACATTATGCTTTTGGGATCCATCCCAAAAATTGGGTCCAAGTGGCCCATCCTTTTCAAAATTCAATCTTGTATTCATGTCATCTCCCAGGCCCCACATGAAAATTCAGCCAGCCCATTTACATAGGTCTATAATTTTATTTTATTATTTTATCTTTTTATTATGATTCAATTGAAGATTTATCAATCTTTTTATAACATATTCGAATAGATAGATGACTACCAAGATGATGTGTTATTGATGCATTCAAGAGTGAATGTGCTAGTGCAACTGAACCTTGAATGAAAGGTTCTCTCATGTGTGTTCTATACCCTGATCAAGAATCCATCAATTTTATTATTCGTCGTGGTGTAACCCTAATTTTTTCGATTTGATGACATGGGCTCGTCCATGGATAAAGGAGGAGCCATTTCTTCTTCCTAAATCTAATCTTGATTCTCTCCCTATTTCATGTTTCTCCATTAATGTCGATTTGATCCGTTGCTGATATATATGTGAAAAAACAAAAAGAAAGAAAGAAAAATCTGTGCGCACTTTGTGTTTGATTTGATCACAGGAGACAGTTCTGTGGGGTGAAAGGAAAAGGAGAAGGATTCCATTAGGTATGTTCTCTTCCATTTATGCAGTTGTCATTATCTTGAGAATTCTGTCTATTTTCTTCAAGGATGTGACCATTTAATTTTACTTTTTTGTTTATTTCTGCCCCTTCATTTCAATTTCTCCTCTGGGTTAACTATGAGATCCATTTTGATTGTTATTTAGGAGACAATGCTGATTAAGGAACTTGAAATTGATTGAGATATGGAAATCATTTTTGCATCTTACTGTGAGATTATATATATTTAGGATTACAAAATTCTTGATCAGTGTGAACTTTATGTTTTTTTAACTTTAAATTAATTGTATTTGTATAGGCAGATTTCCATCTAAATGTTGCTTACAAGCTCTATGCTGTTCTTGCTAAGGGCAAAAACTTGATTTTTAATTCCTTTGGCCCTAATTTAACACACACATCATATATATGTAATTTTGATTAATTATTGTTTGTCATTCTTAGTAGATTCAGTGTAAAAGTATCTTATATCTCATTCATTGTCACGTTGATGATGTCGTGTATTTTTATGTCATTCATTGATTGTGACTTTTCACGTATTTAGTACTTTTTGTAACGATGTGCTATAAAACCACTATAACAACAATGAATAAGATTAGCCATTTCTATATAAGGTCACCTAAAGAATTACAACGATTAAGAATACTGCTTACACATGGGTTGTTTGGTTTTAGTTTCAGTTTGGATTTTTTTTATGAGTTCTCGATTAAATATTATTTTGATGTTAATTTTTCCTTAGATAAAATAGTGTATTTTTATTGAAATTTTATGAGATGAATAATATATTTCCGACCTTACAGAAAGAAGATAATATAATATGTCACACACAACATTCATTCTTTCCAAGTAGAGCAGCTATGAACATTCTTAAGGCTCTTTTTTCGACTACCTAACACTCGTTAGTAAAATTCTTAGATTGAATTGTTTATAGATTCAAATTCTTGCTCGCGCCGGTGCAGGTCATAGCTGCAGCGCCGGATCAAAATCTGGATTAGAATCATCTGCAGCAAAGCTACTATTTCAGGAAACTTTTCGACTTTCCCTGCTTAGCTACCACCCGATATTCGTGCCTCATCTTTTTGCCTTAAAGCTATCGAAGTGGTCTTCTTTTTCGTGCTCGAAAATTATGAAGTTGTAAGATGGAGTCTGGTACAGCAGAGGAGGAGGGACCAGCTGAGGATTACCTATTCAAGATTGTTCTGCTCGGCGACTCGGCTGTTGGTAAGTCGAATTTGCTTGCTAGATTTGCTAGAAACGAGTTCTACCCGAACTCGAAATCCACCATTGGAGTCGAGTTCCAAACGCAGAAGATGAAGATCAGCGGGAAGGAGATCAAGGCTCAGATATGGGACACGGCCGGACAGGAAAGGTTCCGGGCTGTCACTTCTGCTTATTACAGGGGCGCTGTCGGCGCCCTTCTCGTCTACGACATTAGCCGGCGCGAAACCTTCGACGATATCCGGAGATGGCTCAATGAACTCCATAGTAAGCTACACACTATCTTGCATAACATTGCATCATAAAATTAACCGTAACGTTTAAATGTAAAATTGATTTAGATATTTGATTTGATGTAACACTATGTGTTTTTTTATTGTAACAGCTCACTCGGACATGAACGTTGTGACGGTGCTGGTGGGGAACAAGTCGGACTTGAAGGAGGCGCGTGAGGTGACGACGGCTGAAGGGAAGGCTCTGGCGGAGGCGCAGGGGATGTTCTTCATCGAGACGTCGGCGCTGGACTCGTCGAACGTGGGGGCGGCATTCCAGCTGGTGGTTAAGGAGATTTACAACATACTTAGCCGGAAAGTGATGCAATCAAAGTCGAAATCAGAGGAGCAACAGCAGCAGCAGCAGCAGGACATGAGTATGATGAAGAGAGATTTAAGTAGCTCCCATGGTAAGACTGTTATTTTAGAACCCGCCGGCGCCGCCGCTTCCGGCGGCGATCAAAACCAGAAAACAGCATCGTCGCCGACGTCATCTTCGGCGGCGGATGCACCTGATGCAGATGCAAATGGGCAGCAAAATGCGGCAGGTGGGTGTTGTTGATGCTATTTTGTTTTTTTGTTATTATTATTATTATTGCTATTACGGAGAAATGGAAATTTTTGTTCACGTTTTTTTTTTTTTTTCCATTTTATTATCCAGATTTTATATTCAGTTTTCTTTTCGTTTTGCTATTTAAAATTATCCTTATTTCTTTTTTTATTATTATTAAAAAATTATATTTTATCCTTTACATTTATTTTTTATGTGGAGAAAATAATTGTTACACAGTAGTGAGTTATATATTCCCTCATCTCATAAAAATGGATTTATTTATTTTATATTATTACTCCTAAAATTATATATCATTTTTTTTACTATAAAAAATAGTATAATATATATAATTCAATCAAAATTTTACATTAAAACCCGTGCCTTATATTACAATTTTTTAAAAAAATATTTAATAAAAATACTGAGATAAATATAAAAAATAGTAATAAAATAGTTATTATTTGTTAAAATAAATATAATAAAATTATTTATTATAAATAAATTATATATAAATTAAGCAAGACAATTTAAAAATTAAATATTATATAATTTTGACTAATGAAAAAAAGTAAATATATATGAGATGTGAATATTATGTAGCTTAGCAATAATATTTATGATCATTTTATACTATAGTTGAACTTTTGATCTTTACTATTTAGAATGAAATATTGTCTAATGAATATGTTTATTATGCAATATATTACATAGTTTAAAATGAATACTTTTAATGGGTATATTAATATTAAATATGAATTATTAACACCAAATAAGGTATTCTAGCAATAATACAATTGTCAATAAAATACATACTACAGGTAATTTTAACATATAAATTTTTTATGTACATGTAACATATGCTTTCAATTTTGTTAGTTAAAGTCGTCTTTCTATTTATATTATGTTGACAGGGTAAAATACATGATTCGTTTATGTTTATTCTTTTACTTTTTTATTGTATCACTATTTAAAATTATTTTTATCTATACATTTTTAGAAATTTTCATACTATTTATCAAAAATACTTTTTTCAAAAAAACAATATATATTATATTATACACTTATTTTGTCTTATATAACATCAAATTAAATATTCAAACATTTTTATTTTCAACTTTAAAATTCCGATACTTCTAAAAATTATATCTGTATAAAGCCCAATGTATTGTCTAGCAATGGACAATTTGGAATGAGTGTCACATGAATGGCCAATAACTATGGCTATGGTTGATGTAGACCAGATAAATTTAAACTAGTTTTCAACATATTGTCGAGTATTTGGATATATTTTAAATTTTTAATAAAAATTTTCAATATAATGCCAAAGCTGTTTTGTCAAAAATATATATATTAAATTACAATTATTTTAGTACACAAGTGAAAATAAATAGTAGAATTTAATGGAATGCTTTTAGCATATTATGTATCTTGTAATTTGTTCAATAGTATTCTCATACTTTGTTCATTACTTGTGCTCATTTGTTAATTAACTGTTTTTTTTCTTTAAAACAATTTCAATTAAAGTAACACATTAGTCTTTAATAATAAAATAAAATTTAAGTGATAGTGTTTTTCAAACTAAATTTTGTATGGAATGATATATATATATTCTTGTTAATATCATAAATACATAAAATAACCAATTGCATAATAATAAAAATAAAAAAAAATTAAAAAAAAAAATGTACACTTAAAATTCATTTCATTCTAACAAAACTGTTCCTCTCACTCTAAAATCAACAAATCAATTCATCATCTTAAATCCCATTTCATAATTCATATAATTCCATCCATCCAATCCAAATAAACATACAAAGAACCGCAAAACCCTCTCTCTCTCTATTTATATATATCCCTAAAAACAACCACCAAAAAAACAAACATATCTCTTTCTCTCTCTACTCATCCAAAAAAGAAGAACAAGAAGAAAAATAAAACCTTACTGTGGCTTGTGTAGTTTACTATTTGGTGTGTTTTTTCTTCCTACGCTGCAATTCCTGTTTCACAACACAAATCCCCCATCATCATCACTCCTTCCTCGTCGTCTATATCATGCAAATTTTACGGGCAAACACCGTGTTCTTTTCTAGGCATAAACAACCAAACAACTACCCGATCGACATCAAACGAACACAGTCGAGTTAGAGTTAGAGTTAGAGTTACCTTTGTTCGATGCAGCCGCAATGCCATAATTCCTGCCGTATCCAACCGGCTCGTTCATTGTCGCACCACCGTTCATTGTTGCACCACCGTTCGCACCAAATCTTGCGAAAGGCTCGACCACCTCCGGAGACAAAAGGCTCCACGCATCGCCTGAATAGAACGAAGAATTGTTTCCGCGAAAGCTGTTGCTCGATGATGACAACGTTGTACCAACAGGGCCTCCGAAGTTTTTTCGGGTGTAATAATTCTCCATGTCGAGAATGCTGTTGTCGCCGTAGCCGTAGCCATAAATATTATTGCCGAACTTACTCATGGAAGAAGACGATGATCTGTTCCATATACCATCCCCGATTCGTCCAAGAACACCGGCGTTTCCAATTCGAGAGGTAAAAAGATCGTTTCCCGTCGCTCCATAACTATGATCACCGTTCCCCCAAATATTTCGATCCGCAGCATTCAAGAAGGAATCGTATTTATCAGAATTCCTGCTTAAGTAAGAGTTCATCCCTCGTCGGTATCCTAAACCAGAATCTCCGGCGAGGGCGTAGTTCAGATCGAATCCCGAGTCCATGTTAAGCCCCGAGCTCTGATTTCTGAGGTTGTACGAAGGATAAGAATATCCACTTCGATTTATGTTTATTCCGGGGCTAAACCGAGCATCCGTTCTTGTTCCATATCCTTGTCGAGCGTAAGCATTCAAGAGACTGATATCTCTATTCAGGCCATTGTTGAGACTACCGGTGGACGGGCTTCGCGTAGGCCCCGGAGAAAGCTCTTTCGGAACGGCTCGCTTGACCTCGACCAATTTCCCATTAAGTTCATGAAAGGGTCGGACAAGAACTTTGTCGACTGCCTCCTCGGAGTCATATGTTATGAATCCAAAGCCTCGAGGCCTCAGCGTGTTATGATCGTACATCACGACTACATCGGTTATTGTCCCGAACTGTTCAAAGTACGCCTTGAAGTCACTCTCGGTGACGGTGCTAGCCAATCCTCCGACAAAAATCTTTTTTGTTCGGACAGGGCTGGGTGACGACGATGCTTGGGTGCTTCCCGTTGTTCTGGTAGAGCTTTGGTTGTTGTCCCTCGGAACGGCCTTCTTTGCCTCGACCTGACGATAGAAAAGAAACGTATTTCCAAGTGAGCATACACACAAAACAGTTTTGAATAAATGTTCGGGTGCTTTCTTGAATGAGTTGCTTCAAATATATCAAATTGGCTCAGAAATGGAAATAAGTTCATATCAAAATGTTGCCATATGCATTCGAACAACACATGTTTTACTCGAAATGTCCTTGCCACGTGTTCAAATAAATGATCTCACGCTGTTTACTAAATTATGCTTAATATAAGGAATCTATCGATTTTTCTCAATTTCCACCTTGAATCCTATTCTAAAAAGAAGAGATCTCCAAATGTCATTACACTTGTTGCATGTAAAAGGAAAGAAACAGAATCATCAAAAAAAGTAAGTTGAAGATTCTCTAAATCTAAACAAGAATCCCCCAAGTGTCATCACAAATGTCGCGAATAAATGAAAGAAACCGAATTATCAAAAAACTACATCTATCATCAAGTAAGTCGAAGATTCTATAAATCTAAACAAGATCCCACGTGTCATCACAATTGTCGCAAGTAAAGTAAAGAAACTGATCATAAAAAAACTAAGTATTCATCAAGTAAGTTGAAGATTCTCTTAATCTAAACAAGAATCCCCAAGTTTCATCAAAATTGACACGAGTAAAAGGAAAGAAACTGAATCATTAAAAAAACTACACCTATCATCAACTAAGTCAAAGGTTTTATTAGTTTAAACAAGAATCCTCAAGTTTCATCACAATGTCGCGAGTAAAAGGAACGAAACTGAATCATTAAAAACTAGGCCTATCATCAAGTAAGTCGAAGATTCTCTTAATCTAAACAAGAATCCCCAAGTGTCATCAAGATTGTCGCAAATAAAGGAAAGAAACCGAACCATAAAAGACTATATCTATCATCTCACTTAAGTCGATGATTCTAAACATAAACAAGAATCCCCAAGTTTCATCATAGTTGTAAAAGGAAAGAAACCGAACCATAAAAGAACTACGTCTATCATCAAGTAAGCCAAACATTCTCTTAATCCAACGCAAGAAATGATTACTCACAGTTCTGCCATTGATGATGTGCCTAAGCTTGACAACTCTTTCAGCTGCAGAAGCATCGGCGAAAACAACAAAACCGAACCCCCGGGAGCGTCCAGTGGAGCGATCCCTCAGCACAACAGCTTCCACAACTTCGCCAAAAGCTCCAAAATACTCTCGAAGATGATCTTCATTCGTCTCCCATGAAATTCCCCCAACGAACAGCTTCCCAGGATCCATCTCCATTAGGTCACACCTAAATTGAACAAACTCCAACTAATCATCCAGCTTGAAGTTCGAAAAACCTACTCGATTAAGCATCTAATCATTCCATTGAATCGCAGCCAAACAATTCTACAATCTCGAAGCATCAATTAACAACAATGATGAGCAAAAACGAAGAGCAAGGATGATCAATTCAGATCACCAAACTAACATTTCTATATGCATCGCCATTCAGTTCAGTTTTCCCTAATCTATGAACTAACAATCATCGAACAAAGCAATGCAGACTAAATCGATTCGATCGAATCAAACAATACCTAATCGCAACAGATAAACCGCAAATTTCGTGTTCAACAAGCCACCGTTCGATCCCCAACAGATCCATAATCCAACATAAACAATCCACAATCCAAATCCCCAATCAATCAATCAACCAATCCACAAACAACACCCAACCATTATCAACCAAAATCAAAAGAAACAAATCAATCGCTAAACAGCGAAGCTGGTATTTACCAAAATCAAAATCTAAAAAAACAACCGGAGTCGATTGAAGATCCGAGAGGAGAAGCAGGCGCCGCCGGGAGACGACAGACACTCGCGCTTTCTCTCCCCCTTTCCTCCGCTCCGTTATTCCTTCCAAAATCCAATCTTTTATTAATTATTTTTTCGTTTTTCTGCCGGAATTGGGAGAGATTTATAGAGTAGAGTTGCAGTATAACAGATTAGCGGTTATGGCGGCCCGTCTCTCCGCAGATTGGGTTTGAAGCCACACAGAGAGCGCTCTGTGGCTGCTCCCACACCGAAGAAATGGAGACGACGACACAACCAAATACGTGAATGAATTTCTATGCATATATAGAGAGATATATATACATAGTTGAAATTGTATAAGTATATATATAGGTATGTATGTAAGTATGTACATAATAATTGTACTACTACTATATAGGCATGTAGGTGCGTAGGCGTATATTTTCTTGCAACAAAAATAAGAATGTCAAAGGATGTCCTTTTCAATATTTATATATATATATATATATAGTTTTGTTAGTTGTGATTTGAATTATTATTATTATTATTTTGAATGAATGTATTATATTCTTTTTTTTTTTTTTTATTCGTAAATTTTAATATATTAATATTTTATAAATAATAGTAAAATAAAATTATTTACTATAGATTATGTATAAATTTAATTAACGATAAAAAAAAAAAATTAAACATAATTTTAACCGACTGAAAATTCAAAAAATTTTGATACAAATTTTAACAATAGTTTATAATACTTGTGATACACTATTTTATCATTTGTATATAAACGAATTCAATAATATTAATAAAAAAATACGTAAATTTAAAAATATTTACAATTTGTGAATTTACGTATAATAAAAATATAAATAAATATTTTGTAGCTGAATAATTAAAAAAATCATAAAATAAATAAACAAATTTAATATAATTTTATAAAGAATCTTAAGACAATATTGCACGGAATAATATTAATTTTTATTTTAAAAAAGAAAAACTCTTCTAAAATTTAAAATAAAATTATTATTAGTCTTGAAATAACATTCTAATTATATATATAATATCAATAAGTAACGAATATATTATTTACTATTTATTTATTTATTATTATTTATATTTACCGACTAAAAAAAGATTGTATATATGTGTCGCTCTGTCTTCTCACATGTTATGTTATGTTAAGGCTGCTCAATAATTTTCACTGTCCATTAATAATGCTGCCTACATACAGCCACCACTACTTATTAATTCTTTTTCTTATATATATTTATAATATACGCATTCAATTGTGGATATGTTAACATATTATTATTATTATTTGTAAATATTTTATTTAGAATATTTTTATTTTTTTAAAATAAAGTCTAGGATTTTCTTTTCTGTATATTTTTTTTAAAAAAAATATTAATATATTACATATATTAATTATTTTTATATTCTATAAATAATTGTTTATATCTTACATAAAATATATCTTTTGAAATAATTTTTACAAAACAAACATGCCCTAAATATAGGAATAGTTTGGAAATTATAAGAGTGTTAGGTTGATTTAATCAATATGATTTTTATTAGAAAATATTTACGTGTTAGAGTAGTATGAGCATATTTCTTACGCTAAAAATAATATACATTGTATAAATTATTATTATATACTATCAATTTATAGGATAAGTGGATATTAGAAGTAACGGCACTGTAACAATCATCAAATAATTCTTTATATAAGGTCATCTCCAATCCAATACCAAGGGTCGTAAAGAAACCGATGCCAAATTGTGCGTAAAAAATTGGCGTTGCTACAGTGCAATGCTAATTTTAGTGTTGCACTGTAGCAATGCCAATTTTTGGGGTTGCTCCTAATTTAAAAAACATAAATTAAATTTTTTATTTTAATTTTTAAATTTATTTTTATTTTTTAAAATTTTTAAAAAAAAATATTTTAAATTATAAAAATAAAAAATTTGTTTAAAATAATAAGAAAAATTGAATATTTGAAGAACAATAGTAAAAAATTAGAATTATGGTTAAAATAAAATAATTATAGCAACTCTAGTTAAAACTGAATAAATGGAGATGGTCTGAGTCCTGAAAGATTTTTTCATTTTTACTTATTTGTTGCCTTGTGATTACATAATTTTAGTAACTTTTTTATAATATAAAAGTTAATTATTGGATATATTTGGTATTAAATTATTGAATTTTTTAAGTGAATATTATATATTTATACATACATTCCGTCCTTCATATTTATACCAATTTTATTTCATTTTTTATTATTTATTAAATTCACGCGTATAAATAATTTTATAATTATAATTTATTTCCTTTCGTTTCATTTAATTTGTCTATTTTTTATATTTGTATGTTCCATATAATTTGTCATTTTATTTTTTAAAAATATATTTACATATTTTAATCATATTATTTATATTCGTATGTCCCACATAATTTGTCATTTCATTTTTTAAAAATATATTTACATATTTTAATCACGTTCTAAAATTCATAATTTATAATTTTTTTAATTATAATTAAATTATTTAGTTATTTTAATTTTAATTTATAATTATTTTTATTAATATACTCTTTAATTACTTACTAATTACATAATATCTAAAATTGTAAACCATATACCTCAACTAAAAAAAACAAAAATTAGTCTAAACAGAAGAAGTAATCAAATAATAATTTAAATTTTTAATTTTTACTGCAAATATTCATGGTGAAAATAATTAGAATTTTATAAAACACTAGATTCAATCATTATGTATATATTTAAATATTAATAAAGTGGGATATGAGTGAGTGACACAAGGAATCACAGCCTTTTGTCTTCACTTTCCACTAATCAATCGCTCAACATCACATGCACTTCATTTATTAATTAATTATTTAATTGTAATTGTGCCAAACATGCAACAACATCAATTTAATTATATTATTTAAATATTAAATAATTTGTGGAATGTGGCAGTAAGATTACGAGTTCAAAATTTACAATATCTTTTTACTTTACTTGCCATGTAGGATTTGGTTAATACGACATACTAATTTACAAACTATTATCTTTGATTTAAAATTTATTTGGTACAACAAATTTTCATATCATAAATATTTTTATAAACTTTTATTGCTTGAAGAAATAAATAAATCTAATTTTACCCATAAAATCAAGTTATTATTTAAATTTAATTTTGAATAATATTAAAATAGGATATTTTAGAAAGAAATTGAAATTAAATAGTATAAAGTTGAATTTAAAATGGAGAGGAAAGCCTTCCAACACTCAACTTAGATAATTTAATTTTATACATTCTATAAACCACTATTTAATACATAGACATTTAATAGTTTTATAACATAATTCAATATAATTATATTGTAAATAAAACTTAAATTATCATTTCAAATCAATATTTTAAGAGAGTGTTTTTTAAAAAAAAAATTCTATTTTAACCATACAGTTTAGTACTAATCAGCCTTCATCCTTACACAGGGTAATTATTATTCAGTAAATCTACACTTGAAACCGTATTCATACACGTAAAATACATATACATACACATAGATATACCACCTTCGACGATTCCTAGGTTCGATCATCATCGTCATCTCCAAGCCGAAACAGAGGACAAAGCCCTGTTTTTCCATCCAAGAAAAAGTGCACCATTGCCCTCAGCCAGCCCATAATCTTTGCTGTACTCTTTCAACACGCCGGCGGCGGCTTTTCCGGCCGACGGACTCACCGGAATCTGCTGAAACCCCGCCATCGACAGCCTCGACCGCCACTTCCCGAACAGTTCGTGCCGCTCGACCCGGTCGACCCCTTCGCACGCGATTATATTCACGACGTCCTTCGCCACGCAATGCTCCTCGGCATTGATCCTCATCCGGTCGTCCCTCGGCCGCGCCGCGTCGATCGACTCGAACATCGCCGTGTAGTAGTCGAGCGTCTCGGAGAATCGCTGGAAGAACGTCGCCGTGTTGGTGTTCGACTCCTGCTCGACGAGCGTCACCACCTCTGGCGAGAGGCTCTTCACCAGCCGGAGGAGGCGGTCGCGGTGGTTCGCCGTGCTCACGCTCTCGTCGGGAATGTGGTGGAGAACATACGGAAAATTCACCGCCAAGGCCTCGCCGCGTCGGATGTCGAGATTCTCCGGTCGAACCTCCGATCCAGAAATCGCCGCGCCGTGGAACTCGAACGGGACGCCGCACGACTTCGCCGCTTCCGATAAACGTCGCCCGACGAGATTTAACCCTCCGCCGCGCGCATGAATCGAGTCGGAGTCGTCGACGCCCGTTATCCGGACAGTCGGCGCGCCACCGGGTCGGCCGGCGACGGACTCAATGAACGACACCCATTGGCTTCCCTGCGCGATTTGGAAGTCGATAATATGGATCCTGTCGACACCCTCCATCGCTTCGCCGATGATCGCGTTCGATGAAGCGTACGCGAATTTGTAATACGGGCAAAGCTCGTATATCGTATGCATATACGACATGAGCTCGGGGCCGGTCGGTTCGTTGCATCGAAGTTTCCGGTAGATTGCGCTGCCGGAGGACAAGAGCCGTGCTCGGAGACCTTCGAGCATGTAAGCGCCTAATCTCTGCAACGGATCGCCGGAGACAGAAACCTTTTTCTCCAAAATGTCGAAGAGGGCTTCGGCAGCAGATCCGGCGACTGCTCGATCGGAGTCGGCTTCGGCGACGGTCTCGGCGCACGTTGTGAGCAGCTGTTTGAGGTCCATTCGGGGTGCCATTTCGAGGGTTCGGTTGTACCGGCTGAACGACGACGGCTGGCCGGAGAATGAGGTGGAATTATCGAAATTGAACTCCGGCGGGTACAATTCGTTCCGGAGAACCCAAAATGCGTGCATCAGCTTGCTGTCGTCGTCGACTATGGACGACTCGCTCAAGGGCGAGCCGTAGTTGCTGATGTTCGATTGATGGAGATCGGGGGAGAAGGGGCTCCGGCTGGAGGAGACGCTGGCGGCGGATGGGGAATTGTAGGCGGCGGCATAGTCAGTGGCGGCCGGCGTCGACTCCAGAGTGAAGAATGGCTCAATCTGAGGCATCGGCTTTCGGCGGTAGAAGCTGCGGTTGGCAGAGGATGCCTTGGATTCTTGCATTTGCTGCTCGGATTTTCCGGCGGCTACAGCATCGGAGAAACCAGAGATTATGGAGCTATTTCTGCCATTGGAAGAACATAATTAATTCAAGGTTATATGTTCATGGAAAAACTATTGATTCCGCCATTATAGCTGCAAGTAGAGGAACAGAATCAATTGTTTATTGCGAAGTTTAGATTCATGGAAAACTAAATACATATTCTGCCATTAAAGGTATTAGTAGAAGAACTAGGTCAATACGTTACTGCAAATTTAGATTCAAGGACAACTATAGATTCCGCCATTAAAGCTGCTGCTAGAAGAGCAGAGTGGATACGTTACTGCAAACTTAGATTCATGGAAAAATTCATGAAAAACTATAGATTCCGCTATTAAAGCTGCTGCTAGAAGAACAGAGTGAGTGAATACGTTACTGTAAATTTAGATTCATGGAAAACTATAGATTCAGCCATTAAAGCTAAAGCTGCTGCTAGAAGAACAGAGGGAATACGTTACTGCTAATTTAGATTCGTAGAAAACTAAAGAATACGACATTAAAGGCTTAAAGCTGCTGCTAGAAGAACGGAGTGAATTTCTCATTGCAAAATTTCCGCCATTAAAGCTTTAGCTGCTGCAACTAGAAGTTTAGAAACGATTTCTAACAGCAAATTTATGTCACGGAAAAATGATTCCGCCATTAAAGCTGCAGCAGCTAGAAGAACAGAGTCAATTTCTTATAGAAAATTCAGATTCACATAAAAGTATACCATAAAATCATCAACAATCTGACAAAGTCCAGAATCAATTCCCAAATATAGTAGGTCAAATCTCGAACATCTAAGAATTTTTAAAAAAACAAAGTCGCAGGAAATTAACGTACATAGAGAAATTAGCAAGCAGTGAAACCCTACCTTATCAATTTCTTCTCCTTGAATTTGAAATTCCTGTCAAAGAATTCTCGAGAAAGCCGGAAAGAGAACGAATTTGAGATTCTTCGCCGCGAGCAAATATGGACCTGAAGAGAGAGTCTATAACTATTATATAGTCTGTCGGTTGAGTCCATTAACTGCAATTTTCATTCACCCTCCGCGTCGACCCGACCCGACTCGATATGGTCCGGCCCGACCCGGCCGCCATTAAAGCCACGCTCCTGGTCAGTTGAAAAAAACAGGAATCATTCGCACAAAAAGCTCTGATCTTTATTATATTCTTAATCGGGTTACACAAATTGCTATCGAACTCGTAATCGAGATTGGGGAATTTATTCTTGGATTTGGTAAAGATTGGGGATTGGGATTGGAATTCGTGGTTGAGAATTTTGGTTGATCCTTTAGCCCGATGACGCACTTTTCTTGAAGGCGATGGTCAGGACGAATCCAGCCGTTGATTTCCCCGGAAATCGACGGTGCACGTTTAGCAGGCAGGCCAGTGCCTTCGTGGAATGTTGCGAAACGCGCTGCCGTTTTCGTCTATTTATTTATTTTGTCAACGGACGACGTCGTTCGATGGTAGACCTTTCAGTATGAGTTTTCACCCCATGGTGTTATTTATATTTATATTTATATTTATATTTAATTAATTATACGAAATAAATATTTTTTGGTATAGATATATGGCCTTTATTTCTTTATTTATGTTTTTGAATACGGACTTTCTTGGAAGCTTCCAACTGCATATGACATGGAATTTAATTTTTTAAGTAGTTTTTAAAATATATAATAATTCATTTAAAACATCTATGGGTTCATTGTATATTTAAGATAGATATTATACATTTTTATGTTATTTATTAAGAATTTTGTATTGGTAGGTTTAATGTATATTATATATATTATGTTTGGGTAAGTATTTAATAATACTAAAATTTAAAAAATTTAAATTAGTTGTAATGAATTTTTTATTGTAATTATTTAAAACATAAATTTAGAAATTTTGTATTTAGATATAGATTTTTTTTCAAAAATTTTATTATTTATTAATTTTTCCTCGTAATAATATTGAATCAAATTTTTATTTTTTATATATAGAGAATGTCAAATTAAATATTGATATTGTATCAAAAATATAGGTACAATATCATGTCATATTAAAATTAGTATATCGAAAGATTGAAAATTTTGATAATCTTTTGGTATCATATGCGTGATATCTCAAAAATTCGATATCTTTTTTTACCTTCAATTAAAAATAAATTATTGAAATAATTATTAGTAAAAAAATTAGATTTTTTTTTTTTTACAAATGCGCTTTAGTATATTTAAGATAAAAATATTTCAAACTAAAATAAATAAATAGATCCGCCTTAAATAGATTAATCTTAATTAGTCAAAATTTAATTGTTATTAAATTATTATTTTTTGCCTTTTCTAAACAATAATATAATTGAATGAAATAACTAACAAAAAGGAAAATTAACATAATTCAATTAAACGGAAGATGTAATAATATACTCCCTCCGTCTCATAACAAAATATTCATTTTTTTATTTTAGTCCGTCCCTTAACAAAGTATCCATTTTTTCTTTTTAGTAACCGTACTGATCTACCTAACATTACAAATACCCTTACAATTTACAATATATTACACAAATGTCATTACTTTTATATCACACATACTAATAAGGTTATTTTGGTCATTTCTGCGTTATTCCTATTATATCTCAATATAATACTAATATTATTAAAATTACGTACAAAAATAAATTGATACTTATTTATGGAACGAAGGGATTATGTTGTTACTATTATTATTGTTATTATACTTGATATGTTTTAATAGTACTATTATTTACTTATTAGTTAAATGGGAGGGCATTCAATAGTACAAAGTAGGGTAAATAATACTCCATATAAGTTCCCACCGCTACGACTACTGTCTTCTCACCACCACTATTTTCATCCTCTGCTCATTCGATATGGCCACCGTCTTCCTCACCGCGCCATCGGTTCGTCTGTCTTCCTCCAACTCCGTCAAACTCTCCCCGCAAAGACCACACTCTGCACCGCACCAGTTATTTTTTACAGCACCATCGGCATTGTTTTCTTCCAACTCCATGAAACTCTCCTCGCACAAACCAAACATCTCTTTATCCAGCGTCCTCCTTAGCTTTCCTTCCGCTCTCCCTATCCTCTCAGAAGCCAAGCCGTGTAACGTTCTCGAAGAATTCAATCTCTGATATCATCAATGATTTTGATGCTGACAGTGCATATGACGGATTCTCCGATAACGTCAATGATCTTGATGCTTGCAATACATGCGGAGTGGTCGGACTCTACGGCGAGTCTGAGGCGCCGCGCCTCTGCGGTTTGGCGCTCCTAGCGCTCCAACACCGCGCCAACAAAGGGGCGAGCGTCGCTGCGATGAGGCAAGATGGAGTCTTTCATAGCATTACCGGTAAGGGTTACGCGACTAAAGCTTTCAACACGATGAAACCGGATATAAAGAGACAAAGCTATAGGTCACGTCACTTATAATAAATAGCCTTTCCTCGTAGCTTTATTTTCATAAGTTTCCGTCCTGATGTTGAACTTTCTTTGTTTCAGCTATCCTCGCCTTAGGGAACAAAGCATAGTTTTTAAAAGCAAATCAGTTTGGAATGCAGATGCAGATGCAGATGCAGTTTGGGAACAAAGGACAACTTCTAAAGGAAAAGCAAAAGATGGAGATGCATTTTGGGAAAACGTGGGATACTAGGGTAGGGTAGGGTAGGGTAGGGGTAGTATAGTTATTTTTTACAATATACTTTAAATTTAATTTTCTTTTACAGTATGCAATTTCTTATTTGTCATGTATGTATTTCAATATCAATTACACTCTACATAGCATACCGTACCGAAAATACCGATCGATATCGATACCGTATCGAATTTTTTAATATAATAAATTTCGGTATACCGCAATTTTCAGTACAATATCGATATATATCGTTTATATCGAAAATTTTTATTTCGATACAATATCGATATCTACCGCTTATACAATTTTAAAAATAATAGTAGTATGCGACTTGAAAAGACCCGGCATGCCCACACATGCACATCCGAACACGTCTGCCATCAACCGTGAGCTTGTCTTTGTATGGGAGTTTAAATTTTGAAAATATAAAATTTTAAATTAAAATAATTATTTGATGTATAATATAAATAGATATTTATGTAATATTTGAAGATAAAAATAATTTTTACAATAATAAATAAAAATGGCATAATTTGATACCTTTGAATAGACATTTATGGACAACAAAAGGTTGTAGTCGAGGTATCAAAATTATTGGATTTTTTCATTGAAAGATAGATAACTATATGATACGTAATCACGAAGATGAAAAAATATTGAAGACATATGTTCAACACGGAGTCTGTTTGTTGCCTTTCGATTTTCAAATTATTTTCATATTATAATTTATAATTATATGGATTTCTTCGAGGTGTCTATAACATAAATAAATTAACAATATAGAATATATAATTTTATGGATATACATTGTTTTACCTAATAGAATATTATATCATAATATTGAATTTATTTATTTAATATTTTTATTTAAAATATAAAAAATAATATTAAAAAATAATTAAATAAATTTATTATTCAAACAAAAATTTAGGTTAATATCTAATTTTAAATTAATTTCAAATCACCTTCCCTAACGCCCGTTGGCCGTCATTTATTAAAATGATAACAGGGATGATTTAATAGTATAGAGGTTGAGCTTGTGACCGTGAGGTAATAGGTTCAAACCCCCGACGCCTTAAGTCACTTGTCATACCTAGTTCGCCTAGTGTGAATTTTTTGTTAGACCTGATTTGCAGGTTATTAGGTTTCGTTTCGTCGAGAATTTATACAGGATGTACTTTCGATAGCGGCAACAAATTTTCACGTTAAAAAAAAAAAAAAATAGTCAAACTTGAAAACCAACCAGAAATCCAAAAGCACGAGTTTAGGTTCGTACAGCGTCATTTAAACGAAAGTCGTGTCTTCAAATTGTCCTGGTTAGATTAATGAAACCGAAGCAGTCGTGGGGGCAAAGAAAGTCAACCAAAGGGAGAGGAGAAATGTTGACTATGGTGGGCCTCACGGGTTCCTCGTGATCCTGACGACCGCCATTTCCCTATTTTGGTGTTTGTCTGCATTGCATTATCCAACGGGTGAGTGGGTGCGTCGGTCAAAGAAGCGGACGCGGAGGGTTTCGAAGAAGTTTCGGTGCCCTGAGATGCTGCGGTGAGTGCTCTTGGGTTTCTGACTGGCGAAAGTTCCGCTACGATAGGCGAGGGTTTGGATCTGTTGTCAGTCGGTGAATCGATCCGTGTCGAGGTAAGGAGGATTAGTGTTTGTCAAGCTTTTTTGTTGGTGATTTATCTGAACTAGGTTTTCGTTTTGATTCACTGGTAATCGGTGCTGATTTTGTCCTGTGGTAGGGTTTTGGTATGATTCCGTTGATGTTAGCTTGATTCGTGAAATCGATTGGTTTTTAGCAGCCGCATTGCTTCTTTTCTGCCTATTTTTCCTGTGATGAGCCATGGTTGATCTCCGATGAATTTTTTTTAGCTCGGATTGTGTTTCCACTGTTGAAATGAACGATTGATTTGTATTTCGATTGCTGAACTGCAATTATCTCCTTGTCCTTCTTCTTAAGTGTATACTGTTCTTCACAATTTTTGGCTTTAGATGTTCTGTTTGATGTTTATAATATATATATGTTTCCATTGTTAGGGTTTCATAAAATCTTATTGGTAGTTATCTATTGCAGTAGTTCACATCAGAATGACATGGACGATTGAATCTATGTTGTATATAAGGAAGGGAAATTGATTTGCTGTCGGCTTGTCGCTTTGAGCTCGATTGGGTTATGATATACTTTTTGTTTTTCGCTAATTCTGCTACTGTCTTCATTTTTGGCTTTAGATGTTCTATTTGATGTTGTTTATATATATATATATATATATATTTCCATTGTTAGTGTTCTTCCTTCAAATCTTATTCTACAAATGGTAGTTTCCAATTGCAGTAGTTTACGTCGAATTACACATGGAAGATTGAATCTATGTTGTATTTGAGCTTGATTGGGTTATGTTTTACTTTTGATTTTTCGCTAATCCTGAGTTTCGATGTTCTATTCAGATGGGAACGTCTTCTGGATCTCATTTCAACAATCAATCCTCAATGCTACCTCCTCGGCAACAGCAGCAGCAGCTCCGACCAGGAGGCGGGGTACTGCAGACCTCTCTCTCCTTGGTTTCACCAGATGCCTGTGGATCTCCAAATCTTCAGGAACGCGGCTCGAATTCTGATAACATGCGTGAATCTCCATCTGAAAGTGCCAGTTCAAGAGAAACCTGGCCTACTGCTGAGGCATTGGCAGCAAAGAAACTGGAGAAGGAAAAGGAAAGAGATAACGGCTTTGCCGAGCACTCTGTTGTCCGCCACATTGCGAGTTCAGATAAGATGTCTCTTCGAGATGTAGCTGGAGAAAGAGTGGAAATTATTGCCGATAGAATGCAGAATCTTCCGGATGAGTATCTTGACAGGTTCAAAAATGAACTTCGATCGTTTCTTGAAGGGTTGGGTAGTTCTCACCAAAGAGAAGAGTTCTTATCCCTGCAAAAGCAGGTTCAAAGTAGAGGCGATTTGACTGAAAAAACACTGATAATGGCGCACAGGGTTCAGCTTGAAATTCTAGTTTCTATAAAGACGGGAATTCAGGCGTTTTTGCATCCAAGTGTTTGCCTCTCTCAAGCATCACTTATTGACATTTTCTTATACAAGAGGTGCCGAAACATAGCGTGTGGATCTACATTACCGGCAGAGGATTGTGGCTGCGACCTGTGCTCGAAAAGAAATGGTTTCTGCAATCTGTGCATGTGTGTGATCTGCAACAAGTTTGATTTCGAGGTTAACACATGCCGCTGGATCGGGTGCGATGCGTGTTCCCATTGGACTCACACTGATTGTGCCATTCGTAACGGACAGATTGGTATGGGCCCTTGTGTTAAAAATTCGTCCACTTCAGCAGAGATGGTTTTTAGGTGTCAAGCTTGCTCTAGGGCTTCTGAGCTTGTGGGATGGGTTAAAGATGTCTTCCAGCACTGCGCTCCGAGCTGGGATCGGGACGCTTTGATTCGAGAACTTGACTTTGTAAGTCGTATTTTCCGCGGGAGTGAGGATCCGAAAGGCAGGAAATTGTTCTGGAAGTGTGAGGAGCTAATTGAGAAACTGAGAAGCGGCATTGCAGATTCGGTGGCTTGCAAAGTAATCTTGTTGTTCTTTCAAGGTATACTGTTTATTACAAAGTCTATTTACGCAATCTGTCCTTTTGATTTATGAGAATCTAGTTTTTGTATTTTGTTCACAGTTGTCAATAACGTGCATTTGGGCCATAGAGCAGCTTCGGCAGGAGCAATATTTTTGTGCTAATTAATCTACTAATCATTTAATTTATTATAAAAACATCCTTTTTGGCCATTTCATTTAAATTTTAGGATATATATTTCCTTCATCTAAAATAATTATGTACTCACAATACTATTACCTTATAATCAATTTGACATTATTTATTCTAATTTCCGCATTACTTTATTTATTAATTCTTTAATAAATTTATCATAATACTGTGATTTTATTGTTTACGAACCACACTTTTATAGTGAAATACTATTATTTCTTAGTGTTCGGTCCCTTTACAAAGTAGTAATAGTATACCGGACGGAGGGAGTAATAGTTATCATTAGGTAGGTTTTGATTTTATAATATAATATGTTGTATGCAAGAGTACCAACAACAACGGTGAAAATAAGGAAGAAATTTGTTAGATTTTGAATTTGATTAACTTTGAGTATTTATTTATCGAAGTACTAGTGTTTTAATTGTTTTTGCTTGTAAAACAATCTATAATCATATTTTTTGACATTTTATTGGGTCCAATGATAACTATGAAATTAATTCGTAAGTTTTTTTTTTTTTTTTTTTTTGTAAAAATGCATTTTTATTGTTATTTTGCATATATAATAATTTTTATAGGTATTTTTTTAAGTTTTTACATAGCGCTTTTTTCATTATAGCTGTATAATGCTATTTGAAATTGACAGCTATGATCCTACCTTTTAGAGATACATGGATTTCTTCGACTAAAACACACGGTCCCGATTCGCATCCTTTTCTTATTCTGTAATGTTTGAAATTGTGTTTCCTTTCCAGAGCTCGACACCGACAGTTTAAAAAATCAAGAAGGTGAAGAATCTGGAAGGATGGTATCCCCACAAGAAGCATTCAATAAGATAGCCGACGTAGTGCAGGAAGCTGTTAGAAAGATGGAAATGGTCGCGGAGGAGAAGATGCGGATGGTGAAAAAGGCTCGTCTGGCTGTAGACGCTTGCGAACAAGAGCTCAAGGATAAAGCTCGGGAGGTTGCTGCACTGAAGATGGAAAGGCAGAGGAAGATGATGCAGATCGATGAGCTGGACAGTATCGTTCGTCTTAAACAAGCCGAGGCCGACATGTTCGAGCTCAAGGCTAACGAGGCCCGTCGGGAAGCTGAGAGGCTGCAACGAATTGCACTCGCCAAGACTGAAAAATCGGAAGAGGATTACGCTAGTAGGTACCTCAAACAAAGATTGCACGAGGCAGAAGCCGAGAAGCAATACCTGTTCGAAAAAATCAAGCTTCAGGAAAGTTTGAAGCCGACCCAAAGCAGCGCCGGAACAAGCGACCCTGCCTCAATGATGTACAACAAAATCCAAGATTTGCTCAAGAACATGTACAATGGGCCGCCAAAAGCAGATGGCTAGCCTCCTAATCGTCATTTTCAGGGTGGTATTTACCGGTTCGGTTGGCCTGTATATTATGTCGTTAATCTTACAAATTGGTTTAACTCTGTAGCGTAGAGAAGACACTTAGTTACATCTTTCTCGCGCTCATGCTTTGTATCTGTACTATTATACTGCCGTGTGGTTGTTTTTAGTGATCTTTAGTTTGGATATTTATTTGCGCCGGCTGCATTCGCTGTTTTTGTAAAATTTCAGGTCCCATTTGATGTCCCCAGGTCAGAATTGAACGGCTAACCAGGTATGTTTCACTTATTTCCGTGTTCTTCTGTTAGATGCTTTCAGCTCGTAGCTGTTTATTTCCATTTTATGTGCATACTGCCGAGTCGTATGATATTGAGTTTGGAAGCAAGTCAGATCTTCTTGTAGTTTTCGTAGGTTTTTATTTTGTCTTTATTTTTCCATGAGCTTCGAAGATTTTGCTTGCCGTGCTTTCTTGTGCTCGTTGTCGTGCCAAATTCCTATGAGTATGTCGGAGATCCTAATTCTTGTTTTTCTGTTTTTTTATCCTGCGTGATATGTTTGGAGGCAGTCGAGGAGCGAATTTGCTATGCAATTTGAATCGGAATCGATCCAAGTAAGAGTATTCTACGACATATTTTCTTTTATTATGAAAGCTATAGTATTTTGAGCATTGAACCATATTATTCGAGAGAATCCTCGATGGATGGGGAAAGAGAGTAGTGTAACTCCATGAAAGTGGTCTATGGATGGATCAAAACTATTGCATTGTGTCTCGTGATCCCGTCACCCACCGGGGTGATGGAGATGACGGGGTGACGGGGTTTCGCACAAATCGTATGCATGGATATATGATGTGATGTTTTTGGTTTTTTGAAAAAATTACTATTATAGAAATTTTTTATCGTTTATCGGCCTAGCTATCTATGGAACAATAACACAGGCTTAGGGCCGGCCCTGGATTCAGGACCGGCCTTCGGCTGCCGCGTCGGGGCCCAATATAAATAGAAGATTTTGTTGTATATGTATAATTTATTTAGTATGTATAAATATAAAAGAATCACGATTCTTTCCATGTTTTGCCTAGAGTTTTCTATTGCTTTCGCCCTTCTTGATGGATTGATATCATGCTGTTCTTATTGTTATTAGTAATAAAAGTATATTATTATATATATAAAATATCTAATTAAATGTTTATTTTTTGTTTCTTTATTACATGATAAATTAATTTTATATTTAAATATTAATTAATATTTTTTATATATGTTATTAAATAATTATTTTTTAAGTTAAAGATTTCATTATTTCAAATTTCAACTCACCTTCCAAATTTAAAACAAAAAATACTACATCCTTAAGCTGTATATATATTTTTTTGTTTAGTTTGTGATATTTTGTTTTGATTGTGAGATGAAATAATTTGTTTTTATATAAATTTAAATGTATAATAAAAAAATTAAAATCAAATAAAAAATGGTTATGCAAATTTTTTTAGAAAAATATATTTATTTTTAGTGAAATATTATATTCAATTCTATCTATTTATTCTAATTTTTTTGCTTTATATAAGTTATAAATATATTATTATATATATGATATTAAGGATTAATTTATCAAAAAAAATGTATATATTTTATTAATTAGAAAATATTATATTATTATTTTGTTTATTTATTATAAATTTATAAGTTTCATATAGTTTTGAGATTTTAATTTTTTTTAAAATAATAAAAATTAAAGATATTTGATGAATATTTTTGAATAAATATTATTAAAAAAATTTAAAAATATTTATATAAACATAATTATCTGACTAAAAAGGTAAAGAGAAGTATTAGTTTACTCCGGAGTATATAAAACATGTCTAATTATATTATTTTTATTAAAAATATTAAAATTTAAAATATTGACAATGACCAAACACACCTTGATAACTGATTATAAGGAAATTTTACAATATAAATATGAGCAACAAAAATTATTCGCCAATTAGGAAATCAAAAATTTCTTCTTAATCATGCGTTGATTATTGTCCAAATTAGGGTTCTTAAAAATCATTTTCATCTATCGATCAATCGCCGGAAATTGTCGCTAATCCATTTCCAGCGTTAGTAAAAGCGTCCCACTGTTCACTGTAAAACCGAATTTCAATGTTTTTGGGTAATTTATCGTGAAATTATTCACCGGAACTTTCTCCAATTGGCAGGTGAATGGGGCGGCGCTCCCGTGGAAATTTTCATGCGAAACATGATCCTAAGCAGAGGTTTTGGATTTTGTTTTATGTTCTTATTTATACGCAATTTTGTTAGGAAATTGGAAATTGGAAATTGGAATGTTTGTAGATTAGTTTATATTCTGAATTGGGTTTCATAATTGATTTGTTTCAATGTTTTGAGGGAAATATTGTAGTTTCTGACGATGAAGCGTGTTGGCTATTCATTACACGAATATCTGTACTTAAAGTTATGGCTCACCAATTGTTGTTCATGTTAAGTTAGAGTTGAGATTGTTTATTTTTCAAAGATTATAAAATTTTATGAATTCGTGGTGTTCTCCAAATTGATTATGTTTGTGTTATCATGCGGGCATTGTAATGATGTGGGAATTTTCGTTTGTTTTTTTGTTTAGATGTGATTCATATGTACTACACCTAGTGTATGCTTTAATGCCCTGTTACATATCTTCGAAATCTTATGCACTTTCTTGACAGATCAAGGAGAAAAAAGAGAGGATCGGATGGAGAACATGTCGAACCTATTCTTGGAGGTAATTTTTTTAAATTTTTAATTTTTTATGATAGGTTAGAATATTATCTAGAACGGAACCTTTGCTTGATTTGCATATCACTGAACTTAGTTGTACCTTATTTGGCCATTTTTGCCACTTTCATGTGTATTATCATTCTTCTTGGATTAAAGCAGATGAGCATTACTATCTATGGAGATTTAATTTGTTAATGTCCACCTTTTGATTGTGCAGTTCTCGGGGATAGTGATGAACAAAGGGTGTTGCACCATTGTAACTATTGCAACAAAGATCTTACTGGGATAATTCATATCAAATGTGCTTTGTGCTTCGATTTTGACTTATGCGTAGAGTGCTTCTCTGTTGGGGCCGAGATTCACCCTCACAAAAGTGGGCATCCATATCGGGTTATGGTCAGTGCCTCAATTTGAGATTAATTGGAAATTTTGACTATCCATAATTTTAATCAGTTCTTACATTTGTTATGCGTGTTTTCGAGATAAATGTTCGAATGAATGCAAGGGAACTTGGATTATAGGATCATTTGTTTTACACTTGTTTTTTATGTTTATGTTATCCTATTCATGAGTTACAATTTATTATATTCAAGGACTTTGACACTGGCATACTAATCATTGAGCAATGCCACAGAGAATCTGCTTCCAGATTGATTAATGCTTCGTGTTCCTCTCGAGTCTTATGGCTTTTTCACTACCAAGCAGTTGTTAAGAAATGCTTAATGATTTCTTAGCTCCTTACAATGATATTTATCAAAATGTGCTAAATCAGGATGTCCCATCATTTCCACTTACCTGTCCCGAATGGAGTGCTTATGAAGAAAAATTAATGCTGGAGGTAATCAGAAATATGCTTTGCATCTCGTTGATCCATGCAGTCATTATTTATTGAAGTCTTATCTTGTTATATGCCTCAACAAATATCAGGGACTGGATATGTATGGCGCAGGGGACTGGGCTAAAATTGCTGACCACGTTGGCACAAAGACAAAAGAAGTGTGCATTGAGCATTATAGAAATGCATATCTTAACTCTCCATACTTCCCTTTACCGGTATTGGTTATATAGTAGGAGTAGGTTACTCACGGTGAATTGGTGTTATTACGAGTTATAAACTTATATCATATAAAAATCTTTCAACTTACCAGGATATGACTAACTTTGCTGGCAAGAGTAGAGAAGAACTTCTTGCAATGGCTAAAGAACATTGTGACAACAAGAAAGGTTGGTATTGTTGATTGTTCTTTGTCTTTCCATGTTTTCTGAACTTTGTATTTTGGCTTCTTGGGTGGATTAGTGTCGCACGGTGAAAGTTTAGGTATCTCTTGTAATCTGTGATCTTGAAATTGGTTTGAACAGTATAATTCCATTCTGGTAAGCTTGAGTGTGCATTTTATTGTATTCGATCGAAAGGATCCACCGTACATTTTTCAGAACTCTTTTTGAGGCCTATTTTGTGTAGTTTTTTGTGAAATTTTCTAGCCCTTACGAAAACTGGAAAGTAGGAAATGTGCTTTATATCACTATTAATAAGATATTGGACTCATGCTGTTTTATCTTGTTATTGAGCATTTCGTGTCCCAGATCTTTCTTGTGTTATTTAGGGTGTGTTTGGTTGGGGATTTAGATTTGGGTTTGAGTTTTTAGTAGAAAAAATTTTGAATTTAAATAATTATTTGATGTGATATAAATATATATTGATGTGATGTTTTGAATGTAAATTTGATTTTTAATATAATACCGTAAAAAGTGAGAAATAAGAATTTTGTTTGATATTTTTGAAGAAAAAAAATGGTTGAATATGAAAGTCTTGGAGGGAAACACCAACAAAACACAACTTTAGTATCTGAAAGAAATAATGTTATAGAACATATAATATCAATCTCAACCAGTTTTGTGTTTGCTTCTGTAATTCATTCAGCTGTCCAACTTTGGTGTGCTGCATGGCGTAAAGTTATTTTTGTCACTATTGTCTAAATAATTCCATCTAATTGGCTTCCTTTTTCAGGGGAACATCAGCTGCAGGAAGAGTCTCCGTGTCCTCCCTCAAGAATTAAGTATTGCAATGTTCATTTAGTAACTGCTGAGTTTACACTTTTTTTTTTCTTTTAACATCAATCGGTCGCTTACGTGCCTTTATTTATTAGGGTTGAAGATTCATACAGAGATGGTGCACCGGGCCGTTCACCTTCCAACCCTGTTGTAGGTAAGTAGAAGATTTGACCTGCAAACAAGCTAGATGCAGTTTGGAGTTATAACGGTGGACAACCATTAGTGAACCTAAAGTGTGTCTACAAACTGAAATTTTTGTAGGTTCCAAAGTCAATAAAAAGGTGTCCAACAATACAGTCACAGACCATGGAGATGTTCAAAATATGGATGGTTAGTTACCTGTTCAGTTTGCTGCAGCCTTTGACTTCTGAAAGTATTGTTAGTTTGTTTTCCAGGTCCTGTGTTTGAGATTTCCTGATTTCAGCAGAACATATTTCAGGGCGAAGTTTTGGTGGGAATAAACATGAATCGGCAGACGCTGAAGCTCCATCTTTGATGGATGCTGTTGGTTATAACCCCAAAAGACACCAGTTTGTGGTAGAATATGACAATGATGCCGAGCAGTTGCTGTATGACTTGGAATTTAAGGATGCTGATACGGAAGACGAGCATGCATTGAAGTTGAAAGTAGTTTGTATATATACAAAGAGGTATATTGTAAATGCTTCAAGGAATGCAAATCTTGGTTGTGTGTGTCCTGTCATTTTTTTTTTTTATTTTTCTGATAGTTATGATTTATTGATGGCAATTGTCGTAATGATCTGTTCTGGAGCTGATGCTAAAAATGCTTGTTGGCAGATGTTCTGAAAGAGAACGAAGGAAAGATTTTATTCGAGAAAGAAATTTACTTCATCCAAGCCCATTCGAAAAGAGCTTAAGCCAAGAAGAGAAGAATATATGCCGTCAATATGACAGATTCATGCGTTTTAATTCGAAGGAGGAGCATGAAAAACTATTAGAATCTGTTATATCTGAGCATAGGCTACTTAAACGAATTCATGGACTTAAGGTACTATCTTTTCTTTGGACTGAAGTCATTATTTTCTTTAACTGTATGGAAAAGCATCTGGAAAAATACAATGGTTCTGTTCTGTCATATGTCTTAGTCTCATAGTCGAGCTGGCAAATAAAACCATGCATCTTTTATGGGCACTATTTGTTGTTATTTTAAATGTGAATTCAAATTTAATCACAATTACATAGAACTTATACTTGTGATTATTATCATTCTTTTTTAATTCTTTTGACTTTTGAGATAGCAAAACTTCAGATGCCCATCTGTGTTTTGGATGTTTGGAGATGTTTTTTATTTAACAATTTCAAATAGAATATATGTTTTTATGTGATGTTTTGGATGAGATACTTTTTTGAAGGGAAAATTTATTATATTATAAATTGCCAAAAAAAAAATAATTCAAAAACACTAACAAACACATCCGAATTCTACTTTGTATTTCACTCTTGGAATTGAACCTTCAGGAAGCAAAAGCGGCTGGCTGCCGTACATCTTCTGAAGCAGATAGATATCTTGAACTGAAGAGACAGGAAGCTGAAGATGCCACTGGTCGGAAGGAAAGTTCTCAGGCAGGTCCAAGCAGCCAAGAAAGTATACCAATTTCTTCAGACTCTTTCGGCACAAATTCAACCACAACATCTACAGGCCAAGCCCACTCATCAACCGATTTGGATTTTGCATCAATTTTGGGAGCTAGTTTACTGTCTGAAGATGTAAGTACACATTGACTCTCTTCCCTGCAATAGTTACTTATTTCCGGTTTTCAATAGTTAATTTCATACATTGCGTTGGCAGGAGAGACAACTTTGTCGTGAAATTGGGTTAGCCCCACAAAGGTTTCTGAAAATACAGGGGGACATGACTATGCATGTCCTGTCTGGCAGTATCAGTAAGAAGACCGATGCCCATTCCTTCTTTCAAATCGAGCCAGAAATAGTCGACAAAGTTTATGATGTTCTTTTGAAGAAAGGACTTGTTCAGTCCTAATACAATGGAAGGTACATACTTCATTTTTTCATTCCTTGTAAAGATTGCATTTGGTTGTCGACAATTAGAGGCTAACACGATGGCATGTTTTAACTTACCATACTTGACGAATGCTTATGACCTCAAGATGTTTTTTTGACTCGAGTAACAAATTACTCCTATATTCCAATTCAATAGAATTATGGTATATTGCAAATATTTTACATGCTGTTTACTATTGGAATTACTAATGATTCTGTCGTCTGTAAAACACCCTGTATTGCCGTATAACTATAGCCTGAATCTTGGTAGGAGTACAAAACCTTAATTGTTTCAATTGACTGCTACATCTAGGCATAGCATGTGCTCCCGGTTAACATAGGCGAAATATTTCCGACTATCTGATCATGAACTGCTAATGAAGAAAAGATGCATAGCAGTCGAGAAAACTGGATTGGATATATTGATAGTCATGACTAAGTTTTAGAAACAATAGTTATTCCCTTGTCTGTCAAGAATATGTAGTTTTGTGTGGATATAGAAATTAAGAAAAAATAATACTTTAGTATTAAATTTGTATGTTAAAAAGTAAGTTGGGAATATAATGAGAAATTTAAGTTGGAGGTTTAATTGAGAGTAATTTAGTTGAAGTAGCTGTCATAAAATTATAGATACATAAGTTTAAGGGACAATCATTAAGAAAAGTAGAGAACTGGCGTAATTTTGGTGTCAAAAAGATGATCTTGTCTGAACATTAAAAACTTACCTCTAACCTAAAGATATATCACAATACTCGTTAGGATTTCAGGAATTCGTAAATGTTGTATGTATATTTAGATATGCATACATAGTGTATATATGTAGTGAATTGTTACACTACTGAAATATGATGCGATGCATCGAATGAATTCACTTCAATAGTTCGGTTCATCTAGAAACGATTGTTGATTCAAGTCTGGTTCTCCTGCGACGAAATCCAGCAATGCTTTTCCCTCTCCGTCGTCGCCAAATAATTCCATAGGCAGAGGCGACAACTGCCCGAAAACGGCAATTGCCATCAAAACTAAACCTGTGGACACGATAAGGGGCCAGAAGTAAATGAGAATTCTAGTTAAGTTAGGCGTAAATGGCGAATAAACCATCAGGCCGTACAACACGGCTGTTGCTGCTGCAGCTGCAGCGACAAACAGGTATCTCTCTCCTAAAACCCGGGCATCATCGATTTTCATGGCTGTGTTGTGTGTGCTGGTGCATATCTTAGGACAATCTTTTAAATGGTCTTTTTAAACAGGAAAGTTGCCTTCGGAGTTGGGTCATATGATTAATTGATTACCTGTTTTTGAAGGATTCTTTGAAATTTCGGAAGTTTTGCATATATTCCATTCTTGTGAAAGTTTTTATGTTATATGGGAGTTTTGAACTTAGGATGTGCTTTACCCTGTTAAGAAGTTCGTAGTTTCTTTGCTTGGAATGAACTGCGATTACTTTCGATAGAATTTTGGATCGTATTGGCCTTTCTAGGTTTTTATTAGCGCCTGACATTTATCCGAATTGAACGAGCTTGAACTTCGTTCAAGAGTAGTGAATAAACATGATCTAATTAAAATTCAGCCAAAAACTGAAAAATATAACTATTTATTAGTCATCGATATGACATACGTTGATTTGATCAAAGAATAAACACAGAATCTATGGCCAAAATATATAGTACCTTCAATATTTATTATTGTACTAGCTCAATTCAGTCTAAAAAAGTAATCATCTTGTCATTTTCAATTGCCAAACACAAATAATAGTTTCCAGAGCACAAAACATATTCAATATCTATTTTTCATTTAAATTGTACTAATTCTGAAACAATTCAAAACATATCCAGAAGTGAGCTGACAGGTCAAGGTGTACCGTACCTGTTATTCCTAAAGACATATATATACCTTGTGAATTGTATCAACATGCAACCATCCAATCTAATGCAACATAAGGTTGCGAGTCGAGTCGAAGCAACAACCTTATAGGATCTTACGGATGTTGGAGAACCACATTGCAAGATTTAGAAATTGTAAGAATGTTGGGCAAACCAAATAGCAAGATTTAGAAATTGTTGGCGTAGACGTAAGTTTTGTTTTGAGAAGAATCGGTTGTCACCGGAACTCGTGAGAATCCAGTGTAGAGTTTGCCTTTCTTCGCCGCGCATATATCTGCAAGTCTTCGGAGGAGTTCGTGTTTCTGGACAAATGGCTGTCCTAGATACTCTTCGTATGGCATCCACTGGAAATCACAAAATAAATAAATAAAATATCGCATTCAACTAAAATTAAAAATATACATGTAAAACTAAAACTAAATATGAAAATAGTCTACATAGAACATGCCACCAGTGATCTCAAAACATAACATCCATAGTATGAACTGACAATAAATAACAACGAAAAGAATTATGCAGACATTTTTGGGTTTTTTCTTCGATTAGTTTTTTAATATGCAATCCTCATGATTAGTTTTGATGAAAAAATCTCACAAAACATCATATCGAACCACTATCTAAACACAGTTGCCACGTCTTGGTTTTGAAATGAAATTTTTTGTACTCATTGACACTAAGAAGATAAAGAAATGTGCTCCAAACCAAAATCTTGAATTGATTGTTATTGGAGGATCAAATATGAGTATTTACCAGAATTTAGCAAATATCAGAACATGTATATTTTAAAACCGTACCTGGGCTGCTTCAATCTCGGTTTCCTGTGGATGGATGTCGAATGAGAGTGGCTTCAAGAAGCACACAAAGAACAAATCCGACTTCTCAAAGTACGCTTTGTGACTCTGCCTGCGACAGGTCGTTTAATCGATCAACATAAGGCGAGTCAGAAACTCTTTATCCAAAATGAACAGACCAAATGGTTCTACACTTTTCCAAGATAGGAACCATAACTTCTTCGAATTGTGCAAATAGAGCATATAATCAATACTATATGGAAGTGTACCTGAATGCCAGTATTTCCAAGAAAATTGAGTCAATCTGAAACATAAGTACGGCCGATGAATCAGAAAAATTGAATCATAGAAAATAAAAAATATGACAAGTTCTGGTATTTGTGTGTCTTACTCCGGTTTCTTCTTTAACTTCTCTAATGGCAGCGTCGCAGATATCCTCACCCTGCAAATATACGCCTAACTGTTACAGATTTACACTAGATATTGTCCAGCCATTTACGACTAAACGTTACACCCTCCATCAATTTTACTATTTTGAGTTGTCAACATTCAATATATCAATATTTCTTAATCTGTCGTAACAAAAGTAAAAGCATGCAAACATTACATAAAGAACAAATTCTTTTTTTTTTTCTTCCTTTTTTCACTGACTATGAAGAAATCAAAGAGCAAGTCACTACCTCATCGACAACTCCTGTAGGGAACTTCCACACACCCGTTCCACGGAAATGTCCACTCTTTTCCTGAACTACCAGCACCTGTAGTACAACAATCTTGTGATGTCAAAATCCCATTAAATCCTTCCTAGCACATAGAAATCATGCAAATTGATGAAGCTGTTTGGCATTTTTTCGTGAAATTAATACAGAGCAAGAAACTTCAACTTCACTGGTATATTAATGTATACACACACACACACATATATATATATATCATACTTCGTTCTTTTCATTTAAAACAAATGCACCGATGCCGACTCTATGTGAGGCATTTGCTGGCAGGGTATTTGGGGTGTTAGGAAGCCAATGAACAAGCATCAAATATTTAGGCTCTGCATGATGAAAATAGAATCCTTCCTGCAACAATAATAATCGCATATGAGCTACAAACAAGGCGAAACACATATTTTTCTGCTACCATTCTTATCCTCAACCCTACTATAACTTTGAATTTTCGACAAGAACTGACCTTAACAGCAGTTTCAACCAGATTCACTAGCTCAATAGGCATCTTAATCCAGACACCCCTTTTCCCCTACAACACACACGATCATTTTTCAGCTATGTGTGAATTCCCACACACACGTATGCACGCATGTGTATATATATATATATCTATGAGTAGATGGTTGAACAATAAAAAATATTCGTTAAATCATATGGAATTTCTCATTGAAAGGTATAAATTAATGCTTATAGATTGAACAACAAAAAATTATTGAATCAAAATGTAGATCAATCCAACCATCTAATAAAATTTGATCTAAGGTTGAAACAAGAAAATTATTGAAGCAAGAGTTAAATCTATTTACAAAAACATCAGCTGAAGAAATCTTCTCGACCACAGCATGAAATATGCTGATCAAACCAGCAAACCTGAGTGTGTATACATATATATATATATGGCAGCTTTTTATATGATGATGAATTAAATCATTCAACACCCTATTGACAATACATAGCATATATATATAGACAACACATAACAAATAAATAGACAACACATATGCTATATTAATATAATACAAATACAACATATAAACTGATTGCACCTGAACTAATTGCCACCATATTGATCTTAGCACAACAATCACATGTTAGCACGGATCAAAGATGCAACACATAGTTTATGTATAATATAATTCAGTATATGATCCCACAAAACATTACAATAGTCCACAAAACAATATTTAACACAGCACAATATATAATTTATCACTGTCAACATATGCTGTTTCAACAATAATCATGTGCTATGTATATCAATTGGGATTACTAACTCAGTCGGCACCATAACCAGATATCCTCATTAAAACTGTATCTAGCAAACCACAACCCTAAAAATGCCTAAATTCAGCATAATATGAACAAAAATAATAACAATCCAGAGGTACCTGCTGTCGCCAATGGGCAATGGAGGCTTTCAACAAGGAAGCGAAAACGGGAAGTTCCAAAGGCTCACAACTCATTTCAACTATAATTCCTCCATGCTCATCGTTTTTGCCCTCCAGAATTCTCTCCACTTGATCGATTTCATTTTCTGACAGCGCCGCTGCCGGAGACGTCAACGCACTCATTGAAGATATAGTAATCCAAAATTCACGCTAAGAACCCTAATTCTAGCCTCGACAAATCTACCTGTAAAAAAAAAAAAAAAATCCAAAAAAACCGAATAACAGATTGAATTTCCGTGCCTGGATAAGGAAAAGCTTGAAAATCTTCCGCACCTGGCAGCGGCGAGGACGAAGCAGAGATCTGCTAGTGAAAACAACATCGATCGGTGTTTACAGGGGACATTTGGCGCAATAAGAGGTGATGATTTCTCTGAGGAGATTTCATACTCGCCGTGGGAAGGAGACTCGTCTTATATTAATGTGTTTGCTTTTCTCTCTCTCTCTCTCTCTCTTAAATGCATATTAATTCAAACAAGCAAGCATCGGAAAGTACGGACGGGCGGATCGGAGGTTGTCATATCAGAGCGGCGGAACACCGTCGCCGGCTTGATCTCCGGGCGGCGAGGTACCGTTGTTGCCTTGCAGTTGTTGATTACTCATATAGATTTTGGTTGATGGAAAATTGTCCATAAATTAAAAAATATGGAGTAGTAAGTTTGTCCTATAACATGATTAACACAATGCTTTGTTATTTCTATTATTTTTTTTTTTACAAATTCTTTTAAAAAATTTATACCTCAATGCTATGTAACATTCATTATTTTTATATTTTCAATGCAATTTTATATATCTTAAATAAAAAAAAAAAATTTCAATAATTTTACAAAACAAATACATTCTTTATTTTTGCACTATTATATTGGTTTACAAGACCAAGGATAAAAATATTCCAATTTATATTGTATAATGAAATATAACGTAAAAGTAAATAGTGTCATTATTAAAAAAAAAATAAAACAGTAAATTCGCAGCCTCGAAACTGTGTACCGAATAAATTCCTAATCGAATCTAATACCTTGCAAGTTAGATTCGACAAGACAAATTCCTGATAAATTTTTTTATAAGAAGGAAGAGAGTGTAAGAGTTAAAATTATGATTTTATTATTTTACTTAAAATTTTTCAATATATTTTTTTAAAAATATATACTATATATTTATTATTTATATTATTTATATAATTTTTTATATTCATATAAAAAATATTTTTTTAAACCAAAAATACAAAACAAATACACTTAATATTTTTTTTTTGGAAAAAAAAATTGATAGAGAGAACAATAAAGTAACATTTTAAATTTTATTTGAGTTCTAATTTAAATAGAAATAATATTACAACAATTATTAAAATTTTAAATAAACTCTAATTTATTTATATAAAAAAATTGTGTATATAATATAAAATATTATTTTTTATGAAATAATATATATTATTTATATTAAAAATCTTATTAAAAAATTATTGAAAAAATAAATTCGAGATATATTTGATTTTAATTTAAAATTAAAATATTAAATTCATACAACTCACCACTTTAAAATGTATAGTATATAATGATATTTTGATAAATACAAATAAAAATAATTAAATTGGTAAGTTGTGTATTAACTACATATATTATAAATATTGTTGATGTAATTTTTCAACAATAATAAAGTAAAATTCAAAGATATAGAAAATATCCTTAAACTTGATTAATTAGTGCCTGAGATTAGGAATCTCTAAACACTGTACGGTACATAAAATAAACTGGAAAATAAAAGACTGAAATTTAAAGTGGTGATCCCCAAATCTGACTTTGCTTTGTTGAAGTTGATTGAAGATGCCTTGCCAAATGATGATCCAAATCCTTAAATATTCTCTGGGAAACCGTACCGAAAACCGTCACCCGAACGGTTACAACGTCTCCTTCCCAACCGTCTTCCAACCCTTCTCATGCTGACACGCGTCCCCAGCAGACCAAAATTATCCCTACATTTCACTCTTTGAGCCGACCACAGACCTTCCGCTCTTTTGGCCCGACTGCCAATCTACAATAGTATGGGTCCGACCGCCAATCCTCCCGACTTGCGAACCATCTGGCTTGAGGTCTTTCCGCCTTGAGGACTTCCCGACCTGAAAACCTTCCGACTTGAGGTCTTTCCGTCTTGAGGACTTCCCGACCTGAAAACCTCCCGACTTGAGGTCTTTCCGTCTTGAGAACCTCCCGACCTGAAAACCTTCCGACTTGAGGTCTTTCCGTCTTGAGGACTTCCCGACCTGAAAACCTTCCGACTTGAGGTCTTTCCGTCTTGAGGACTTCCCGACCTGAAAACCTTCCGACTTGAGGTCTTTCCGTCTTGAGGACTTCCCGACCTGAAAACCTTCCGACTTGAGGTCTTTCCGTCTTGAGGACCTACCGACCTGAAGACCTTCCGACCTGAGGTCCTTCCGTCCTGAAGACCTTCCGACCTGAAGACCTTCCGACCTGAGGTCCTTCCGTCTTGAGGACCTACCGACCTGAGGTCCTTCCGTCCTAATGACTTTCCGTCTTGAGGACCTACCGACCTGAAGACCTTCCGACCTGAGGTCCTTCCGTCTTGAGGACCTACCGACCTGAGGTCCTTCCGTCCTAATGACTTTCCGTCTTGAGGACCTACTGACCTGAAGACCTTCCGACCTGAGGTCCTTCCGTCTTGAGGACCTACCGACCTGAAGACCTTCCGACCTGAGGACTTTCCTTAGTAATAAACCTATTTTCATTGATTTCCTCATGGTCCCCTTCAGTCAGTTCAATCAACTCTATTGCCAGGCCCACTATTCTTTTTACCTTGGGCTTTTAACCTAATTCTAAATTTCGTACGTAACAAATATAAATGAGTTTATTTAGATGGAAATAATAATAAATGATAAGTGAAACAACAAATAGGGAAAATATATATATATATATATTTTTACTTTATTATTTAAATGAAAATTTCAAATAAAAATCAAAATACTTAACAGCCAGACGCCACTTTGCATAGCCATTACGACGTCGTTGTCGGTAATTGCTAGAATAAATTAACACCAATTTGTTATAGGTAATTTTACATTAAGCCCATTAAAATATAATGATGTGACTTTGACCCCAAAGCTTTTTAGTATTCCAAACTGGCAAAGCATATTTATCACTACGTTCTTTTAATGTTACTATTATAATTATTTCTTGTTCCGTCCCATAACAAATTATTTTTTTTTTATTTTAATCCGTCCTATAATAAATTATTTATTTTTTTTAGTAACTGTACTATCTACCTAACATTACAAATACCCTTACAACTTAGAATATATTACATAAATGTCATCACATTTACATCACACAATACTAATAAGGTTATTTTAGTAATTTATATTTTATTCCTAAAATAAATTCTAATATAATTCCAATATTTCTAAAATTTCGTGCAAAAAGCAAACGGATACCTAATTATGGGACGAAGGGAGTATTTATTAATGAGAAATATTAATATATCACAAATGATTATGAAAAAAAAATTGTCAAAATATTTATTTATAGTATTTTAAAAATATTTTGTAAAAATAATACTCCATCCCTCTCAAACACCATGCAACATTTTCTTTTTGGTATGTCCCAAACACAATGCTTCCAAAATAGTAAGTAATTAATTATACTTAATTTTTACCCCACACTTTATCCAATCACATCACCCAAATAAAAATAATAAAATATAAAATTTTCTGTCTATCACATCACCTAATTTTTAAATTATTCTACTTAATACTACCCACCTAAAAATCCGTCCCAAAATAAATGTTGCATTTTATTTGAGACGGATGGAGTAATATGTTAATAAGAAAAAAAAGAATTATTTATTTATTTATTTGTTTTTAGAAACGAGTGTTCATGTAAAATAAAAATAACCCTAACCAGCATACCTTTTTTAAACTTACCAAAATTAAATTATACAGAAATAATTTAAATCCAATTTAGATTTAGCACTAATTATTATATAGACATATATATAAATATAAGGTAACATTAGTACGTTATGTCATAATTTTGTGGAGGTGAATTATGTTATTTACTTTAAATATTTAGAATATAGTAAGTAATTTTATTATATTAATTAACATGACATTATAGAATATATTCGATAAATTACTTACCAATGTGTATTTTTGCTCCAGATTTGATGCCATCTTAGAGTTTGGCAAAATTTAAAATAATTTGTAATTTCATACTTATTAAATATACCATAGTTTAAATGTATCAAATTTAATTCTAAATCCAATAACAATTGAATTTTTTATTTTTTATTTTTAAATTAAAATCAAGATTATTAAGTTTATAATAAATATATATTACTTTATAAAGTAAAATATTATATCAAAATATTATTTAAATAAAAATTATAATCAACATCTTATTTCAAATCAATTTAAAACTATATTCATATTAATCCAATAATAATTATATATTAAATAGTGGATTAAATACACACTTTTAAAAAATAATAATAATAATAATAATTGTTTTTTGTTTTTTGATTTTTGTTTTACTATTTAATTTACTATAATTTTTTTTATATATAAAATATCACATAAAAATTAATTTAAAATACATTTATAAGATATTTCAACCGTTATAATTTAATAAAATATATTCATTTACTCATCGTTTTCTCAATGCTTAGTTAATACAAATAGTCGTTATTTTATTAAGAATAACGCTTAGTATAATATAAGTAAATAAATTTCTACATATATTTTTTTTCTAATTTTATTTATTTAAAATAATCATTTTAATTTAATTTAATTAGATCAAATAATATTTATTTTTTTATAAATAACCACACTATTTACATGTTAAAAAAAAAAATTGATATTATCAAATTTTAAAGAGAACATAGCTTATAAAAATCATGAAATTTTGGATATGTAATTACATATCTAAATCAACAAAAATTTATTAATTTTTATTGTTGTGTATTACTAAGAGAGAATGTAGCTATTTAAATAAAAATTTAAATTAATGTTTTATTTTAAACTACTATTAAACAAATTTATATTATTTTATTAATTTGTATTGTTGTGTACTATTATACTTTTTAATAATATATTTTTTATAATAATAATTAAAAAACAAAATACTAAAGGACAGTATTATAATATATTTATTTTTATATTTTAGTATTTGGAGATGTTCTCATTTTTTTTAATACTCAAGTAAATGGTATACTATATTATAGTTTATTATGAGTTTGTTTGGTTGTTTTTGCATATTTTGATATTATTTGTAATGTTGCACAGGGTTTTGAATATTTCATATAATTTGAAATTGAATATTAATTTAATTTTTTATTTAAATAAATTTTATTTTTATATGATATTTATAAAATAATATTACAATAATATAATATTTTGTAAATATATTATTCAAAGTACATATTTATAAGGTTCAAAACAAAGAATTTCTATTTTTTTTTTATAATAAAAGTATATTATTTTTCATAACTAAATATCATAATTTTTTAACATTAATATAAATAATTTTATTCCATACAAAATCAATTTATTATTTTATTATTATCATTAATATTATTATTATTATTTTATATAGTAATCATAGTCCTCTAGCATCTTACCTATTATACAATCACACCCTAAAATAAATAATATTAAAAATTTTACACGGGGATTAGATTGGATTTACATTATTTCATCTAATTTTTTCTCCTAAAAAAATATAAAATCAAATATTTATTTTTTATTTTTTATATTATATTAAAAATTAATTTTATATTTAAAACATCACATCAACACCTATTTATATCACATCGTACAACTATTCAAATTCAAAAATTTTACTATTTAAATTTCAACTTAAAATTCAAATTCCAAAACAAAGACATTATAAGTAAAGAATACACTCGTACAGAAAGCAAGAGAATATAAAAAATTTATTTAAATAAAAATTTATAAAAACAAATATTGTGTTTGTTTTGCATTTTAAGTTTAAATTATCTTTATTGATAAATATAAAGAAATGTTAATGTATATTATAAATAATAATAATAATAATAATTTATATGAAATCATTAATGTTTTTAAAAATATTGAATATATTTTATATATTTAATATAAAATATAAATATTTATAATATTAATTGAAAAACATGTCCAAACTAATAGACGAACACACACATTCAAATTAAAACCAAACAACAAAAAAGGATATCCCGCGGGGGGCAAACTGCAAATACCGAAAGTATAAGACTACGACTGCAAAAAGACTCGAAGCCCCAAAGGGTGAAATAAAAATCTGAATAAGCGAAGTCCATCGGAGGAGCGCTTATTATAAGTTTAGTTTATTGATATTTTTTTTGAAACTAAAGAAGCATTTCCTCTCTCTCTCTCGCTCTCTCTCTCTCGCGTCTGTTGTTCGAAACAAACCGAAAAATTGAGAGGCCCCAATTCGCATACTGAGCCAGAGACGCTGTGAATGCGTGTGCAAGGGCCTCACCATTCGTGCGCTTGAAGGAATCCTCTGTATTGCTGCTGTCCATGGCGCAGAAGTTGCAGCAGCAGCTGAAAGAGTTGGGATCGAAGTTGGAGAACCCCCCTGCTTCCAAGGATGCTCTCATGAAGCTTGTGAAGGTTAGTAATCGTCTGTTCTGTGTTTAATTTTTGTTCGAAGGTCGGAATTATTTTTTTCCCCCTTTTCTTGGTGTGTGTATGGGAATTGAATTTGTGTTTGTGAAGAGTTCCGTTGCGAATGCATGGTGGAAGTATGAATGTTACGATGCGTGTGGTAATTTGGGTCGGACTAGGGTTTTTGGAAAGTGGTTTTTGGGTTTGGTGTCGTACCTAAACAGAAAGACCGAGCCTTTGCTTTTTTCGTGGAGAAATTCGAATTTAGGTTTGATTTGTGGTGTTAAGCGGACAACTATTAGTTCAATTTGAAATTTCAGGCTTCGGCATTACATTTTGGGTTAGAAGCTTTTCTCTTTTGAAACGCCAGGGCACTCGATGTTATATTGGATTGGTTTTGAAGGGGATAAAGTTTGAACACTTAACGATAAGGAAAGGCTAGGGCTTTTCGAATTTGTGGGCAGTTCAATATCCAATTGAGCACACCACGTTAAAAAATTAGGGCTTTCTATTTATACAGTTAACTAGGGCTTTTTCTCTGATGTGTTTTGGGTAATTGAAGACTCTGTGTATTCTTTTTATCAATTGAGGAACTATTCTCAGATTGAGGTAGTTTTTTCTTTTCCAGATTACCTTGATAAGCCTCTTTTATATACTTAATTTCATATTGCATATATCTATACATGCTTCTGTGACTGCTGAAATTTGTGAGATCGAGATGACACTGCATTTGTGTTTATATATATATATAATAAAATTTCACTGCTATCGAATCCTCCTCGACTGGAAGTCAATTGTTTCTCAGATATTTGTCAGTAAGCTTAAATGCTTAGTTTGGAGAAAATTGTTCCCAGGATTAGTAGTATGTTGTACCTGTTATAATCTTTAGGAAAAATATTGCCTGCCAGAATATTTTGGACTTTCAAATTTAAAATTGGACCATGAGCTCTTGAAATTTATGTAGTTTAAGTTACTCAGATTCTAATGAATGTTTTCTGATAATTTGACTGGCTCATCCTCATCCAGCAAGGTGCAGCATGTCTCTCGGAAATAGACCAAACACCTCCAAAACCACTTTTGGACTCTATGCAGCCTCTCTTAAATGCCATTGCCAAGCCAGAACTATTGAAACATCAAGACCGGGAGGTCAAACTCTTTGTAGCGTCCTGCGTCTGCGAAATAACTCGAATAACTGCACCTGATGCCCCTTATGATGATGATGTGTTGAAGGTAAATTTTCCTTTATAACTCCTGGACATTGATTTCTTACTTGTAATGTTTTAATATATGACTTTGGTTCTGATTTCGGCCTTTAATTGATTCCAGGATATTTTCCAGTTGATCGTGAGCACTCTCAGTGGCTTAACTGATATAAATAGCCCAACATTTCCAAGGAGGGTTGTTATTCTCGAAACCCTTGCAAAATATAGACTATGTGTTGTAATGCTGGATCTTGAATGTGATGATCTCATAAAAGAAATGTTTGAAACTTTCTTTACTGTTGCCAGGTACCGCACTTTTAACTGCTCTTTAGTTGTCACTACTTTTAGTACTTTGCGCATTCTGATTCTCTTGCTTTTGTATATATTCAAGAAAGCATGCACACCAGTTATATTTTCCATGTTTTGGTACTTCATTCATTTCTCTACTCTTATCTTTTATAGTCAGATCAACACATCTTCTCAGATTTTGCATTGCCATGAATGCAATTCACTTGAATCACTGGTTATGATTTCTTCTTGATTTGTAAAGTTTAGTGATGGGAGGATATCAACTTCTTTGATTATCCTCATTGCTTCACGTGGGATACTTCTTATGTGCATTTCAAATTTCAAGTCAGCAATACCTTTGTTGATATGATGGTAAAACATGAGGTTGATGCTTTAAGCATCTTTCAGTACATAGAGCATGACCTTCTTTGAATATACCTTGCTGGATGATTTGTATGTCGTTCTGTTGTTGAAATTTTCTTCTTTCTTAACATGCAGTGATCAGCATCCTGAGAATGTCTTGGCTTCAATGCAAACAATTGTGGAGGTTGTCTTAGAAGAGAGCGAGGATGTACCAGAAAACCTTTTACATATTATATTATCCATCTTAGGTCGTGATAAGGAGGTATGTATCTCTTTCCTTTGTACTGTGTTATTTTTTTGGGCTGTGCCCTCCCCGCCCTTCAAAATTATTGAATTTTGGAGCCTTTTCTATCAGGATATAACTTTGGCTGCTAGGAGGCTTGCTATGAATGTCATAGAGAATTGTGCTGCAAAACTGGAACCTGACATAAAGCAGTTTCTTGTATCATCAATGTCGGGGGATGACCGACCTGGGCAATCTCAGATTAATTACCATGGCGTGCTGTATAATATTTATCGCTGTGCTCCCCAAATTCTATCAGGAGTAGTTCCTTATCTTACAGGAGAGCTACTGGTATTTATTCTCAGCCCCTTTTTGTTTTTGTATTGCATTCAGCACCATAAAGATTCTTATAGTGATAGAAAGTTATGCGATTTTTTTGAGGGACATGGACATGGCACCTCTGCTTGTACACCCAAATTGTACAACTATATTTAGCAACATTGAAGTTGTTTTGTAGGCTGTGCTCCATCTGCATGCCTTTCGCTCTCTCTCTCTCTCTCTCATTTTTTTTTTTTTAACTATTATTTTGTGGGTAACTTTCGCTATGATATGCTTTTCCGTTAATCGTTTTCTAATGTAACACCAACAGAGTGATCAATTGGAGATTCGCTTGAAGGCGGTGAGATTAGTAGGTGACCTTTTTGCGCTGCCAGAATCTACTATTTCTGAAGCATTCAAGCCTGTATTCCTGGAGTTTCTGAAAAGGCTGACAGATAGAGTGGTTGAGGTCAGAATGTCTGTCCTTGAATATGTAAAGATCTGCCTCTTGGAGAATCCCGTCAGGACAGAAGCTCCTGAAATAATATGTAAGGAATTCTTGTTCTGATATTCAAATTGTTCAAAATTTTGAACATCTTTAATCTAATTGTTTGAATGGATTTGTAGCTGCTCTCTGTGACCGTTTGATGGACTATGATGAAAATGTTCGCAAACAAGTTGTTTCCGTGGTTTGTGATGTTGCCTGTCATGCCCTCACATCCATACCGGTTGAAACTGTCAAGCTGGTCTCAGAACGACTTCGAGACAAATCTGTATGTGTACCACTCAAAGATATCTTTTATTTTCATGTTTTTCTCAATCCCCATTTTCCACATTTTCCTAGCTAATACTCTTTTTGTATTTTTGCTGCAAACATCCAGCTTCTAGTTAAAAGGTATACAATGGAGAGATTAGCAGACATATATAGAGTATCTTGCATGAAGCAGTCTAGTGGTTCAACAAAGGATGGGGATTACGATTGGATTGTTGGAAAGATTTTGAGATGCTTTTATGATAAAGATTTCAGGTAATGCTACTAATACCTGTTTTGATTGTCCTCTATAAAAATGCATGAGAAATCCATGTCCGAATTTCCCAAGAAATTTCCCTGTTTTATCCCACTGCTAGGCAGTTTATTGCATTGGAAACTATTAACTCTATGTTGCTCAGGAAAAGGTAAATAGAATTTTAACAAGTGCGCTATCTGAGAAGCTACTAAAGTAGTGAACATTGTCTCCAAAATGGTTTATGAATTAAAATAAGTTAATACTCTTGATTTGTTATTTCTCATATATGATGCTGGAAGAGTTTCTTTTCATCTTTGCAGATCAGATGCAATAGAACCTATCCTATCCCTCTCCCTGTTTCCTGCTGATTTTTCTGTAAAAGATAAGGTGAAAGTTTGGCTTAGGGTCTTCTCTGGGTTTGACAAAGTTGAGGTAAAGGCGCTTGAGAAGATTCTAGAACAGAAACAAAGGTTTGCAACAAAAGCTTACTTTTCAAGATATAAAGCTCTTGTATTTATTTTTTTCGATCATCGTTGAATATGGTTTATTAACTGGAATTTTCTTGTTTTCCATGGATTCTAAGGTTGCAACAAGAGATGCAGAGATATCTTTCCCTCAGGGAGTCCTCTCAGGTTCGCTAGCAGGGGTTTTATATTTCTTAATCTTTGACTACTCTGTTTATTGTAAAGTAGCTCTCAGTGAAGATATCATCACTTTCTCTGAATACAGGAAAGTGATGGCACCGAGAACCAAAACAAAATAGCGTATTGCTTCCGTGTTATGTCTCACTGTTTCACTGACCTTGCAAAGGCACAAGAGAATTTTCAGCTTCTTGACCAGTTAAAAGATTCCAACATTTGGAAAATTTTAAAGCAACTTATTGATCCTAACACTACTTCCCTCGAAGCTGTTGGTTTACGGGTGAGTCACTTATTTTGATGACGAGCTCATTGGATACTCCTTTTCCTTTAGAATGCAACTGAAAGATGCTAAAAAACTTATCTACACTTATTTTCTGAGACTCTGTAAACCTTATGCAGGATGAATTGCTAAAAATCCTTGGTCAGAAGCATCAACTCTATGAATTTTTGAGAACCCTTTCGTTGAAATGCTCTCATCTACTTTTTGATAAGGATCATGTAAAAGAAATCCTTCTGGAGGTCGGCGTACAAAGATCTTCCGGAAGTACAGAGCCAATTTTGTCCTGCATGACTATTCTTGTGGTAGGACATCTGTTTTGGTATTGATGCTTGTGCTCCCTCCCCTCCCCTCCCCAACACACACACACAAGTATTGATGAAGCATGAATTAGGTGTGCTTCTTTCACAGCATGTTTGTTGGTTATTTTGCAATTTTATGTTGGAGTCTGGTATGTCATGGCTCTTCAAACGTGCTGAACTTCTTTTTATGGGCCATGAACAGCTGAACCAAACTACATCTAGTGAATGATTTGCTTAATGACTTATCATTTTTGTATAATGAAGGCCTGAATGCTATTTCCTCTGTTCTATGATTCTTAGTCTAAATATGAACAGCATAATACCGCCTAATCCAAACTTAGAGCTTTTGGTATTTTTGAATGGCTCTCTGGGTTTGCATTAGGTAATTTGAATTTTGGATTTTTCATCTCATGTGTTATACAATGAATGATCAGATTCTTGCACGGTTTTGCCCTTTGCTTCTTGGTGGAATTGAAGAAGATTTGGTACATCTACTTGAGGATGATAATGAAATTATAAAGGAAGGTACTTTGCATGTTCTTGCGAAGGCAGGGGGCACTATCCGGGAACAGCTGGGTGTTTCAACAAGGTTAGACTATCAAGACATCATTTTATTACTTTTTATTTTTCATTTTTTTTAATATTTGGGCAAGTTGTAACCCTTTATCCTGTAGATCCTTAGACCTTATACTTGAGCGCATATGTATTGAGGGTAGCCGAAGGCAGGCTAAATATGCTGTTCATGCCCTGGCGTCCATCACGAAAGATGACGGTCTCATGTCTCTTTCGGTTCTTTACAAGGTTTCTGTTTTCTATCTCCACTTCCATTTGATATTTGCATTTAGTTTTTGTGAAAGTTTGTTGATTGTATCTTCTTTTTTTTCAATCTAATGAGTAGAGGCTTGTCGATATGCTTGAAGAGAAGTCCAATTTGCCCGCTGTACTTCAGTCGCTTGGATGCATAGCGCAGGCTGCTATGCCAGTCTTTGAGACAAGAGAAAGTGAGGTTCAGAAGTTCATTAAAGAAAACATATTGAACCAGGGGCATGTACGTAATCATAAAGGCTCTTGTCATTCATTCTTCATTTTGTTAAGAGTTTTTTAACCATGCTTCACTTGCAGGTGGCTGGCGAACAAGCTGGCTGGGACGATAGAAGTGAACTTTGTTCTTTGAAGGCATTTCTCTGGCATTCTTCTTTCTCTCCATGATCTAGAGACCTAGACCATATTCTTCTTTGATAATTATTTAATGTGAATCGGACTTGCTTCTACAGATATTTGGGATTAAGGCTTTGGTCAAGAGTTATTTACCCGTGAAAGATGCTCTACTTCGTGGTGGAATTGATGACATTGTTGGACTTCTCAAGAATATTCTCTTATTTGGTGATATGTCGAGTGATATCGAATCAAGGTAATTCTGATAGGATTGCTAATGGAATTTCTACAAAGTTCTCAATTTTTACATCTTTACATGTTTTGGTTGCCTTAAGGTTTTTGGGTATTGATATGGTTTCCACTTTTAATGTTTCAGTGTAGTTGATAGGGCCCATTTGAAACTTGCCGCAGCAAAAGCAGTTCTTCGCTTGTCAAAGCACTGGGAGCACAAGATTCCTGTTGATGTTCTTTATCTCACATTGAGAACTGCAGCTGTAGGTTTTACCGAATGCATGCCATGCCTATTACATTTCTTGTTTCGTGTTCATAATATGTAGAAGTAGAACTCTATTTGGTTCTTTCACCCACATCTATAATTTGTAGGATGACTTTCCTGAAGTGAAGAGACTATTACTCAGCAAGGTTCATCAGTATGTGCGGGACCGAATTCTAGATGCAAAATATGCATGTGCTTTTCTGCTTGATATTTCATCTTCACAGTCAGATTTAGAGGAGGTATAGGGGATTTATTATTTACCCTTTTTTTTTAATTTTTTTTTTTTTTTATTTTAATCTTGGAAGTTTACTTGTACCCTCACAAAGCACTAGAAGTATCTTATGCTCATCAGGCAACAATGAGTGCTTATTATACTTATGTGTTTGGCAGAACAAACGCCATTTGAGTGACATTATCCAGATGTGTCGGCAAGGGAGAGGTCGTCAAGTTTCCTTGCAGACTGAAGCGTCTACACCTGTCTACCCAGAATACATCCTCCCATATGTTGTTCATTCACTTGCACACCATCCAACGTTTCCTAATATTGATGAATGCAAAGATGTCAAAACATATGAACCTTTTTACAGGTACTCAGAATTAATACCTGTAAAGTTAAATAATAAGTGTGATGTTTTCAATTCCTTAAGAACAGTGCTAATGGATTCCAAGCAAATAAATGAAGTTTGTTATATGTTTGAAGCTATGCTAAATTGTTAGTGCAAAATAAACCTTTTTCTTATTTGTCATTTTTTTTTTGTCCGCCATTCTTTTGGTTAAACACTTACTTGCTTTGTATTTATTTCTGCATTACCTTATTTTTTTAATACCATAATTTGTAAGTTGGTGATCTTTTTTTTTTGTTCATTGAATTTATTATAAAATTTTCACGTTTTTGAATGCCCACATTATTAAGTGAACTGTTTCACTACCTTTCACCATTCTATTATGTGATTTTGTTAAAATTATATTACTACTAATTATTTTCATGCTTGATGATCATTCATTCTAGATACCTTATTTTGCTTGGTACATCATATGCCGTCAGCCCGTCACTGCAAAAAATCCTCTGACATGGTTTATTACCATACCTAAATAAATTCAATGCTTGATTATGGAAATGTAAAACAGAATTGGAAATTCTCATCTGCTTGTAGTTAGTGATCGCAAATAAAAAGTGGGGTAACAGTTTCGTGACTAATAAATCCGAATAGAAGCTTCAATTTCACTATGATATGCTGATTTTCAACTTGAATCTTTGATCTATGATCTTTTTATTTTTTATATATTTTTAAAATTTTTATGTGAAGAATGAATAAAAACAATAAATTAAGATTTGACAAGAACTGCAGCAGAATCAATGATTCTTCTTAAAATAATATTCTGTACATGTAAAATTGATGTTCTGAACTTTATTATTAAATTGCTCATGGACAATAAATCACTTTCTTGACAACCTTAATTACATTTTTCCTCTGGCCATGCAAAGTTCCTGGATATTCTGTTACAAACTTGTCAGGATGGCATGTGTACATTGCCTTAATATTTTAGTGAAGGATAATCTGAACTTTCTTATTATATCGCAAACGGACAAAAACTCACTTTATTGAAGTGTGTTTTGCTTTCTTTCGTACTCTTAGCTACATGTTACCACTGGAATGTATTCATTGTCTTAAATATTTTATCATATATAAGTTAAGTCTAGTAGCCTTTTTGGTCTAATGTTTTCTTGTGTGGATATGTAATTTAAGAAGCATTTACTGAATAATACGCCATGGGAAAGCAATTATAAAAAGTCTGCGCGAGCAATATTCCAAATTGTCCACCTTTATAATGATTGCTGTGGAATTTATTGAAAGCAGTAGATTCTTCAAGTATCAATTATTTAAAGACAATTAATTATGTCTATTGAATTCTGAAAAGCTGACAGTTTTGTGATACACCTTACTAAGCACTTTTACACCTCGATTTCTTCATCTGAAATGACGGATCTGTCCTTGGTCTAATCCAAGATGTATCAAATTCTATTTTAGATAGGTAATTGTGAATAATATACCCTGATAACATCTGTAATAACAGTTGACTTCCATAAATTGCAGAAACAAACAAGGTGCTTTTCGATTCATGTAGTAATTATGATCTTTTAGTTTCCTTTAGTAATTATGATATTGACTCGACTCCTTTTCCTTATTCACTTATGTATGTTCATTTTTCTCAGACAGTTGTACATTTTCCTATCTATGCTACTTAATGGAGAGGCAGACGGAAAATCCGATACCAACACTAGCAAGGTCAAGGAGGGCATTTCACTATTAAATTCAATGTTTCGACGTATCAGGCAGTCTGAAGATGCTCATGACGCAACTAACTCAAAGGTTTGACATTAAGTAACTAGGGCCTATTATTGAGTAACACGCAATAATTATATAATTTCATTCTATCAAATTAGTAAATACACCCCTAGGGTATATTTTTATCCTTTACAGCCATATTTAATGAAAAACTCGACAAGACAAAAATATCCCCTAACCCCATAGCTTGATACGTGGGGCACCCCGCCCTGGAAGCTTAATTCAGAGATCCATGAGCTCCAATATCTTATCTCCAAATATCCATCATATCTTTTGAGCGCGTCCGTTGTTGCGCTACTGGGCTGGGAGACTTTTTGCTAAGCCTGGCCTTTCATGACGTTGATTATGATTTATTCAGTCTGTCTATTTTTTCTTCCCTGTATTAATCATTTCAGCAGGTAAATAAATGCTCCAAATTAGAATCGTGATGGGATTATTTTTGCTCTAGTGGGGTATACTTACGTCAAAATAACCTCTGATTGCAGAACTTGTATGCTTTGTGCGACCTTGGTATGCCAATCATTAAACGTTTTGCTCCAAATCAAGACGAACTTCAGGACTTGACATCATCTGTGGTCCTACCCATTGTTCTTTACAAGCCACTGGAGAAGAAAGAAGAAGATGACTCTATGGTATGTAAGGCTCAACTTTCTTTATGATTCTTTGCTGATGAAGGGATGCCTTTTCTTATTCCCTATTTGGACATCCGTTAAGAAGCAGGTTATATTGAGTTACTTACCTATCTGCACTGCTGTAATTGTTTGATGTTTTAGCATATTTAAAATTTGATATTTCAGCACTTTGATTGTGTTGAGATGGATGCCGAAGCTCTAAACGAGAAGTGAAATGAATTTTGCATCTGGACTGCCTGATATATATATATATCGGTCTATTTCCTCATATACATGTACTTGAGTATATTTCCTTGAGCTGGATAGACAAACATAGGCAATTAAATGAATTTTTTTTTAGTACTTCTACACAACTGTGTTTTATACAGGTGGGCAAGCTGCCTTCGGTCTCTGTTTGCTTGGAAGTTTTCAGTTCATTTTAAAATCAATGTTTACTATATTAGAATCTATAAACTAGCTTAACTTCATGTCAACTGAATTTTCAGATATGTCAATTCATTCTTACAGTCATTCAGTCATTTAAAACCCTGTGCACTTGTAATTTTAATTTCCCAGTTCGCCACATTTATCCTCTTGAATCTTTATATGTACTGTGATCGAATTAGGGAATCACTTTCAATTCCTCCTGGAAGAACTGAACCTTATTAAATATCTAGCACACCAGAACCATGTAAATTCATCTAGCAAAGTCCGGTTTTGACCTCAAGTTCTTTAGGATTATTATAGATGTGGGAATCAGCCATTTATTTTAGATATATATATATATATATATAACTGGCATTTTTATGATTATTTATTGTATTCTGACACATTTGATGATATTAGATTGGGGAAGAGAAGACATGGCTTGCAGATGATGGGATCTTGGCCCAATTTGAATCACTTGAACTCGAAGAGAATGGAATTGTAAGACTTATTAACGTTTTTTTGCACATCATGAAGTGAGGTGTTTACACTGTGCCTTCTAATAATAGTGTTTTTGTTACGTTTAGATTCAACCAGTTATGTCAGAGGATGATGCAATGAAGGATAGTGAGACAGAGGGCAGTGAGCTGCCATTGGGGAAGCTGATGAAACATCTAAAAGCAAAGGCGTCTAAGGCTAAAAAAGAGGCGAATAATGTGCCTACACAAGCTGGTGTGACTGATGAAAATGATTTTGATATTTTGAAAATGGTAAAGGAAATCAATTCTGAAGATCCCGGTCGAGCTGGCAAGTATAGCAATGGTCATGGTCATACTCGCAAAAAGAGGCGAAGTGACCATGATCTCCAAAAGAGTAAAATTCTGTTTAATGAACCCTCTGATGCACCTCCACCAAAACATAGGAAAACATCATCTTCTCGAGCTCACAAGATCCCCTCAGCAGCTAGTCCAAAGGGGGGTTCTAAGAAGGAGTCTGTTAGTTTAAAATTTGAAAATAGTGATGAGAAGGCTCAATCTAGTTCAGAAAGTCAAAGTGTGCAAGAAAAGACCAGTGAACCTGCAGAATTTGAAATTCAGACTTCACGTCTGAGGAAGAAGTCCAGCACATCTAAGAAGAAAGGCAAACGTACTGAGAGAGATTATGATGAGACACCAAATAAATCTGTGGAAGCTAAGGTGTGCTTTTCAACTAATGCCATGAACAGAAATTGTTTCATGTTTAATGATTATTAATGGTCCTTTCACTGTTTCTTATAATTTACAGAAGCCTAAGAAAGTTTCCGGCACCGGTTTGGGATCTGGGAAGAAGCAAAGCCCTAAAAATCTTTCTGGATTAGCAAAGGTTAGTGCAATATGAGCCTGTGTGAGTTCTGCTATTTTGTCTACTGACATCCTGACTTGCAAGGTCAAAATAATGATGGCTTTCTTTTCCTAATTATGGCTTGCATCTTTGCGTAGTTCCTCACCTCACCTTTGTTTTGAAGGTTGTCCAATCCTTTTTCCTTTTTCTCCAAATCTGTAACCCGCCTTTTGCTTATTTATGTCTCAGTGCTCAACCGAAGACAATGGAAGTTCTGCGGGAGAGTTGGTTGGTTGCAGAATTAAAGTTTGGTGGCCAATGGACAAGAAGTAAGTGCTATATTGATTGGATTAGTATACTAGGGCTGTTATATGGGAAATCTCAGGTCATTAAGGCTTGAATTCAACTTGAGTTCGGCTTGTTACTCATAATAGATACTGAAGCTTGCAAAGATAATTTCGAGTTGATTAAGCTCAGATTGATAAGACGGTAAACTTATATTAGATAAGCTCTCGAGAAAGGCTTGAGTCGAGTTTCTCGAGGCTGAAGTATAAAATGATTTGGTCACTCCAATGAATTATCTATGTTTATTTAATGAAAAATTTTGCTTAAATTTCAACTCTTTCGAAACCCTGTTCTGAAAAGAAATATAACAGATACTTGTTCCAATAATCGAATAAGGGGATTGCTTGGCTTTTCCGGTCCAGATTCTATGGTTATGAATCACAGAATTTAAGCACTCCCATAATGTGTTTTGGTTCAGCTTTGCTTTAAGAACCATTATCTATCAGGCGTTGGAGCCTAAATTTTCAATACATCCTGTTACAAATACAAATTTAATATTGTTCACATGTTTTTTCAACATATTATGAGTTTTGAAAATATTTTGGGATTATTAAAATAGTATCTATCTACCTCTGTTTTGCATAGGTATTATGAAGGCTCGGTGAAGTCATATGACAGTGAGAAACATAAGCACGTGGTATGGTTCTTTTTGTCTTATTTATCTGGCACCCATCGCTTGTATTTTTTTATTTTTTTTTATCACTTTTGCAGGCATATTTTTCTGATTGATCTAATTGTTTTAAAGGTTCTCTATGATGATGGAGATGTGGAAGTTCTTCGATTAGAAAAGGAGCGCTGGGAGATTGTTGACAGTGCACAAAAAACAAAGGTTTGTTTAGCAACTCATTCAAATTCCTTGTAATTATATGTTTCCCTTGAATAAGGTTTGACATAAGTTCTAATCAAATATTCGACACCATCTGCAGAAGTCTGGGTCGTCGAAGGTTGCTCAACGTAAAGGAGGGTAAGTTCTTTTTTGTTTACTTTACGCATGGTATATGCAGGCAGCACCCCCCTTTAGTGTCACGTGGTTAGATATCTAAACATGCTATATTTTTACGGCTTGCCTTCTTATCAAGATCTTTGATTTGCTACATTGGTTAGTCTTCTAATGCTCAATCCTGATCGTATGTTCTAGTATCTAATGCAATGTGTTTTTTTCTGGAAAGATAATAGAACTACCACTAGATTTTGGGTTGCGAAAATTTGTCCTATTAATGTTTGTAATTGGTTTGCATTATACACTCTTCTGGCTTATGAAAAGGATCACAGACACGGTCCCTAGCACCCGGATGAACTATGTAATGGTAATTGCAACTTCCATTATGGTGCTCGCTTGAATATTTGAGTTATTTGAAACTTAATTGTTTTAAAGTGCTAGACTGAAAGCTGATGCTAAACCTTCCGATTCAAGTAATTCTCTGATCATCGATGTGTTGCTGTCAATACCTAACAAGTGAATGTATCATTTCTGTGCCTATAGAAAACCTTTTTCCACATATCGATTATGTTAAGAAGTACATTGAATCTTCTTTGAAACATTCGACTAATTATGAACTGGTGCTTAGATGCTATTTTTTTATTTGATTCTTTGCAGATCATCTGGGCAGAAAAAGAAACCGAGTGGGGGTCCAAAACAAGAAGCACTGGAAGAGAAGTGAGTGGATTGAATCCGAGGAATTACAGTATGTCTGTGTTTATATAATCAAACAAGTTTTTACATAATTGGATATTCTTGCAGATCTCCTCCTCAAATTAAAAAGAAAAGAACTCCTCGGAAAAATCTGAAGCAAAAGCTGAAAACCGTGTTGAAGGGTGAATCCTCGAAGAAAAGTGGTGAAAGCCCGGATGTCATGCAAACTGATGATTCAGAATCAGGTAAAAGGAGGGTGTATTTCTTTTCGGTCTGGATTGGGTCTGGAGGATGTGTTTTTTATTTAAATAATATTTTTATGGAAAAAAAAATTGTATTTTTTCGGCAAACATGAAGTCTAAATAGTAAACAAAGTCTAGAGTCTGAAAAGAAAAACACCCTTGATGATTCATTTGCCCGAAGTTAAACAAAACATCTATGGAGTTTCTCATGACTTCTTTTTCAAAGTTGATATCTATTCATGAACTTCGTTTTCTATCTTTTTCGACTTATAAATGTATTTTACGACAATACAGAGAAGGAGGAACAAAAGGAGAACCAAAAAGCGAAGAGAAAGAAGCCATCCAGCAATAAGCAAGAAGAGGATAATGCCGACAAGGACCTAAGCGATGCTGACAAGCCCGAAGGGGACGGTGAAAAAGACCCTGTAGACACCCAAAGTGATAACAAGGCCGACTCTCCCCATCATGGATCAGACAATGAAGCTGTTTCATCTTCAGATAAGAAGCCGAGCAAGACCAAGGAAGAATCCGCGGCCGAGGAGCTATCTGATGATGAGCCTCTGGTAATCATCTATACATACACACACATATATATATAATATTATATACATCACACTTGAATATTTTATTAAACACCCTTAAAATCTCACTCCCAATTCATTTTTTTTTTTTTTTTTTTCTCTCTAAATGCAGAGTGTGTGGAAGAAGCGATCGGTAAAGAAATAAGTCCCCTGGCGTATAGACTGTAGTTATCCGGCAGCTGATGAAATCATTGCGACAACTCGCCCGACTTAGGTTCCCTTTAAGACAGGAAATACACCACCCCCTCCCCCCATCCCCACCCTACTACCTCACCTCACCTCTACTTACTACTACCATTTAAGTGCTGACTGAAATAAGAAGAAAACTGTGTAGATTGATGAGACCATAGATGATGTTGTTCACCCATGGATGATTGATCGATCCATTAGCATCGATGGATTATTTAGTATGTTTGTTTGTTTGTTTGTTTGTCTGTCTGTCTGTTTGAAGAAGAGATTGGTTATAGCAGCAGAGATTGTTATTGTTTGTTTGGTGTACTGTACAGTACAGTTAGGTACAAATCTGTATCTCTTCTCTGCTTATTATTATTATTATTAGTACTATGCTTACAATTGAATTGTAGCTCACTCTTAAGACTAATTTTTGTGTCCTTTTTTGCACTTTCTATTTGAAAGTTATATGTTTTGTTATTTTTTCTTTTTCCAGAGCATGTTTTTTTAAAAATAAAAATAAATGTGATCTTATTATGTATTTTTTAAGTTTCAATTTAAAATATATATATTTTTCCTTTCCACTCACATCAAAATATTTTTTAAGTCTTTTATAAATTATAAATATGTTATTACTATAAAAGTTCAAATTTTTTTTGAATTGGACGGAGGGAATATTATAAATACATTTAAACTTACAAAAGATATTAAAATAAATAATCGTTTTATGTATTGAAAATGTTTTAATAGATTAAGGAAGATCGAAATGAATGGAGGGCGATGGAAGTAAAAATGAAATACTTATAATTTAGATGAATGAAAGGGCTGAAAAAGTGGGGAATGAAATGAGAACTATTGGGACTTCCACAAATAAAAAAGACACTAATTTAATTGAACAAATAATGAAACAAAGATTCCCATCTTCCCCTTTGATACTTTCTTCCAATTTTATCAAATATTCTTCTTACAACCAAATCCCACATTTTTCTTCTTCTTTTTTTTTTTTCAATCGAAACAACATCAACAACAAGAAATTAATGTACAAAGTTCCATATAGTATGCAATTAAGGTTGATATATATATATACACATACATACATTTTATGTATATGTGAATATCTTCTAACACGTTGGTTTTCATTTTTTTTTTTTTAAAGGTTTTCGATGTTGGTAGGATGTTCGGATTTAGTGTAAGAACGTTGCAAAATGCAATAGGATCGCCGCGATCCATAAGCTCTCCTAGCACCGCAAAGTCGCTAAACTCGCAAACCTCGTTCTCGTCTCAATCTCCGAGGGTTACGGCCGCTTCTCCAAAAACCGATGTCGGAGAGATCGATACTAGGGCGCCCTTCCAGTCGGTCAAGGCTGCCGTTAGCCTTTTTGGTGAGGTCGGGACGCCTAGAGCCCGGCCCGTCACCAAGAAGACCCGAGCCGAAGAGGTAATAACATTTATTTTTTATTTTTTGTATTATAATAGTTATTTAATATAATGTTTTACTATTTTTTAACTTTAAATCCAAACACATTTTTAATCATTCTTGTTTTTATCAATTTTTTGATAAGGATATATATAATTCATCTACAAAGAATTTATAAGGAAGTTTTCAAAAATTTAGATTTGAAATATGAAAATAATAAAAATTAAATTTAAAATAATATTTGATGTAATATAAAAGATCAATGTTTGGTGTGGAATAAAAATTTTACTCCCTCTGTCTTAAACACTGCTCAATATTTGAATTTAACACTGAAATTTAAGTAAGTAGTATTAAGAAAGATAATTTAAAAATATTAAAAAAAGTACATATTTCTTTTTTATTTGAATAATAGTAAAATACATATATATAATTAATTATTCTTCGATTTAAAAATATTGCAGTAAATTTGAAAACAAAAAAATCGCAAATATTTGGGACAAAATGAGTATTTATAATACATAAATATAAAAAAAGAAAAAGAAAAAAGAGAGTATAATTTAAAGATTTTAGATAAATAAAAAGTGAGAAAGCCTTTTTGGTGCAGCAACGGCTACTGGAGAAGGAGACACAGCACCACATGATCCTCAAACAGCTCGAAAATTACAAAAACAACCTTAAAATCCTCGAAGCCGCCAAAGCGCAAGCCCTCCGCGACATCCAAATCGCCAACAAAACCGTCGCCGAGCTCACCAACAAGCTCGAAAACCTAAGCGAATCCAAGCAGTCCATCATCGCCGCCACCGAAGCCGCCAAAGCCCGCGCCAAATCCCTCCAGGAAACCAAATCCGGCGACGCCGCCGCCTCCGACACCGCCGCCTCCGCCGCCGCCGTCGACGCCGAGCGCGAGCTCTACAAAGCCTCCTCCGCCGAGCTCATCGCCTGCAAACAAGAGCTCACCGAACTCCGCCAGGACTTCGACGCCGCCCTCGCCGCCAAAGTGGCGGCGTTCCAAAAAGCCGAAGACGCCCGCCAGTCGGCTCAGAAGAACCGCGACTTGCGGCGGCGCCTCGCCGGAGAAATCGCCGCCCTCCGCGAAACCCTAGGCCAGGTAGTTACAATTTCCCGAATTTTAATTTAAATAATTATATAACAAAAATATATTTATTAAATATTTAAAAAATATTTAAACGCAGGTCAAGCATGAAGCCGCCATGGCCGAGGAGGATCACCTGAAATTAGTAGCAGAGAAAGAAGTGCACTTTCTTGTCCATAAATCCGCCAAAGAAGCCGCCGAGAAGGAAATCCGCCGCCTCACGGCGGCGCACCGCCCGGAGGAGAATCTCGAGCGGAAGCTCGAGGAAGTCAGCGAGGCCGTGAAAGTTCTCCGGGAGCAGCTCGACGACGTCCGCACGGCGGACATGGATTCTCTCCAAGCCCTAATTTTCGAGGTCGAGAACGAAAAGAAAGAGCTCCGGGACGCCATGGCCGGCGAAGCTTCCCACCGGAGCTCCGTCGACAACCTCCGGCGACAACTCGACGAAATCAGATCAAAAATCCAATCGTCGTCGGAGTCCGCGGCGGAGGCGGAATCGCGAGTGGAGCAGTTACAGGCGGAGGTGGAATCGAAAAAATCCGATCTTGAAACCGCCGCGGCGGAGGCGGCGGCGATGCAATCGGAGATGGAGAACTTAATTTCCGGCGCGGAGAAGGACAGGCAGGAATTGGACACGATCATAAAGGAAGCCGATAAATTCCGGCGGGAAGCCTCCGCCGCGAGGGCGGCGGCGGCCACCGCCGACGATAAGCTGGAGGTTGCGGTTAAAGAGGCGGAGGCGGCGAAGGCGGCGGAGAAACGAGCGGACGATCAAATTCACGAGTCTCCGAGGGTCCCCGCCGCCGGCGTCGGCGGCGGGCCGGCGGCGGATTCAGGTCCGGCGAGGAAGATAAGGCTGTCGGTGGAGGAATTCAGGTCGATGACGCAGAAGATTGAGGATTGCCGGAAGGAGGCGGATAAGAGAGTGGTGGCGCTGAGGGCGGAGCAGCAGAGCGTCCGGGCGAGGGAGACGGCGGCGGTGAAGAAGGTGGAGGGGATGGTGAAGGAGAGGGAGGGGATAGAGGCGGATATGGAGGAGGCTGTGAGGAAGGCGCAGACGGCCACGGCGGCGGTGGCGGTGGTGGAGAGTGAGCTCCGCCAGTTGAGAAGTAGTTTTGACAGTCGGCGGTATCAGACCAATGGATGAGTTTTGTTGGTTTTAAATTTAGGTGTAAATAAATGTAGAATATTTTGTATGTAAGAAATTTATCAATGGTGTGTTTGTTTGAAGAATTTTGGTGGGTTTCCACTATTTATTCAATTTTTTTTCCCAAAAACATCAAATTAAACATTTATTTTTTATTTTTTATATTATACTAAAAATCAATTTTACATTCAAAACATCACATCAAACCCTATTTATATCACATCATACAACTATTCAAATTCAAAATTTTTACTATTCAAATCCCAACTCAAAATCCAAACCTCCAAACAAACACACCCTAAATATATTATATATTATATATATATATATATTTTTTACATGTATGCAGATATGATATATTATTATTACATCATAAAGGGTAATTTGCGTTTTTAAATTGAAGAGTATTTTATACAATTACAGGGTAATAGTTTAAATGTAGAGAAATTTTACTGTATTTATTTAAATAGGAGTATATTTTGGAAGAGTAAAAAAAAAAAAAAAGGAATAAAAATAAGTATTTGACCGGAATTATTTTTAAAATTTCTATGCCTATATAAATATATATATATATATATTTTTAATATACTGATCCAAAAGTTTTGAATATATATTTAAAAAGATAAAAAAAATAAAAATAAAAATAAAATTATTTAATATTCCATTGTCGTCTAAAAATATGATTAAATTTTTAAATTTTTTGTACAAGTTTAGTAGTGTGCGTTTTACTTTTTATAATAAAAGATAAAAAAGAAAAATATAGGTTTTTACTAAAAATAATGTATTTTTATGATAAAAGAAAAAGTGTATAAATTCATATGAGAGAGTATATTATATGTGAGTCTATAAATTATCGAATAAAATAATGTTATCATATGTGACTATAAATTATCGAATAAAATACTATTATCATATGTGAGTCCATTATTAGTTTTGGGCCTATATTGAAGCCGTATCATTAATTTTTTAATTGGGCTTTGTTCCATTAAAGCTCTTAAATGAATCGAGTCGTTCGTGAACTTGGTTCAGTTCGACTTGATTAAAGATCGCTTTCGAACATTAACGAGCTGAATTTAACAATATAAATAAGCTCGTTAGTTAACGAACGAGTCCAAACTTTGTTCGTGAATGTTCGTTTAAATAATATATTTATTATAAATATTATATATATATAAAAAATTATAATTTATAAATAAATAAAATATTAATTTAAAAGATATATATAAAATAATTTTAAAATTTCTTTATAATTTATATATAAATTTTAAAAAATAAGGCGAGCTCGAACGAACTTAATCAAACCTAAATGAGTTAAACACGAACACGAGCTCAAATAACAAAATTTTTTAACGAGCCGAGCTCGAACACTACGAACGAGCTCGAAAGCTTAATGAACAAACACAAGCCTTGTTTACGAATATTAATGAACACTTAAAATTTAGCTCAACTCGACTCGACTAGAATCATTAAGAGCTCTATTTTAAAGATAATTTCGGGCCTAAAGTGTGCTCAGTCAACCTACGGAAAAGTCAGAAATACTTAAATCCGTATCAGAATATTCCAATTTGAAGTCAAAACAATTATGCGGTAATTAATTCAATAATAATTACGTGAATAAGACTCCACCCACCCACGCCACCCCACCCCTTTAATTTGTGCACAATTCTTTGTTGTTGGTTGTATTTTAATCTAATGTAATAATCAATATAAATTTAAAAATATTTATAATGTGTAACGTAATCATATTTATAAAAACTAAATATATATTTTTATTTGAACATATAAAAATAACAAAATTTATTACTTCCTCCGTCACGTTCGTATTGCCGTTTTTATTCGTCCCACATCTCATGTCATTTTTTTTTTAAAAAAAATTGATTTCTCATTTTCATCTTCTTTAAAATTTTCTAATTTATTTTTTTTTAATTTTAATTAAATTAATTAATTATCTTAATTTTAATCTATAATAAAATTTATATTATAAGTTAATTATTTCTATTAATATATTCTTAATTATCTACTAATTATACTATAGAATACTTGATATCGTACAAATATCAGCTTTTCTTCGGTAAGTACGTTGTTGTAGTAAATTTAGGATAAACAAATGTATGGAAATAATTATATTGATTACTATTGACATGCCAAATTTAACATAACATTATTACTATTACTATCAATTAACTGATTCCTTCAATATGGGAAGATATTAATAAAAGTTTTCCGGGAGGGGTTGCAGCACCCATAAAACATGCAGTACTATTTTTATTTTTTATTTTTATAATGTAAAAATTTGTAGTTACTATTTAAAAATATACGCTAAAAATGTCCGTTAGGTCAATTTTCAGTCGAACATAATATCTTACAAACATTATTGTTACTGGTAATATTAAACATTTCTTGCACACATTCTATTTTAATTAACGAAATATATTATTAATTTTATAAAAAAATATTATATTTTATAAAAATAATAATACTAAAACATTATTTTTCTTAGTCTATATAACAAAATATTTTAAATATTGTTTTATAAGACGGGGTAGTAATTTTTTAAAAAATATGGTAGATCCAAAGTAGTAATTGCACTCTACTTATCTGGATCTGAAGTCCGGAATATTCCACAATAATGGTGTCCAGTGGGGCCCCCGAAATGAGCAGCTAAGATGGAGCTCAGCTCCCGGGTCTTCCCATATAGTCGTCGACGAAATCCTTATTACATAGATATAATTCAGAGATCAGTTCAGGTCGAACAACTCTAGGAATCCAAATTCAAATCCCAAATTTCGGAATCGATCCGTCCTTACAAAATCCGTCCTTCAATTCCCAAAACGACGTCGTACTCGCCTTCAATCATGTCGCCGTCGCCGTCGCCGGACATGACCTTCGGTTCGTCGGACACGGCCGACTCCGATGAAGTCTCAGCGGAGAAGATACCAGCTGGATCGGACGGCTGTGATGCGAGCGAGATCGAGGAAGAAGAGATGAGCGAGGGCAGTAACGGCGGAGGTTACGGCGTTTATAGGATGAGCACGATAAGGGAGGAGGTGGGGACGGTGTTCTCGTACGACTTTGACGGAGGGGAAGACGCCGTTTACGTGGCGGTGGGGAAGCAGACGCAGAGCGAAGTCATGGATGCTTTAATCTGGACCGTCGATAATGCTGTCGTGGATAGATCTTCCACCGTCGTTTTTCTTGTCCATGTCTTCCCCGAGACAAGGCTCATCCCTTCGCCATGTGAGTCGCTATTTCTATCCGTACTATTTCATCCTCTTTTTTTTTTTTTTTTTTTTTTTTTTTTTTTTTTTTTAAATGTTATCTTTTAAGAAACGAGATAATATATTTTTATAAAAAATTTATACTGTATTAGTTAATTAATAAAAAACTAAAAAAAACATTGTTAATATTTATATATATTCTCACTATTAATATTTTGTTTTACCATTCACTCAAAAAAAAAAAAAAAAAAAAAAAAAAAAACACAAAACAATAAACATTTCTGAAAGAAATGATTTAAAAAACATATATTTTTATCAACATTTGTTCATATATATTTTGTAACAATTAGCATTACAAATGTCAATAAACTGTTCAAATATAAATTATAAAATTCTTTTAATTCTTTAAAATAAATTTTACAAAATAATCTCAATTTGTCTAACTCGAAACCTATCAAAATAATGGATTTGTCCGCTTTACATGAAGTGTAAAAAATTATTTTAGTAATATAAAAAATATAATATTTTATACAATGAATGAATAATATATATATATATATATTGTATTAATTTTATATTATATATTTGTAATAATATTAATGAAAAATTGTTTAATACAAAAAATAAAAAAAATAAAAACTAGAAACTACTAAGTGAACAAATTCAGCTTATTGCAAGTGTTATTTTGGAAAATAAAAATCTTAAAAATAATTTTCTATTTTCAAAAAATAATCGATCGATATTAACAAATTCTTATATTAATAGATATGTATTTTTGTTGTTTTTTGTTTTTTTAAATTCAGTGGGAATGTTACCAATTAGTCAAGTAAATCAAGAGCAGAAAGAAATATACATGTCTTTACAAAAAGCCAAGAGGAGGGAGTTTCTTCAAAAATTCATCGACGTTTGTTCTACTTCTAAGGTATGCTCGTGCTCCTTTTAAAATTTGAAGTTTGATGACAATAAAAATTTAAATTAAATATTATATAATATAATATAATATACTACCTCCGTCCGGCTCTAAGGTTTTTTTTTGCGTATTGACCTTTGAATATTAATTATTATATTAAAACGTAGTACAAATTAAAAAAAAAATTGAAAAAATACTTGCATTAGTCTCTTATAATATTAATAAAAAAATATTTGTACAAAAAATTATACAAATATAAGAATATTTTTAATGTTAAATACAATGACTCAAAAATTAAATGTGATCCTTAGAAGCGGACATATGAAGTAATAAATATGTAATACGAGATATGAGGTTTGGAGTTGTGGTAATATTAAAAATTAAGTATGACGAGTTTTGGTCGCAATTTGAGTTTTATTGTTGAGTAACAAGACGATGTTTAATTGTCTTTAAATATATAAATATATTTGTGTATTTGAGCGAGATATAAATAGAAAATTTTAAAAGGAATTACACTTTAATTTTTTTTAAAAAATAATATTGGATTTAAAAAAAAAAGTTTGAATCATAATGACTACTTTAGTTCTAACCGGTAATAAAACAAAATCTTAATTATAATGTGAAAATTATGCAATTTGGTCTGAGTAATATTTTTTCTAAGAGCGCTATATAATAAATTTATGTTCGTCGTATATGATATTGTCAATAAGGTTAAAGTGGACACAATACTCGTCGAAAATGACAATGAGGTGAAAGCCATACTCAACCTTGTTTCTGTTCTCCACATAAGAAAACTCGTGCTTGGTGCGACCAAATCGACTATAAGGTACGTGCATTTTTTAGAATATAGAATTGTATATGATTATTAATATTATTATTTATTCGGAGGGGATTTGAATTTAGTCATTTGATTAGATTGTATTTAAATATATTCCAGTTGATCTGAATTTGGTAAAAGTTTATTTATTATTATTATTTTTTTTATGTATTATAATGTATGATGAATAGGCGTTGAATATATATATATATATATATTTATGTGATTTTAGGAAGATAAAATTGCGGAAAGGCAACACGATGGCTGATCAAATACTACAAAATGCACCGGAGTTTTGCGATGTTAAGATTATATGCGGAGGAAAGGAAATGTCCGAACTAGCTTGGGAGTCGTTTACGCCATCACTGTCATCGTCATCTTCATCTTTGTCACGGGCATCCGATCTTTCTTCTAAATTTGATCGTGAAAAGGAACAGTTAGTGACCGAATATGCGACTACTTGTAATTGTTTTAAACTGCGATCGAATTGTGAATAGAAAAAAAACATGTGAAGTTGGTAAAAAAAAAAAAAAAATGATAAAAAGAAAAACCTTTGAACATGTTTGAATTATGACATATTATTCTTAAGTTGTAGTATTCTCTTTTTATTTTTGTATATAGGTCTAAATATATTTTGTATTGAATTGTATTTGAAATTTAAGAATATTATTTGAGCTCCTATTTAGAATTAATACTACCCCTATATGTTAATCTAAATTAATATTAGGGCTATGTTATTTTTAATATATAAAATTTTTTCCACGTTTTGTATAAATAAAAAAATAATAATATTTTTTTACAAAATATTGTAAAAATAATAGAAAATTATTTATACAAACAAATTCGTAATTTTCAAAATACTTCTATAATTTACAATAATTAACAACAATTTTACTATTTCTAAGACCACTAAACAAATATACCGTAAATTTTTTACTTTGGATTTTTTTTCTAATTGTATTTTGATTTTTAAGTGAAATAATTGTTTGATATATTTAAAAAGATTCAAAATAAACATATCAATGTAAACAATTTTTGTTAAACATATTTTACTATAGTAAGTATTAATATCGAATGCTTATGCTTGTATAGTTGTATGTAAGATTTTTTATTTATTTTTTTAAAATAGCATGTTAAATGTAAAGTTTTACAAAATAAAATAATATACTTTAATATAAAATTGCAACAGTAGCGAAGAAAGTGAAAAAAAAAAAATCTCAAAGTAAATAGAGTTAAAATCTCATGGTAATTTTTGAATGCGAAATTGATAATTTCCACCTCAGCAAATAATATTTTTATATTTATATGAAAATAAACAGTGATGTAGAGATTGGCCTTCAGGCCCATAATATTAGAAGCGTTTAGGATAAAGCCCGGCCCAAGGTGTAATTCCATTTTTACCCCCACCTGACATTCTCGTTCTCTTTCTCTCTGCTTCCCCCAAATATTTCGTCGATCCTGGTTTTGGTTCCCTTTACCTTTTTGGTTCACTTCTAATTATCAAATTTCAATACTGATTCAATTTCCCTCCATCTCATCTTTAATCGAGAAGTCGAAGAAGGATTCTGCGCGCCCACCGGTAATTTTGTGTCCCTACTTTCGTAGTTTTCCATTTCGAGCGAACTTATGTCGCGGAGATGGGATTATTTATGCAGATTCAAGAATGTCGGAAACTGTGGTTTTTATTTTTTTATTTTTTAATTTCCGTCCCTTAGAATTTCTATTTGCGTGATTTGTTTGCGTTTGTTTGTTTGTTTTTTTTTTTTTTTGCAGATTTTATCTTTCAGTTTATGTTAGTGAGCTCCGTAATAACCGTGGTTGTTGATGTATTGTTGATAATTGGTGCAAATTTGTAACTGTAGGGTCGGTTGGACTATACGATAATGAATTTTGTTATTCAATTTCTCTTATATTTGGTGTGGTTAATTTGTGGCAATATATAGCGGAGTTGATGGGTGTTTCTGGTTGCTTCTTTTAGTAGCTGTTTGTATTTAGTGTCTTCACGAATCAATTGAATCTTTAGGAGAAGGTTAGCGTATCAATTATCATAGTTTTTATTTTGAAGGTATTCGTTGGTTCTTACAGGGAGTTTGATTCGTTGTGTGGTTGCTTATTCTATAAAATGTTTGAATTTATTTTCTTCACTAATCAATTGAATCTTTAGGAGAAGATTAGCTTATTATAGTTCTAATTTTGACGGTATTTGTTGCTTCTTATTGGGTGTTGGATCCGTTGTTTCTGGTTGTCTACGAACTGTTTGAATTTGAAGTCTTAAAGAACCAAATGAATCTTTACGAGAGCTTGTTATGGTATGAACTTTCGCAATTCCTTGGTTCTTATTGGGAATTGGATCCGTTGTTTCTGGTTGCTTATTCTGTTAAATGTTTGAAGTTGAATGTCTCCACCAATCCATTGAGTCTTTACGAGAGAATTAGCTAATTATAATTTGATTTTTGGACAGTATTAGATGGTTCTTATTGGGAGTTGGGATTTGAATTTGTTTCTTGTTGCGTTCCTATTAACTATTTGATTTTTATGTCTTTACTAATCAATTGAATCTCTAGGCGAGCATTAGCTGATTATAGAGTTGTGATTTTAATGTGTTTCTGGCTGCTTTTCTACTGTCTGTTTGAATTTTATTTTCTTCACTAATCAATTGAATCTTTAGGAGAGGATTAGCTTATTATACTTTGAATTTTCGATGGCAGTCGGTGGTTTGTATTGGGTGTTGAGATTTGAAGGTGCTTCTAATTGCTTTCTTATGAATTGCTTGGATTTTAATGTCTTCACTAATCAATTGAAACTTCACGAGAAGATTAACTTATTCTAGTTTGAATTTTCGATGGTATTCACTAGTTCTTATTATGCGTTGGGATCTGATGTTTTTGGCAGTGAAAAGAAGGGTGAAGATCAGTTTTATAGGTTGATTTATGGCTCTTCCCGTAGTTTTATAGGATGGTGATATTGGGATGTGATATCGCGTAGAACTCCTACCTGATTCGGGTTTTTGAAGGATTTGTGTACTTAAGACTATGTATGGCAGAGCAGGCCTTGATCGATTCAAGAAAGCTCAGTCTTCGGAACCCTTCTCAGTTACTGGTAATTCTGCTGCAGCAAAGTCAGCTGCCGTGTCGGCTTTGACAGAATCACATAATCCTCGCCTTACAGTTCCTTCAGCTAATCAAACCAATGGGTTACACGCGAAAATTCAGTTTCCAAATCATCAGAATGTAGCGCAAAATACTGTAACTCCCGATCCAGGGACGAATGCGGCACTTACCCAACAGGTGACACAGGTTGGAGGCGGCCAGTCTTCATGGCAGCCTCCTGATTGGGCAATCGAGCCACGCCCGGGTGTTTATTATCTTGATGTCGTCAAGGAAGGGGAGGTTATTGGGCAGATTAATTTGGACAAGAGGAAGCATATCTTTGGCAGGCAGTTTCATACATGTGATTTTGTGCTCGATCATCAGTCTGTCTCGCGACAACATGCAGCTGTTGTGCCACACAAAAATGGCAGGTTCGACTCTTTCGAGTTAATTGCCATTTTACTAATCTCTCTTTGTTCCTGTGTTTTACCTTCACTTTCAATTCATACGATGTATCCATTCTCAGTTATATATAAGCTTTTCAAAACTCAGTTAAAGCCAGCAGTTTGCTGATCTGGTTACATGTTTTCTAGCTACTTGTGCAATGTTTCGTTTCATTTTCTAATTGTGCTTGATAGGGTTAATTATTTAGTATCAGTCTTTTTCCATTTCTGATCGATAGCTGAGTTGTGCAGAATATAGTTCTCGACTTATCATTACTTGTGGAAGAAATTTTTCATCGATGTCTATTCTTTTAAATTGCGTTTCACTCTGTGACTAATTCGGTTAAGAATTTTCTTTGATCGAAAGGATCTGACTGAATTATATATATTACAGCATATATGTCATTGATTTAGGGTCTGCTCACGGCACGTTTGTTGCGAATGAGAGATTGACTAAAGATACACCGGTCGAGCTCGAGTCTGGTCAGTCTCTGAGATTTGCTGCTTCGACCCGAACGTACATTTTGAGGAAGAACAACGCAGCTCTATTCCCTCCGCCCCAACAACCAGCAGAGATCAATCTTCCGCCACCTCCGGATCCCTCTGACGAAGAAGCCGTGTTGACTTATAACACATATGTCAACCGTTTTCTGAATGGTCTGAAAAGAGCCGATGCATTGTCTAAATCCGACGGGTCGAAAAATGACAGTCATGTGGTGGAGAGAGCGTCTAAGAGAATCCGAAGAACAAGAGTGGCCTTTAAGGATCAGGTCGGGGGACAGCTCGTCGAAGTCGTCGGATATTCCGATGGAGCTGATGTGGAGACGGAACCGGGCCCCGTTGGTGTCAAAGAAGGTAGTAGCCTCGTCGGGAAATACGAATCCCTCGTACAGGTGACTGTAATACCGAAAGGGAAAGAACAGCCTCCCGGGAAGGAGGTCGCCGACCCCCAAACCGGCGTCACAGAGAAGCTCAAACAAGTCTTGAACAAAGTCAAATCTCCGGCGAATTCAAAGAGCGGCGGTGGAATATACGACGATCTTTATGGCGAATCCTTTCCGGAAAAAGTAGGCGGTTCTTGGGCATTCTCGTCCGTTGGATCTTCTGGTCGAGATACTTGTGCTGCCAAGAAAGGAGGAAATGCTGAATCCGTCAACAAGGATGACGATGACGACGATGATGATCTATTCGGGTAGCCGGATGTCGTGGTGCTTTGCAACCTTGGGTGGCAGGTATGTGTTATCGAACCAACGTATACTTTTTTTTGTCGTGCTGTCGTTGTTGTCTCGCCTATCGTGTTTGATATGAACTAGGTTGAATCGAGTTTAGTCGAATTTGTGTGTCTCTGCTTAAATGTGTAGACCTCAGAGAGAGATTTTAAGTTTAGAAAGATTGATCGACGGATCTATGATAAGTAAGCTATGTTTTTTGCACCCGGTAAAAGGTTTCAATTTTATATAACTACTTAGAGTTTTTAAAAAGAATACTGTTATTATATGGAATAAATATTTGATGAATAGTGTTGTAAGTTTAAAAACAAATAATATTGCAAGTAGTTCAATACAAGAGTTGGTTTTGAAATTAGTTATAGCAAGTGTTGTTTTGTTGGAAGCGATTACATTACATTACAGTATTGAAATTTAAATTTAATTTTATATATTTATTATTATTATTATTATTATTATTATTATTATTATTATTATTGTGAGGTGTAAGAGAGAAGGAGGTGATGATGATATTGAATATTTAATTTAATTTAATTTAATTTAATGACGTATGTATGTATTAGTATTACTATTGTGGTTTGGGTTGCATAATGATAGCCTTGTCATCATTACTCTGGTCTTTATTTTCACCAAAGATGCTTTAGTTCATTTCAGGGTCTTTCTTTCTTTCTTTCTTGCTGTTTCAAGAAGACGATTGTATCTTTTAGAATTTTTTTTAGCGATTTAAATATAATACTTTAGAAAAATTTATTATTGCATAGTAAAAAAATTAAAATAATATTTTAAAAGGAACAAAGTTTAGGGAGGTCTTATTATTATTTTTAATTTTAAATATAAATAATATTTTGATATAATATTTTTAAAAAAGACAATAATAATAATAATAATAATAAAATACTCCTATGGTAGATTTAAAAAGATTAGTATTGTATTGAGATACAGTAGAAATAAAATAGAAATGACTAAAATAACGCAAGTGTATTTGTAATGTTAGGTAGATAGTACAAAAATGGATATTTGTTATGGGACAGAGGGAGTATAAAGAATCAAATAAGATGAAGATCATGTGTTATATTCTTTCATAGTAAATATTTGAAGCAGCTTTTTACGAAGCACTCCCATCATTGGAATTTTATTTACCTACGATGCTATCAATCACTCTTGCATACACCTAAAAGTGAAGAGAAAAATAATTAAAAAAAAAATAAGACAATGATAATAATAATGATATAAAAAATCAAATCAGATGAAAATATGAAAATCATGTGTGTCTGCAAATTCATATGCCAAAACCAGACAGATAGGACAGAGGCGTGCATTCGCAAAAAAATCAAAATAAAAATAAGAAAATAAAAATTGTATTGTGGCCACGAAACGAAGCAAAAGAATCATCAAGACAGATAGAGATAGATAGATAGATAATAGATGGATGGGACACGTGGCCGACAGAGAGGCAGCCTCCATCAAGTCTGACATGATCACCACCATCCATTCCATCCCATATATATATATATACCTTAGTGGGGAGAACTATCATCACTTCATTTTGACTACACTACACTACACTATATATATATATATCTCTATATATTCCTATCACTTCATTCATTCCAACTCTCAATATTTAAGGTTGAAAATAAGTATAAAATTTGAATTAAAAAATAAATATTGAAAAGATTGGAGTTTCATTCGAATATGATGATGATTTTTTTTTCAAAAATATTGCTGACCAATAACATCCAAAAAATTTAAAATATATATGTAAGCATATTTAAATGTTGGACATAAAATTTTGACTTACTACTAAAATAAAATCAAGAAAAAAGTTAGTTACATCTTCAATAAAAATAATTTAGCACGAGTTCAAATTCTATCGATGCCTTCTTCTTCTTCTAAATAAGTTGTTAAAAGTGGTTGATTTTTAGCCCTTGTAATGATGCATTACTATGTTGACTACTCCCACAAACATATATGTATATATATATACACATTTTATACTTTTTAAGTCATATGTTACTACACTTTTGTCCCATAAATAACCTTCATTTGTCTAATATGTTTTCAATAAATCTTCTTGCCAATGTCCCCTTTCTCTTCTTCTAACACTCCCCTATTTATTTCAAAACACATTCTTTTCGTACCATCATTCCTTCTCATTACATGATCAAAAACATCGACTATTTTCTCTCGTCTCTCCTCCGGGTAGACCCCACAAATTTCGATCGATTGCGATCATCATCATCGTCTTAGCACCCGTTACACGCCCCATCATCGCCCATCGTCGTTGTTTTAGTCATTGTACATTGTCTTAATGACCGCGCGCGCCCCCGCTCGGGTACAATGTTGTCCGAGAATCCTTAAGGCCCCTTATGTGGTCTTTATATAACACACAACATGTGCCTATAGATCTACCTTGTTAGATTCTTGTTCCCTCTTTTTTCTCTAAGTAATAAAAAAGCAACCAACCTCGAAAAGTTGTGTCGCGGCCGGTTCTCGCACTAATATAGACGGCCCTTACGCGAAGATTCCATTCGTGTAAGAACCTTAAAAAAAGTTCGAGTCGTAGAGCATATCCTTCGCATAATCGCGCTGGGATCCGGCGATCGCCGTCTCCGAAAATCGGGCGAAATATTTGAGAGAAAAAAAGGTGAGAAAAACTCAACTTGCTTTTCATTTCCATCGCCCAAAGTGCTGAAAACAGTTGGTATCTTCTTCCTTTCGTTCTTTTCTTTTTCAGCTTTAAGAGTTTCCTTTTGTAGGATTATTACATCTCAATCTCTTTCTTGCATCATAGTGTGGAGTTATTTATGGAAAAGGACACGACATGATTCTATTTATATTGTTATTACATCTACGACTTTTCAAATAAATATTTCAGCTCGTATATCTATTTGATGTTGTCCTGCTCAGATCGTCGCTCTTGTTCTGACGCAGACAACATCATCAAAACCTCGTCATCGAACTCCTTCATAAGTAGAGGTGAGGATTTCTTTTCGATCGATGTTGTTCTTTGGCGGGTAATTGATCGATTCAGTTTTCTTTGCTATTGTCTTTGTTAGGAGAAACTTGGCTCGGATCAGCTTGTTAGATCAGTAGATATCCGTTTGTTGCTTAAGCTCTTTCGCCTCGACATATCCGAGGAAGAATGAAGTTTATGAAACTTGGGACACGTCCCGACACGTTCTACACCGAGGAGGCGATAAGGTAAGAAAAATCTCTCGTCTAGTTTAATCGAAAAACCGATACTTTACTATCGTTTTCGTGGCTTTTAGGACGGTGATATCGGATGTCCCGAGCGATCTTACCGTGCGGATAAACAATGTTAGCTATCTTCTCCATAAGGTACAAAAATTTTGGCTTAAGCTCGAGCTCATTCGTAAACACTTTTGTAGAACAACAACAAAAGGCATTGTAAGGAAGCCATGGGGGGGACATATTTGATCCTATTATTCTTACATGCCTAGCTGCAGTGTTTTCTTGTGCCAAAGTGTGGCCTATTACAACGCGTTGTCGCCGCCGCCGCCGTCTCCGATGAATCGAGCACTGCCTCCGTTACCTCCCTCGAGCTGAACGATATCCCGGGAGGCGACGAGGCGTTCGAGCTCTGCGCCAAGTTCTGTTACGGGATCACGATCAACCTCAGCGCCCGAAACTTTGCGCCGGCGTTGTGCGCGGCGAAGTTCCTCCGGATGACCGAGTCGATTGAAAACGGGAACCTTATTGTGAAGCTCGAATCGTTCTTCGTTTCATGCATTCTCGAGGGGTGGAAGGATTCCGTCGTGACGCTGCAAAATGCCGCCGAGAGAGTGTACGAATGGTCGGAAAAGATTGGAGTCGTGAGGCGATGCGTCGAGTCCATCGTCGACAAGATACTCACCCCTCCGTCGAAGGTTCGATTATTTACGATATGTCTTATAAGTAGCTTAGCGTATTTGGTGGCGATGCGCGCGTTTTTTATGTCGGAACGGCTGGCTCTCCGGCCGGCACTCTTCAGGTTACGTGGTCTTATACGTATACTCGACCACGGCACGACAATCGCCGCCGGAAATCGGTGCCGAAGGATTGGTGGACGGAGGACATATCGTTCCTCGACATCGATGTGTTTCGAGGCATAGTCACCGCCGTGAAGTCGACGAACACGATGCAGCCGCAGCTCATTGGCGAGGCATTGCACGTTTACGCCATCCGTTGGCTCGTCGATGCACCCGATGACGGGGGGTCGACTTCGACGGAAGCGAGAAAACGAAGGATCCTCGAGACGATCGTGACCTTGATCCCGGCCGAGAAAGGCTCCGTATCGGTTAAATTCCTACTCCGGCTTCTCAGCATCGGCACCTCGCTCGGAGCGTCGCCGCTGATCAAATCCGAGCTTGTAAAGCTGTCGGGTCAGCAGCTCGACGAGGCCACCGTAAACGAACTTCTGATCACGACGCCCTCCGGCGACGATCAAATTTGTTACGACGTTGATACATTTAAGACTGTGTTAGAGAGCTACTGGCGGCAGTGGCGACGACACGCCCCCTCGGACGAATCCCGGGCGTTGAGATCGCTTCACAAGGTCGGAAAACTCGTCGACGCATACCTACAAGTCGCGGCAAAAGATCCCGACATTCCGGCTCACAAAATCGCCGCCGTCATCGAAACGCTCCCCGGCATTGCCCGGCCGGAGCACAACGATCTCTACAAGGCGATCCACACGTATCTCAAGGTACAATGAAAATCGTTATTACGCGCAATATTTACTCAGTAGCGTATAACTAACCTGTCTATTACAAATTATGTTTAGATGCATCCCGATTTAGACAAAGCCGATAAGAAGCGGCTATGCCGGAGCCTCGACTTACAAAAGCTATCGCCGGAAGTACGTGCCCATGCCGTAAGAAACGAGCATTTGCCGCTAAGGACAGTCGTACAAGTTCTCTTCTTCGAGCAAGAGAAGAGCGGCAGCAGCGTTATTACAGCTTCCGAAAAACATAGATCTTCGGACAACCACGATCTCCAACCGGACGGCGACCAGCCGGAGAAGAGCGGCGGCGATCGTCGGAAGCTGATAAAGTCCGGCGGGACGGCGGAGCTGAGAGCGGAGCCGAGCTTCAAAATAAGAGAAGCTTCGAAAGGGAAGGAAATCAGGTGAATTTAAGAAATTTATGTGTACGTAAAATGCTACGAGAAAAAGATTCTTATAGATTCTTATTTACTATTACATAGATACATAGAGGGAATATTCTTATCTGAATCTGATCCATTTTCGTGAATTTCTATGATGTAAAGATTGTATCAAGATTCATTAATGTTTGGACAAGAACATCATCGAAGATTATTAATACTGTCGAAGAAGATGATATACAATTCTTGGCATTCAAATAACTTGTATTCGATTAGGTCATGATTCTGCAGCTGTCATTTGGTTTGATGAAAATAAAACACATTGATGATTTTAAATAGTTTTAACTATGGATTTTATTTAAATTGGAGTAACTACTTAAGTAACAAAATGTTCTAACATATTTTTTATTTCATGTCTTTTTAAAACTTTTTAATTATAGTATTATATATATATATATATATTTTTAACACGGAACTACTGCAGCCGCTGCCCGAAAGTGTAACGATAGTACTTTTGTAAATAGCAGTAATAATAAGTATATTCTTTTATTATTAATTTTTAAATTTTTTTTATTATTATTTTGTTCCAGCTTATGTTGACGTGTATCATCTTATTCTAAAAAGAAAGTTTCTATAGATAAGAAATAATTGGTCTGAGTATTAACACACAGCCAGTTGAGCACCAAACAAATTATAAATAAATTTAGTAAAAAAATAATAATAAAATAAAAAACTATTTGGGTCATTTTCTTATCGACGTGGATAATACAATTTATTTAACACGTGTTTATAACATTATCTTTTATTATAACATCTTTTTAATTCTCACACATTAATTTTTTAATACATGTAATAAATTATATCCATTTAATCGAATACAATTTTTAAAAAATAGATAAAAATAATTTTTTCTTTTATAAAACAATAGAACAAGTGATATTTTTATATTTTTGTAAGACTGAAAAATTATATGCTTTGTATTTAAACAAATAAAATTAAAACAAAAAAATACATACCTTTCAAGTAGAAAGAGAAAATAAATACCATTAATGGCGGCCGACGCGGCTATGAGAAGAAACTTATTACTCTACAACAATTCCATAATAATAATAATAATAATAATAATAATTCATTTATTTATTTCTTCATTCATTCATTAATTTCGGCTGATGGCTGTTTGCGCGTCGTCTTTGCGAACCCTGCAATGGAGAAGTTCCGGCGCCGGCGGAAATGTCCGTTCATCTCTGGCCGCCGACGGCCGTCCGGAAAGGCTTTTGAGATTCCGTAAAAGCGGCGGCTATGGCGTCATCAGGCGGCGCTTTGTGCTCACCACGGCGGCCGCCGCCGTGGAAGATCGATGCCTGAGGTTCGGTGGGACGGCCGCCGATGCTCTCGTGGATGTTCCGGAGAATGTCGTAATCACGCCGCATTCCGAGTCGTCGGCGTTTTTGGGCGCCGCCGCCGATGAGAGCCGCTCCCGCCATGTCTTCAAGCTCGGCCTCATTGAGTAAGCTCTTCGTCCCAAAGTATTTTCATTGAGATAAAATGATTGTTCTAATTTTTTGTACATTTTGTTTTGCTAGGGATAAAAAATTAAAAAAAAAAATAAAAATTGATCATCGAATACGATGTCTCAGAATAAGCGGCAACTGAAATTAAAATTCTAATACTGTGCTGAATAGTACACATATGCTAACAAACAATATATTAAATTACTATTGACAATATCACATATAATGATGAACACATAACATATGTCCCTTTTTATAGGTTACATTTGCTGAATTTTTCAAATCAACATTGTGAATATCATATTTTTTCGATACTTTCATTTTTCATAAATAATTATATTTTTTATTTATTTTTTTTAGTACGCGTAACTATTTTTCACACTAATATAGGAACATTTAAATTGAAATTCAAATAAATAAACTAGTTAGAAACCAAAACTAACTAAACAAACTCTACGTGTTAGTTGTCATTACAACAACGTTGTTGTTTGAAGCAGAGGTACAAGATTACTGAGTCTATTCCGGTTCAAAATATGGTGGATGATCCCCCGGGTCGGGAACTCGGCTCGGGACATTCCGGTTGAGACACAGATGCTGCTGCTCGAAGCCGGCGCCGGATACATACTCTTCTTACCTCTGGTAGCCGGCGAATACCGGAGCAGCCTCCAGGGGAACTCTGCCGACGAGCTTCAAGTTTGCGTCGAAACAGGTCATCCTCATCCTCATTGAATCTCATGATCGATGAATTCTTTTGATTTCCTAATCTCGAAGCCTCGTACTAACATTCTTAAACAGGTGATTCCGCGATAATCGCGTCTTCGTTTCCGGAGGCTGTTTTCGTGAGCTACGGACAAAACCCGTTCGATTTGATCAAGGAATCGATGAAGTACGTCATCTTTAGATTTCGATTCGCTTAAAAATTCGTTATGTTTTGATTGTGTAGTGTAAGATCATCTCGATCGGGCGCAGGATACTGCAGAAGCACACCGGCGCGTTCGCTCTTAGAGAGACAAAACAGGTGAGCCGGCTGGCGACATGGCGCTGTCTTAATACCGAGGTTTAGGACTACGTACATTGTCTGAGTCTGAGTCTGAGGATTTTTTCTTTTCGTCGAATGGCGCAGATACCGGGCATCCTCGACTGGTTCGGTTGGTGCACGTGGGATGCATTCTACCACGACGTTAATCCTAAGGGCATCCGCGACGGCCTTAAGAGGTTAGCTCCGTCACCGTTGTCTCCTTCTTACAACATTTTTTTCGATTAAACCTCGGTTAGTTTCTTTCGTGCAGCTTGTCTGAAGGTGGCACGCCGGCGAGGTTTCTAATCATCGATGACGGCTGGCAAGACACAACCAATGAGTTTGCGAAAGACGGGGAGCCTTTTGTCGATGGGATACAGTAAGTCAGTCAATGTATTCATTTTACCATTTTAGATTATTCACAGTTAGTAAATACAGTTTTCACCAAATAATAAAATACTCTTACATTTTACTTAAAATGATTTTGCCTTAAACAATACTAAGGTTCGCAGCGAGATTGATGAGTGTCGAGGAAAATGCCAAGTTCCGGAAGGCACCAGGAGACGATTCGGTGAACACACCGCATAGTCTAAAGGACTTCGTCTCGGAAATAAAGACAATTTACAGCATCAAGTACGTTTACATGTCTCATTTCTTCATTTATCGTCGAACATAATAACTGTAACATCCCAGTAGACTCAAACCAAAATTTTACTGCTACATCAAACTAAGGGATCGATTTTACCAAGTTAGCCAAACTGATATAATATAACTAATAAAACAATTCAATTTTTTTTTTTTTTTTGTTGGCTCAAATCGAAAAATGTTAAAATGACCTTCGACGATTTGATCGGGACAGATACGTCTACGTATGGCACGCGCTTATGGGATATTGGGGCGGATTGCATCCCGACGCGCCGGGTACCAAGAAGTACAACCCGACGATAAGGTACCCTATCCAATCTCCGGGAAATCTCGCGCACTCCCGCGACCTCGCAATGGATGCCATGGAGGCTTACGGCGTCGGCACTGTCGATCCTGAAAAGGCATCCGGGTTCTACAACGATATGCATAGCTACCTCGTCGCTCAAGGAGTCGACGGAGTTAAAGTCGACGTACAAAACATTCTCGAAACGTTGGCCACCGGGTTAGGGGGCCGAGTCCCCCTAACCCGACACTTCCAACAATGTCTTCAAAAATCCGTATCCGAAAACTTCTCGGACAATGGCCTAATATGTTGCATGGCACAAAACACGGATTCGGTGTATAGCTCGAGTACAAGTGCCATGACTCGGGCGTCGGATGACTATTATCCGAACAACCCGAGAACGCAAACGCTACACATCGCTTCCGTGGCTTACAACAGCTTGTTCTTCGGCGAAGTACTCGTCCCCGATTGGGACATGTTCTATGTAAGAATCGAACAACCTATTTTCCAACTTCATCGTTCTCGGATTGAGTTTTTTTTTTTTTTTTTTCTTCTACGTTATTGTTTTGTAGAGCCTTCATGAGGCAGCCGAGTTTCATGCCGTCGCCCGTGCTGTTGGAGGCTGCGGAGTCTATATCAGGTGTGAAATATCGAACTTTATTATTTTTTTTCCTTCTTTCTTCCTCGAACTTTATTAAGGTTGTCTAATTTCAGCGACAAGCCCGGAAAACACGACTTCAAGATCCTGAAAAGGCTTGTGTTGCCCGACGGATCGGTTTTGAGGGCAAAGCATCACGGGAGACCGACTCGCGACTGTTTATTTAGCGATCCCGTCATGGATGGAACAAGGCATGTTTTTCGACGAACCCCCCTCCCCCTACCCATCCCCTATATATATGTGCGTAAATTTTATTGCATAATTTACCATTAGTTTATCGTCGAAATAGTGAATAACACTTATTTTTTTTTTTGTTATTATCGAATCGCTTATTCTTTAGTCTCATGAAGATATGGAACATGAACAAGGTCACCGGTGTCCTGGCAGTGTTTAACTGCCAGGGCGCCGGGACATGGCCCGGATTGCAAAAATCCATTCAAGTCGAGAATTCGGAGCTATCAGGACACATATCTCCTTCTGACATCGACTATCTCGCAGAAATTTCTCCAAGACAACATTGGAATGGCGACTACGCCGTGTATTCCTTCCAATCAGGTCCAAATCTACGTCTCTGTTCTCCTTAAACTTTTATGTTATCATCATTTTTCTTTTTTCACTATCAGTCATTATGATTTCCTATAAAAATATGTTAGTTTCTCTGACAAAACATTGTATCAACCTATTATTATTTAAATATAAAATACAAACTAAAATTTTTCAGGAACAATTGGTCGCCTCTCAGCAAACAAAAAAATAGACGTGACATACAAAACCTTACAATGCGATATTTTCACCGTATCTCCGATTGAGGTAGTTTTACAATCACACATTTATTTTTCTTCAAAATAGTTGGCGAGTTAGAAATAACAAAGTAGGTGAAAATTTTGCGTGCATGAATCTTGTAGGTGTATTATGATAATCTAGGAATTGAGTTCGCGCCAATTGGATTGATCGATATGTACAATTCGGGAGGCGCCGTGGATTCCATCGAGGCTGCCGGAGATTCCAAAATCCGAATCCGCGGAAGAGGTGAAGGGGTTTTCGGAGGATTTTCGAGCTCGAAACCTAAGACTTGCTTTGTTAATGGGAAGAATGAACATTTTGATATAGAAGATAATATCTTTAAAATTAGGGTTCCTATAGGAACTTGTTCTTGGGTGATTGATGTTCATTATTGATGTATTTTATTTTATTTTTTTCTTTTTAAGTATTTTTCTATGTACCGAATCAATTTATTTTGTTATTTTGTTTCCCTTGAAATTAGTCTATTAATTTTTATTTTTTAATAATTGTACTTTTCATATAATTATAAAAAATACTTATAATTTATATATTATTACAAAAATACCATCATAATTATTAACTAAGTTGTCGTTTTTAAAGAGAAAAAATTAATTTTCAGACTAATCTAAAATTAATTTTAAAGTACTTTCAAATATATATAAATGAATATTTGAAAAAAAAAAAATTAGGGTATAACAAATTAATTTTTAATTTTATTTTATTTTATTTTTTTAAACACGAGAACTTCTCACGGGATCACTAATTTTGGAATGTTGATGAAATTTGATGTGTTAAGCTACTACCGATTCTTCATCTAACAAATGAAGTTTTAGCAGGAAGGATGAGTACAAATCATATAACTTTGTATTAATAGATATATGTTGTTTATAATGGAGTTTTTTTTTTTTTAGAGAAAATATTTGTTCATTATTTATTATTTTTTAGTGGTAGAAATCCTATCAATATTATTTAAAAAATATAATATATATATATAATATAGTATATTTTATGATCTTGTAGAAAATCAATATTCTAATATAAAATATTATTTTTAAAATTATTTATATTCTCTATACTTCAAATAAAAAAATATACATCAAATTCAAACACTAAACAAATAAACCGGTATTTAGACTTTATTAGCCAAACTATTTTTCACTTGAAATAATTTTCAATATATAATACTATACATATTTTTTTACATACAGTTAATATTTAATATAAAATAATATTTTTTTATTATTATTATTAACATTGATTCTCTATTTTATATAAAAAAATATTAAAAAAAATTAATTTTTTAAAATAAATTCACTTCTTTTTATTTATAAAATTATATTTAAAATAAGATATTAAAAAACTGTTAGTTACATAAACAAGAAAATACTATTTGAAGTCACGATGATCATGTGAAAAAGGGCATTCCCACTATCATGCCTCAAATCCATCCATAATAATCCCATGTAACCTTCCCTTGACAAATTCATTAACATATAAATTTTATTAATATATATATATATATATATTTCATTTTCGTCAGTACAAACCCAATACTAAACCAATTGAGATATACTTTATTTGTTTTAATTTTATAGTAATATCTTATTTATATTACTTATTAATATATTTAATACATATATATTTTTTCATAAATTGGGCCTGTTCAGCATGGCCCAATTATAACAGGCTTAGGCCTAATCCAACCCAAAGTTATTGAAGCCCATAACTATTTTTTTTGTTTAGATCTTATTTAACTTGGTTTTTATTTTTGTCAGCTCTAATTATTTTGTTATTTTGCATTTATATATAAAAATTATACTTGTGTGTAAAGAATATTTGCAATTTATAGTATAAAATTAAGTTTGAGAAATAAATTTAAATAAAAAAATTAAATATAACTTTTAGTGGATAGACAGGAGAGAGATATTATAGGAGTATATATGGCTTTGCTTTATGCATACTATTCCCATGTCACCCAAAATCCATGCCCTTGGAACTAATAATGTACTTACTTGTATTTTTATTTTGATATTATATATTTATTTTTTTGATATTCTTAAAAGTGAATATATATTTTAATTAAAATTTTTAATAAAAAATAAATGTTGAATATGTATATGTTTTCTTTTTTAGACGACATTGAATAGCAATTAAAAATCAAGAAAAAAGATGCAAGTAAACCATTCACTCTCTCTACGTACATATGCTATCATATCAAGAAAAATCTGATATTAGAGTTTGAATTATTATCATAAAATTAAGTAATACTTTCTCCATCTTTGTATGTAGTTTTAAAAATATTAGTATTATATTGGGATATAGTAGGAATAAAGTAGAAATGATTAAAATAACCTTATTAGTATGTGTGATATAAAGGTAATGACGTTTGTGTAATATATTGTAAGTTGTAAGGGTACTTGTAATGTTAGGTAGATAGTACAGTTAGGAAATTGATACTTTTTTATGGAACAGACTAAACTGAAAAAAATGGATACTTTGTTATGGGACGGATGGAGTAATTAAATTCATGTTGAATTTACAGTATCTGCATGATTTTCTCACCATATAGAGATAGACAACACATAATTTCGCATAGAACATGTTTAAAGGTATTTTATAAATATATATCCTGTGTTAAAATCAATAATATGTATTGTATGAATTATTATTTATTAGTTAATACTTTTTGTTTTGTACTCCATCTATCATGAGACCTTTGGAGTTTTCGGTAAAAGATTAAAAAATAAGTGGAAATATATATATTTTTGTTTTTGATTTTATATATATAAAAAATAATTATATATGTAATGACATATTTATAATTTCAAAACAAAATTAGAGTATTTTGGTATTTATATATAATAAAAAAATAAATATGTGAGAGAAATGAAAATGATATAAAGAATCCTTTAAATTACGACGAAATGAGTATTATATTAATATAAAATATATACTATACTTTTAATATTATATGTGTTGCTTGTATATTTATTAAAAATTATAAAATCAGTACGATAAAAGCAACCTATATATATATATATAGAAAGAGAGAGATATAACCTATATATATATAGAGAGAGAAATAACCTATATATATATATATAGAGAGAGAGAGAGAGGCATGAAAATGTTGTAACAGTGTGTAACAAACTTGAAAGTAGTGGCAGATAGAATTCGAAATTCCTACAATCACTCACTTACCAAAATGAGGCCCTAAATATGTCTACTTCTTTCTTCATATGCATATATATATATATATATATACATATAATTAAAAATCTGTATTCATTATTATCGCTTCAATCCACTTCGTCTGAATCGCAGAGATCCGATCCAATCTTCATTAATTTCCTCGAAACTCTTAACCGTCATCCATGGAAAACAACGGCGGAGGAGACGGCAGCCGGAAACGCAAAAGACCAAGAAGCGACGGCGGAAACAAGTCGGAATCATCGTCGTCGTCGTCATCATCGACGTCATCGACATCGTCGTCGTCGTCGTCGCAAAAAAGCAAGAGACAGGAATTCCTGATCGATTTCGTCAAGGTTAACGACGGCGACGACGACGATTCTTACAGCTTCCGCGACGGCGCCGGAATATTCGATTTCCCGTGGCTGAAGGAGGACGGCGGCGGCGTGGTGTTCCAAGTGAAGGACTACTTGGAGCCCGACGACCTTTTTGCGCCTTATTTGGATCTGGGCCGGGCCGAGGACTCGCCGGCCCGGGTTTGGGAGCTAGGGTTTGACGGCGGCGGGCAGGGACTGTGGTCGTGGAAAATCGAGGACGAACTGCGGGGATCTTTGGACGGCCAGGATTGCATCTGGAGGTCATCTTTGTTTGATGATCATGATCGTGATCGGACGGTCGGCGGTGAACGAAATGATGGTGATGATCATCTTAATCGTCCGTGATTATCTATCCGTTAGGGTTTCGTTTTAAGGTTTTGAACAATAAGCACGACATATGGATGGAGGCAGATTATTACAATTTACAGTTATGTGGTGGATCTGTTTGGATCCCTACCTAACCCAACCCTTTTTTTTACTATTATTTATTTATAAAACCGGACTCTATTTATGTATATATTTTGAATTTCTTTTTTTAAAAAAAGTTAGATTAAATAGTTATTTTTATTTATTTTAAAAATTTTGACATTATTTTTATTTAATTTTTTTAAAGAAATTAATCAAATACTCCTTCCTCCTATAATTAACTTAATATATTTTGGATTGGCAGAAATATTTAAAAAATATATATTTTATTAAAAATGATAAAAGTATAAAAATAATTGAGAATATTTATTAAAAAAAAAAAATTAAAAAGTGGAGAGAATGTGAATATATAACGTGTAATAATGATTGGTTGTAACATTTGTTTAAAAATATTTAATAAAGAGTAAAAATAAAATGCTTATATTTTGACTTTATTAAAATTAATAACAAAATAAATTTAAAATAAAATGTTGATATTTTGATTTTATTAAAATTAATAACAAAATAAATTTAAAATAAAATGTTGATATTTTGATTTTATTAAAATTAATAACAAAGTAAATTTAATGTACTGACAAAAAAAAATATTGAGTAAGTTTGGCTGATAGAGACAATATGTATATATATTTTTAAAATTTTTCAAAGGGTTAAAAACTCTAAGTGAAAATAGGATTTGTTTGGTTTTATTTGAAATTAAGATAATTATCTGAGTTTTGATTTAATAGTAATTTAATATTTTATAAAATAAAATAACATATTTTTATTAAAAATTATTCGTAATAAATAATATTTAGTATACAAAAATACAAAATATTAGCAGAAATTGAGTGAGTGGAAGAGAAGGGAGATGTGAGAGATTTTCCGGGAGTGTACAAACTTTTTTTATGGCTAATTTCGCTAATCTTTTATTTATTTTTTTTGTATATGTATTATTGTTCAAATAATTCCATCGAAAATAGTGTTTTGATTTGAACTGGTATAGTTCTATGTAATAAAATAGGTGTTATATATATATATATATAATATTTTGAATATAAAATTAATATTTAGTATAATATAATAAATAAATAAATAAATAATTATACAAATGATTTGATTTTTCTATCGAAAAAAGAAATGAATATTATAAATTCTTTCAAAACTTCCAACTAAACACGCTCAAGTGGACTCAAATATTCCGATCATTCCATATTATTTTAATAATTTCAGTGTAATAATTTATTCATAATTGAATTGTGTCATGTTATAAGTTGAAATGGTATTAAATATGGATTTAGCTGGGATTGAGGTGTTAAATATATATATATATATATATTCTATAATAAAAATATATTATTTCATTTTATAAAATATTATTTAAAAAATTTACGAATTAGTTCATTTAAATATAACATTTTTTAAAAAAAATTACAATTCTTAATAACAAATAAATACTAACATTTAAATATATAAGCTCCCTTACGTACACTTTTTCCTATTAGATACATTTTTGGAAAAATTAATAACAAAAAATACTAACATTTAAATATAGTTTTTTACTATCGATTTATTTATTATTATTTTTAAAAAAAAACTACAAAATTTTCTATATAAGTGGAGCTGATATAATATATATGTACAAACATATAACCACGTACTTAGAATAAAAATAAAAATAAAAATAAAAATAAATGTCGCAACGAATATTTATTTTGTTATTAAAAATAAATGAAATTTTACGATGTCCAAAATAAACGTTATCACACTAAAACTGTTGCAATAAAAACACGTAAAGATTACTATACGCAGAAATCTACCGTAACTGTGCCTATAAATACCGTTGAGATTAAATTTCCCAAATATGAACAAATCCAAACCCTAATTAACTCACCGGAAGCAATGGCGATTTTCCGATCGACCGTCCTCTACGCCGCCGTCTTCCTCATCCTCCTCCGCAGCTCCGCGGAAGAGAACGCCGATTTGACCACCACCGTCTGCCGGAGCGCCAACGACCACGAGTTCTGCCGGCAAATCATGACGGCGTATCCGGAGATTCCCGACGCCGAATCGCTCGCCGTCGTGTTTTTCCGGCTGGCCTACTCTAACGCCACCAGCGTCCAGGATTACATCTCGGAGGAGCTCGGCGACACATCCGTCGCCGCCGGAGACGGTGGCGGCGACGGCGACGGCGTGGAGAATAACTTGAGGAAATGCGGCGACGATTACGAGACGGTGGTGCAGAGGCTGGACGAGATAATCGACGATTTGATTTCCAATTATTATTATCAGCTGGACGTGATGACGACGGAGGCGGCGGAGCGGGTCCGCGACTGCGACGCCGCCGTGGGGCGGCAGTGGCGGCCGTTGGCGAAGATGAACGACGATATGCAGAAGCTTCTGAATATATGCTACGTTATAACGAAGCTTAATTTAACTGCGTAGAAAAATATATATATATATATATATACATATTAAATTAAGTTATATTCGTGTTTTTTATTTTATGGATTTATGGGAAATATATAATCCTAGAATGTAAGTGTGTGGATTATGTTTTTAATATTATTCTGAATATTTAATAGTGTTTAATTTAGAATATATAAATAGTGGGTTGTAAAGTTTGTTTATTTTTACGAAATACTATGTATATATATTGTTTTTTATTTGAATAATAATAATAAAATTTTTAAAAAAAAAACTTAAATATTAAATAGTAAAATTTAAACTATATTTTAATATTATCTTCGTTTGAAAGTAACAAGACCGTAACTTTTTTTTATTTTTTTTTACTTATAAATTTTTAAATATTAGTCGTAAGTACAAATTAGAAAAAAAAAAATATTTATAAAATATATTATATAAATATAAAAATACTTGTAATATTAAATAAAAATAATACTATAATATCTTATAAAAATATAATACTATATTTTTATTAAAATTGGTGCCAGTAAACTGCTAATAAATTATTTGAGTCTTGGGCATAACCATAAAATTTTTACACCATTAATCTTACAAGTATTTTTGTTTATGTATAATTTATTTGGAGTAAACAATTTTATCAATAAGAAATAATAACTTTATATGACTTTACCTACATTATGATTAAACAATTCAATGTATTAATATTTATATAATCTACAAATTTCGCACATGTTCAAGAAAAACGAAAATCCCTTTGATACAAATTAAATTTTCCAACAAAATTCGAATCCCCAAAATTTAAAAATGTACAAATGAATAAACATATCAAGAAATCAAAGAAAACCTAAACCCAATAAATCTAATCCAAGAACTCATGTAAAATTTAACCTCATCATAGAATATAAACTCTTTCAGATTTCCAGAAAGAAAAACTACAAAGCAGCGTACCATTTTCACTGGATCACTTGTCGAATCCGCCGAGCAAATCATGATGACAGTCGTAGACTCTGTAATCGCCATAGAGCAGCATTCCATCGCCGTAGTGAAGCATATAATAACAAACGTTGCAGAAGTAACAGGGATTCGACCCCGCCCATTTGTCGTCGATTGTCATCTTCTCTGCCCTGTAAATTTTGCATACCGAGCATTTCCTGTAGCGCAGCTTTGGTTGATAAGTTGTGAGGGGATAAGCTGCTCGGTTCTGTACATCCTCGGAATTAATCAACCTCATATTTCGTATTACAATTACATGTTTACAGTCCCCCTACGAAAAGAAATGAAATTAGCATAGAACACGGAGCCAAGTCAAGACAGTCGAGTTGAGCAAAGTTAATTAATACAATCCAGCAGAATCTCTGATTAGGAAGCACGTCTTACAGATTATAAGTCAACATAGATTTCGACCATCTTTAGTGATATTCCGGTGGCCCTCGTTTTTGGGAATATTCAAAATTTGCAAATTTGAGATACCTAAATAGCACAATAAGGCTTGATTCAAGCTCGAATTGTTTTTAACGTAACTAAATTCGAGCTCGAGAACTCATCTTGTTTGGTATGAACTTAAACTTGATTCGAGCCAAAAAATTGATGTTCATTGATTTGTCTTAAAGCTAATTTAAATGGGGAACGCTCAAGTTCAACTCAAGTGGAAAAATCTAAAAATAAATAAAACTCAGACTCACATAGGAATTAGGATCAATAACAGTTTTACTAATCAGAATTAACAAAATACCAACAGATTGAATCCTTACAAAGTTCATGAGATAGAAGAAAGATTTCGAATGGAGCAGTAACTAATTCTTCAAGTATTTCAACAGTCATCGTCCAATTTCCTAAACTTGGACTTGATTAATGCAATTTAGCACTTAAAAATACAAACCTAAGAAATAATGTCTATTTAGCAGTTCAGAACCACAATGCTAGTCCAAATTCAAGGCCGTGAAACAGTGCTTTGTGCAAAAATTTAATCAAATTCAGAATATCTTATCACAAAGAACACTTCACCTCCAACACAATAAATTTCTAAATCATCTCGAAGGTTTTTCTTTTTTTTTTTTTTTGAATAATACAATAGTGACACAGCAAGAAGGTATAAGTATCATCATTGTTCTTATTGATAATTCATGAAAGAAAGAAAATGTACCTGATGGCAGTAAATGTATCCGGCACCGACCCGAAATCTAATATCACGGAATCTTGTAGTCTGCATTTCCGTGGATTTCAACCTTGGCAAATGTTGTTTCTTTTCACTGCCCAAAAGCGCCTTTTGCTTCTGGTGTGATACACCAGAAGTAACATATTCCCACTTTTCAAGAGCATCATCCTTAGAGTTTTCGAGCCAATCAAGTATTGGCTTACTATAGTCTACAGCAGAAGGGTCCCTTGTATCATTAAAGAAAACATCCTGCACAAAAAATCATTACAACCGTTTTAGCATAGGAAAAGGCCGTAAGCCAGGTATCAAAACAAGTCAGAAAATTACTTCAATCAGGAAGTAGCCGGAGGGATTGTGTTTCCCATCCTTTTTCATTAAGTCATCTGTCGAACAATATATTTTGTCCTTCACTTCTGTAAGAAATTGCTGTCCGAGAACCAAGAATTCTTGAGTCTGCATATGGGGCAGAAAAATAGTTACTCCAAGGAAATGCAGAGATATATATAAAATTGAAGACAGCGACTAACACAGGATACTAAACAACAGGAAAAAAGGACGTAGAATAAACAGAATTTCGAAAATCATTCACTGCGCTGTTCAGGGGTGCCGATAAGTGAGATGAGTACAAACCTTCAGCAATGCTTTTCGCGGGTGGTAAATCTCAAAACACAGGACAGACTCAGGAAAATGCACTGGTACATTATCAAAAGTATTTGAGGCTCTGACCTGCAATGCATTATTGCAAACCATAAACACACTTAAAGAAATAATAGGAGCAAAATGACATTAAGAAATATAATACACATAAACAAAAGATCACAAGATTATATATGCAGCATTTCTAGTCAGTAAGGAAGGTAAAGACAACTTTATTAGTTATGTTGCTTCTTGCTTCAATTAGAATCTGAATTATTATTACAGTATTCATCAATGAGGGCTTTCTAAAGAATTTTCAAAATTCATTCGTTTCATATTTTCCCTTTCAGATTTCCATAATTAGAGTATTAGACAATCTTGACATGTATTGTAGTATACTAATAGCTGTTTGGTTATTGTTCGGAATTGATTTGAAATGGGTGTTGATTTGAATTTTTGTCTAAACAGTATTTTGATGTGATATTCTGTGAGAGAAAATAATGCAGTTTTACAGAAAACAGTGTGGGCTGAATAGTGTAGATTTGTGTTTGAAATCAGAATCGAAGTATAAATGACTGTTCCAAAATAGAAAATGATATCCACAAGGGCAGAAACCAAATTAGCACAGAACATAGTGTATTGGAAGGGGAAAAAATAATAAAAAGGAAAGGGAAAGAAAGAAAAAGATGACAAACCTGTGTCGAAGCACTGGCAGATTTCAGAGATGTGATCCTTTCAACTTTGGTGGCTGCACCACATCTGGCGCCTCTAGAACTACCACTGGGGATCATAGAAAAAGGCAAAATATGCATGACTGAATCTATGTATTAAATAGATGATAACTAATCTATCTTTGAAAGTTCTTACTCAAACGAATGCAATCTTACAGAAGCTTTCTGTTCTTCTTGATTTTGCTTAATTTTAGCAAGTTGTTCGACCTTCGCCATATAACTTTCCTGGGAAAACAGCAAAGTGTCAAAACATGATCATAGAGCAACAAAACACAGGTCATAAAGTCGTTTATCCGTACATCAAATGAGTTTTTGTTTTTGTTGCCACATGTCCTCTTCTTCCTCTTTCCTAAAGTGTGTTTATTTGTTTTCTGATTGCTGCAAGATCCAACTGGAACTGTGTCTGAGGATTCATATAAGACCATCGCCTTTGAATCACTTTCAGAATGTTGTGGACATACAGAGTTAGGGCCAGCTGCAATGTTATTGTCCCCTGAAAATATTACTAAAAATCAGACACATTTAATATCATGTTGAAGCAGTATAATGGAAAAAGTATCATCATGTGAATGATCTAAAGAAAGATTCCGTAGCTTTCTAGAAAAACATTGAACTCTTGTAAATCCACAAATTGCATTTGATAAATCCCTACAATAAACTCACACAAAAGCCATACACTCTTAGTAGAAAATATTAGGTAAGTTTCCACCGATATTTTTAACCAACACATAAGTATTACACAAATGAGATTTTCAGTGGATTACAAGATCATTAAAAAAAAAAAGGACTAGTAAGCATGCAAAAAGTTGTTAATATGAAAACTTCAAAATAAACAGTGAAAACAAGTATGAGGGAAGCAAGCCCCTTTGTACCTGACCTGGGGCTTAAATGCTCTACCAAAGCTTTCGAAGCATCTTCAGACAATTGACCATCCTGTCATCATTTGAAAAGACAAAAAAATAGGAAAGGAAAATTAAAATCCAGATATGTGATGGCTCATACGCGTTAAGCACAAAGCATTTCACATAAATTTCAAAGCAGTTTACCTTGAAAGCTTCTTCAAATGCTTTAGCGACCAACTCATCCTCCGTGATTATTTTTAGTTCATCAACCCTGATGATTTCATAATGCACGAGGTTAAGCACTTTAAGAGGTAAGCATAGCAATACATATTAATCTAAAAAAAAAAAAAAACATGAATCTCTCTTCTACAAACATGTGTCTTGGAATTTGGTTTTGTTTTCGGGTCTTGGTTATTGGTTTGAATAGTGGTTTGGATATGATGTTTTGTGATGAGAAATATTATATTTTTATAAGGAATTGCAATGGCTGCATAGTAAAAAAAACTGATAAACCAAACTCCAAAAGAGCAAAACCTATAATGCACAAGCGCAAACATAAACAAATATAAATAAACAAATGCTACACCAAAAGCAAATCATCATCAACGTCACATCCATTCATGGTCACTTTTGAGGATACTATCATAGCCCGCTCAAGTGCTTAAAGTAAATCAAGTGTCTTTAAAATTGATGTTTCAATCTTAACAAGTACTCAAATACCACAAATTGCAATGCAAAGCTACAAATACCCGCAAAATGGTTATATACTGGGGCACATATATATCTTTAAAGTCTAGTTTTGGTCTCGCACTATTCATAAAAAAATTTCCCCACAAATCATCAAATCAAACACATATGTTTCATTTAATATATTATACAAAATATTCATATTTTAATTCAAAAATCAAATCAGACACATTTATATCACATCAAATAGTATTTTAATTCAATTTTTTACAATTCCCAAATCCTAATCCAAACCAATTGCTGTGGTCACATGCAAAACACAATATAATCAACCAGGCCTCTAATCTCCGTAACTTTGTGAGAAACATACAGTAAATAAACTGATACTTACAAAATTTCTTCATTGAATGTGTCCGTAGAGTCTCCCGAAAGCTCCGATTTCAGGTTCTGCAAAAATTAAACGAACATGGTAAAAGTCAGAACTTTAATTTACAGTACATGTCAATCTCAAAAATTCAAGAAGGCAACACAATGTAAGCACATAGCAGCAAATAACTCACCTGAAGTTCTACAAATACCATACTTTCGAAATCCGGTACTCTTGTCAGTGGACCGACCATGTCCTGTACATATATTGGACCACCCAGCGGAATCGTAACATGGAGGTCGTCTCCTTGCTCATCTCTGTCCATGGCCATGATCCTTCAATCATATATACATATATATATATATATATATCTGCAATAAAATCAGATGAACTATATCAAGAACGCATGCCATATCAAATCAGTAATAACAATAACTAGATTCACAGAAAAATTCTAAAGAAATTCACATTATAAGCTCGATCCGCAATGATTAACAAGTATAAACATGAAATTCTGTACCTATCGAAACGAAACCCTAACATCAAATCACGACACGGCATGAATCGGTGACAACCAAACAAATTCAACAGCAATTTCGTGTATGAAACGGCGTAATTCAGCTTATATTAAACTATTTACACCGAAAAGCTACTGAAACGGCGCATAGCAACTTCTTCCGATCAAAACCGAAATAATATTGAAATAACAAAACAACAAACACGTCGAAGTTTCTGTAAATTCTTCAAAGTTCTCACAAAGGGAAAAGGATTAAACCTACAATTTCGTCACAAATGCGGCTACGGGAATCGACAGCGACGGGATGAAGTGGTGAAGAAGAGCAAGAAGAGAGGGGCGGCTGTTCGTAGGAAGGTTTAGGGTGACGTTATAATTTAATTATTTGGAAAGTTTCCTTATCAAAAGTTTATCAAAGCGTTTTCAAAAATAAAATTTTATTTTACAAAATATTCATTAAATAATATTTTAATATTAAATTTAAATTAAATTTTCTTAAATCATACCTGAAATCGTGTTTTCGTACACCGCGATTTTAAGTATTAAAATTTAAAAGTGTGCCGACCCTGCTCGAAGCTTAAAATCGTGGTTTTGTAACCTGCGATTTTTATTACAGAGCGAAAAATCAATTGCTTGCGGAGACGGATCTTCTGCTCCGGAGGAGTGGCCGCATATTTGTTCTTCGATAGACCAGCAAATCATTTTGCGCCGATTCGCATTTTCGGATAATTTTCGTACTGGTTTGGGGAATTTTGATTTGGGAAATTCTGCTTGTCGGCTTCATTTGCGGCGTTGGTTGAGTGTTACTGAGCACTTAGAGGATCAGCATCGTGGAATTCAGCAATTCTACGTAAGGTTTCCGTTTCCTACGCTCAGAGATTTACTTCTCCGGTTATTTGAGCTCGATTTTTGCCAGAATATCATGTTCCGTGGATTATGAGTTTGCCAACTGTTTGATTGTTTGGAATTGTTCATTTCTGAGGCGAGATTCTCTGATTGACTTTCTGACACTGGTGCTCGGATTGAATTTTTAGTTGTGAATTTTCTGTGTAAAAGTTGTTGCAGTTATAAACTTGAATCGTTATAATTTTTTTTAGCTCGATTGGTAAAGTTTATGTTCTGAATTCAGGGATTGGTTGTGGAAGGGCTTCGAATTCAATACTCTCAGCTCATGCCATAGATGAAGGTAGATTGGTTCACAGGTCACCATTTCGATTAATTTGGCCAAAGGCTACAATAGAAGCAGCAGGATGAACAGAAATCCGATTTCGGCATCCAAACAGCGGCTTCGATGGAACCGTGAGCTTCATGATCAATTTGTTGATGCTGTGGCACAACTTGGTGGACCAGATAGTAAGAGTTTTATTTTTTTTGAACATAAGTTTGATCACTATTTAGTTAGTTTAAGAATTTTGTCGATGCTATACGACGTTTTGTAAGAGGGAATAGGTAAAGTTAATATTTATTAATAGCGTCAAAACTTCCAAAAGTATCTACGTAAACAAAGTAGGAGAGGTAAGAAAGTAGAAACGAAGGAATCGAATCTTAAAAAGTATTGAAACGATTCATATATTTATAGAACATAGATTTGATTCTTGTTGAGTTAGTTTAAAAAATTACGAAATGCATAGAGGATGAAATAGAGCAGGGGAGATAAGAACGCAGAAACTACAGAATCGAAGGTTAAAAGTATTGCCAAGATTCATCTTCGATCACATAATACCTACTTGATTTCACGATTTGCAAAGATTCCATCTCACGATTTCGAGGTTTAATTAGAGAAGTCTCCAGATAGCATTTGTTCATAGTCACTCCAGAAAAGATAATTTTCTTTTTATTTTCAATCGGAAATGTGTTGTGGCTTAATTTCAGGGGCAACTCCTAAAGGTGTTCTTCGGCTGATGGGAGTTCAAGGGCTAACAATTTACCACGTAAAAAGCCACTTACAGGTACACATTCGTAAAGGGATTATTTCACAAAATGTGATTATCATCTATCTTCAGCTCGGACTAATATTATATGTGTCTTCAGAAATACCGACTGGCTAATCATCTTCCAGATTTGTCTTCTGATGGTGAGTTATGCTAAAATAGCAGTATGTATTATACGGCACAGGATTCTTGATTATGGTTCTTATTTAACATCATGTTTTCTTGATTTGGTTGAAAGGGAAAAGACTTGAAAAAGAAAGGATCCGGCGACGAGCTTTCCAGTTTGAATGGCTCATCGTAAGTTGAATGAATCTACATTCTCAATGTTTCCACTCTTTTGAGATATATATATATATATATTTATATAGTGTTGATCAATTTATTCTTTTAGCGGAATGCAAATATCCGAAGCACTCAAGTTGCAGACGGAAGTGCAAATGCGTCTGCAAGAGCAGTTGGAGGTACATTGAAATCTTTATTAAATTTTATTTGCAGTTCGATGTGTGTTTGGCCACAAGGAAGATAAAATACAGCACAGGAAACTAGTTTATAGCCAAAATGTGACCTATTTGGACCCAATTATAATAGTAGGAAGGAAACTAGTTCACTAAGTTAGGGTATATATAATAGGAAACTAGTAAGACGAAACTTGACCTCCGCTGATGATTCTGATTTGACCGGATCAGCATATATTATACAAGTAAACATCATATAATATACATAATATAACACAATATATAGCGTATAGCGAAATATATGTTCTTGATTTTTATGACATATGTTGATCTGGTCATATCAGTATATGATCCGTTGTGCCCCTAGTTATAGTCCACTTATTTTAAATTTTAGTCACTTATTCTAATTGTGCCGGACAATAATGAATGTAGTCATAATTGAGATACATTGGGTAGATAACGTTACAAGAATCAAACGGTATATATATAACAGAGATTAATCTTTTTTTTTCCCTTTTTTTTATGCATATAATCCATTTATAAACCCTAAACCAATTGTCCTAAGTCTAGAAAGGTTATTTTTCACAATCCAATAAATTTCATTGGACACTAATATAAACTGTTCCAAATATAAATTGATGGGAAGAACAAAAAGGTATGAATTTGTTTCCAAATTATAGGCCATCATCATATGAACTTATTATTTAATGTATCATACATACCGTACCAGGTGCAGAGACAGCTGCAGCTGCGGATCGAAGCGCAAGCCAAGTACTTACAAAAGATGATGGAAGAACAACACCGTCTCCGCCAAACTTCTTCCGGTTGTACAGACAACATTTTCAACAACAAAACCGACAACGCCCCAACAGCCGCCACCAAGCCACCTGTCGAAGGCGCACAAGAAAAGAACCAATCTGCCTCTGATTCTGATTCACCAGTCGACAAATAGCCAGCCTAGGTCTGATACAGTAGCGCATGCGGATTAATCAGCTAACACAGAAGAATCGAGTTCTTCTAGACCACCTTATCGTCGCTTCTCGAGAGGGCGGAGAACAGATCAGTGTTTTGTGTTGGCAGCAAAAAATCTGTCGTAAAGACATCCATGTAATAAATAACTGTTTGTAACGCAATTTGTTCAGCTAAGATTACTTACTCCTACATGCAGAGTCAGTCTTACACTTTGTTGTATGTATATATTGTTCAACCAGAATATACTCGTGGAAATTAATAGGTAGACGCACTTACACATTTCCTTGTATAAAATCAACTAGAACAATAAATGATCATCTTTTCAATTTTACTTTTGCATTATTCATTAATTTTATATTTTTATTTTTATCATGTCAAATATTTATTTAAAAATATATCATCTATTTAAAAATACATCAAATATTTTCTATTTGAAAACGTTAAAATACTTGAGCTATCATTATTTTTTACTGATCGATTAAATTTGAAACTATATCATATAAAAATACTATTTAAATCAAAATTTACATAAAAAAACTCAAACCAAACAAACCCGACCAAAGGTTTTCGAGTGCCACTACACTAAACTTAAGGGCTTTTTTTATTTTTTCTTTTTTCGACCAGTAAACTTAAGGATTTTACACAAAATTTAATTACCTTGTTCTATTATTATGATGATTGTTAGTATCCTTCTTCGATCATCTTTGCATTCTCAATCCTTTGCCTTTATTGTTGACTGTCGATCACTACAGCCAAGTTGAAGCTGCATTACAGTGCCCCTTAGGCTGCACTCTTTCACCTGCAGAAGAGAGGAAGACAATGCAGTAGGACACAAAAATATTCAGATTCTTTAAAATGATAACGACTTTTTTTCTTTTTCATTCGCGTCTTTCTACCTGTAGCATACGTGTCTTGGAGAGTACATCTCCACACTCTTCGACTAGAGCTCGTTCTCCCCCGGCTGTCTTAGCTAATTCAGACACTGTCGTGTCAATGTCTTCAGCCTGTAGAAGTTACAAAGAGAGAGTATGATGATATCCATCCTAAGAGTAGTTTTTCCACAAAAGTTGCTTCTAGGGTCGATGATCTATTAGCGCTTTTGCCTCATTACAGTATACTTAATAAAAGAAACTCTTAGGAGGACAACAACTATGCATTTTTATTTATGTCATTGTAATTTTGCATAAATCGATCACTTCAAAGGTATGGATAGAACACAAAGAAATATGGAAAGGGTTATTGCTTACTTTGCTTATGAATCTCTGAATATTATTGCTGATTAATTCAGCTACCTTTAGCGCCGAACTCATTGCCTCCTGTAGCTCTCCAACGTCGACCTGAATAATTTTATGGCTATCCGTCATAAACCACCGGAAAATTAAATTTAAGAGTTAAAGTACATTCCAATTTGTTTCTTACAAATAAAATTCCATGTTGTTTCTTTTCACAAAAACATTATGTCGAACATTATTTAAATAAAAAATTTAAAACTTCCAAATCAATCCAATTTGAAATGTAAAAAGACCCAATCTCACCCTCACTTTCTTGATTTTTTTTTTTCTAACATGAAATATTCTTTAAATAAAAAACTCAAACTTTCAAATTCAATCTAGGCTGAAAAGAAACACCTTAAAGTAAAAAAGATCTCACCCTCACTTCTCCACTGACAGGAAGTCTGATTGAGGAGCTAATCAATGCGTCTGTCGTGGCTAATAGCGAAGCTGAGTAATCTTCCTCAAAATTCGCCCATTGATCGAGGCAAGGCATCTAAGATACATATAAGAAGAAGAACATCATGACTTTCTTCATTTGTTGCATAGAGACAAAGAAACTGACCAACATATTTATTTTTTTTACCGAAACAATATCACAGATCATCAGCCCTAATGTTGTAACTTTATACATAGTTGATAAATATGATTATAGTTTTTTATTAGAGGCTTCAAAGTACGTGGAAAATGAAGAAATTTGACAACAATGAAAAAAGGAAGTTGCGATTCTTGCATGTTATCGAAATTCAAGATGAAAATTCTTACTTGTGCTCCAACAATCATGTTCAAAGCTTTGATTCTACTCAATGTTTCGAGCTCTCGACGCTTCCTTTTCACGTTGTCGCGTAATTCGGATAACTTGCTGCCAATCGAATAGAACTTCCTCTGCAAGATTATTACAGAGCTTAATTTATATGTAAACATGGTGTTACAGCAATGAATAGAGGAAAAAATATGATGATGCAGCAGAACTCAACTGTTTAGATCGAAAATCAAAATTGCATAAAAATGGGGAAAGGAAATATGCTGATGCAGAAGAACTCAAATGTTCAGATCGAAAGTCAAAATTGCCTAAAAATGGCGTAACAAACCTCAGCTTCCTGCCGCTGCGCACGAGCAGACGCCTTCGCTTTTGAATTTGCATGCCGCCAAAGAAGATAATGATTTTGCAACATCTTGAGAGAGTGCAAATCTTCCTGTTGGTTTGAAGCTTTTCTTCCTTTCTTTGAATCTAATCCTGACCTTACTAAGGAAGAAGGATGTGGAGGCAGGGCAATGCCTCCCCCAGTTTTCGTAGAAGATGAAAAATTCATCGAACGAGCTGCGAATTCACTCCTGCCGTTCGAATTCCTCTCCGCGAGCCATTTATCGACTTCAGGCATGGAAGACCGAGCGTCGGAGATGCTCCTCAGCTTGGTGGCGGAAAGAAGAGGCGAATTAGGGCAGGAAGACGTGCCTTGACTACTCGAAGAAGTACGTCTGCCACAATCCATGTCGTCTCGGCTGGATGTTAAAATCCTTGGAAGATTTGTGGATTTATCCACATCGGCGGTGGCTTCCTGCAGCAGCCGCGCCGCCGCCGTGACGGCGGTCAATCCGTTGCTGCTACTGCTGAGAGAATTAGAGCGGGCAATAGTGCCTGGAACTGCTTGTCTGTACCGAGACGGCACGATTCGATCCGTACCGGTGGTAATTGGCGTGTCAGGCCTCGATGAAACCCTAGGAGGAGGATCTCTGGATTCGGCGAGGTGCTTCGATCGCTGCTGCGGATGGTGTTTCCTCTGCACGGTGGAGGAGATCGGCGCAGAGGATTTGTCCGCCGCTCGATTCGTCTCCGGCGCGTGATTTTCATCGGTTTTCGGCAGTAACCGGCGGTGAACCGACTTCGAACGGGGGAGATCGGAGGTGTTGGTGGTCGGAATCGGGGTGGAATTCGAGTGGACTAGAGGAGACATGAAGCGAGAACTGACCTCCCTCACTCTCGGCCGCCGTTGTGTGGGCGGTGGCGCCGGTTGCTCCGCCGCCACGGTGTTCGCATCCGCCATTTCTACGCAGTCGGTTCAAATTTATGGATTATTTACAAATAATCCCAACCCTACCGAATCCAATACCACTAACCAAAATTGCAATTAACTTTGAACCGAACCGTAGAACAATAAGACGTTCAACGACGATGGAACTGCCCTGTGTTGGAAGACGGCGGCGGCGGCGGCGGCGGCCGCAGAAGAAAAAGGCGATTAACACAGAGAAGACGACGGATCTGGAAACACGGAGAAGAGCAACAACAGTTTGGACATGAGATTGAGAAAATTAAAAAAATGATTTAAAGTTAAAATTTATATATATTTAAATATATAATTTATAAATTTAGGAACTAGCCGTTGCGGAATGCGTGAACTATAACGGTTATTTTTCTTCCTCCATAGGATTCTTATGTATAGAAATTATTTGAAAAGTTTTGGGGACCCGATTGCAAAACGGGGCGGCTCCGTTTGCATTTCAATCATATGTGGAGTGTTTTGGTAATTATTTTTAAAAAATTTATTATTTAATGTTAAAAACATATATATACCAAAAGAACAGCCTACGAAATTCGGAAATAACTAAAAATACTAACATATTCAGAATTTCTTTTGTATTTTTTTAATCAATTTTAATAAATAAAAAAATATTGGAGTATATGATACTACTATTTGTCTTATTTACACCAATAATCCATCCAATAATTATTTTTATATAGAATGAATATTAAAACAAAAAAATTAAAATGCATAATTCATTGTTTAATTTCTGTGAAATCTAGGCACGTAGGTGATAGGTGTTTATAGTGTTAGCATAGGGAACAATCAAAGAATACATGGAAAAAATTTAATTGAGTTTTATATTAAAATAATATGCGATAAGATATATCTATCTATATATATATCTATATATAAAATTTAAAGTATTTTTTTCTAAAAATCGAGAGTTCAAAAAATAAAATATAAGAATTTGGTGCAATATATATAATGTGTAAATTATATAGATAGTTTTATATGTGTTTATGCTCTATGCCCTTTTATCGGTATTTGATTAATTCTAGTAATCAGAATAACAACAATTTATGAGCATAAGTTAAATGGAATTAAATATGTTCGTATCTTACCAAAATTAAGTGATATATAATGACAATCCACGTTTGTTAGAAATATATAAATTTAACTTTGACCATGTCTGCTCGGTATTTTTACATGCAATGTTGTAAATAAAAATAAATTATTTATATATATATATATATATCATATTATATAATTAATTTATAAAATAAACAAATAAAAAAAGCAACACAAACCCTAAACGAAGCACATCAATGACGTGAGAGGCAATGCAACAAATTTACCAACATTCTAATTAAATAGTATAAATTAAGTACTAAACTTCAAAGCTGGAATAGCTCAGTTGGTTAGAGCGTGTGGCTGTTAACCACAAGGTCGGAGGTTCAAGCCCTCCTTCTAGCGAATTTGTTTTTCCCTTCTTTTTAATCAATAAATTTTTTTATTATTCCTTCATAACATTTTAAGTTCGATCATAATTCAAACCAAAACATTACATGGATTTTTCAACTAATGAATCCTCAACAAAATCACAATAATTTAGTTTTAATGGATGAGCCAAATCCCTGAATAATCCAACCACAGGTGGGAAAAGCGAGTTACCGTGTTGTTTATAGCTTTGCCTGTTTTGGCAATCTATCCCTCAACTCCCCGGCAACGGCGTCGATAAAATCGAAGGTATTCAAGTACCGATTTCGGCTGGCCCTACAAGAAATTCATCGGTTCCATAACTTAGATGAATGCAAAAAGTAAAGAAAAGAAAAAAAATGTCGAAAGATTGCACCGACTTAGGTCCATGAATAAGGATGGCGAGATCCTTGGTCATCTTTCCGGACTCGACGCATGAAATGCAAGCACCTTCGAGCTTCTCGGTGAAATCTAGGAGCCGGGAATTGCCGTCGAGTTTAGCCCTACAAAAATGGTTAATTAAGTTGCTCGGGAATTGCCGGGAAATCATCATAATTTCCGGGTGTATTATACTATTATTCCACCATAATTTCTTACACACTTTTCGATTAAAATTATAAAAAAAAAAAACACAATATATATATATTCACACAAAATATCTAGTATATACTCTATTACGAATAAAAATCAACAATTGAAAATAAAATATATTTCTTTTATTAACGACAAGCTTCCTTGTATTTGACATAAAAAATAATAAAAAAAAAGTGGAACTGAAAATCTTTTCCGAAGATATCCATTTTCCTGGAGAGACAGATAAAATATCCCGACATAGCGGCGGCTTGATACCACTAGGAACAGGAAAACAAAATTACATGGAATCAAAAAAACGGAAAAATTAATACTTCAGACTAAAAACACAAAACAAAGACGCCCTCCGAGTTGGAAGTAATTTTGGTTTTTACCTGTGTGAAAGTCCCTTTGACCAGGCGAAGATGGAGGCGATGCTATTGGTGCTAGTTTCTCCTCCTTTCTCATGAACGCGGTAATGGCGCGTGACTGTGCCGTGTGCAGCCTCTGCTTCAATAGTCTTTCCATCGGGGCAAACCTGTAGAGAATTACTAGAAAAATGATACAACAGTGATGGTGTAGGGAGAAGACGGGGAGAGTAATGATAAAGAGAACATACGAGCACTGAAGTCATCAAGCCTAGAGAACCGAATCCTGCATTGATGGAAAATATTAAATTAGTGAAGAGTAGAGCCGTTAAAAAGAGCCGAGCGAGCTTGAGTGTATGTTGTTCAAGCTTGACTCGGAAATGTTATTAGCATAGACTCGACTCGGCTCATTAAGGTCCTATTCAAGCTAAAATAATGGCTCAAGCTCGGTTCATGTTTGATTTTAAGCTTGCTCGCATGGCTTGAACTCGAGTACTAGTTCGAGTTCTACTCAAATTTTATACAATATATATTTTTTAATATATAAATTAAATATATCCACTTTTATCTACATTTTGTTATAATAAATATTCAAATTTCATCAATAAATACAAACTTTGATATAAAAAATTATATGTATTATATTAATATATAAAAATGATACAAATATACTACCCCTAACAAGCTCAGTAAAGATATTTGCACGGCTCGTTTATAAAAATAATAATTTTCAAATTCGAGCTCGATTCGTTTATCTCTAAAACGAGATGAGTCGAACTTGACTGCAAGCTAGTTTAACACCTCTAATGAAAAGTAAATATGTACAAATAAGAAGCATCAATAAGAAGGCGTGCAAACCTTGAGCTAAAAAGTCACTTTGAACATCACCATCGTAGTTTTTGCACGCCCATACATAACCACCATCGCTTTTTAGAGCATAAGCAACCATATCATCTATAAGACGGTGTTCATACCTGTAGGATTGACAAAATGTACAATTAGATAGGAATGAATGCTTGCAATTGGCCTCCCGTTTGACTGAAATTTAATTTACCATATTCCAGCAGCCTCAAACTTGGATTTCCATTCTCTTTCGTAAACTTCTTGGAATATATCCTTAAACCTTCAGGAATTGATATAAAAAGGCATCATGCAGCAGAAGAAACAGAAGGCTTTCTAAATGCAATTTGATATGAAATAACGACCTTCCATCGTATTGCTTCAGAATGGTATTTTTGGTGCTAAGATATAGCGGCCACTGTTTCTGGTAAGCAGTGTTCATTGAAGCTTCCGCGAAAGCACGGATAGACTGTGTGCAGTGGAAGGAATTCCAATTATCATCATTCAAAAGTCACAAAATAGTATCAATTTAGGGGCGGTCGATTTCAAATTATATGCAGCAAGGCATTTTGTCAATCCATATTCTACACTATTTCTTCGGGACCAAATCATTCATAATCATCATTACAAGTTTCACAATCAAGAAGTTATCACCAGAAGGGTAATGGGTTAAAAGTTTAGCAATCCGTACCTCATCTGTGTTGTACATCGACAAAGCTACTCCACCAGACCCTGAAAAGTTGTACACCTCCAGCTCTATATTCTCACCGGCTCCAGAAGGCACTGAAACATTAGGCATAGGCACGGTTTAATTATCCATATCATTTACTCGAGGATATAACGACACTTAAACCCAACAAAAATGGTTCATACCAAACACCATTTTAAGTTTTCCAGCTCCTTTGGTCACCAGATCCGTTGCTCGATACTGATCACCAAATGCGTGTCTCCCAATGCATATTGGTTTGGTCCAGCCTAAGAATTGGAAATTTTTTGTGCATTAGAATTAAAGCAATAAACCAATGGATCGCAATTTGGCATAGATTTAATAAGCACCTGGAACAAGTCGAGGGACATTCTTGCATATGATGGGTTCTCTAAACACAGTCCCTGCAGAGAGTGGGAGTTAGCTTTTCACTTTGATTTAGAATCAGGGATGTTTTAAGTTTAGCATGCCAACCATTTAAGATGTTTCGAATGGTTCCATTTGGACTCTTCCACATGTTCTTCAAGTTGAATTCTTTGACACGCCCCTCGTCTATTCCATACAATGTGGGAGAATAATTACAAATGGGACAACACTATGCATCACTTGAACAGATAAATCATATCGTAATGAACATACCTGGAGTAATTGTTGCACATTTAATAGCCACATTGTACCTTATATTATAGACGCAGAATGAAAATCAGCTACTTAGAAAAGAAAATTAACAGTCTGCTCAAAATTAAAGCCTACACTAAAAGTTGAAATCTAGAATGTTGAATTAGTGAAATCAATGTTATGGTTGCCATTGTCGCAAAAGATGGATGAAATAATAAGTCTTTTCAAAGAAGCAGATGAACTAAGTTATGGATTGCATACTTAAGTGTCGCCTCTGCACTTTCAATTGTAACCTTATCATCTGTGGCATCACGATGAGGAAGACCAAGGTCGAAATACTTTATATCAAGATCTAGGAACGGGAGTATAAGCTGCAAATGATGCTAAATCAATACTTATTGCATATTCATTTTGTTCTTCACATAGAAGGTTAAAATGTAGCTAAGAATACCTTTTCTTTGATAGATTTCCAGATAACACGAGTCATTTCATCACCTGCACAAAAGCATCCATTGACATCAGGTCAATCGAGCTCTCAACCATTCACAGCACATTACAAGCTATGGAGGTGAATTAGAAATGAGATTCACTCACAGTCGGAGACGGGACTTGCTCATAACAAAGTGAAAGTCAGAAAAAACAACTATTCTTACTTTGGATAATAGAAAACCTTTCTAAACCATAAATTAAATATCTAGAATATCTAACACTCTTCTTGTACTATCCATCAGTATTCGAAGTATAATTCCACAAAAAATGTGCATATTCTCAGAAGAACCAATACTACATAGAACAGCAAAGACCCTTTAATAACTATAAATCATCAGAGCCGCAATTCAGAGAACAGATGAAATGACGAATAGCAAAAACACTTAGCGAGATTCGCAATAGCTGAAATTCATACATATACAGATTCAATCCAGTGGTATCTAACAGACTAAACTTCCAATTAACAATACGAGAACGGAAATCAATCATGGAATTTCCAATTCGTTCACAAGTGATCCTGATTTCAGATAACTACCACTAACAAACCAGTCCATGTAATTCACTAAGGCAATTGTTTCCCCACAGTTTCAACAGCTGCTAAAGAGTAAGAATCTGTATTTCCCCAAAGTGAACAGCGAATTTCAAGCAGAGACGGCGCAAAACTACAGCAAAATACTTATACAAGAAATTGAACAGCGAGAATGAATCGCAGGACTGACCGTCCATCTCTACGATGGGGTTGTCAACTTTGATCTTCTCGAAGGCCATCCGCAGTCTGTGTCGCGCAATTCTTCGTCGAATCTGAACTTGGAAACTCCGAGACTCCAAGTCCGCAATACTTCAAACAAATTATACAATAAAGCAAACAGGGAAGGTGGCGCGTGAGACACGATTTATGCTGGCGCGTCGACCGTACTGTCCATGTTTATAATGGATCTTGTATTTGGATAGGCACTGCTGCATAGTGCTGCATATTATTACGTCGAAAAACATACTTTCTTACGTGAATTTTAAAAAAAAATTAGTTTAAATTTGATATAAAAATAATATTTGATAATATATTTTTGTGAAAAAATAAAATATATTTTTTAAAAAAGTTTGAAAAAAATTTGACAAAAGAAACATACCGTAAAAATAATAATATATACATAATAAATAAATAATTGTATTAAATGAAAAAAATACTAGTAAATAATATAATTTTTTGAATGGTAGTTTTATATTTTACCAAATTTTTTGGATTTTTTATTATTTATCAATTTTTTTAAAAAAATATTAATCAAATATCTATTTTTTTTATAGTACAACTCTAACATTCTATTTATCTTTTGCATTGTATCAATATTAAAAATAATTTTATATTAATATATAAATATCATAATAATATTATTATAAGAAACAAATAAAAATATTTTTTCATTTTTTCTTAATTACGTAAAAAGTAAATAAAACTTTTATATTCGAACAAAAATAGTATTATATTTAAAAACAAATTTTATCTATGAAATATCAAATAAATATTTATTTATATTGTATCATCTAATTATTTCAACTAAAAAATTTTATTATTCAAATTCTAAAAAAAATCAAAATTCCTAAATAAATACACCCTAAACATGTTAGAATTAATATAAGTCGCTCTTAATACGGTAGAAGTTTATTTAAATTAATTTATATTTCTTAAATAATATATTTAATATTAACAAAAATATCAATTAAAATAAAATAGAAAAATATTTAAAATTTGATTGCAAAATAATAGTAATAAAATAAGAGATTAAAAAATAATTTTAATAATTATAATTATGAATATTTGTAATTTTTTAGTAAATTTTTAATTTATAATTTTTTAAAAAAAAATTTAAAAATATATAAATTTTAATAAATAATGGACCGCAGATTTGTCATCCTTAATCCAACGGTTGAGCCCATTGAATCCGACCAACTGTTTTACCCGGCCCATTACCAGATACAATCCGACCCGAAGTATTAAAATGAGACGAAACGGGTCCTGCAATTTACAAGCGACGGAGACGGCGCGGAGAAGGCGAAGTCGAACTAGAGCAGTACAGCGATAACCGAAGGACAGAGATGGCTGCGACACCGCCGCCGCCGCCGCAAGTGGCGGTCCACCCCGCCGTTCAGCCGCTGGCTTTTTTACTAGGCACATGGAGAGGGCAAGGGGAGGGAAGTTTTCCGACAATTTCACCTTTCAGATACTCCGAGGAGCTTCAGTTCTCTCACTCTCCAATCAAGGTAAATTAACTTCGAATATATGTCTGCTTGATGTATAACGTTTCCAAAATAGGCCTGATATGGAAGGATTTTGATTTTTGAGGAATTGTAACGTTTCAAATTTTCTGTGAGGTAACCGCAGCCAGTTATAGCTTATTCTTCCAAGACGTGGAAATTGAGCAGCGGAGAGCCGATGCATTCCGAGAGTGGTTACTGGAGGCCTAAATTGGATGGAACTATCGAAGTTGTTGTTGCTCAAAGCACTGGCCTCGTTGAAGTGCAGGTTATTCCCTCTTTTAGCTTGTTGCAGTTTGAATTAGTGTTGCCATGTTCGAATTATGATCAATTGATAGTTCTATACGTTGGTATATTGTGTTGCTTAAATCCTACATATGCATTTACTGTTGCTTGCTGTCACATTGACTGCTGAATCTGAATGATTCATACTTATACTTTCTAGTTTCCTAAATCCTACTGTTTTCAATTGTTAATTCCATAACAACAGAGCATTGGTGTTGATGTTAGATTTTTTATGACTGTTTGGATTTGACACATTGGTATTTTATTTTGGGAAAATGGAAATTCAAATTGAACTAGAGATGATTTGTCAAGGTATACCAAATTTTTTGGTATGTTAGATTGAACTAGGATGGTTCGATATGGTATACCGAAAATATCATGTCATATCACTTTCGGTCTCTCTTGTCAAACTAAGTTGGTGAGATATTACTTTGAATTTGAGAAGGGTTGTTAATATATATTTGGAATATATATTATGGAGTAGTTATGTTATTTGTGGTATTTGAGAATATTTTTAGGATTATTAATCTATCTAGGGTGTGTTTATTTGAAAGATTTTGATAAATTTTTAATGTTCATATAAAAAATTTCTTCCTAACACATCAAATCAAACATTTATTTTTTATTTTTTATATTCTACTAAAAATCAATATTACATTCAAAACATCACATCAATACTTATTTATATCACATCATACAACTATTCCAATTCAAATTTTCGATTATTTAAATCTCAATCCAAAATCCAAACCCCCAAACAAACACACCCTAGATGATTTATATGTTAGTATAAATATTTATTGTTTATTATGATTGAAATAGAGAATTTTAGTTTCATATTCTAACAATTAATATTACTCAATTATTATAGTTTTAGATGTATACTAGGTATCTTTTGCAATCAATTGAACTAATTTTCTGCCTTCGGTTTTACCTCGCAGAAAGGGACATACAATGCTGAACAGAGAAGTGTGAATCTAAAGAGTGATCTTGTTGGGAATGCTTCTAAGGTAAATAAATTCACATGGATTCTCTCTGCTCTTCAAAGGTGTGTGCTGCTGTTCATCTTATTAATACCCTTTTCACCATTTAAATGTTTTCTCGACTTATCAGCTTCAAGGCTCTTTGTGCAAAATGCATCGTATCATGTCTAATCTATTAGTCGACAATCTTGTTTCAGTTACTATTGAATAAAGCTCTTTCAACTCTTTTCTCTTTTTTCCAAATGCGGCAATGGATCAGCTTAGATTCTTTCTTTCAATTTGCCTTTGCATGAAACCTTAATTTATTTACTGACTACCTTTGCTTGCATTATTCAAACTGTGGGTTAGACTATATAATAATTAATGATGCATATTTGTAGAAATTTAAATTTTTAAGTGAGATGATCATTTAACATAGAATAAGAACAGAGGTCTCCATGTTCAAGTTCCACCGCCCCCTTCGTAAAAATTGTCCTCCTGCAAGATTAGTGCTGGCGCAAATCTACTTTGCACGTGGAATAATAATGCGTATCCCTACAAGCTCATTTAACAGTAATTAACCATGATAGAACTCTGCACTCCAAGGGAGTGTTCATTTTCTCATATATCACTGTTCTCTGATAGAAATGGCGAATGAAGTAGAAAATAGATGTTAATCTATGGTAGTAACTGTTATGTCCTCTGTATATATACACATACGCATACATATGTATATTTGTGGTGACAGGTGAAAGAGATACACCGGGCTTTTGAAATGGTTGACGGAGAACTGGTTTATGTCGTTGAAATGGCTACCAATCTCACTAGCCTGCAAACACACTTGAAGGCCATCCTGAAAAAGGTATGATATATGTTTATGTTCTTATTCTGCGCATTTTTAATCGAATAAATTATATTGTCCCACTGCGCATGCTGGAACATCTTCATGAACATTCATGGTGATCCAAATCATATAGAATGCAGTTCTGTGGCTATAGAGTTTGTTCTGAAATAAATAGGATTCTGTTTACATTATTGAATGTTTTAAGATGTTTTATCAATAGTAATTCTTTTTTTTAAAAAAAATATTATATAATTTTTTTTAATAAAATATCAAATTAAATACTTATATATATATATCTATTCTTGAAAATTTTTCAACAATGCAGTGAGAAATAGGTAATAACATGCTAATTAGCCTTAATCCACATTCTTACATGCCTAATGACTCAACTAAATCATTGAAGCTAATTCATTGCTGTATTTAATAGTCATTCAAACGTTATTAAAATGCATATACATAATCAATACATTAGACTATGGTACTAATTATTTGTAATATTATAGGTTTTTAATGCTCTTAATAATAATAATAAATCATATTAAGGGTGTCTTTTTTTTTTTTTTTTAATGTTGATTTTTGCTATCTTTTAGGTAAGAGGGTTGTTTTGATGTAAATTTTTATTTTTATTTTTTTGTATAAAAAAATCATTTAATATTTGTCAATTCAAAAGATAATCACTCTGCTATTTGGATTTAGTTGTCTAAACAGAAAGTATTTTACTCTTTAATAAATTTGGATAGCATTTTATCTTAAGAAAATTATTGAATTTATATTTATTTTCGTCAATAACATTATGTTAAAGTAAATTATAAGGGTAAAACTATATATTGAATAATCATAATTGAAAATAATTTTGATGTGATATTTTTAAATATAAAATTAATTATGAGTATAATTTTAAAAGATAAATATTTAATTTAATATTTTTACAAGAATTATTCTTCTATATAAATAATAAAGATCAAAAGTCTGAAACCTTCAAACTCTTCAAACAAACACAGTTTAAGTGTTGATATCCAAATCCAATAACCCTGTGTCTCAAATCTCAATCGGCTCATTAAATGTTTATGTATATTCATTTAATATAGCATTAAATTATTTGATTCAATAAATTTTGTTTAATTTAACATAATCATCCTATAATGGGTGTGTTTGTTTTAAATTTTAAAAATAAAAAATATTATTTCCTTGTCATTTAATTTTGTACTCGTTCCATTTGTACATGTCTTTCCACCATTCAATTCTTCATAGGAAACTAACACATAATTGAATGACAGAATATGTATTATTTAATAAAAATAGTTTATAATAAAAATATACTTCCTCCGTCCCGGTCAAGATGACCCATTTGATTAAGAACACAGTATTTAGATAGTGTAGATTAGTAAGATATTAATAATAATTTATAATATTATTTTATTATTTTTATATGAGTAGTGTTGTTGACATTTTAAATATTTTTAGCATTATACTCCTTCCGTCCCAGAAGAACTGTCTTGTTGGGAGTTGGCACAAGAATTAAAAGATAATGGTATTTAATTGAAAGTGGGTATAAAATAATGTAAAAGACTAAAATGTTCTTACTTTTTGAAGGATTTTAAAAAGTAGGTTAGAGTAATAATTAGGGGTAGTTTGAAAAAGTATGAATAATTTTTGTTATAAAATGGGGATTACGGTTACTAAATAAGGAAACATGACAATTGTTTTAGGACGGACAAAAATAGAAAAATAAGACAACTCTTTTGGGATGGAGGGAATATATCAATAAATATATACAATATGTATATCATTTTGTAGAGAATAAAATTTTACTCCCTCTCTCCCGGAAGAAATGTCTTGTTGGGAGTTGGCACACGAATTAAGAAATAATAATATTTAATTGAAAGTGAGTATAGAGTATGATGTAAAAGACTAATATCCTTGTTTTTTTAAGGATTTTAAAAATTAGATTAGAGTAATAATTAGGGGTAATTTGGAAAAAAATGAATAATTTTGTTATAAAGGGGAGACCACAATTACTAAATAAAGAAATAAGACAATTATTTTGGGACGGACGAAAAGGAAAAAACAAGACAACTCTTTTGGGACGGAGGAAATATATAATACAAATAAAGAAATAAAATAATTTATTTATTTATAATTAATTTAAAACTAATTTTATTAAAAATAAGAATTAAATATAGATAAAATGTTTATTTATTGAGGAGAGAGATAAAAATAAAGGGGTTTTGAGTGGGTGTTATGAGGTTAGAAATTTAATTAAATTGATTTATATTTGTTAAATATATTTAAGATGAATAAATTTACTAAAAATAAAAAGGGTCAAATCTTTAATGGGAAGAACAAAAAAGAAAAAGGATCATCTGTCGCGGGACGGAAAGAATATTTTTTAACAAAATAAAATATATACTAAAATAATATTTAAATAAAAAATTAAACACAAATCAAAAGCAAAACACCCAATGTAATTCAATAAAGTGCATATATAATTTAATAAATATTATTGCAAGATTAAATAGAATCTTTGTATAGATGAATACATGATATGATATGTAAATTTTGTTCGGCAATCCTAAGTTTACATGAACAAATAGTATTCATAGACACACAAAATGGCTACCCTACCCAATATATTACTATTACCCAATGCGTAGTCATCCATACACAAATCGACACGTGTTAAATAAATTACAATAATGGTTTCTGGAATATACTATTACGCACACCCAGGACTTCAGGACCAGTAGAGTCTCCCGACTCTCCCCTGCCTAGTGAACTACCACCCTTCTGGCCCTCCAGATCCATGGACCCGCCGTATATCAACATGATTACTAATAGTAAACAGATTCGCTATCCTACCCTACACATTATGATATAGCCCAGTAATTAGTCATCAACACACAAATCGACACGTGTCAAACAAATTACACCGTATGATTGTTTCTCGAAAATACTATTACCCTCACCCAGGACTCCAGGACCAGTGGTAGTATCCCCTATGTACCAGTACCACACTACCACCATTCACGCACCACCCTTCTGGCCCTCCGGTTCCCGGGACCCGCCATAAATCATCATCTCCTCCGCCTCCATATTCTTACACTCCTCCTCGTCCATGGTGTCCGACAGCGCCCGCCCCCTCGTCTCCGGCAACCCGACGACGCATACGCCGGAGGCCAAAATCGCCGCCGCGAAAACGCCGTAGCTCAGCCACGCGTTCCTCCTCTCCGCCGCCGCTGCCGCCAGCACCGGACTTATCGCCCCGCCCAAAACCATCGCCTGCCGCGCCACCGACACCGCCATGCTCCGTACGCACGTCGGAAAAAGCTCCAACGTGTAAATCACCATCATGTCGAAGGCGGCGCAGCTGCCGAAAAAACTCGCCAGCTGTAACCCTAATTGCAGTCCCTTCAACTCCCGGCCCTTCGCCAAAACGCTCCCCACAACGCAGGTCCCGCTCAGCACACACAGCCCCATCACCGACCCCCGCCGGCGAAATTTTCCGATCATATAAAACGACAGCAGCGACGCCGGGATCTCCGACACGGCGGATAGCGCCGAGCTCAGGTACAAATTAAACGATTGGCTCCCCAAAGCCAACGGCATTCCGTAGTACGGCATCCCAATTCCGATGCTGACCACCACCGCCGTCATCAGGCGGCGCGCCGCCCAGCTCTTTTTGAAAAGCATCAAGCAAACGGCGTCGTTTTTGTCTCCCTGTAAATTCTCCGGCGGCAGCTCCGGCAAAGATTTTTTGCCCCGATTACTGCACGATAAGCTTTTTAGGGTTTTCAGAAATTCGTCCTTCCTTCCTCGTATAAACAGCCACCGCGGCGACTCGTGGACGCAGAAGTAGACAATTAATGAATAGACGGCGGCGGGGATACACGTGGCGAGATACATTAATCTCCACGAATGTCCTCTGAGGAGGAAAGCGATTGCCGGAAGAGATAAAAACCCTAATGAGAAGCAGAAGAATCCCACGATTCCGACGCGGTCGCGCCACCGTTTTCCGACGAGCTCGCTCGCTAGGACAATGGCGGAGCCGCCGATTGCGCCGCGGCCAAGGCCGCTGAGAAATCTGTTGGAGAAACATATAATATATAATTTGTTAGTTCACTTCCAACACCTTAAGTTTTTAACTTAGCCCACCGTGTACTTCATTTAACATATATCAGAGTTAGAGTTAGAGTTAGAATTAGAATTAGAATTAGAGCCGACAATGGGTCGCGTCGGGTTCGAGGTTGAATATTTTAAACGGGTTAAATTAAACTATAACATCACCCGTTTATTATCGTGTCGGGTTCGTAGAGACCCGTTTATTATCGTGTTGACCCGTATACATAATTAAGTTGAATTTTTTTTTCTTCATATTTTGTCTTGTTGTCGTTTTAGTAGTTTTTTATTGGTTTGAGGGTAATATATACAATGAATTATGTTAAATTATTTAAAATTTAACTCAATTTAAATTAATTTATGAGCAAATTATTAAATTATAATTATTTCACTTATATGATAAATATATTATCAATATTAATATATTATAATCAGGTTGTCGTGTCGAATTCGAGTTGAAAGCGTCAATTCTAACCCGCCCCGTTATTATCGTGTTGGATTCGTATCAATCCGTATAATAATCGGATTGAAATCTTTGACCCAAATCCAATTATTTTGTATCGGATTGTCTAATCAAAGTCTTAATCTCGAGTTCAAGTTCCATTTATAGATAAACAAATAAATGATGCCCGATTAATTAACAAACCTTAAACCGGAGTACATCCAAATGTTGTCGGAAAGCGACGCGAGGACGCCGCTGACGGACATTATCAAACAGCACATGGCCAGCAGTTTCTTCCTCCCCAGCGACGAGTCGCCGAGAATCGCCAGGACCATCCCGCCGACGATCGATCCAACGAGGAACGCCGACGCCGGCAGGCCGCGGATCACGGCGGGGCCGGCACAGAGGAGCGACCACTCCGACACGACGGAGGTGGACGCCGGCAGGTCCCACGACCACTCCTCCGGCGACAGTTTGCATATATCGGCGCTGCACTTCACGTTATTACAGTGGCCGGCGACGGCGCCAGAGACCGTATTCCGGTAGCTCCATTTGGGGTGTGTGTCGGTGAATACGGTGATGAATGTCTGGTGAGCGTCGAAGAACCACGCCAGGGAAATGAACGTCGACTGTAAGAGTTGCTTCCATCCGAAGTCTCCGATGTAGTATTCGATCGTCTCCTCCAACGTCGGCGGGAGGGATTGTGTGTTAGGATCGGACATTGATGTTTTTTTTTGTAATTAATTAGTTGAAATTTGGGGGAAAATGTTGGGAGATAATCTGATTAGGGTTTTGTAGGAATTTCAGGTGGAAGACTTGTCTGGAATCGGACATTTGTTTATTTATTGCAGCCAAGGATCAAATATGCATGTACGTATGTGTATATATATATATAGACATATATATACACCGTGTTAATACTGTGTTGTCTAAAAGATAGCTCTATTATGATACTAGCTGTTAATGTATCACTTTTACAAATAATCACTTTTTGTGTATTTGTTCTGTTTTTTTATTTGAAAGAATATTTTTTTATATAAAATAAAGAGAATTGTGTATATAATATAAAAATAGTAAACGTGTGTAATATATTAATTATTTTTAATAAATATATTGAGAAATTCTGGCTAAAATAACAAAGCCTAAAATATTTTTGTTTTTTTTGTATGCATTCCAACTGCTTAAATCCTAAAACAAAATTATATTACATCGTTCCATAATGAATGATCTGATGGTGTGAAGAGTCAATGCTATTCCCACATTATAAAAAAAAATAAAATTATATCAATCCAAATTTGCAGCTGTTACTATGTAAATTGAATATAATTAGTGTCGATCTCAACACACAAAGTCTATTAATACAAAATTCATGTACATAAAAATATTTTATACAATATATATTGTCTTTCATATGTATACTGACTATATATTTCAATACCATTATATATATTTTTTAAAAAAATAAATTAATTAATAATTAAGACTATACATTTCCACAAAATACCAAAGTATTTAATTTAATGATCATTAATTTAAAGAAAAATAAAAAATTAACAGTTAATTTAGCATCCTTTAAAAATTTTATAATAGATTGTATGTGTGGTTCAAATTTTTATAAAGGCCATTACTAATTTACTAATTATAAATGTTGCATTTAAATATGTTTTACAAGTATTTTAGGCTGTATATATTATTAGTTATATTTTTATTTTTTTCCAAGAGAATTAAACCAAATATATAATTTTCTTATATTAGACTAAGAAATTATTTTGCACTCTAAATATTATGTACCTAGACATCAAACAATTATTTCTAATAAAACCCTCAAATTCAACTTTCAAACATCCAACCAAATAAACTCAAGAAATTTGGATTAATTTAGAAATAATAATAATATAAATAGAATATAAATGCTTAATTTAATATAAATTTGTATTAAGCCTAGTGTTTTAAATTGAAATATATATATATATATAGTATTTTTTAATATTTTAAACAAAAAGAAATATTTGATATTATAATTATATTTTTTAAGAAATTATTGATGAATAATGCAAAATTTAAATTGAAAACATAAATAGACAAAAGAGTCAATATAATCTACTTTATATACATTTCATTGGCCAAATTTATATATGTTTGTTTTTTATTTAAGTTATTCATAAAAATTTGTGCTTATATCATAAATAATAACTATTTTTTATATTTATTTAAGATATTACTTTTACTTTTACCGCATAATATCAATTTTGTTATTATCTTTACCTTAAATATGCTAATATCAATTAAATATATCACATAATTAAATCATATTTGATGAGATATATATATTTTTTTTTTCAGAAAATATATAATTCAAAAAAGTAAAATTTGAAAAATATTGAAATGAAGAAACATCCTGTGTGTGTTTATTTTATGAAATAAGTTGAAGGAATTTATTTTTTTTTTACGTGAAATTTAGAGAATTGTGTAGATAATATAAAAAAATAAATAAATAATTGTAATATGTTAATTATTTTAGAAAATGTGTAAAAAATACAAAAAGAACACACCTCCAATGCTTTTAGACTGTATAATGTCTTTTTTCTTTTTTCTTTTTTTCTTTTTTTTTTTAAAGTAAAGTTTATGAACACCCTAAGCATCACTATATATATATATATATATATATTTGAGAAATTGAGAGAAAAAATACATGTACTTGGGATGGCTAAATGATACGTACATTGAATGCATGTATAAATAAATAAATTGATGAGGTCGAATTAAAATCAAAGTTTTTAATTAATAGAGGGAGTGCGTACATTCCAATTTATTGACAATCCGATCGGGTTGGCAACCCTACTTACTCTCTACCTACCTATTACCTTATTTTTAAATTACTATTACTATTACAATACAAATAATTATAATTAAATCATAAAACTCTATATTTTGGTTAAAACATAATAATAATAATAATAATAATAATAATAATAATAATATTTTCTTGAATCGTTACGGCGTTGATCGGACCAAAAAATTGCATAATAATAATAATAATAATAATGATAATGTTGGTTTATTATGGTTTATTTGATTTTAGTTTGATGTTACGACTTTAATTTTAATTTTTATTTAAATATATTTTAATATGATATTTTATAAAAAAAAATAATATAATGGTATTGAAATAGTTAAATAGTGGTGATTTGAATTTGAAATTCAAATAAAATATATGTTTTTTTCAAAAAATATTAAATATTTATTTTTGTTAGTTCATATATTACATTTATATTAATATAGTAAAGTATATATTGCATTATTGTTACATTTTATTAATTATAAATTTATATTTTTATGTATGGTCAATATGAGCTCTTTGTTGATTACAAATTGCCTATAAATTTATTTAATTTTTTCTCTTTTTGTAATTAATTAAAAGTAATCAAAATAAAAATAAAAATAAAAATAAATCTTATTAATGAGAGAATTAAACATAATGTTGATTGCTGACATTAATTATTACCAATTTCAGTTGGAGAAACAAAGTTAATACAAAACGTGACCAATGCCATTGCCTAAGGGCTCTGAAAATTTTGTAATGAAAAAAATAAATTAATATATTAAAAATTAAAAAATGCATCTACTATATTACTTTCTAATGAAAAAATACTTCATCGTCCCAGTAAAATAGACTCATTTAGGGTGTGTTTGTTTGAAGGATTTTGGAGGATTTCTACTATTCATCCAATTTTTTCCCCCCAAAAACATCAAATCAAACACCTATTTTTCATTTTTTATATTATACTAAAAATCAATTTTACATTCAAAACATCACATCAAACCCTATTTATATCACATCATACAACTATTCAAATTCAAAATTTTTACTATTCAAATCCCAATCCAAAATCCAAACTCCCAAACAAACACACCCTTAAAGTATTTTTTAGAAATAGGAAAAAAAATAAAAGATAATTTTATCATTATTTTTTATGTAAGTAAAAAAACTAACTTTTGTTGTAAAGTAGAAATTACCATTACTATTTTTTTAAATAACTATTTTTTTGAGATAGATAAAAATGATAAAACTTACCTATTGAATTATAACAATAAAATTATTTTATATAAAATATAAGATTAGTTTCTTGTTTTCTTTGTTCTTATCTTCAATTAATTAATTAATAATGGGGTTTCTTTTTTTTTTTTCTTTTTTTTCTTTTTTTTTTAAATAGAGGTGCATTTTTTAATGTAAGTATTTTTTGAAAATAGAGAATTTAAATAACCCTCTCAATAAATGTTTAAACTATTAAAAATACACTTTATTTATTTATTTGTAAATTAATTTATACTATTAATTATGCCATTCTTCTCTTTCTTTACAAGAGCAATTTCAACCATCATTACAACTTGTTCAAAATACTTTCATACGATGAAAAAGTTTTACTCATAATTTTCAATAAAATCAATATTTTTTCTCACATAATATTTAAAATTAACAAAAAATTTATTTAACCAAAACAATATTACAATTCTTAAAATATTTTTATAATTTTCAAAATATATATATATATATATCACAGACCCTAAAACACGGCACTAATTCTACATCAATTTATATATATATATATATATATTCGCGCAATTTAAATTTTGTTACGTGGAAAGGCATGGGCCTCAATGCTTTTATAAATCAAAATCCTACCAAATTAATTAAATTCAGATTATAAATGCGTGGTTGAAATATAATATATATATATATATATACACGAGGAAAAGTTATTTTAGTCTCAATATAATCAAAATTTATTAATAATAGTCCAAATATAAAAGTTTTATCAATTTTGGTCTCAATATAACCAAAACTCATCATTCTTGGTCCCAATATAAAATTTTTATCAATTTTAGTTCCAATATAACCAAAACTCATCATTTTTTGTCTTAATATAATCAAACATTATCTTTTTTAGTCCCAACATCAACAAACCGACGTAAAATGCTGACGTGGACTTGCAAGATTGTACAATTTCTTCAAATATAAATATAAGGTTTGATTTCTTTTCACGTCAGTATTTTTCCGTCGGTTTGTTGACAGTGCGACCAAAGAAAATAAGATTTGATTGTATTGGGATAAAAAATCATGAATTTTGGTTATATTAGGACTAAAATTGATAAAAATTTTATATTTGGACAAAAAATGATAAGTTCTGATTATATTTGAACAAAATTTGATAAAATTTTTATATTAAAACCAAAATTGATAAATTTTGATTATATTTGGAGTAAAAATAATTTATATATATAAATTTGAAAATGTACCTACAGGATCTGTCAAAGAAGTAATAACTGCTGAAATTTTTTTAGCATCAATGCCATAAATAGCAACAAAACATTAAGATGTCTATGAAATAAAAATATAAAATACTAGATGTTTAATGTTACAGTTTTTGTTCTCTTATTTTCTCAATCATTCTCAATAATATTTTTTTACTTATATTTCTTAATAAAGAAATAGTATATTGTTTTCGTTTACAAAATATTTTAAAACTATGTTCATAATTGATTTTTTAAAATATTTTTACAATCTCAATAATTAAAAATAAATATTTTAATATTCCTAAAATACTGAAAGGACACAATTTTACTATCATGAATAATGTAAAAAAAAAATAATAATGTCAAAAATAACATATATATATATATATATACCAATGGTTTATTTGAATTAAAATAGGAATGCATGTATAAGGAATAATTGAATTATCAAGTGGAAAATATTAACACCTTAAAAAGCATTTGAAATAAATATCATATATAAATAGTATTAAGACATTTTATTGGTAAGAAAACGTTAGAATTGTACATTAAAGAAGTCGAAAAAAAATATCAAAATTATATATATATATATATATATTTTTTTCGATTCCCCATCGACTCGAAAGCATTTTCGATCATTTAAATACATCAACAAATTTCCTTTCAAATAAATGTAATTTCACTATATATTATAAATAATTTTAAATTTACACCTAATTACGATATAATTATAACAAATGAAGATATAAGAATAAAATCATTTTTACATATAATTTTTTTTTTTTTATCTAATTATATATAATTAGAATGTAGTAATATTCATTAGATAAACAAATACTATGGAACCGCGAGGAAGTATTTATGTATTACTAAAATTTCTATATTTGTTACAAATAAAAAAATTCACACATCAATAAGATTAACATATTTTCTATTTTATTTTTTCTTGAAATATTCATGTATGATTTGTTATTTTATTTTAATTAAATAGGGAATACTTTCTAAATTTAATTATTTCAATATGCCATGGGCTTTTCGGATCAAACCATTTTCAATTTAGCCCATTAACATATTTTTATATATTTTTTTAATTGTACATGAATAAATCAAATTCGAGTTTATGTTAAAAATAAGCAATCATCGGGTTTTATTGTCAAATGCTAAGCTCAAACCAAGCCAAAGCCCAAGCCTAGGCTTTGACTTTTTCTTTCTCTATCTTTTTATTTATTTATTTATAATATTTTATCTGTCTCAACTCAAATTATTTTTTTCTATTATTTTAATATATTTCATTCAAAAGTATTATTTTCTTATTTTAGTAAAAATAATTATATACTAGTATTACAATATACTTAATATTTTACCTATATTTCAACCTTACAATTAATTTATAAATAAAATCAAAGGATAAAAATGTCAAAATTTATTACACACTTTTACTAATTAATAAAATACTACTCTCCCCGTTCCAAAACAATAGAAATATTTGAGATGAATACAAAATTAACAGATATTAGTATTATATTGATACTAGGTGCAAAAGAGTTTTTAAAATACCAAAATACTCATAATTTATGTAATTATTGTGAAAATATGGGGATAATTTTGTAAAAATGTAAAAATAGTTATCAAAAATAGAAACGAGACTATTATTTTTAAATGAATGAAGAAGAAAAAAAATTAGACTATTATTTTGAGACGGAAAGAATATTATTTTTTAATTTATTATAAAATTTCAAAAAATCTATTTGAAGTGAAACGGAGAAATAATTGAAATTTAAAACCTTACATAGAGTTGTTCAAACAATCCAAGGAGAAAATACAAGGAGTTTGAGATGACAATTTTAGACCTTATCCTCTTTTTTTAAAATTCAAGTACAATAAGAAGCCAACAAATATTTTGTGTTCTAAAAATATATATATACATATATATATATATATGTTAAGATTTTTCTTCTTTTTTTTTTTTCAAAAATTCTCAATAAAATATTGTGTAATTGTTGATACTCATGAAGTGTAGTTCCTAATAGACTAAAAGAGGGGTTGGTTGGCCAATGAATCCGACTTATAACGAGAGTTTTGTAGGTTGTTTTTATTTCTGGACATACACTTGATTGAATATCTTTTATAGAATTGTGGTAATAAAACGATATATTGAAATCTAACGACCTCTCAATTAACGGCAATCAAAAGAATTCTCAAATATATTTAAGGAACAATGGATAATGACTCGTTGTATATAATGAGGATGCAAAACTTGTTCGATTCAGTCATAGCAATTGAGTTACAAGCTATGAGGATTATGAAGGGACAACAAGATTTGTGTTTCGTTGTGATACTTGTGTTTACTAGATCTTCAAAGAAACAATTTATCATTGCATTATCTACTTGTGAAGCATAATACATTGCGGCGGCGTCATGCTATTTGGTTGAACAGATTGCTTTCAGAATTAAAGTTGCAATCGGAAGATACTACAAAATTGTTTGAAGACAATAAGTTGGCGATTTCTCTTGCAAGAAATTCAATTCATAATGAGAATTCCAAACACATTGGTACTCGCTTCCACTTCATCCGAGAAAGGATTAAAGAAAACAAGGTCAAATTGATACACATAAACTCAAGAGAGCAAGTCGCGGATATTTTTACAAAAATATTAAAAAGTAATATCTTCCAACATTTAAAGAATTTACTTAAATTCGATGATTCTCTTTAATCCAAACATGCTTGTACATTATCAATGCTAAAAAAAATACTACATTATTTATTTATTTATTTTTACCATAAAAAAAATATTTTTACACAATTTTTTTTTAAAATTTGTGCACAGTCAAATAGATACTCCCTCCATCCCACATACCATGTTCACGTTGTCGTTTCTGTCCGTCCCACGTATCATGTCACTTTCATTTTTTTTGAAAATGATTACACATTTTAATCTCATTTTAAACTTTTTAATTTTATTTTTTTTAAATTTTTAATTAAACTAATTAGTTATCTTAATCTTAATTTATAATTATAATTATTTTCACTAATATATTCTTAATTATCTACAAATTACACTCCTCCTAAAATACCGTGTTTACAGTATAGCAGACACGGTGCGTGGATCGGAGGTAGTATAATTTTATATGAGAGATGGAGTAATATATATATATATATATATAGTGTATATATACACATATGTGTATTATGTATAAAGCAAATCCAGGATAGCAGGATAGGATTTTATGCCGGACAGACAATCCCGTATAGTATATTATTCATGGGATCACCTCCTCCCGAAAACAAATATTAAATATATGTATATATATACACTATCTATGTATAGAATAGTGTAACAAGGTTCTATCCGGGACAGACGAACAATAATTGTGAGTATATTTGGTATTTAATAACAGAATCTCAAAATAAATTTAACTTATATCTTAGTATTAAATTTAGTTAGGCATCGTTTGGCCGTTCCGATTTTTCCTCTTCCTCCAACGTATCGCACAACACTTTCCCGCGCGTTTCCGGCACCCAAACAACAGGCAACCCGCAAATCAAAATCGTCGCCCCAAACACGCCGTAAGACCAGAGGTGGTTCCTCCTCCCCACCGCCGCCAGCACCGGTCCAATCGAACCGCCGATCAGACTCGCCTCGTGCATCACCGCCACGGCGGAGCCTCTCACGCACGTCGGGAAAAGCTCTATTGTGTACAGCACCAGCACATCGAACGCCGTACAGTCGCAGAAGAATGACGTCATTTCCAGGCCGATCTGCAACCCCTTCCACCGCCCCACGAACACGCTCGCCACGCTCAGACTCCCGCCGGCCGCCGTCAGCGTCATCAGCGTCACTTTCCGATTCAATTTTCCGACGACCAGAAATGTCGCCAGCGACGCCACAATCTCCGACACGGCGTTCAAACCGACACCAACATACAAATTAAACGACAAATTACCCAACCCTAACGGCATTCCGAAATACGCCAGGCCGGTCCCGAATCCGACCGCCATAACCACCGCCAGCCGCCGGAGAGCCCATTTCCGCCGCACCAGGCTGCGCAACGCCGTGTAAATATTCTCCTCCGCCTTCACCTCCGTCCACTCCACGCAATTCTCGAAAAATTCGTCTGTTAATTCGCTCTTCTCCACCGCCGGCCCCGCCATCCTCCTTAGGGTTCCGGCGAACTCCTTCTTCCTCCCCGTGACGAACAGCCACCGCGGCGACTCTTCGACGACGAAATACACCAGAAATGAATATATCACGCAGGGAACATTGACTGAAATGTACAACAACCGCCATGAAAATCCTCTAAGCACATAGGCGATGATCGGAAGCGACAGAAACCCTAATCCGAGTGACAGGAATCCAATTACCCCAATTTTTTCCCGCCAATTTCTGGCGACGAGTTCGCTGGCGAGAACCAGGGCGCAAGTTCCGGCCATGGCGTGGCCGAATCCGTTGAAGAATTTCACGGTGGTGTAGACCCAAATATTGGGGGAAACCGTCGCCAGAAGCCCCGTCGTCGACATTAACAGGCAGCTCAGAACGAGGGAATTTTTCCGGCCGAGGAACGAATCGGCCATTGTGGTTAGGAGGATTCCTCCGACGAGGGAGCCGACCAGAAACGCCGACGCCGGTAGGCCGGAGATGATTGTTCCGGCGCACTGGAGCGACCACTCGGACACGATGGACGCGTGGGGAGGCAATTCCCACGACCACGAACCTTCTGGAAGATGGCACGGGTTTGAATCCGCAGTACAGACGCCGCCGCCGCCGTGGAGAGTAGAGTTCCGGCAGGTCCACTTCGGCGGCGCGTCGGTAAAGATGGTGATGAAAATCTGGTGAGCGTCGAAGAACCATGCGAAGAGTGGGAGCGTGGCGCGTACGAACTGCCTCCATCCGAAACCGCCGATGCAGTACTCGATCGCGTCGTCCAGAGAGAGCCGGGGAGGCTGCGCCGCCGCCGCCGTCGGCCGGTCTTGCGAGTTTGGTCCGTCCTCCATGAAATTAATTTAAATCTTTGGCCACTAACGTGTCGTAATTGGAGAATATTTCAGATAATTCGAATATATATATATATATTTTTTGAGAATTAGTTAATTAATTAATTAATTAAAATAATGAAAATATCTGGTCAATACTAATATACTACTCCATATGGAGTATAATACTAGTATGATATTGGGATGCATAATTAGTGGTAATGGCTGCTGCTACAACACTATAATCTGGTCATGCATTAATGAATGACTGCTCCTAGCTAACACACACATATTATATAATTATATTATAGGTGTATTGATTTCTGTTTTATTTTTGTATTTTGATAATATTAGAGATTAAATAGTATTAGAAAAAAGGTTAAAACACACACACAATAGAGCATTTGGTTTGGAAAGTATATATATATATATTTTTTTTATTTGTTTTCATTTTAGTCATTCCTGCGAAATGGGTTAACGAGGCAATACCATGTGTAATGTGTGTGCTTATTATATTTGATATTGTTAGTTTATGATTTTAAATTAGTTCGTTCGTTAAATCCAAATATAAACTCACATAATTAGGTTATACAGAGGGGGCAAGGGGCAGTTCCTCTCCTCCCACCCAGTCCTTATATATAATTAATATATATATTTTTAATTTTATTTTTTGTCTCACTTAAAATTATTTATTTTTTATTATAATAAAATTAATTACAAACTAATATCAAAATACTATTTAATTTTTACATACTCTAGGTTTTGTTTAGACATAAGTTTTGAAAATGTTAAATATTGAAAATTTTTAAAATTATTAAAAAGGAGTAATATTTTATAAAATATATATATATATTAAATTCAAGTTTTAAAAAAAATAACAGTATTAATAAATAATATATTAAAAAATCTCTGGTCCAAAATAGAGCCCTAGTTTTCGGCCCAAATAAATTGAAGTAGCCCATTACATTTTTTTTCATCTTTTCCAATTTAATTTACAATGTGTTGTGTAAATCATCCATTTATATATTTATTTCATTTTAATTTTTTATATAACATAAAAAAGTCAAACTTTAAAAATCACACCCCTATCTCCAAAATATAAAAATACTTTAAAAAATATATAAACCTGGGCTAAATATCTTGCAATTTTAAAAATAAATTAGAGTTAGCGCCTCGTTTGGGCCATCCGAGTTTCCTCTTCCTCCAAAGTATCGCATAATATTCTCCCGCGCGTTTCCGGCACCCAAACAACAGACAACCCAGAAATCAAAATCGCCACCCCAAACACGCCGTAAGACCAGAGGCGGTTCCTCCTCCCCACCGCCGCCAGCACCGGCCCGATCGCTCCGCCGAGAAGGTTCGCCTCCCGCATCACCGACACGGCGGAGCCTCTCACGCACGTCGGAAAAAGCTCCAGAGTGTACAGCACCACCACGTCGAACGCCGTACAGGCGAAGAAGAATGACGTCATTTCCAGGCCGATCTGAAACCCCTTCCACCGCGCCGCGAACACGCTCGCCACGCTCAGACTCCCGCCGGCCGCCGTCACCGTCACCAACGTCACTTTCCGATCCAATTTCCCCACCAGAAAAAACGTCGCCGCCGACGCCGCCATCTCCGCGACGGCGTTCAAAACGACACTCACATACAAATTAAACGACAAATTCCCCAATCCTAACGGCATCCCGAAGTACGTCAGCCCCACGCCGAATCCGACCACCATAACCACCGCCACCCGCCGGAAAGCCCACTTCCGCCGCGCCAGACTCCGCAACGCCGTGTAGATATTCTCCTCCGCCTTCACCTCCGTCCACTCCACGCAATTCTCAAAAAAGTCGTCCGTTAATTCACTCTTCTCCACCGCTGGCGCCGCCATCCTCCTTAGGGTTCCGGCGAACTCCTTCTTCCTCCCTTTGATGTACAGCCACCGCGGCGACTCTTCGACGACGAAATACACCAAAATTGCATAAATCACGCCGGGAATACACGTCGAGAAATACATTAACCGCCATGAAAATCCTCTAAGCACATAGGCGATGATCGGAAGCGACAGAAACCCTAATCCGAGTGACAGGAATCCAATTACCCCAATTTTTTCCCGCCAATTTCTGGCGACGAGCTCGCTGGCGAGAACCAGGGCGCAAGTTCCGGCCATGGCGCGGCAGAATCCGGCGATGAATTTCAGGCATGTATATACCCAAATATTGGTGGAAACCGTGGTCAGGAGCCCCGTCGTCGACATTAACAGGCAGCATAGGACGAGGAAATTCTTCCGGCCGAGTAACGAATCGGCTAATGTGGCGAGGAGGATTCCTCCGACGAGGGAGCCTACTAGGAACGCCGACGCAGGTAGGCCGGAGATGATTGTTCCGGCGCACTGGAGCGACCACTCGGACACGATAGACGCGTGGGGAGGCAATTCCCACGACCACGAACCTTCTGGAAGATGGCACAGATTCGAATCTGCAGTACAGACTGCGCCGCCGCCGTCGAGAGTGGAGTTCCGGCAGGTCCACTTCGGCGGCGCGTCGGTAAAGACGGTGATGAAAATCTGCTGAGCATCGAAAAACCATGCGAACAGTGGGATCGCGGATCGCACGAATTGCTTCCATCCGAAATCTCCGATGCAGTACTCGATCGCGTCGTCGAGAGAGAGCCGCCGCGGGGGCGGCGGCGGCGGCGGTTGTTCTAGTGGTTTTGATCCGTCCTCCATGAATTTTTCCGAAAATTAACTATAGAGTGGACTTGTGTTATCGAAATTGGATTGCATAGGAGAATATGTCACACATGATTCGAATACGTAGATATATATAATTAATTAATTAATTAAATGGGAGTGCTCTTAGGCCAGCAAAATCCTGTAGATGAATTAATTATTTTTTAATGTAATGGCTGCTCGGCTTGGCTCCTACAGCATATCCTATGGAAATGATGATTGGTTCAACACGAATAATTATTTTTTATATTTTTTACATAGGAAACAATAATTTACGTCTCACAAGTCTCAATTAATTTTAGCGTGTAAAATATTTATTAATAATTTAATATAACACAAATATATATACATTTATGATCATCATTTATACAACATATTTTTACGTAAAATGCATATAGTCCATAATATTAATCATATTATATATACAAGACATTTTTTCATACAAAATGAATTTTAATAAAATAAGTTATACTAGACCAAGTAAGGCGAAGTTTGGATATGTGGTCCATAATATATAATAAGCTCATAGTTGGGAGTGATATGATAAGCACAGAGTAGATATATTTATATAGTAATTTTTATATTATGACATTGGTACTTAACATAAAATATGATTATTATTATTATTCTAATATGATTAACGGCTCCTCTCTTCTCCTCTGTTTCTCTCAGCGGTGCAAAAAATCCCTCTGGTGTTGTCTTGAGAGCTTCGATTGAAATTTGAATCGGTACTTTACATTATTCACTCGATGGTCCGCAATATCTCTTCCGTTCTTCGTTTGTCATCTGAAAATTTTGGTGGTTAGGGAAACCCTAGAAAATATGAATGATGGACTCTGTAGATTTGCCGTCGTCTGTCGATGAATCTGGATCGCTCGATCCGACATCGGATACCAGGAAATTCAAGCAGCCGAAGCGTACGTTATTTTCTTTACTCTAATTTTATTTCATTTCCTTTAATTTTTGGTAGTTTCCCCTTTTCATTTCCCACTCATTTATGTTCGATTGCCTGATGGATAGTTGCTTGTTAGGTAAAATTGTGTGTGTATGTATATGTCCGATTATTGATTTTATGATATTTTGAACAAAAACAACTATTAGATATGATATTTGGTAAGAATTTGATATGCATTAATGACAACTATAGTTTGGACAACCATAGGTATTGTCTCTGCAATGGAAATGTACTAATTTTGATGAGCTCAAATAAGGCCTTTTTTTGTTCATGAAATGTGTTGTTATCCCGGCAATTCGTTGTGATCGCTTGTCCAAAAATTTCAAAACTATGGAGCTCATTATTTGGTTTCTTATACATTTGATATGAGTTCGTTTGTCAGATTCGAAGTTCAAGCAACAAGAACTTTCATCGTGCAAGCCTATCATAACTCCTAAATTGGTTAGTATTGTAATGCTACAAAATCGTCTAATTATGAATTTGTCATAATGATTCAGTTCCTCGTGATAATACACATAATGTGTTATGTGAATCATTACCGTGTATTGTCATTTCATACCATGTATGAGTATTGTGTTAATATATATCTCTTGATCTGAGATTAATCGTCCTATATTATATAAATTATTAATATATAATGTCAGTTCATACCATGTATTTATGTTGTGTTAACATATATTATTGTACTAAAATCAATTGTGGTAGGCGCTATGTGAACTATTATCATATACTGATTAGGAGTAATCAGTAGAATCGGCACCCTATTCATCACCTATCACACATATAGCCATAGTTTACATCGAAAATTGGGAATAGATTACCTTTGGGATAAGAGTAGGTGAACATAACTAGATTAATTTGCTGTGACAATGATTATCGTACATGAATTTTCGTACGAAAGTCCCAAACATAGATTTGATTGCGATTGAATTGAGTTGCGATTCTATCCGTTTATATATATATATATATATATATAAATCTTTTCGTTAATTGTTTGTACTTTGTCATAGCTCAATGAGTGTTTAATCCTTAAATTCTAACAAGTCTTTGCTCTTTTCTATATAGGTGGTTTCGACGCTTTTGTTTATCTGCGCCGTCTTCATTCCCATTGGATTCCTTTCCCTCTCTGCTTCGCGCAATGTATGCCCAAAATTGGCAAATGTGCTGCTCTTATTTGTGCTGCTCTTATTCCTTTGTCGTTGTCTCGACTGAAAGTTGTAAGAATTCTTCAGGTTGTTGAGATTGTTCATCAATACGAGACTGAATGTGTCCCTATCGAGTCGAGGAATGACATTTCTCGATTTATGCAAAGCTCGAGCAACAAAACTTGTAGTAGAACTCTTAATGTGAGTTGTCCTGTCCAAGTTTGTCGATTTCACTATAGCATGAAATGCATTATTCGTATCTATTAATTTCTCGGATTTCAGGTTCCAAAGCACATGAAGCAACCAATTTATGTTTATTACCAGCTCGATAATTTCCACCAGAATCATCGCCGGTAATCGAAGCATTCTTGGCTCAACTTTTGCCTCACATTCGTCTTTATTCTGATTATTACCACGTAGTTCTGTTCATTTAAGGTATTTCTCCTCGCCGTGTAATAGATATATGAAGAGCCGGAGCGACAAGCAGTTGATGAGTCGAGCAAGCGAAGGCGACACCCAGAAATGCTGGCCCGAGGATGTAACAAAAGATGGGATGCCGATATTACCATGTGGTCTTATCGCTTGGAGTGTGTTTAACGATACCTACCGTTTTTCTCGCAACAAAAAACCTTTGACCTTAAACCGGAGAGACATCACATGGAAAAGAGACCGGGAAAGGAAATTCGGCAACAATGTCTACCCGAAAAACTTTCAGCGCGGGGCTCTTATAGGCGGCGGAAGGCTCAACGAATCCAAACCGGTGAGTTCCTACAACCTCGTGTTTGTATGTAGAGATGACACAGTTCAGTGTATTGATTTTCATTATGATATACGGTAACAAATTCAATATACCATCGATATACCGAGAATTACGGTATAAATTTTTTTATACCAATACCATACAGCTCTTTTGGTATAATGGTATACCGTATACTATACCAAAAATCTATACACCGAAATTCCCCAAACTTAGTTGTATACCAAAAACAATAAAAATAAATAATTTTTTTTAAAGTTATTATAATTAAAAGTAATATATATCGTAATACCGATATATACTAAGTTATATTGGTATAAAGATATATATTATATTTTGGTATGATAATAGTATGTTGCGGTATACAAAATTTTATATTATTGCTATATTGCAAAGCTATAGTATGATATCATATCGTACTAAAAATTTTGATACAACAAAGATATGGTATTTTTTGGTACAGTATAGATGGTATATTGCATTTTCGATACCTTTTTTTTCACCCCTATTTGTACGAGTACAAGGTTGTCCGCATTGCTTTCAAATGTTGCGAGAATCTGCACCGTGGCCGTGTTTTCTTTGCATCGCAGTTGAGCGAGCAGGAGGATCTTATTGTATGGATGCGAACCGCGGCGCTGTCGAATTTCAGGAAATTGTACGGTAAGATCGAGGAGGATCTTGTCGCCGGGGACACCGTCGATGTCATTTTAGAAAACAATTACAATGCTTACATTTTCGACGGCAAGAAGAAGCTCGTTCTGTCGACTGAGACGTGGCTCGGTGGTAAGAACGAATTTCTCGGATTCGTGTATCTCGGTGTCGGAGGATTGTGCTTCGTCCTCGGCATGGTTTTTGCGGTTATTTTTGTTGTAGTAAAGCCAAGGTACGACTCCTACGCTTCTTCTAGAACTCGTGTTTTAGGACATAATGTCGATTTAATGTGATGTTTTGTGTTAGAAAACTCGGCGACACGAGCCGATTCTCGTGGCACAATGATGCGGGATATAACTGAGGTAGCTTACGGGAGTTTGTTCGAGTTTTTGTACTAGGATGCGGAGGAACTCGTCGGAGGTTCGAGGTTTGTTCCCTTTACATTTATTTATTTATTTAAAATTTTTTAATTTTTTCTTTCGAGTTCTTTTACTCCCTCCGTCGATCGAAAGGTTATCATTTTTCATTTACGTTCGTTCAAAACATGACTACCAATTTCTAATTTAATAATTATACTACCTACTTAACAGAATAAATACTCTCTTTCAACTTATAATATATTACCGTCATTACTTTAGGGGTATTCTTGTCTCTTTTATTACAATTTAATATAATATTAATATTAAAAAATCTACTTAAAAAACAAATATCACTCAACGGGACAGATGACGTATTATTTTTAAAATTAATTGATAGTTGATTATTTGATTACGTTGATGATTTTTTTTTTTAATAATTGTATTTTTTAAAAGTGTAATAATTGTTAAATATAATAGTTGTAGGATAAAATAATATATTTAAAATTGTAAGATTGTATTAAATATAATTAATTGAGATAGTTGTTGAAGTTTATGTTGGTTCTCTTTGCTATTTTATTTTAAAATTTTTAATTATTTTATTTGAAAATTAATTCATAACTGATTATTTGTTTATATTATTGATATGTTTTTTTAATATATATATATTATGAAGTTTTATAATATACTCTCTTTTTTTCCATTTAATTTATTTTTATTTTTTTTTTATTTTTAATTTGTCTTTTAAATTTAATCTATTATTAATTTTAGTAAAGTCAACGGATCAATATTTAGTTGCTTATCCTCCTTCAAAGTGTATTTACAATAATTCTTTATTACAATTTTTTTTATTTTTTGTTAAAATTTCTCACTAAAACTTTTAAAATTATTTTCAACTATCTTTACTTTTATGAATTTTAATAAAATATATATTTTTCTTAATATTTGTATCATCCTATCCTCCTTCAAAGTGTATTTACAATAATTCTTTATTACATTTTTTTTTTTATTTTTTTAAAAAATTTCTCACTAAAACTTTTAAAATTATTTTCAACTATCTTTACTTTTATCAACTTTAATAAAATATATATTTTTCTTAATTTTCGTATCATATCCAAATATATTAATTTTACCCAAGGAAATATTTGTTTTCAAGTAAAGTAGTTGTTGGGTACAATATTTGTACGAAAAAATAATGTATTTTTTTTTAAAAAAAATAGAACACATATGAATCTAAATAATTGGTTATCATGCTAATTGGGTCAAATCATCGAATCAGCCCAATCAGTATATATACACAAAAGGAGATAGTGCATGTTGTACACGGTACAATATAACGATGAATTATATAGAATCATGTGCGTTGTAAATTCTACCGTTATAATATGCTTTGAAATTACAATATATTATGTTAAATAAAATTATATATAATATGATATTAAAATATGTGTTATATATTAGAATTATTTTTATTATACTTATGTTTTTTAATTAGGTAAACATAAACATTCATTATACCGGGTATACGAAAATATTTTTTCATCTAAAACTTTTGTTTTTAATTGTATTTTAAAATATCTTCATCTCTCTTTCTGTATACTCCGATCCTTAACAATCTATTCATTTTTTCATTTTGGTCCGTCTTATATCCATTTCTTTTTTTTTTTTTTTTATAATTGTACTATCTACCTAACATTACAAATACCCTTCAAATTTACAATATATTACACAAATGTCAAGATCATACAATACTAATAGGGTTAATTTAGTCTTTTTACCTTTATTTCTACTTTATCCAAATATAATACTAATATTTCTAAAATTTCGTGCAAAAACAAATGGATATATAGATATGGGACGGAGGAACTATTATTTTTCTTTTCAATTTTGTATTATTTGAACCGAATAAATAAATAAATAAATAAATATTTTTAAGTTTACAAAATATCAAATAAAATACCATTTAAATACAAAACTTAAATCAAGCATTCTCATTCCATACCCAAAAACATACACATGCAAGGGATCGAATAACCTTTTCCAGAGAATTGGAATATTTGATGAAACCCCACACAATGAATCCATCTTTTCTTCAATAAGAAATGATGGACACATTATGACAACATTGCAATGCTATTTCACGTGCAAGGCCTATATATATACATACTTGTATTCAATACATGAGATGCATCCTCCAAATCGCATCCATTTGAATTTTCATCGCATTCTATGCCTCAATTTTCTACCATCTTAATTTTTTATAATTTTTTTTCTCATAAAATATCACATCAAAATGCTATTTAAAACATCGCATTCTGGCACGAGGGTGCCTCTGGTGGAGATCCCGATGATTACCGAGTGCACCATGATTCGGAGCTCCAAAACCTTCATAATCGATCACTCCATAAAAAATTGGCGAAAAAAGAAAAAAGAGAAAGAATCATTTTGGAGGATCAAGAACCTCAAAATCAAAATAATTTGCAGCGATCTTACTCGCGATATTATTAAGTTACAACGAGCTTACTTGCGATATTATGCACTGTCGGTTGAAATCCGACAAGTTTGCTTAGTGGGGTGCGGCAATAGCACCTCCACGAGCCCATACGTGTGCATGATCTCCGTACCCTTGTCCCTGTCTCCTTTCGACCATCATTCTCCGACTTTGCTTTGTTGAAATGAAAGTCTTTATACAAGGTTGTTGCAATAATGTCGATCATCATGTTCCGATAGACATTGTCATGACGACTGATCATGAAGAATATATCGTGATCTGAGTGAAGGAGTTGGAGTTTCCTCCCGAGAAGTAGGAGGCTCGCACCGGCACCACTTGCCGTTAGGACTTAGGTGATCGCTGACCGTCGAACTTCGATGGCCACCCAACACTTGTTGTTTGGCTTAGCTTCACCATTGCGAGGACTCTCCCGACAAAATTGTCGTCGTGTGATCTTAAAAGAAAAGTTGAAATATTGAATTAAGAAGTTAATAGAAAAAAACTGAATATTTGATGTGATGTTTTGTGAGAGAAAATATATATTTGATGTAATATATTTTGAAAAAATTATTATTCTACGAGTAATTTCAAAACTTCTTAAATGTGTATGTAAACGTCTCTGTATATTTAAAAGAAATTTATAATTATTTGTTTGTATTTTAGATCCAATAATTATTTCATTATCATGTGTTCGAAATTTGTGTAGTTAAAAAGTTGCAATGATGAAAATTAATAAAATAATATTGTATAAATGTGAAATTAAATATATATTATTTATTATATTATATTAAAAATTAGTTTTATATTTTAAAAATCAAATCGATTTTTATTTATATTATATGAAATAATTATTTAAAGTTAAAATTTTACTGTAACAAACACACTATTTGATTTTGAAATAAAAATCAAACACAACCCAGAGTAGCCCAAAGAATTTTTTGGAAACTTCTTTTTATTTTTAAGAGTGAAGTGGGCTTAAACGGGTCACCCTTTAAGCCGAATAAGCCCATATATAAATAGAGCTCAACCAATCCATTATTTCTGCTGCTGTAATTCCATGGCGGAACGACGAGCAATCACCAGCGAAGACGAATAAAAAGACAAAATTCCGCGGATCTGAGATCCAAAAATTATTTTCATCTTCTCTGATCAACCAAAAAAGTTGCAGTCAGGCATGGAATCGTCGGCGGCGCTTTTCAACCAGCTCAAGGTTTTTCTAGTTTCTACACATATCTGCATTTTTAAAACTGTTACGTTGATTTTGGTTTCGAATTTGAGAAGAGGTTGAATTATGCGTTGGTTTGTTTTTATGAACAGACAGCGGAGCCATTTTTTGTGCTAGCAGGACCAAATGTGATTGAATCAGAAGATCACATTATGTACATGGCCAAGCATATCAAAGCCATCACTTCCAAGTACTGATAATTCTCGAATCCTTGTTGCGTTGAGTTTGTCTTAAGTTTGAATTTATAGCGACTGATGTTGATGTTTTTATATCGCGTATAGACTTGGATTGCCATTGGTGTTCAAATCGAGCTTCGACAAAGCTAATCGGACATCATCCAAGTCTTTTCGTGGTCCTGGATTAGCTGAAGGCTTGAAGGTAAAATTTCTTCCAGTTTATTCTTTGTGAAATTGGAATTTCTTTGTTTCAGAACGGTTATCAATAGTTACGATGTTTCTGCTGTATGGACGGCGCAATTAGTGTTCTGATTCGTCTGTTGTGCCTATAATTTTACTGCTTTGGTTTGCAGATTCTGGAAAAAGTGAAAACTACATTTGACCTTCCAATTGTGACAGATGTTCATGAAACAATTCAGGTCAGTCTGAAATGGTTACTTTATCGTTGTTCTTGCGGACGTTTGAATCAAGTTGAAGCATTATTTTAGAGATTTTAAGATTCCAAAACCGTGAATCACATTTTGATATGTGTAAATTTGCTAACGACACAAGAAAATTGTTGAACTATAGTGTAGCAGTGTAAGCTACTGAACTGACCTACGAAATATGTTGAACTGTGCTTAATAATTGCTCCTGAAATCCCTCTGTTCATGTGATTTCCTACTGATGTTTCTAATATTTCCTCTTTGTATCGATTCAGTTCTATTATGACAAAATGTGGCATATGAATTAATGCATTATCTGCTATGTTTTTTTCTCTCTTTCTATTACCTATCTATACAATATATATATATATATATATATATGTGCCAGTGTGTGAATATTTCAAAATAGCACTAGACTAAATACTTGTGTCTTTGCAGTGTGAAGCAGTTGGCAAGGTTGCAGATATAATTCAAATCCCCGCCTTTTTGTGTCGGCAGGTTAGACACAATTATCGCATTATTCTAACAATTCAATCCTCCCTTTCTATTATTGCTTGTTGTTATAGAGTGGTTCACAAATTTGCTTATGGCCTTTCTGAATTACAGACGGATCTACTTGTGGCGGCTGCCAAGACCGGAAAAATTATCAACATTAAGAAAGGCCAATTTTGTGCTCCTTCTGTAAGCACAGCAACCATAAAAATTGTTATTGCTATTATTATTTTTTCATACATCCAATTTTCTTTTTCTTTTCGTTCGGGTTTTACTCCCAATCCTAGATATCATCTCTAGCTTGATTGCTTTTGTTTGATTGGTTTTGTAGGTTATGTCAAACTCTGCAGAAAAGATTAGAATGGCTGGAAATGAAAATGTTATGGTCTGTGAGAGAGGCACCATGTTTGGCTACAGTACGTAATCCTCGCTTCCTTTTATCAAATACAAATTATGTTTGATGGAAATGAATCTGTAAAATGAAAACTACTTTATTGCCTATTGAGTTAAGACATACTCCCTCTGTCCTGGAATGTTTTGTTTTTTGCGTGGCTTTTCAGGTGGTATAACTTTGATACATTTTTAACAAATTTGTCCCTACTTTTTGTTAGGAACGAGATTATAAATTGTGTTTTAGATGTTTAAAAGAGTAAAAACTATGTGTAAATAAAGAAACGTAGCAAAGCCTTTTGGACATCTCAAATTAGAAATAAAAGTAAAAGATTTGAGATTGAGGGATTACTATAAAACAATTGGTTTGGTAAAGAACAGCCGATGGTTTTCTGTGTTCACGACTATAAATACTCTACACATATCTACAATGCTATGAATTTCTTTTCTTGGAGCCACGTTTTGAATAGAGAAATATATATTTTTCCTTGCATTGATATACGCTGAAAGTATTGAAGTCAATCTCAACATATTTTGTTTGTGTAATTTTTTTTGCCCTTGGTACAATATGCAGGTGACTTGATTGTCGATCCACGAAATTTTGAGTGGATGCGGGAGGCCAATTGCCCCATTGTAACGTTTTCAACCCCTTGTATATTTGATTTCAGATGCTTTTGTATTCTATTCTAGTTTCCTCAAATAAAATAACTTCTTTCAGGTGGCTGATATAACACATTCATTACAACAACCTGCTGGGAGAAAGGTACGTATGAAACTTTTTGATGGTGTGCTAATTGAAGGATTTGGGATTCATAGAGCTCATTTGGTTTGGATTTGTGTAATAGTTGCTTAATGTCATATTTTGTAAAAAGAAATAATGTTTTTTTTTTTTTTTTAATTAAAAACTAGGTGTAGAAGTTTTAATTAGAAATGATTAAAAATTGAACCAAAGTTGTAGCCGCAAGGTTCAGTGGCACCAATGCTGTACATAAGTTGGCCGTGCCCCAAATTACTAGAAAAGTGCAGTGTTTGTGTTTTGTAGCTTTTCATTTATGTTTCTTATTTTTAGGTAAAATAGTGGTTTGATATAGTATTTTATATGAAAATAGGTATATTTTCATTAGGAATGATAAAAAAGTTTAGTAAAAAAAATTGGAATTGAAATTTTACTTTGGAATGTGATTTTTTTTAAGAGATGAATATTTAATTGGTAGAATGAATAGTGTCAAAACAAATTCATACGAATGTACAATGCAAATCATATGCCCCACAACTTCAAATTTGCGAAAGCACTTAGAACTGCTAATGTTCTTGATATCTCTTTGTAATTATTTTGGTTCTCCTCTTTAATTCAACATGGGAATGATCTAATATTTGCCTGATGATCTTCCGAACAGCTGGAAGGCGGTGGTGTCGCTAGCGGAGGCCTTCGAGAACTCATACCCTGCATTGGTCGGACAGCAGTTGCTGTAGGGGTGGATGGAATCTTTATGGAGGTACAAACTTTTCGGTAGCCAAAGTTCTATAATAATACTGTTTAAAAAATTACGATATTTTTTTAGCATATCATTTCGGCATACTTGTATACCAAATATTTTAATGTATATTGAAAAGATATACCGAAGAAATTATATATATTGAAAATTTGAAAATTATATACCTATATTATATTGAAATTGTTTGTATGATAACCATACTATACCGTAGAAAAAAATTTAGTAAATTCGGTATTTTTCAATATAATGAGTTTGGTATACCAAAATTTTGTATTTTATCTATACATGTATTTGTTATTGTTCGATGTAGGTGCACAACGACCCTTCAAATGCCCCAGTCGATGGTCCAACACAGTGGGTATGTATGTATTACTTTAACGTTAATATTGATAGAGCATTTGTATTGCTTGTAATTTTGCTTCTACTTTGCGGAGTATTTATAACTTACTCATTTGCTTTCATATGCATTATCCAGCCTCTTCGCCACTTTGAGGAACTTCTTGAAGAGCTCATGGCAATAGCTGTAAACAATCTATCATTTACCTGATACAATTTATTAACTTCAGGATGGCTAAACACTTAAAGAAAAATGAGCTTCGGATGTTCGATTATTTCGAGAGGTTTCCTAATTCGAATTTTACATATCTGTCTCTGTAGAAGGCTAGCAAGGGCAAGCAATCTTTCAAAATCGATCTCACTCCATTCGGTCAATGAGAAGCATCGTATAGGTAATCAAGATAGCTTTATTACCATTTGCTTCATATGCTTGTTACTATGCTGTAGCTGTTTCAAACTTAACTACCCGATATACTAGCCTTTTAATTTCTTTCCTTTTTTTTCTTCTATTTCGATGCTTATCTCCCTAAATTCCTACCAAAAATACTATTCTTTCATTTAGGCTTGTCTTATTTAAATTACCTTTTTCCATTTAATCACTTCTCATTTATAGTCTATGTATTCTGTACTTGATTACTAATTTACCATATTCTTATCTTTATTTACTAAGTATTGTCACACTTTCACTCTTTACCCCATTTAAGGGTATTTTAGATTTTTTTATATATATATATAAATTCACTCACCAATATAATACTATGAATCCGTTTTCTACATAGGTGCGGAAACTAAAGTCCCGAGGCAACGGCACCCCCCTGCAGAAACTCGGTATCTATTTATGTTGTCAATGCAACAGTGAGTGATACATATCCGATTTCACCTCGGAATCAAGCCTATAGTATTATGTATATTTCATTACTCAAAATGCTCGTCTTTTTTCCCTCGTGATTTGTTTATGAATATGCTTCTTAATCTAGTGAATTAGTAAAAAAATCGAAAGACAATAGTGTAACGCAGTATACAATATTACTATGTCACATGCAATATGTGTCGCTACTATGCATGAAGCATGATGAGGTATTTAAGTAATGCTTATGAACGGAGAGAACAATAACATACCCCGATGCTATTAGCGGCTGGAATGTTCTGGTCTGTGAGTAAACTCGAAGTCGATATGAACAAAAGCTCTCTCGACATCGGGGAGCTGCTCGAGCTTCTCTTGCAGCATCTCCCCAATGTTATGCGCTTGGCTCAGTGGCATGTTCCCCGGCAACACAATGTCGACTTCCACAAAGTAATGAGACCCGAAGGTATACGCTCTAACTGTGTCGATATGCTTTATCTCCCTGTCGTGGTTCCATATCAGATACGTTAGCTTTGCTAGATACTCCGGCGGCGCTGCTCTTCCTATAATCGATCGAACTTGTTCGATCACTATCTTCGTCCATGTGCTGATTGTGTATATTGCTATCTGTAGAGCATAGAATTAGCGAGCGCACCACGTTGAAGTAAGGAGAGAATTATCAAGATTGAGAGGAATTAGGCTGGAAAAATATTGCCAAAATTGTGATATACCCCACCCATGAATTTTAATATACCATAATTTTTTATATGATAACGGTATGTACCAATATTACAGGATACATTTGGTACATATATATATATATATATACATATTTGCATATTCTCAATATACTGTATACGGGTTATTATACTCACAATGAGAGCGCCGGTAGGATCGATACACCAGGAGAATCGGGCTGCTAAAATAGCTGTTACTAGTCCGATGGAGTTTGTGATGACGTCGAAGAAGTGATCCTGAGCGTAGGCTCTAACGATCCCATTGCTGAATTTGTGGCAATAAAGCATGAGCATGAACTTCACTGTCGTTACGGACACCATTATCCCTATCATCCATTTCTCCTGTTCGCGGTCCATATGCGGACCAGACTGTCCCAATACAATTTATTAATAATAATCATTTAAGTTTCTCATTCTTCCATTTTATTTTAATTTCTAACATTAACAGTGTAAAAAATAGGGAGATTAAAACTAACACTAGAACACAGAAGAGAGACTAAAAATATACTACTTTTTAAAATAAATACTTAAATATTATATTTTTGAATAAAAAATAATAATAAAAAAGCTCATAAATATCATAAAAATTACCTTTGTGAGGAGTTGACGGGCAGACTCCAGAATTATTTGAAGTCCCAAAGTCGCCATTACAGTAGCAAAAACAATAATTCCCTGCAGGCAGGCAGTGTCTTCAGTTAATTTCAGTTGCCAAAATCATGATCTTAATTTGGAATATTTGATTCGTATTTAAATAATATTTAATGTGATATTTTATAAAATAATAAATTTTATTTTTTCGATGCAAAATATAAAACTAGGAAGAAAAACCAAAAAAACACACCTTTAGTAATCCTTTCACAAGTGAAGAACATCTACTAAGGGGGAAGTATTGATGGGAAGTCTTACCACAGGCTGCATTCGTCGCTTTCCGATTGGATAGTGATACTGGTTAGGCGTTCTCATTACATGGGAAGTGAACCACAGAATCAGGCCCGATATAAGGTCTAGTAGTGAGTCCATAGTCGATGCTATCACCGATAGAGACCCGGTCTTGATTGAAGCAAAAACTTTCGCGGCAAAGAGGAACAGATTTGCGATGTTTGAGACACTCACGGCTACCCTCTCACTCATGGCCAGCCGATTCATTTCATCCTGAAAGAAGTTCGATGATCAGATAGAGCAGAACAAGGGAAAGAGGTAACTAAGCTTCAGATATAGCTCAGTTATGGTAAATGTTAGAAACTACTATGTGATGAACATAAAACTTCTTGAGTAGGAAAGGAGCTAGTGAGCGGATGTTAAGTTAATAATTGTATGTGATCACATAGATTATAAATGAAAATTGACTATTAGATGGGTAAAAATAAAACAATACAAGTATATATATAATCAAAGATCTAATTTAATAATGATGAATTATTCACTTAATCCAATTCTTATATTGTTCCAACAGGCAAACAAAAATTCTTAGGCTATTCAATAGAGTGCATTCCTGAAACTATACTATTTAGCTATCATTAAGTTAAAAGAATATCAATTAACTCATAGCTAAGATTGAGTTACGCACTTAAACGATCTTCTTCACATTGACACACATGGGATTAACAACAACTCAATCTTTTCCGTAATAGAGCAGAAAATATAACAAAAACTCCATAACCAACCTCTGTAAGAGCATCCGGTGAAACACCATATCTGTTGATCGACTCCATTTCACCGAAACCTTTTAAGAGTTTCTCCTGATTTTTGTAATATTCCGAAACATTCGTTTGCTTACCTAAGGGGAAAAAAAGTTCAAATACAGTATGTTCACAAACATCAGGCAATCATAGCAGCAAGAAACCCGATGCTCGTGCAGCAGAGTATTTGCAGGATGCAGCACATGGTTACCCCCACCCAATCAAAACTTGAATAAAGAAGCCAGCCGACTGAATAAGTTTCTTGACATTCTACTATTGTCTGCAAGTGAAGGGAATCAGCTAGGACTCATGCGACTTCATCGTTAAATTATACAAGACAATCATGGATCATCCTCTGGCATGTTCAGATGATACTCAAAAGATAAATCTTCTGCACTCTGCAGCATCTTTTCAAAAAGCGAAAAACTAATGTTTCGCTACAACCACAAGCAGAATAGAAGTTGAATTGGAAATCATAACGAGTTGCTCAAGTATCTAATCATTAAGCCTAAGCCAGAAGTTATGTAATCGCAAAAAAAAATTGTTGACTATGGTTGCGAATTGCGATAGAAACCTAGCTGTTTATGTTTCCGGTTTTATCTTCATTCACTCCAAAAAAAAAAACAAAAAAAACAAAAAAACAAAAAAAACAAAAAAACAAAAGAAAAACAAAAATGATTCCTAGATTCTCAACCAAGAAAGTATTCGACAACCATCGCAAGATCTTTTCTATGTCGAGAAAAAATCTACTCCAAATCCGAAGATTTCGCAAGTAAAGATACGACTTACGAGAAAACATAACTGTCGAAACTGCACATTTATATCCATACGCATCATCAAGACATCAACAACATACTATTATCGCGGAGGAGGCGTCTGAGACTAAACGACTGGCGATGATGCTCGAGACTACGCTTCGGAAATCGGAACTCGTTTACGTTGAGTCTCCAGCTTGATTGATCGCCGCCGATCTCCGATGAATCCAGCAGCTCTCTCCTACCTTCACCGCCTTCCATATGTCGAATATTGTGGAGGAAGAACAAAGTGCAATGCAAAAAGAGTGAAATCTATTCCTAATACTCCTGAGAATCAATGTCCTTATATAATATAAAATGCATATGTGTGCATGGGAGATTCCGACGGCTCCACGGCGGACGGCGGACGGCGGAGACCGCCACCAAGTGCGCCGATTTCCACGTGACGATTATTTATAGGCACTGACAATTGGGCCGAATAAATGGGCCGTCCAAATTATTGGGCCTAGTAAATTTGAAAACAAATGAAGGACAGAAAAGTAATTTCACTCCCTATTAAGTGGCTGTGCCTACTTCCTGCTTACATATGCTACCAATCAGAAACACCAGAAAGGATTCCCATTTCTCTGTGGGGGCGTCTCACAGTGAAGGATCCGCTGTTGAATCAAGACGCTAGCCCTCTGCTAATTTCACCCGAAAAATCGTTATCTAGAGGACTGGAGCTTTCAATTCGCTTGTCAGTATGGTAAGTGGTTGGTGTTAATGTTTCAAGTTCCGCAATTTTTGCTTGAATCTGTATGTTTTACGATTTCGAATTCTTCCTCAAGAAAACTCTCGTGTTTTTGTTTTCAATTATGTGTGGAATTGATGATGTTGAGGCGTTTTTTTCGTGTAGAACAAGTTGAACAGAGCACAGCGTGACAAATTGCAGCAGTTCATTGGAATCACCGGCGCCAGGTATCTGAGTAATCGATTTTGGCTTTTAATTTTGGTGGAACGGCTAAATTGAGAGGCTTTTTGTATGTAATGTGATGCTTCTATGTCCTAAGATCTTTAGAATTCCACAAAAATGCACACAAAGGAGGCCATATCTTCGCGTCGAACCTCTGTAATTCATGATAATTTTCAGTTTTTGGTCCCATTGTATTTGCGTGTTCTTTTGTGTTATGGTGAAATACTAGTTTAATGTCTTTATGTTGGAAGAACACCGGAAGAAGGCCAAAATGCAAACCAAAATACGCCTAAACATTGTGTTCAAATTGTTCCACCAAAACCTTTTGCCTTCTATCAATTATTTTTCTACCAAAAGAAGATGAATGATAACCATCAATAAACAACGGAAATAACAATATGAGACACCAAAACTTTTAACGTGGAAAACTCCTTCCAAGTGAGGACAAAAACCACGAGGCCTATCACCCGATCCAAGGCAAAATCCACTATATCAAAAAAGGTTCTTACAATCAAAGATAACCACAACTAAAAGGGCTATCAAATTCCACACTCAATTACAAGAATTGAACCCCAGTCACAGGAGATTTCTCAACTACAAACAATCCATTCCAATGCCCAACCAATAAGATTCAAAATCGAATCCAAACAAATAAGGAAAAATCAACGATACCAAAAGGAACATCCGAAGATGACGAGACCGTTGATCGGAACCGAGTTGAAGAAATTCTCTCTTGCTTGCCGATTCTCTCGCATGCGTGGATGACAATTGTCTCTCTCAAACCCTGCACCAAAATGATCCCTCTCCCAACTATGACGGCTAGGGCAATTGTTGGGCCTCCTACACGTAGAAGGAACCCAAACCCAACAAATGTGATGTTTTGTAGGAAAATTAAAGAATGCAAGCAAAATAGAAAATGAAAACTCAAAAGAACACAACCTAAGCTTCTGGTTATTTTGTCATTTGTATTTGGTGATTTTTGAATGTGGATAGTGATTTGTGTGGTTTACCTTCTTGTTTTCATTTGATGCAGTGAAAAAAATGCTCTACAGGTTTTTAAGTCCTGTGATTGGCAGTTTGAGGGAGCATTTGACATATATTACAACCATCCGCATATTAAATCTGCTGCCGATACGAGGCATTTGGAGGAGCTATACAATAGATACAAAGGTAAATTTTTCAAAATTTTAATTTACAATTTTTATTTGAGCAGAAAATAGAAACTGCTCTGATTTAATCATCTTCAATCGCATACTCCCTTTTTAAGTATCTTTCCTTTTCTTTTATGGAGATTGTGGTCTTTACTCATTATTGCTTTCTTGTCTTAAGTTTCATATTACCATTTGGAAAAGCACACTTCTTTGATGCTTGTCTAGTGAGATTGAAATTGAATTTTTTTGGTGACTTATTAAATACGAGCATTCTATGATTCGTGTTTTTTACTTAATGATATTCAACTAAGGTTTGGTGTTAATTAGATTACTTTCTTTTCTTTTTTTGATCAGAAATTAGATTACTTTTCTTGATGTTATAATATATAGTGTGTGGTTATATTTGAAGCAAGTAATAAGTTTTTAGTAGTATATTTAGTGACTGGATTTTCGTCGAAGGATTGTGAAAGATTCTCATATACAGTTTGGATTGTTGTGTGAATTATATTTAAATAGTTCTTCTACATTCTTACCTTTTGAAAGTAGTCTTATAATAGGGTTTACTCTATTTTCAGATCCCCATGCTGATATGATGTTGGCTGATGGAATCACTCTCCTCTGCAACGACCTTCAGGTAGATTTGACGGCTACTCGCTAGTGCCTAAAACAGGAGATAAGAACACCCCATGATTATTTCCGTCTTACCAGCACTTATTTCATTCATTATGTCTTTTTTTTAATGTTTTTTTAGTATTATAGCAAATATTATTGTTCAAATAACACACTGACTTCATGTTTCTTTTGCACTTTGGATAGATTGATCCTCAAGATATTGCTATGGTAAGTTCCCTATGAGATTACAAAGTCAAAATTTTGTATTAACAAGAATTGATCAGTGTTTTAATCGCGTGGTTTTGTTATAGTTTTGCGTTCTATGCCCGCCAATTGAACCAAAGCATAATACTCTTTTCTAACAGTGATCGTACAACATATGTATTTGATAAGTGCAAGATAGGAATGTAAACAAATAGTGGAGTTTTTCAAACGATATTTATATGGCAGCCTGTATGAAGTGTTACTATATAGAAATTTTAAGCCAGTCATTTATGTATGTTTTGTAGCTGGTGGTATCATGGCATATGAAGGCTGCTACCATGTGTGAATTCTCAAAGCAGGAATTTATTGATGGACTACAATCTCTTGGGTGAGTGTAATATATATATATATATATGTCTTTTCAAAAGAGATTTTGTTTCCACTATAATTTAACAGTGTATTGGTCTTAACTTATGTTTGAATCATAATCTTTGTTCTGATATGTGTATATATATATTATGGCAGCATAGATTCACTGGAGAAGTTTAGAGAAAGATTATCATTTATGCGTTCCGAATTGAAAGATGAACGTATGTGATATCACCGATTGCCTTTCACTTGTCAAAATGATTCTTGTGCATGTTTTCTATACTGAGCTTATGTTGTGCATTAATCCTCTACGCCGAGAAAGCTTAATTTCAGAAGCTTAATAATCATATATCAGCTTCATGCGATTCAATCATACTTCTTTATTATGTCCAGGTAAGTACCGAGAGATTTATAATTTTTCATTTGGCTGGGCAAAAGAGAAGGTATCTTTACTCAACTGCACAAATGTTCCTTTTATTAAAGTTAACTACTTGGATCAGAACTATTAGTTTGGCCTTCACAATAAAGTGGTTTTTTAATATGAGTTGTTGTTCAGGGTCAGAAATCTTTGGCATTAGATACCGCGATCGGAATGTGGCAGTTGCTATTTGCGGAAAAGAAATGGCCATTAGTCGAACATTGGTGCAAGTTCTTGCAGGTGGAACATACTGAACCTACTCTGTTTGCATATGATGCATTTTCATAATTAAGAAATAATGTTAGCAATAATGTTTATTTTGATAATGTTTATAGTCGTCTCTCATCATTACATTACATAGGTAAAACACAACAAAGCAATTTCTCGAGACACCTGGTCCCAGCTACTCGAGTTTGCAAGGGTAAGTAACAATACTCTATCTACTTATCTTCTTTTAAATTTTAGTGAATCTTCTGTTACTATTTTGTGCACATCTATAGTCATATTGGGTCGAACTTTTCGGACATTCTTTCTTCCACCAAAAGTGTCGCGTATTAGATGCATTTCCTAAACTATTTCTTCTGCAAATATGCAGGTGTTCGATCCTTCCTTATCGAACTATGATCCAGAAGGGGCATGGCCGTACCTGATCGACGAATTTGTCGAGTACTTGATTGAAAATGGCATTATTCAGAAGGGCAAGATGACGAGTGATTGGAGCTACAAATATTGAGCGTTGTATCTATATTCCATTCCATTGGGTGGGGTTCGGTTTTAGATTTATTTGATGGTGTATAATTTTCAATTATTGGGCTAATAAAATAGGAAAAACAAAGATGAAAAGGTGTGTTTATGGAGATGTATTTCTTCCTTTCCGATTGTTAGCTTCTGCTGCCTGGCAAAGTATCCCGCTACAAAAAAAAAAAAAATATATATATATATATTAATTTTATAATAAGATTTATTCGTTCTTAAATCAATTTTTTCCTTTAGATATTAAATTTTAAGAACGAAATTTCGTTGCAAATATGTAGTGTCCAGGCAACTATGTAGCTATTTTCACTTTTTTTTTTTTTAATTTGTCGCTTAAATTATCTCAAATTGATAGGAGTATTATTTAGCAAATCCTTTCTTCACTCTATCAAATAAAAATAAATAAATAAATTATATTATACTTAAATTACTATATTATGTTAAATTTATCTCAAATTAATAGAGGGAGGAGTATTATTTATCAAATCCTTTCTTCGCTCTATCAACTCAAAAAAAAAAAAAAAACCAAACTTATATTATAATTAAATTACTATATCATACAATTATTTCGCTAATGTCAAACTATTTTTAATACATAAGGCACATAGAAATTCTAGAGACTAAACATCCCGAACTAAATAAAAATCACAAATATAAAAATGTACAAATTATAAAAATTATGAAAGATCTGAGGAAGCTTATGAAAAACAAGATCCGTAAGAGAGATTATAGAAGGCCAACAATAAAGCAAATATTCAAAAAAAAAAAAAACAAGCTTGTCAGACTTAATTTACAAGATAGCAATTTTTCACAATATAAAAAAAATAAAAATAAAATAAAATAAAAAATTATAAAAAAATTTCTAATAAAATCAAGACTTTTTCTTTTCTGATAACTGATTAAAATAAAATAAAATAAAATAATTGTCAACTTTGAATATATAGCTGACCATCTAAGATCGGCAAAAATTAAATTAAATCCGACCGTCCAAGATGTCATCAACGGTGATAATTAAAATTAAAAAAATAAAATAAACTAGGGTTACAAATCCAACCATTGAAACAAAAAGCTCGAACTTGGAGTGAAGCACAAGAAACTGTAGAGAACGAAGGCACGAAGAACGAAGAACTCGCCATAACCGAAGCAATAATTTAGAGATCAATGGTTTTGCTAATGCTTCACTCGAAAGATAAACCTAATCTGCTTTTTTGTTATTATTTATCCTGCGGATGAACGATCATTGAAAATCCGCTCGATGATTTGTGGAAACCTGCGTTTGCTTCCGATTCAAGTGTATTTATTTGTGTGTTGACTAAAAGTATTGTAATATTATCATTAGTCAATGATACTGCTGGCCAATCACTGCGGAGATGCTTCGAAATCGAGTTTTGCAATAGTGTAATGATGATTTGAGTATTTTAATCGGATATTTGTTTATTTAGTCGCAAATTCTATCTGATTTTTGGTTTTATGGTGTTTTTGGTTTGACCGGTGTTTAAAAAAACCTGTTCAAATTCATCGTTTAATTCATTGCCGAAGGGAGAAAGGGACGAGCGAGCCGTCAATCTGCGGTCGGTCGGAAAGGGTTAGAAAATCCTCAGAAAAAGACGAAATAAGAAATAGCGATTCTTTTCTCACCTATATATATAGATGTAGACACATAATCACGCACAAACGTTCGAGTCTATCTTTTTCGTTCGGTGCTCTATATTATTTTTCACATCTTTATGGCAATGTTACTAAGAACGATGAAGCTGCGGAAATGGCGGATTTAGTCAACAGCTTAGGTATTCCGGGGAGCTTTTGAGGTAAATCTCGTTGATTCTGCAATTCGACTCATTCTGATCCATGTTTTGGGTGTATATCTACGGCGTGCAGTCTACGGGCATTTTTTTGTTTCTTGGTGCACGCTTCTTTGATCTGTTTCTTCCAGAAATTAGGGTTTTTCATTTTCGTGGATAGCATTTCTATAATTTGGGGTTTCTTTCGACAAGGAAGGCTGGTAGATTGAATCTTATCTTCCATTGACAAGTGTTAATTTGGCTACATTTGTGTGTGTTTTCTTTCTTTGTTTGGTCGAGTTGCAGTTTTGGATTTCCCCTTTTTCTTTTTAGAAGTTAACTTATGGACGGTAGGTTTTAAAGGGCTGTAAATTCATCTTAGAATCTCATTAAATTCTAGAATTGATTAAAAGCTCCTCCTTTTATGCTCAGCACTTGTTAAAGGTTGTAGAAATAAATTGTGTTGCAGGAAGAAATGATTCAGCTTTCAGACCTAAAAAGTTCTTTGTTTTCAAGATAGAACTAAGAGTCGATAATGTTTATACCTAAAATGTGTAGCTTTCAGTCTCCTTTTATTGTCTGAGATGCATAGAATTGTGATGCCCATATGATAATTGGTATCCATCACCTGCGTTCAGAGTTTTGGCAAATCTTTATCTAACTTCTACTTGAGCTGAACTAAAGTTGTCGTGCATTTTGTTGTGGAAAGGATATTTGATTGTCGAAGTAATTATGTGGGCATATATACAAGTAAATACATAGATTTCTCTCAACAGATGAATCCCACCATCCAGCCATATTGAAAGCTTGAAAGGAAATAAAGTTTTCTGGAATCTAGTCATCTACTATCTGTTATATTACAACCAATTTCTCATGTTTGAACTAACATGAACTATTTCCCTTTTTTGGCAGTGTTTGATCGTCAACCATCACTGTTGCTAATGGTGTCTCTCCATAATAATACAAGTTGGAAAATGTATGTATATCTTGTCTTATGTATTACTTAGGTACCACTGAACTTATTTACAAGCAAAGTATTTGCTTGGCGGTGCTTCTCTGTTGCCTTTGCAAGTTAATAACAAGGCTGTGGCATCAGCAGTTGTTCCCATTGGATTTGTCTTTGAAAAGAGAGAGATTCGTCAGTTTTGCTATGGAGTCATCCAAAAATCAACATTTTGTGCCATTCCATCCTTCTGAACATGGAGCTGATGATCATGGTCCTGCATCACATCTTGTGAATGTTGATCCTTCAGGACATGCCAATATGAGTTCAAGGTCTTCAAATATTTTCTCAGAAAATAAACCCGTACTCAATTACTCAATACAGACTGGTGAAGAGTTTGCTCTTGAGTTTATGCGAGACCGGGTTAATCCCAGGAAGCCATCTATTCCAAATGCACCTGGGGATTCCAGTTATCCGCCTGTTTACATGGAGCTCAAAGGTATTTTAGGTATTAGTCATACTGGTTCTGAAGCTGGCTCAGATATCTCTATGCTTGCCTCAGCAGAAAATTCTACAAGGGGTTTCGAGCCACATAGTTTGTCTTCACTTGGGAACCAGGGTAACCATCGATCATCATTTGATTCTGTACAACCCGTGCCACATGCTTTATCAGATTCTAATATTCATCCCACGCTTACACATACCACGTCAGGAGCATCTGATAGCTCGTCAACCAAACTCAAGATTCTTTGCAGTTTTGGTGGTAGAATCCTGCCTCGCCCAAGTGATGGAAAACTGAGATATGTTGGTGGAGAAACACGCATAATCCGAATAAACAAGCACATTACGTGGAAAGACTTGTGGCAGAAAGCCTCTTTGATTTATGATGAAACATGTGCTATAAAATACCAGCTCCCAGGAGAGGATCTTGATGCTTTGGTGTCCATATCAAGTGATGAAGATTTACTGAACATGATGGAGGAATGCAATATTGGGGAAGATGGAGAAGGATCAAAAAGACTTCGGATGTTTCTATTTTCTCCTGGAGATTTGGATGATGCTCATTTCACTCTGGCAAATTCTGATGGTGACGCAGAGATGAAGTATGTTGTTGCTGTCAATGGCATGGACTTTGGATCTCGAAAACGCTCTACTTTACGAGGCTTATCAAACTCTTCCAGAAGCAATTTAAACGAGTTAGACGCACTGAATGCTGATGGAGACCCTAGTACTGCCACTGAACTTATGGGATTTAGTAACTCAAATTTATCAGGCTTCAATGCCCTGCCAGCAGCAATTGATCCTTCCAATTATGTTGCTCCAACATTTAACATTGCTGAAACTGGTTTGCATATGTATCATGGCCAGTCTGTGCACTATGATCATGAAAGACGACATTCTCCTCAATTTGGCTACGATTTTCAGTCACCATATGATATGGCTTCTGATAGTACTGCAACGCAATCTTTTTATGGACATGAAGGGAAGACTTTGGATAGCTCAGGTACAATGGGCGCTGTACCAGTGCAAGAAAAGCAAGCAAAAATGAAAGTTGATTCCTTTCCTGAACCTGACAGTGGAAATGATTATATTACTTCACAGGCACACAGTGATAATACTAAAGGCAGTTTTCCTGTGGAAGAGTCATCCATCTTGGCCACTAATCTGGACAGAGAATTTTCTGCAAAGGCTTTAAGGGGGAATGCAATGGCTGGGGAATCTGCACATGTCTCTAAGCCTCTTGATACTGTTACTCAGACTGAGCTCCATACTTCTGACAGTAAGGAGCAGTCTACCTTTGACACTGCTCCTGTTTCTGATTCCATCAACTCGAAATCTGATATTGCAGATTTGAGCTACATTGGGTCACCTATTGCCCCTCAGAGGGTCTTCCGCTCTGTGTGGATTCCTCGAGAGCAGGCAGAATTGCATAGCAGAATATCAAAGTCAGATGATTCACATGCTTCTCAGTTTCTTGTTAACCAGGCACAAACTGATCATTCTGAGCAAGCTACGAATGCAACCTCTGTTGAAAATTTACAAAAAGGGAATATGGCAATTCCAACTCAACCGTCATCTTCTAGTGAGAAGCCTTTCCCCGAAGAACCTGAAACCCTCCAGGATGGGGTTTCCACAACTCAAAAGCCAAAGCCAGCAGAGCACCTTGAAAATCAAGTTCTCAAGGGAGAAACAGAACCTGGACTAAACAACACCGCTGTGAGCCATGAGAATTCCATGAAACAATCTGACGAATGTAATCCTTGGGCTGGGGGGGTTCAAACTCACTTTGTTCTTAGTGATACCCATGGTTATCCTCAACCTTCAACAAGGACAGCCACTGAGGAAGAATCCAATGTTGACCTTCCAAAGAATGAGCAGGGAGATATTCTTATTGATATCAATGATCGGTTCCCTCGTGATCTTCTTTCTGATATTTTCTCTAAAGCTGTACTTTCTGATAGTTCGTCTGATTTTGGTCCCATACAAGGTGATAGAGCTGGCTTAAGTGTGAACATAGAAAACCATGATCCTAAACACTGGTCCTTCTTTAAGAAACTGGCAGGGGATGACTTTACAAAAAGGGATGTTTCTCTCATTGATCAAGATCATGTAGCATTACCATCTGGCCTTGCAAAAGTTGAAGAGGAGGCTCCTTTAGCCTATGATTTCATGCCAGCTAGGAGAGATGAAATTCTTCAGAGTCACAAGGGACTGCCTGGGAGAAAAGGTGAAGATGACCAGAATGCCATCTCTAGTGGTGTTGGAGCTGTCTCCACAACAGTTCATTCTAATTTTGATGCATCACACGTGAAAGTGAGCGAAGGCTTGCAAAATGATGATTTGGTTGATGATATGAGAAATCGAGATTTGGAATATGAGGTACTTTTTGTGTCCTTTTTAGATTGTGTCATATACAAGAACAGTTGATTATTTTTCAATAATTTCTTATGATTTTTACCTATCTTCTAGGATGAAAGTGGAACTGTTGACGTGCCTCCTTTAGATCCTTCTTTGGTGGATATTGATATCAGCTCATTGCAGGTTTGTGCCATGTTTTACGAACTATGGATTCTCTTAATGATATTTACTTGAGTTTATACAGTTTTGTTGTCAATTGTTTATCCACGTGCTGGAGTGTTATGTATTGATTGCCTTGCTAGTTGCTTGTCAATTTGATAAGATAAATTTTGCAAAGGATTCATAGTGCCAAATTATCTGTAAATAATCATGGTATGAAGTTTACAAAGTTTTGTTAGAATTGATATGTGGAATGGACTTTTCGTGGTGCACCTAGAGTCCATTCTTGAAGCATGACTCAGTAATCATATTGTTATTGCTTTTTTAACTCGGAAATTATTTGGTATGGTGGACCTGGTTGTAACAGCATCCTAATGGCTAAATCCATTCAGAACTACCAAATTTGCAACTTTTGAATGGCTTTACAGATTATAAAGAATGCTGATCTCGAGGAACTGAGGGAACTTGGTTCTGGCACATTTGGGACTGTATATCATGGAAGATGGAGAGGCTCAGATGTAGCTATCAAGCGCATCAAAAAGAGTTGCTTCACCGGCCGTCAATCAGAGCAAGAAAGACTGGTAGTTATTTCATTTATTTTTTTATCTTCAATATTCAATTGTGTTGTAAAAAATTTCCATATAGCATTTGACTGTCATGAACTAATGTCAATGCTTCAGATTTTCATGCTTTAAAAATAATTAGAAGTCACTTGAAAGTTCATGAGAAATCAATATAGAAAAAAGGAAGAAGATAAATCTGATGTTTTTTCTTTACCATCATTGTTACTTTGACGATAATACCTCTTGCAGACAATTGAATTTTGGAGGGAAGCTGAAATTCTCTCAAAGCTTCACCATCCAAATGTCGTTGCATTTTACGGTGTGGTACAAGATGGACCAGGGGGGACATTGGCTACTGTGACGGAATTCATGGTGGATGGTTCTCTGAGACACGTCCTACTTCAGAAAGGAAGGTATCACTTAAACGTGTGATTCATTCGTAAACTTGCAATTGCCTGCTGTTTCTTTTGCCAGTAGCTACAAAAACAAGCAACACAAACAGAGGCTCATAACAGCCATCTTTACTCATTGCCTCGTGTGATGTGTCGCTACTATTTTCCTTCTATAACAACTATATTAATATTGCCTTAAACTATTTAATTTATCATGCAGGAATCTTGATCGGCGCAAGAGGCTCATAATTGCCATGGATGCAGCTTTCGGAATGGAGTATCTGCATTCAAAGAACATAGTGCACTTTGATCTAAAATGTGACAATTTGCTAGTTAACTTGAAAGATCCTACGAGACCTATCTGCAAGGTTACATTACTTGAAACCAATGTTTATATGTTATTTTTTACTTTTCGAATCCTTACTAGCTTGTGAAGTTAAGGTTCATCAATGGCAAGACAATGATGGAACTAATTAGTGTCTGATACTGTACATTTTCTCAGGTTGGGGATTTTGGCTTGTCCAAAATAAAGAGGAACACCTTGGTTTCTGGTGGAGTTCGGGGAACTCTTCCATGGATGGCTCCGGAGCTGCTAAATGGGAGTAGCAATAAGGTTTCCGAGAAAGTAAGATGCTGCTATTTGCAAAGCTTTTAAATTAATCTAGAATAGTTGGAGAGTTCCTAATCATCGTTTTCATTGCTGTAACAGGTCGATGTTTTTTCATTTGGTATTGTCTTGTGGGAGATACTCACGGGGGAGGAACCGTATGCCAACATGCATTATGGTGCCATCATAGGTTCGTATAAATTCAAAATGTTATTCGTTTTGATACTTAGATTTAGGGCGTGTTTGTTTGGTGGTTTGAATTTTGAATTGAAATAGATGTTCAATGTGATATAAATAAATATTAATTTTAGTCTGATATAAAAAATAAAAATACTTATTAGATTGAGGGAAATTTTTTAAGATTAGTAAAATGTCTCAAAAAATCCGTGAACAAACACACCCTTATAGTTTTTGCTTGCAACAATTATAGTTGTGACCCAATGTTCCCTTGAACATTATCTCGAGCTGCTGAATTGCATCCTTTGTGGTATAAACATCGACCGAAACAAATCCTATCTTCTCTCATAAATAACATTTAGATGAATGTATACAAGGATTTGTTTGGTTTTAGTTTGAGTTTTTTTTAGTTTATGCTTAAATAATATTTTGATACGATTGTTTTATAAGAGAAATAGTTTACATTTATTTTTTTGTTTGAAACCAAAACCAAACAAACCCTTGACTGCTCGATCATATCTATCCTCGACTTGTTCTTGCTGGTTCCAAACATTATTTAGTTTGACATTCTATTCGTAAATTTCTTTCGACAATCAACAGGCGGGATCGTGAACAACACATTGAGGCCAACCATTCCGAGCTATTGCGACGCAGAATGGAGAAGATTGATGGAGCAATGTTGGGCACCTAATCCTTCATTAAGGCCGTCTTTCACGGAAATAGCGAGCCGGCTGCGCGTAATGTCTACCGCGGCACAGACAAAGAAGGCTGCCTCGGGTTCTTAGGTAAGAAAACTGTTTGTTTTTGTATTGTCTTTTAATCAAAATCGATAAATTTGTTGATTCAATTCGATGTGTGTACTAACTATGAAGTTCTGCAAAAAAATGGTGGTCTTGCTGTAATTTATGGATATATATTTGTGATCCACGATCAAGTTTTTGAGAGGACTACACCATAACCGAGACGTTAGAAATTCGATATTTGATTTGAAATTTTTCCAAGAAAAAAATGTTTCGATCAAAAATTGAAAACTAGTTGGGTTTGAATGAATGTTTGATTTTAAGTATTCACATTAGAAATTTTCTCAAAGTAAAAATATGTGAGCGTATTTGCTTGAGATTTGTTAGAAAGATATTTTCAAATATAGAGTTGTTTAATGTGATATTTTAAATAAAAAAAAGTATTTAATTAATATATTTTTAATATCCTATAATTCTAGATATAACAGTCAAGATATATTATTTTAGATAATGTAAATAAAATTATTCTTTTTCTGTCTATTTAAAATTAAAAAATCTATATTATTTTAATTTAAATAATATTTTAAAAAAAAATGTAACAAAAGAAAATAGTCTCCAAATAAGTCTAAAATTTTTTTACATAATTTTCAATATATATAATATTTATATATTTCTATTATTAAAATCAGTAATTTAATACAAAATAATTTTTTTATTATATTAACAACAAAATACTCAATACCTCACACAAAAAGACATGAATTAAAATAGTAAACAACCAAACAAGTTCTTCGCAATAAGTCATTGATCCTATCAATCATTTGTCCTAATTAATATGCACCTAAAACGACGCCGCATTGATAGTCTACTTAACGACATAAACACTGCGCCAAAAGGCCCAAACTCCGTCCCGGAAGCACCATGGACTCCCAACACCAAATAGATCTTGACCGTTCATTACTGCAGATACCACGCCATGAACGGCTCCGATCCCTCAGTTTCAACTCCAGGACCTTGACAAGACTCAGGCTGTCACAACAGTCTGCTTTTGTGGTTCATGTGTCCGTCGTCCAACCACAACTCGGGCATTCGATTTCCAGTAACGATCGAAGCTCCAAAAATCCAGCGCGCCATCGGAAATGGAGTCCCCGTTCAAAGTCGATGCACTCAAAGGCAAAGTCGCACTGCTAACGGGCGGCGGATCGGGAATCGGATTCGAGATTTCCGCCCAGTTCGGCAAGCACGGCGCCGCCGTCGCCATCATGGGACGCCGCCGGCACGTCCTTGACGACGCCGTCCGGTCACTCAAATCTCTAGGCATTCCGGTGATCGATCTTCACTTCTCTACTGAATTTGCTACTTCTTCATTTGAACTTTGTTTTCCCCAAAATTGTTGCCAATTAGCTGCTGCAATCCGAGGAATTGGAGCCCTAGGGTTCGTGATCGAATTATTCTATTCAATTTGTTGATTATTATATCTGATTTTTGTCAGGCTGTTGGATTCGAAGGTGATGTTAGAAAACGGGAAGATGCGCAGAGAGTGGTGGAGGCGACGGTGAAGCATTTCGGGAAGCTTGATATCCTTGTGAACGCCGCCGCCGGAAATTTCCTGGCGGCGGCTGAGGATCTCTCGTCCAATGGATTCAGAACAGGTCTTGCTCTAACATATTCTCATAATCAGTTTCCATTGGAGTTTTTTGCGAGTCTAATCCAAACAGAGAAGATTGCAGCTGAAATCCATTATTAGAATTATTTTTACAAAAATATTCATTTTGTTTGTAGTTTAAGTCAAAAATGTCCGAATTATCTTAAACACTTCCATTAACAATCAAAGTACTATTATTCCTGAATTCACTACAAAAGAAAAAAGCAAATGTATACTTTGGACTTGGAACGGAGGGAGTGTATTTTGTAATTATTCGATTTCAATATTAATAACATGTAACTTTGATATTCTGTAAAATCTTGGTACATCTTTCCTGTCAAATTTGTTTCTAGTTTTGTACTTTCAATCGTATGCCAATTTGTTCGGCAGCCAATCGATCTTAACCAAGTAGAAAATAACTGTGGGATCTTTTTCTCTTTCGAAAAACAAATTCATTCTTGTAGCCCTATCAAATATCAGTTGTACATTCAATTTTCTGTGGCAATCTGTTGTGATGGATTTGTATGATACAAAAAAATTGATGTAAAGTTTTGTGTATGCTTGGATTTTCATATATCAGCACTGATTGTGTAACATGAAACTACTTTCTGCAGTTTTGGATATCGACGCTGTTGGCACATTCACTATGTGTCGAGAGGCTCTTGAGTACCTCAAAAAAGGCGGTCATGGAAGAAACTCGTCTGGTGGTGGCCTAATACTGAATATCAGTGCCACTTTGCATTACACTGCTGCCTGGTATCAGGTCCATGTGTCCGCAGCCAAGGTTTGTGAATTCTGTGTTTTCCGTGAAGCATATTTCGATTTTTATACCCCAATTAGCACATTTGTTCAATTTCAATTCTAAGTCGAGTCTGGCTTTCTGAATTAAAGTTTTCATTTTCTGGCTTCAAATTGAAATTTCTTTAAACGGTGGAACCAAAATTGATAGATTGCTCGTACTTTGAAATTGATCCTTCTTATACGATAAACATGCTATTTTGTTGTTGCTATATATATATATATATACATGGATTTGTATGTATGAATGTCTTGAAGAAGTTTTTGCGGCGCTTGTGTCTCTTCAGGCGGCGGTTGATGCTCTTGCAAGAAATTTGGCTCTTGAATGGGGGACGGATTATGACATTAGAGTCAATGGAATTGCACCGGGACCGATTGCAGATACTCCCGGCATGAGCAAACTGGCTCCTGAAGAAATGACGAGTGGCAATTCCAGAGATCAAATGCCTCTTTATAGACTCGGCACAAAGTGGGATATTGCTATGGCTGCTGTTTTCCTCGCCTCGGATGCTGGTCTGTAATCTTTACCTTTCTCTCGTATATCCTATTTCAAACTAACTTTTAGAAGCATTTTTTTGCAAATGAATCGGGTTTTTGCTCAGATTATGCCTCTCTTTTTAAACTGATGGAAATCTTCCTCACTTAAAATTCAGTGTTAGTTAGGTTGAGTTTAGATATGTTATGGAAGTTTTGTGCGATATAAACATATGTTGGATATGATATTTTGAATGTTAAATCTTTAAGTGAAAATACATATTGGTTGTGGTTTTTTTTTTTTCAAATGAAAATGTTGATGAATAGTGTGAAAAGTAACGTAAATAGAATCTAATATACATTTTTGTAATTTTTTTAAATTTGATTATATGATTTGTTTGTTTCGGCTATTAGTTTTCTCGATTTGTTTGCTGAAATCGTTAATTTATAATAATGTGAAAAAGGGAAATACATAAATGGGAGCGTGATGCCGGTGGACGGAGGGCTTTGGCTTAGCAAGCCTCGTCATCTGGCGAAGGAGGCCGTTAAGGAGCTATCCCGGACTGTGGAGAGAAGATCTCGTGTAGCACCTACCGGCACTCCTTCGAGCAAGCTATAGCCAACCTACGGGGACTTTGGGATCGAATCAATTGAATAGGTAAAGATGCTCGAATTTGAATTTGTGGCTTGGTTCTCTTTCTATTTCTATTTATATTACATGGTAAAGTGAATCTTCAAAAATGATGTTTAAGGCTTCAGCATAAGCTCATGTCTACTTTGCATGATGAATTGCGTGTGTTAAGTGATTTAGTAATAAGTATTTGATGTAATATATTTCTTACAAAATTATCATTGATGAAGAGCAAAAAATTTTGCTATGCATATGTAAACAAAGCCCCTAGTCTCTTATGTGTGTCTATATATTTTTTTAAATGACTTAAAGAACGTACCGTTGCTATTTGAGTGTTCTATAGATTTTATTATAGTATTATTATATTGAGTTTTATTGTATTTTGGATTATAATAATGCATCGTAAATATATATTATTATATTGAATAAAATAGTATTATTATATTTCACAATCTAATTATCTAAAGTAAATACATTTTTTTAAGTGCAATAAGTTTTTATATATATTATTTTAAAAAATACATATATGTATATTAACATAATATATATATAATGTATATTTTATTTGTTTAAAAAAATAATAATTTAATATAAAATATTATATTATAACAAAGTGAAGAGATTTTATGTTGATTTGATCATATTAATATGATAGTTGGTTTCATTTAGTTTACACATATACTTTCTCATTTTCAATAGAATTTTTTTGTCTTGTTTTTTTATATTATAATAAAATTATTTATACATTTCAAATTATTCCTAATGATTACTCTAATCTATTTTTTAAAATTATTTAAAAAAAAAAATATTTTAGTTTTTTATTTTCTACTTTATACCTTCTTGTGCCCACTTTCAATAGACATCTTTTTTGGAATGAAGGAAGTATAATTTTACATAGCCAAGTATATTAATTGATTTAAGTACAATAACAATATTTATACCATGTATAGCATTTTCAAAATACACTTGTAAAATAGCCGATTTTTCATGCCATAAAAAATAAAATAAAAAATAAAATAATAATAATAATAATGCACCTGTAAAAATTATATTTAAAAATAGAATTTGTATACTATAATTTTTAAGTGAGACTTAGAAAAAATAATACTATGGAACAATTTTTATTTTATTTTATGTTATAGTATTTGCGGAGTGTAGTGGAGAGTGGAAAAGTGGAGAACCTGAAAATCATCGAAGCTCTCATTTTATCTTCAACCAGAGGTTGCCTATCGATAAGAAACAGGTGCCCAATCCCATTTCTTTCTTCATTCTCCACACAAATTCAATCCCTCTCTCTCCTAATCCTTATTCTCCAATTCGCCTCCGTCCATGGCGTCCACCGCCGCTTCCCCCGCCTTCTGCGCCATTCCCAAGGCGGCGGCCTCCACCGCCAGGGCTGCCGCAGTCTCCTCCCCTCGATTCCTCGCTAAACCCTCCCTCCGCCGCCTCGGCTTCTCCTCCGCCACCGCGGACCCCCTCCTCTCCCACCACGTCGCCGCGAAGCTAATGTCGTTCAGAACCTCCTCGAAGCCGGTGCGCGGCGTCGCCTCGATGGCGAAGAAGAGCGTCGGCGACCTGTCCGCGGTGGACCTCAAGGGGAAGAAGGTGTTCGTCAGAGCGGATCTGAATGTGCCTCTGGACGACAATCAGAACATCACGGATGACACAAGGATTCGAGCTGCTGTTCCGACCATTCAGCACTTGATCAGCAATGGCGCTAAAGTCATTCTCTCCAGTCACTTGGTCAGTCGTCTCTCTCGACTCTGCTAAAACCCTAATTTCATTTTGTTTTTTCACCTGAAACTGTCCCTGGTTACTACTGATTTGAAATTCGTTGTGCATTTGTGTTTTTCCATTAATTGATGAAAATTGATTGAGATTTGCCTCTCGAAAATTGTCTCTTATTTACATCATCTATATCTGAATCTGCTCGCTTCGTGTTTGTTGTAAATTAGAAACTCTCCAGTTTTCCATGGCTATGCAGCGATCATATACCGTAGTTTTGGAGTGTTTTTGGATTTGAACATCATTTATGGGAAGTAGTTCATGTGATGATGTTGTTAGTAACTTAGCATAGTATTGAATGCAAACTTAATCGTTACTTGTTCTTCTTTTATAATCTAACGAAGATCAGATTATATATAGTCTTAGGATTGCGGTGTCAAATGTAATTAAACATATGTCGAATCATATAAGAAATCTGCTAAATCATATCAAATACTTCTCTGTTGAACAAAACAGCACAGACGAATCTGATGAATCAAAATACTCAGGCATTCATATCGTTTTGGGATTGAATCTTTTGACACAGATATTTTGTTGTTTTACTCGTATGTCGATTTCATTCTAATACCTAAATAATCCAGGGCCGGCCGAAAGGCGTCACCCCAAAATACAGCTTGGCGCCCATTGTTCCTCGGCTATCCGAGTTGCTCAAGATTCAGGTAATTACAATCCATCAAACACACATTAACTCGTGTACATACGCATTATACATAAATATGTTTTTACATGGAGAGAAATCGATCCAGGTTGTGAAAGCCGACGATTGCATTGGCCCGGAGGTTGAGAAACTGGTGGAGTCACTCCCGGACGGCAGCGTCCTTCTGCTCGAAAATGTTCGGTTCTACAAAGAGGAAGAAAAAAACGACCCCGAATTCGCAAAGAAACTTGCTGCATTAGCTGATCTATACGTAAACGATGCATTTGGCACTGCACACAGAGCGCACGCTTCGACTGAGGGCGTCACGAAATTCTTGAAGCCCTCAGTCTCTGGTTTCCTTCTCCAAAAGGTTAAATGGCTCAACTTGAAACGATTATTAATTTTTAATCGTTGGATTGATTTCTTTTTGGTTGTTTACCTTCGATTTTTTTGCATTTGTTCTGTTTAGGAACTCGACTATCTCGTTGGCGCTGTTTCGAGCCCAAAAAGACCGTTTGCCGCCATTGTAGGCGGATCGAAGGTCTCGTCTAAGATCGGAGTGATCGAATCGCTGCTCGAGAAGTGCGATATATTGCTGTTGGGCGGCGGTATGATCTTCACATTTTACAAGGCGCAAGGGCTGTCTGTTGGATCGTCTCTAGTCGAAGCTGACAAGCTCGATCTTGCCACGTCACTCCTGCAAAAGGCGAAGGAAAAAGGGGTCGATCTCTTGCTGCCGACCGATGTTGTTATAGCTGACAAGTTCGCTCCCGATGCAGACAGCAAGGTGCTGTGAGGTTTTGGTAATTCTGTCCGAAGACTCGAGTTTTATTACTGTATTGTCTTAAACATGAAAAGCATTGCAGATTGTGCCGGCATCTGCAATCCCGGATGGGTGGATGGGTTTGGACATTGGCCCTGACTCTATCAAGACGTTCAACAGTGCCCTCGAGACTACTCAGACCGTCATCTGGAATGGGCCTATGGGCGTGTTCGAGTTCGATAAGTTTGCGGTCGGGACAGAGGTACGCTATTTCTTTGTGAATTCATTCTTTCCGTCGAGACATAATTTCACTTGTGGGCGCGTTCGTTTGAAGTTTGGATTCGATTTTAGAGTAAATGGTAAAAATTTGAATCGAAATTATATTTGATGTGATATATATCTATATATGATAAGCTGTCTTAAATAAAATTTTAGTTTTTTTTTTTAATATAAATAATCGAAAATTTTGATAAATAGTGCAATCCTGGTTTGAGACCTCACAGGAATACACCCGTAATTATTAGGATATGTTTATTTAAGGTCTGGTTGTGAAAACGTTTGTTTTTTTTTTTTAATTTGGAAAGTATTAAATCAAATTATTATTTTTATTTAATATATTATAAAAAAGAAAAGAGAAGGTAAAATTTTAGTTCAAACTCCTAACTATTATTGCTTTTGTCCGTCAAATTTAGTTTTAATTTTTTTTAATCGATTTGTTAAATTTATTCCATTATTAAATTGGGCAAGAAATGCATTTGTCTGAGGGTCTGAATTTTGAGTTTTTATTTGAATAGTAAATTTTGAATTATTTTGAGCTAAATGTGGGGTCGGTCGGCACAGGCAATAGCGAACAAGCTGGCGGAGCTGAGTAAGAAGGGAGTGACGACGATCATCGGCGGGGGAGATTCGGTGGCGGCAGTGGAGAAGGTGGGGGTGGCGGAGGTGATGAGCCACATCTCGACTGGTGGCGGCGCCAGTTTGGAGTTGTTGGAAGGGAAAGAACTGCCGGGCGTGTTGGCCCTCGACGAAGCTGTCCCGGTCCCGGCGTAAGAAGGTGACCGGCGTGGCGTTTACATCAATTAATTTTTTGTTACCATAATATTCCGGTGACCGGAATTATGTTTGTTTTCTTGCCCATGGATTGGTTTTGTGTTTGTGTTGTAAACGAAGGAAATTTAATGAAATATATATATATATAATAAAAATAAAATAATTAAAAACTAAATAAAAAAAGAGGTATGTATAGATATATATATACTAGGGCAATAGTCATATTCTTCTCAAATATAAAAAAAAAAATACATAGCTATATATGATAGTTAAGATATATATAATATATCAGGTAAATTAAAAATAAATAAATTTTTTTTGGAAATAAAATATTGAATTACATTAATTTTTCATAAAAATATTGTTATTATAATTTTTCTAAGTCTAAAATTCTTAAATTAATATAAATTTTCATAAATTATAAACTTTTAAAAATTAAAGATTCTAAATTAATATAATATTCTAAAAAAACTTAAAAACTAATCAAAATTATTTTATTTAAGTTTTTTATTCTACAAAATTCCAAAAAAAAAATACAGTACTTGAAATTGAGATGATAGACCTTCATTCTAAAAATATATGATATATATATTAGATTAGACATGAAAGATGGAGTTAAAAAAAAAAAAAAAAAAAAAAAAACATTGCTAATAGAATGATAATATATTATTATTATTATTATTATTATTATTTATAAATAATAATTTTATTTAAAAAGAAATAATAAATATATCATTTTCAATTTGAATAAAAGAGTAAATAAAAATAATAAAAACTTGTTTTTTGAAAAAAAAGTAGGAAAAAAAATAATAAAAACTTGTTTTTAAAAAAAAAAATAGGAAGAAAAAATAACAATTTACTATCCGATCGCGATGGGACTCGAACCCACAATCTCCCGCTCCGGAGGCGAGCGCCTTATCCATTAGGCCACGCGATCACTTTTGATTAAATTTATAAATAAATAAATATTTAACGCAGTTTAAAAGTTCAAAATTATAAATTTTCATTTGTAAATATTTTATAAATTATATTAATAAATAAATAAAATTATAGAAATTATAAATATTTTAGAATATACCAAATAAAAAATACTAACAATCATATTAGTACGACAAAAGTTTATAGTAAAAACTCTCTCTATATAATTTAATTAATACAAAATTGTAGTTATAATTATTAACCCGCAAAAACAGAAAGTGATCATTTGTTTTTTTAAGCTAGTAATAACTAAGTCGAAAATGTCTTCCCGGTGGCTCCCCTTCTTTACTATCACCGTGTACGACTCCTCGTCCGTCGGTACAAACTCCTCTTTGTAATTCACGTCCCAACCACATATGCTCAAGTCCCAAATCATCGTTTTTCCGACCTAAAAGCATATGTTTTTGTGTCATTACCCTGTTCGGATCAGATACTGACATACAATTGCTAGCAATAACAAAATAATCATACTATTCGATAAAGTTGTAAATTCAACCAATTATGTCGAGTAATACGATCATTTTGTTGTTTATTAGCAAGTTCTCAGCGTTTTACTTCAAAAAAATTGTATCTATGGATTTTTTAGGTTTGTTCGTTGGATCACCTCTGGCATCGGGATTTCTACGGTTCCGGTTGCGCCGGCCTTGATTACAACTTGAGAAGCTGTGTCTTGCGTGGAGAACTCGGGATCATCATCTCTTTGTAGTCCTCCGTACTTCATCGGTATTTGCTCCACGGCAATGCACCTATCGCCATCACCGTTGTTAAGAATGTACATTGCGTTTTTAAGTTAAACCGAGCATAAAAACGTTGGGATTACTTGAGAAGCGTTTCGGTGACGCTTGATGGTCGACTAAAGATGAACTTGCTCTTCGCCCGTTGCGTTAGGAACGGCGACAAGAGCGCGTTGAACGCATAGTACCAAAACGGGACATTGATGAAGATCTATACCAAAGATGAGAAGATCGGTATGAGCGCGAATATAACCAAAGGTAAGATTTTTAGGCGAGTTGACGACAAACGCACATTTTTGGCGACAAACTCGGGATAATTGTCTTGAAGGATCTCAACGGCTCCTCTCGTGGCGAGCCGGAGATCCTTCCTCGACGGCACGGGAGCATTCTTGAGATCGTTAACTTGGATCATCGACGATATTCCACCGGGCTGAAAATCGAGCTTCCGAATCTCCTTCTCCAATAATCGCAACCTCCATCGCAAGAATCGATCGCGCCCGGCCTCCGAACCGAACGTCCGGTTGTACATTGCATCGTCGGCAAACACACCGTATACGTTGTAGCATATCGGGTGGCCGTCAACGCCGGAGCCCTTCATGTAGCCGAAGGCGGCGTATTCTTCGTCGGCGTCGTCGCCAGAATTGTCTTCAGCGATGGCGTCGATGTTGTTCTGCCTCCGCCATTGGAGAGTGTTTCTAAGCATTTCGAAGGCGTCGCTAGCCTTGTAGTCCCGGGCCCTCAGGAACTTTAGGAGGACCTCGTCTGTGCATTTATCGCCCTTGCTCGGCAACAATGGCACCCCCCAGATTGAGACGTCTTTGTTAGATTTTTCTTCTGTGGAAGTTTCTGGAACTTTCTCGAATTCCTCGGTGCTCTGCAATAGCTTGTTTTTGACAATGGCGTGTTCGACCATCGATCGGAGCTCGGCTAATGCTTTCTTCTCGCAATCGTTCATGTCGGAGATGGAATTCTTCTCGGCGTTCGTCGGAGAAGCTTCGCCGTCGGTTGCGCCGGATGTGGACGGAGCTTCTTCCGCCTTGACGGTTCCTTCCGTGGCTTCGTTCTGCGGCGGCGCGTGGTTGTCGCTTGCCTGAATGTGCTTTTCTTTAGAGTCGGTGACCGGCGCGTGGATCTCACCTTTTCCGATCTGCTCCTCTTTAGCTTCAGTGACTGGAAACGGAGGCGCGTGGATCTCATTTTTTTGGATCTGCTCCTTCTCTTTACCTTCGGTGACCGGAGGTGGAGGCGCGTGGATCTCACTCTCCTTTGCGGCCGCGTTTTTAGCGTCAGTTACCTGCTGTGGTGGCGCGTGGTTACCACTTTCCTTCGAAACCTCCGCGGCGTTTGCTTTCCCGTCGGATTTCGGAGCACTTGCCGGCGCATTTTCCTTTCCATATTCCGTCGCCGGAGACGGCCGCAGAGGTTCGTTATTTCGATCGATGTCGTCTCGATTCGCGGCTTCTCCATTTCCTCCGGCGACGCCTTCCGGCATCTTCGCCTCTCCTCCAGCACTTCCGCCACCGCCATTTCTTCCAGTTTCCATGTCGTACAGCAGAAGAAGATGAACATGGCAACATACAGATCGGTTTATAATGTTGAAATGGATCGATGGAGTGCCATCCCTGATTTCCCTCCCTTCCTCTGATGAATGGCCATTCTTGTGCTTTTTGAAATCAACGGCCTGTGATTCTCGTCGCATCCTTAGCGCAATTTGGACCGCTGATGTACGCGGCGAGTCGCAATTAATTGAAAATATACATTGTATGCTAATCTTCGAGGCAAGTCACAATTAATTCGATTTTCCTTTAATTTGATACCCCTATTTCTAATTATAAATTTAAAATATAGCATCAATTACACAGTACTATTTTAATTTAAATTTTAGGTATTTTCAATCTCTAAATATAAATACAAACCATTAAAAACAACACCCTATATTTACACAACAAATAATGTAATGTAATGTAATGTAATACCTCATTTACTCATAATACCCTTTCAGCTTCGGCATTCATCTTCTCAAACACAAACTCAACACAACCAAAATCCACATCAAAACCATAGCTCTGCCCTCCATACACCTCATGCAGATAAACCTTCCCGGCCGGCAGAACCTCTTCGATTTCCGGGAAGTCGTCTCCCGGCCGGCGAGGCCGATCTTCCTTCAGAGAGTAGTACACATCGGCCAGAAGTAGCCAGACGAGATCCGGGTCGATAGAGGCTAGTCCCACCAGAGCATTTACGCAAGAATCTCGAAGGCCCTTTACGCCGCTGCACGCTATTCCAACTACGATGCCGGTGACCCTTTTGAGGACTGCTTCCAACGCTGGAGCACTTCTTTTGTTCCCCGATAACTCCGCGATCATGTCGAGGATTGCCGCCTGGACTTTGAGGTTGGACGTCTCGGCCGGTGCCGAATCATCGGGGCCGCGCCTGTAAGGAAGCTGTAAAGGTGCCCTGTCTTCTTTGGAGAATGGTTTCTTGTGAAATGGGGATGTGGTTAGAAGCTTCCAGATATGGACACCGTCGGAATGGAAGCGCCGTGTGAAGAAATCGCCGCCGCAGATTGGCACTACATTGCTGATCGTGCGGCAGCAGCTTCGAACGGCCTGTGGAAACGGAGGGAAATTTTAAGGCGGCAGTAATTGTTTAGATTTTGCGCTAAAAAAGCAGGGAATGAAAGATCGCTTACGACTAGATTCTTGTTCCGGAAACAGGCGATGAAGAACGGCCAGATTTTGTTCATAGCAGGGAGCAGTCGGTTCTCGACAGTGTCATCCTCGGAAGCACCGAGAGTGTCCATCAGATTGTAGAATGATTGTGACTGTATGAATTGCTCGATTGTCTCCTTCGTCTCAGTCTCGCGTTTATACGCTTCTTCCACTTTTGCAAGTACCGTAATACCATCCTACAAGAGAATTGAGAGATAAAATTCAGAGGATAAAGAGTATTAATAGTTGTTTTTCTCGGAATCTGAAACCAAAAATTTCTACGGGAAAGGTGTTGGATTTATACCTCGACGACATCCAGCGCTGTCAAACATTCTGCCGGATCAGTTGCAGCAATTAATGGAGTTACAGCAACTAAACAAGAACCGGCAATCGATCCAACTATTCGCCTGTATCTTTTGGAGTCGTTGAACTTGAACAAAATCAGCTCCCATTCCTCCTCTTTCATCGTAGAAACTCCACCTATTTTGGAATAAAGCCAATATAATAACAAGTTTCGAACATAACATGTTTCAGAGCCTTCTCTGACCATTCTTTACGATTAATTAAAGATATACTCAACATACTGACTCTGATGACGAATCACAGTATTGGCTATCTAGTAAACCTTAACCAGTTTTTTTAACTTTTGAAAGTACTTACAAGAACTCATCTATCAATCGAACGGTATTATTAGTTATTACAAACATAGAGTCTTGGAATGGACAAAGATGCTTACTTGTTTGAATTGAAATCTTTGAGTTGACCTCGTCCTCGTACGTCTTTGCTCTTGTAGATAATTTATAAGCCTCGTGCTTGGAGGCTTTAGCTATTTCAGCAACTGCCTAAACATGGGAATAGCATACCTTAGGCTGTCGATTAATTATCACTGCAAGAAACTACTGCTAAGAAAATTGTTACAATATATTAAGGTAACAGTGAATCAGCACAGAAGTTGGTTCGGTAACTAACTGTTTTTTTTTTGAGGTTTTATTTTGATTTTTTACTATTCGGTCTTTTTTCTCAAATAAAACATCACATCAAACTATTATTTTAACTAAAATTCCGAATACTTGAAAGCTAAAAAAAACATAAATATCTAGTATTTGTTAGCATGATATGTTTAATATCCTCTTGCAGTGTTTTTATAAGTATGCAATCGAAATAGTGAAATAGCATAAATACAGAAAGATGATCACCTTCAAAAAGGAGAGGGTCAAATTAGGGTGTTGATGCCTGCCAAGAATTTCAAGCTCCATAGAGACTGCTCGCATCTGCACAATTCCCGTGCATCACGTTACAAGAGTAGTGAACATAAATCAAAGAAGAAACGCCTCTGATTGAAGCAAATATCATCACAACACGACAAAAACAGGAGTGCCCAAATATATCTGACACGTACCGGCTCTTCCAATAATGGTAATATTTTATCAGCCACGCCAACGTAGGAAAGCATGGCAGAAAGAACATTTGGCACGTGCGGGCTAAGATCTAAGTGACGAAGTTGCCTACACACTGAATCGATCACATAGTCTGCATTTTCTAGTACCAAGTGACCCACCTGCAAGTGTTTTATTTAGTTATTATCGATTGGAACACACTAGACAAATGAATAATCATCATCTATACTCACAGTTTGACAATCTTGAGCAACGGAGATAGCACGTAGGACAGCATCAGCTGCTCTGCTGACTTGGAAATTTGAGCAAATAACATTTTCAAGCAACATATAAAGTGATTGGTGAAGGAACCCACAAGTTGAAAAATCTTTTCCTAGACAGATGTTAAGTACACCAATGCCTTCAATAATAACCTGTCAAAAGAAAATTCGATAAGTTATTATTTACACACAATGGTCTTCCAACTGAATGTTGAGATATGATTAATCAAAAGAGCACAGTGTACAGTACAGAAACCTGATGGAGCATAGCATTGTCGTTTAAAAGATGCAAGTTTATGTCTCCATCTTCATTGGCTTGGTCACGAGAAGATAATCCAAGAGGAAGATCCCAGATTTCTGGTGATAAATACTCGTGTAAGATAGTTCCAACACAATCAATCAATTGATTTCTCACACTATTATTCTGATTCTTCTTTTGGACCCAATGTGCGGCTAAAGAAATTTCTGATTCTTCCGGACCAGATCGAAACATTCTAACAATATAAGAACTCCCCTCATCGGACAGCGCAAACATCATTTCATTCAGAATACAAGCAGCCGTGCTAGCCTGACGCACCAATTTCCCTGAACTGATTCTATTGAACCACGAATGCCAGCTTTCCTTACTGTATTCTTTTGTTCGCAACTCATATATCAAGTTCCGCAAGTGTCCCAGTAGAATATCAGTTAAAACAGAATAAGATCCCTCACTTCGAGAATCTACAAAAAAGTAAAGTTGGTAGGGTGTAAGGCTGAATCACTCAGTATGAAAGAATTCTTTGGAAGAAGGAAGATGGAAAAGAAACCAACCTGCAAATGTAAAAAGACTAACAAGTCTGAGAACTCCGGAAAGAGCCTGGTATAGTTTCTGACTGCTTGCATTAACAAGCCAAGGAGGCATGCTGGGCGGCTCATAATCATTTCTTACATGCTCATATGGATACGAGACTTTCCTCTTTTGAAAACCTAAAGACTCAGAATTGTGATCACTGGCACTGACAATAGATTTGATCTCTAATATAGAATGCATAAACCCAGAAGATGAAGTTCTAGCAGAAAGCTTGTTAAGTGAACCAGCAAAAGCAGAGTTCTGATTGAAACAGAGGGCAAACATGTCCAAGAATCGAGCAGATGTCACCTAGACAACATCAATACTAATATAAACAATAGAGAATACAATTGTATTAAAAAAAAATGAAGATGCTGAAGCTGAGGGAAATTTAGAAAAATAAACATCATCTTGTGAATTTACAACTTTTCAAATAGGCAGGAAACTTAGGTGTGAGAATAAAGCATTTTCATGATTACAAGCAAGCATTGCATTGCTTGGTATCATGTTAAATACCAGAGCTATACAAAATGGATAAATCATAAATAAAGTAAGAGAATAGGACAGCGATCATACAGGAGATTGAAGAACATAATCTGCAACAAGTTGGGGACCACCAAAATATGTAACAGCAAGCAACTTCCGGACATGCAATAGCGCAACTAACTCCTCATTAATGAGTATGACTTGAGGAAGCTTTTCAACTAGCCTGTAGATTACACACAGAGAGAGAGAAACATGCATACATGAATATATATGACCATACCAGCTTTTATGAGAGAATCGGCCAGGACCAAAGTTGAACAGTAAATAGATAGAAGTTAACCTGTTAAAAAGCTCAGCAATATTGCTCTGTAGTTCAGGCTTCCCTTCAGATGAAACTAGGGATGCAAAAAATGTCTGGGCATTGGAAGAGACATCTTCAAAATCATCACAGACCAGAGCACAAAGACACTCCTACATCAGCAAGCAATGCAAAATTTCAACTTAGCTTCATCTACTTATGATTTTCATGAAGTGGTAATCATATATTATAATATTCAGAGAAGATAATGAAGGACTGAGCCTCATTTATCCAGCTCACCAAAAACATCAATCTGCTGTGTTTGAGAGTGCAACTGCATTTACACAAAAGGGCCTCCACGGAAGCCAAAAGTCCCAGCTTCACTTTTCTGCTTGAATGAGCACAAATCTGAAAACCGAATATCAAATAAATATAACCGCTGACACTGGAAAACCATATAGTCCCAAAAAGGATGACCATTATAGACCTACATGAGGAAATGTTGCTGATAATAGCTTGTTAATATGAGCAGCAGTAGTTGCTAACCACTCAGCTGTACGTTTTACACGCAGCGATCCATCTTTAGTATTAGCTTCGGTCAGGATGGAATCCTTTCCAGACACTATAGCATTTTGCTCCCCAGACTCAATTGAATCTTCAATGTTATTATGCACTGAATTTTTAACAGGTAGCTGACGCAGTTTCTCAACCAATGACATCAGAGGTTTTTCTTTGTTTGAGTGGTAAACAGAAATATCATCCTGGAAGAAGCCAAGATTGGATGTGTAGACTTCATCGCCAAGAACTATAACAAGATATTCAGCCATTGCTCTAATTGCCTGATCTAAGGCTTCAGGGCTTCCAGCTGCACCACTGAGCATTGATCTTGATGCATTCAATACTTTCCCAATTTGGCTAACAACACCTGGTAAATAAAATGCCAGCGCATCTGCAGTACCGACCTGGAAGTTCCACAGAGAAATTAAGTCAATGCCCATAGGCAACATCACATACACTTTGTAACACAAACCAATAAATCATAATATATTATACAGGGATAGCAGCTCCTCTGTAGGTTCCAGAAAAACAGAGAATTGACTATCCTGCTTGTTAAATTGATGCTTATACCATATACCAATAGCTAGATCTTGAGATGCACTAATATCATAATTAATTTCATGTTCTTTTCTTTCTTGGACCGGATGCAAATGGTAATATATCAGGAAAATATGACCAGAAGTTACTTGACCCCCAAGATGTGTTAAAAGAAAGATCATACCAACATTACTGTAGATTATGACTAACTTAATTAAAGGTCATGATTCTCCTATTCAGTGGGCGATTTTTACCCTGGAGTAAAATCATTAGTAATGCTAAGATAGAGAAGCACCTTTCAACTATTTGGATTTATCGCCTAGTTTCGTTTAACATACAAAAGTAAATAAGTCATATAGTTGTTCGAATTTAAAGAAAAAAACAACAATAAAAGCACCTTTGCAACAAGCACTCTAAGTGTTGTCAGGGCTCCAATGCGAATCCTTGAGCTACCCCTATGACCTCGCATGGCCTCAATATCTGCAGCCTTCAAGTACATATCAAGTTAGGCAGTTGGAAGAATCATACGAATGGCATGTGTTAGACCAAATCTTGTCAAGAAACAGTAATCATGATCAGAGGAAAACACATGCCTTGAGCAAGAGAGAGAGCCAATGTCCAATTGCAGGAGAAGCAAGTTCAGACTGAAGAAACGCTAATAGACATTCTTCTGACACTGAATTACATTTTGATCTACTTGAAACAAGTAAGCCCGACCTCTTTTCAGAGGGAAGAATTGGCCAATCACATGCTTGCTTGCATAGGCAGGAATCATCAGAACAAGAACACAAATTTAGAAGCAGTGCCCGAAAACACCTTATAACTCCTTCACGGAACTCTTCTGAAGCTTCTGATGGAGAAAGCATTGCTCCATTCGCCAATTTCTTCAGTATCACGACCATCTATAAGTGAACTAAAATTAGTGCAACAGAAAACATATCCAAGTTCAACTTCCAGGTGCAACAACTCAAGACAATTAGAGCAAGAGACCCATAACTTTTTCCTTGCTAAGACCTATAAAAAGTTACGAATGATGCGGAATATAATAAGTAACTAATAGACAACTTGATTCTGAGCAATTAAAGTACATAATATTCGTAAAATGACAATGTTATTTCGTATACCTGATTAATAGATCCTAACTGACACTTCTTCAGGATTTCCTCCAAGCAAAGAACCACGGCTTCTGCCACAGAGTCGCTCACTTTATGTGTTGCCACCGAGTCATGTAAATCTAGAGATACATCTTTGGTGTCAAACTTCCTTGAGGATCTACAGTTTACTGCTGCTTCAAATAGAAGCAGCAATGGGGACAGAGTAAAACTGAAAAATGAAACCACAAGCAGTCAGCCATCAAACAATGAAAACAAACATAATTTAATTTTCAAGAAAGGGACAACATTTTACATTCAATTACAGCACCATCTTGTAAAATGGCAATAGTTTCCAACATAGAGCTCAAGTAAAAGAGATTTATCCTATCATTTTCCAAATTATGACTTCGTATCTGACTTAAATTCTTTATAAAAGAAATAAGAATTGATCCTTATCAGACGCCCAGGATTTTATTTCAACTATAATACTTTTAGAGCAAAACACAGCAATCAACTCCACAATTCTATGTAATCGATCATCGAATGAGTAAAACAAATCCAAACTCGCTTAGGGAACAATGGCATTTATGACCCCATAAAACTTTTAATTATTGACTGCAGTAGCTCACCATCTAAGATCTTATGTTCTCCAAATTCGTATGAGAACATCAACATCTTAAGCTATCAGTAGAAAGCAAAGCTACATTTTTTCTCTGAACAACATAGAGAATCCAGCACTCCCAAATACTGTAAAATCTATTTAAAATATCTGTACAAATATCCATCACTCTTCATCCATGAATCATCTCTACCCTTCCCTAGACCAGAAAAACTAACATAACAACGCTGACGACGGAAACACAAAGTCCTTATAAACGCAAAGTGATAATAAAAAACGGATGAAACGAGGCGTACTCCAACAACGGCTGGAGAGACCGGCGCGAAGACCTCCGGAGAAGCTCGAGAAGTCGAGGAAGGAAGGCGTGATTCTTCTTCGGATTCTGAAGCAGTTCCAGCAACTGGACGCAATACAGTCTCAGCTCCACAAACAAGCCGTCGTCTTGACTATCCTCTTCGACTTCAACAACCATTTCTGTTGATCTTCCGTTGGAATCTTCCATTCTTTTCCTTGCAAAATCAACACTCGGAACGAATCCCTTCGATAAATTCAACCTCCCATCAAAGAACCTGGAGGTTTTGGGAAGACGACGAAGGGTATAATCGTCATTGCATGTAATTAGAAATGGACTTGTTGGGCTCTCTAATATGGATCGGATCCAGTAATAAATGGGGCTATAATTTGGGTTGGAGCCTTTTATTCCAGACCTATAATTAGACTTGCCCAACCGCTTTCGAACCAGTTCTCCTGTTTCAGAGCGGCGATTCCGGTCGAACCGTACCTCTAACGAGCAAAACCGAACCTGTCTATGTTTTGAACCGTAAACCGTCGGGTTTTTTGTTTTTAAAACTGTTTTCTTTCCCAAAAAAAAAAATCCGAAATCGGACGTGGAATGAAGAGTGGGTGTGGTAAGGGTGTATTTTATTAAAAAGATAATAATTAATAATCTCAACTTAGCAACGCAGTAACTTTTTTTTTTTAAATGTATTAAAATATAATAATAATATTTTTTTAAAAATACTATACTAAAATATTATTTAAAAATTAAATTTATATTTTAAATATCGTCAAAATATTATTTCAATTCAAAATTTTATTATTCTTTCTATCTCGTATCTATGTATCCGTTTGTTATTTATGAGTTTTAGAAATATTATTATTATATTAAAATATAATAAGAATAAAATAGAAATGACTAAAATAACTCTGATATAAATTAATGATATTTATATAATATATTGTAAGTTGCAGGTATTTGTAATATTAGATAGATAATACAGTTATTTAAAATAATTATTATGAGACAAATCAAAATTTAAAAATTAAAATTAAAATGAATAGGTTATTAAGGGTAAGAGGAAGTATTTAAAACCAAAGCTCAAGATCAAAATATCACCGGTAGAGACACCCTATATTTTTACTAACAAACACACGCTTAAAAGTTTGGGGTAGAAATTCCCCATACGCAAACTACGTGGAATTTTCTAACATTTCGGGAATCAGACACTATCATGTGCACGTATGCCAAGTTCAATGCATCAAAACAGGCGGTCTGGATCGGCTCCAAATTTGAGTCTCAGCCGTCCATTTTCATCATTTATTAATTAAATACAAAATTATGCTCTCATCGCCATTATTCATATACCCGGGATCTGCGAAACTTGCACATGCATATGACAAGACTCGAACTCAAGACCTAGCCTAGGCTTTGATACCATATCGGAAGCTAATGACCGTCTCACCTAAAAGTTAAAATTTGTTAAAAGAACTAAACTATTATTCATATATCCGCAAACAAGAGTCCCAACAGGATGCATCTAAAAATAGTTAATTACTGTGTTAAGGTATAAAATTCAGCATGCGACAACATGCATACAAACAAAAAAGGACGGCGGTAGTCGCGTAAGGGCTGAAGTTGAACTTGTGACCATGAGGTCATGGATTCAAACCCTGACGACTCAAATCATCTGCCACACATGAGCTTTCGGGTAGTGTATATATTGAAAAATATAAATAAGCAAATTAAACATAAAATAAACCCCAAATAATTGTTTTATATATATTGATAGATGGGGGATAAATTTAAAACCCTAAATTAATCAACCAACCAAGCAAGGAATGTCTGTCACTTATCCAATCACCTAAGTCCACGTGTCGATATAAACCATCAACACGTGTCCCTGTCTGTATCGTCTCCTCCAACCAAATATTGAGAAAAAAAGAAAGGTCTTACCTCTCAGCGCTGTTCGATTAAAATTAGATGTCAATATTTAAAGGCAGAGAAGGAAAAGTCACGGCGCAACGGAGTTCGAATCAGGACCAAGATCCGGGACCTTATGAGCACTCTCCACTGGACCCTGATCCACCGGCGCCACGTCACCGCCTCCATTGACAAACTCATTCGGCAGCTCGAGCTCTGATTCCAACAACATCAAAAACTGTCCGTAATCGCCGTCCACCTCATCCACAGATCCTCCAACAGAATTCCCCTGCGACGAGTCTTCACTAAGCATATCGAAGAGCTCCGAGTAATCGTCGTAAGGCTCGAACGGAATCTCGATTATGAAAGAATCGCCATTGTCAGGGTTTGCAAGAACTTCCTGCGGCGGCGGCGGCAGGATTTCCTCCGTCCCCGTCGTCAAAGTTGAGCCGTACGATGATGTCGGTGACTCAGACATTGGCTGACAGTCACCTGCATTAATAATCCCTGCTGCAGCAGCAGCAGCAGCAGCAGTATTATTGTCGTCAATAACCATGGAATTTGGGTCCTTCTTCATTACTATCACTTCGGTGACAACTGGAAACCCTAATTCAGGTTCAGTGGGCGTTGCTTCGGTCACATGGCTGTGACCGGAGGCCTCTTCCGTCACAGCCATCAGCTTCTTCTTAATGCTTGTGTTCCAGACATTCTTAATCTCATTGTCAGTCCTTCCCGGCAAGAACTTGGCTATCGCCGACCACCTTAAAATAGCAATAATAAATAAATAGTATAAAAATATATGCATATAAAAAAGTTCATTTTTTAAAAATTATTTACTTATATTATTATCACTAATGGACCTGATCATATATTTTTTGTACTCATACTATTTTAATGAAAAAAAAAATGTTATTACTAATCATCTTAAAATTTCAATTTTATCATTATAAAAAGTATTATTAATTTATTAATAAAATAAAATAAATCAACTATTAAACTTACTTATTTCCCAAAGATTTGTGAAGGTTGATTACAATTTGCTCTTCCTCACGTGTGAAATTGCCACGTCTGACGTCGGGTCTGAGGTAATTAATCCACCTCAGTCGGCAACTCTTGCCGCAGCGCATTAATCCTGAAAAATATAAATATTAATATGAGAATAATATAATATTAAATAAAAAAATGTGCTCGAATTATACAAGAATTTTGAAAATTTGAAATTATAATTAAAAATATTTTGGAAATATGAAAAACAATGAACAGTTATGTGATAGTTGGGTTGTTTCTTTCAGTTAGAATTTAAAATAATATTTAGTACGATATTTTAAAAGTATATGAGAAAATGATATAGATTTCAGACAGTAAAAAATAATAAATAAATAAAAAAGCAGTGAAAATATCAGTAAAACAGAGTGAAATTAATTTTTTGTTTTTCTTTAAAAAAAAAAACTTAAATTGATTTGTATAATAATTAATTGTAATAGAATTAAAAATTGCAAATTAATTTTAGTGGTGATTAGGACTTGGTAATGGCACCCTCCAACCACTCTTTGAAGAATAGCCTGCTTTAAAGAGCTAGGTATAACAAATTAATTATGTGTTTTTTGTTACAAATAAATAAATAATTAGGTGTAACAATTTATTTATGGTTCTGTTAAAAAGAAATAAATAATTAGGTATAACGATTTATTTATTTTCTGTTAAAAAGAAATAAAAATAGTCTTTGCTGGCTACGCTAAATTACAAAAGCTTTGTAATGATTTCACTTACTAAAATAAAAGAACCACGCAATTTCCATTCACTTAAAAAATAATAATAATAAAAAAAAAAATAAAACACCAAACGACGTCGTATCATGTCAAAACAACATAATTCATCAAAACAAACTACTTCACTTGTCACGTGTTAATGGTTCACATGAAAAAACTCTTCAATTTTCATATACTAATCACTTTTTAAAAATAAAAAATAAATAAATAATTTTAATATAACGATACCAAAAAAAAAAAAATGTAAGTAACAACAATACTTTCCGCAAAGAACAAAGATCAACTCTTTTTAAAGAATTATCATCTTAAAATCAAAATGCGTTGCCACAGTACAACACTTACGACGGTTACCAAAGATCAAATTTTTTTTTGTCTTAAAATCAATCATTGTCGATCGTTAATAACGACACAATAAACAAATCCACATATATATACTCGCAACTAATAACAATAAATAAATATTTCATAAGTTTCTATTTGTTGAGATTTATTCGGTGCGCAATCAAAAAATTTCAACGATAAATTCCCACATAAAATAAAAATCCAATTTAAAAAATATTGTAACATCCAAAAACCATATACCCTTTTTCCAAACTTCAAAATTCAAACTTTTTTACATTTCAGAATTACCAAAAAATAATAGTAATAAAACATTACATTAAATCTCTATTTAATTCACTTAAAAAAGCAAAAATAAATAAATAAATAAATAATTTTCTATCAGAATAAAAAAAAAAATAACATAATCATCAATGGCAGATTAGAAACCCTAAAACAGAAGATGAAGCAGAAAGAAAGAGACAGACCTGCAAGTTTAGGAAGAGCCCTCCAATTATTATGGCCATGTTTCTGAATAAACGAGGTTAATCTGAGGTCCTCTTCAGCGCTCCATGGGCCTCTCTTAACCTTAGTTTTGTCGCAGCAAGGAGTTCTGCCTTTCCCCATTAATTAGGGTTTCGAAGCTTTTCCTTACAGAGGGGATTTTTGGACTGTTGGAGGGAGTGAGGAAGAAGACAGTACGGACAACAACGGAGGAACAATGAGGAGTGTGTGTGTATATATATGTGAGAACTCGTGAATTTTTGGTCAATGAAGATTTAATTTTATTTAATTTTTTAAAAAATACTGTGTAACTTTTTTATTTTTTTAAATTTTATGGGAATTAGGGAAATTAAATGTGCTTAATCAGATATTAGTAGTGAGTGGTTATGATTCTTGTAATTATTTGTGAGAGTTTGTGTAATAATAATTATTTATTCATTTGTACCTGACTTTCAGTTTTTTTTTTAAAAAAAAAAAAAATCTTTTAATTATAATGATGTTGTTCTCTTTAGTTTATTATTATAAAGTATATTATTATATTATTATCATTATTATTCAATTCTTTTATATATATATATATATAGAAAAAGAGTATCAAATTTCTTAAAAAAAAATAAAATTACAGTCAATAATTATTTTATCCAAAATTTTAAAAAAAATGCAAACAAACGAAAAATACCAAGTAAGCAAACATATTTTTAATGATAAATACGTTGTAAATATGATGTTTTTTTTAGTTAAATGATAAATTTTAGAAATAAAATAAAATCAAGCTTTTAAAATATTATAACTAAAATCTTCTTTTTATTCAAAAAATTACATTCAGTAGTTAAATTTCCATTAATTTCTTTTTACAATTATCAAAATAATAGAATCTAATATATACAAAAAAAAAATTCAAACCAATTTTTTTATATGATTCTCAATATATATATATATATATATAATTTTTTTGTATAATAACTATACAACTTTACATACCTCACACTAGAAAATAAAATAAAAAATCTCAAATTAAACACTGAAAAAACAAAAAAAAAACCCTTAAATTACACAAACAGGCAAAACTTGCTTTTAAAAATAAAATAAAGTAAACAATTCTTGGTAATCCACAGGGATGATTATTGTCATTATTTTAAATTAGAAAGGAAATTAATAATAATGAAAAATTATGGCTATATTTTCATTTTTATGCTATTTTAGGGTATTAGAAATAATTGTAAATTTTTTTTAAAAAAAAAAAAAAAAAAAAAAAAAGCTACCAAAATGTTTTATTTGTATTAGAATTTCCATTAAAATATTATATGTAAGACTTTTGTATTTATGTTGTTTGTAATAAAAATAATAATCAAAATTATGAAACATATATATATTATATTGATGTCAATTGATCATATATATATATTTTTTTGCATTGATAAAAAATTAAATTAATTAGATTTTATTTTTAAAAATATGCGTACACTATAGCTAAGTAAATTATGCAATAAGTAATCTAATTTTACGTATCTTTTTATTATGTCTTACTATATTTTCCATAAACTTAGTTGATCCTTGTTACATTTTTCTAGTGAGATAGTAATTTGAATTTATGTAGTAAATTAATTGATTAATTTATCGAGTAAACAATTGATCATGGAATTTTCGATAAACCTAATGATCGGTGTCTTTGTTAATTTTCGATCAAGTAATAAGATTTTGTATATATCTTTTTGGTTTTCGAATAGTTGATGATATTAAATGTTAGCGGTCCCTAAGATTCAACTTAAATAATTAAATTTACTAAAAAATTAGTTGTGGCTTGTAAATAAATGTGTCTACTTTCAGTAGTTTATATATAAACAAACTAAAATAATAAAAAATAAATATCGATGAAATTTTGATTTTATATATTTATAATATTACCAAATTTGTGAATATTGCTATCGTGATTGATCACATAAATTTCTTTCAAAATTGATTAGATATATGTTTGCAATTTTAAAATGTTATATTCAATTTTTATTTTAATAAGAATACTATAATTTTTAAACTATTGAAAATAACCAAAAAGATATATATATATATATATTGGTTTTGTTTTGAGTCTGAATTTTTTATTTGAATTTTAATTTAAACAATATTTGTTGTAATATTTTTTGTAAAGAAAATAATAATATATTTTTATTTAGAAAAACTTAAATGTATTCATTTTAGTTTGATAAATATTTTAGATAATATAATTTTAATATTATTTTAACAATTTAATTTATCCTTACTCTTACAGAGTTATAGTAAATCACAATGATTTAGGCAGTAAAAAGAAAAGTTAAAAAATAAAAATGAAATGAAACTTTTAATAAAAATAACAAAGTATTGAAACATTCTAAATTAAAAATAATATCAAAAGATTTTAGCATAATAGAATATACAGATACAGGTTATCTAAGTTGTAAACTTTTTCTATAATGTTTTGTAAAAATAAGTATTTATTTATAATATAGTTTATATATAAAAAAAATTAATAAATAATATCAAAGCTTTTAAAAACATGTATATAAAAATAGATTAAATTCATAGGACTTGGCATGTTGATGTCATGTTACAAGTCATAATGGTTTAGGTCACCAGTCATGAAAATTTCAAACAATTTACCCATAAAATAAAATAAAAATAATTTACCAAGTCAATAAAATGAGGAAATTAAAATTAATTTTAAAATGAAAGCAATAGAATTATTAGCATTAATTAAAATTTATTATGTATAAGTCCATGTGTTAGGGAAATCAGTAAGCAGTCTAAGCACCTAATTTTGACATATATATATATATATATCATTTTCTTCTATTTAATTGGTTGTGATTTGAGGCTTTAATTAATAAAATTTTAAATTGAATTTTAGTATAAATATGTGCTTGTTTTAATATTTTTTTTTAAAAAAAATTACTTTTATATAATATAAAAGAATAATTTAAAAGTGAATAATTTTTTATATTTCAAATTTAAAAAGTTTCTTCAAGTAATATTCTACTAAACAAACACAACAGTAGAAATGCAATGATACATTTGTTTTCCATTTTAAAATTTCAAGATTGTCAATAAAATATTTTTTATAAAATAATACTTCCTTCGTCTCAATACAATAGTCTTGTTTATTATTTTTGTTCATCCAAAAACAATAGTCTCATTTTCATAAATAATCATATCACGATAAAACTAATCTTATATTTTCATTAATATTACACGATTGTCACTACTTTTTACACTAATACACTCACAAGGGCAAAAAAAATTTTAACCCTTATTTTTTATCCGCTATCAATATAATATCAATATTCTTTAAATCTTGTGTCAAACACAACTCAAACTATAGTTTTGGGACGGAGAGAGTATATTAAAATACTACTCCCTCCGTCCCACGTAATTTGTCTCTATTTTTTATTTTCGTCCGTCCCACATAATTTGTCTTTTTTATTTTTTGAAATATAATTATGCATTTTAATCGCATTTTAAATTTTAAATTTTATAATTTTTTTAATTTTAATTAAACTATTTACTTATCTTAATTTTAATCTATAATTATTTTTACTAAATAATAATTATTTTTACTAATACACTTCTTAATTACTTACTGATTATACTTTACTTAAATTTTCGTATCTATACTAATAGTCATGTATTTTCTGGAAAGAGGAGAGTATTTAAATTTAATGATTTTTACACGTTGGTGTGCTTACGTAAGCCTTTATGCATGTATGACGTTTGACATCATAAACAAATAAAGAAATACTATCATTGGTTGAAAATTTTAACAAAAGAAATGGTTTTTTTAGTTTGAATTTTCTATTTGAGTCTTACTTTAAATATTTCTTCAGTTTCAATATAATCGACCTCTTTCATGAATAACAAGATATATATGGTAATAATATTTAATTAGTTAGTTATAATAAGTTATGATATTATTTTATTATTTTTTAAATATAATTAATAATATTAAAATAAATTTAATATGTATAATTAAAAAAATTAGAATATATATTTGAATATTTTAAAAATCATATCACAATAAAAAAATATATAAAATATTGATATCATTTCGTAAATAATAAAATTTTTATAATACAATTAAATAAAAAATACATTTATTTATTTGTAATTGATGTAAACTAATTTTATAAAAAAGATGAACTTTTAAATGTGAAATAAAAACATTTTGTTTTCTAATAGAGATAGAAATAAAGAGATTTTGAGTGAGTCTTACATGATCTATAATATTATATGTTATATAGTTAATTAAGTTGACTTATAGAAGTATTTGTTAAATATATTTTTATTTAGTAAATTTTATTAAAATAAAAAATATAAATTGTTATGAGATAAATAAAAAATAATAATAATAATAATAAATTAATTAAGGAACGATAGAGTATTATTTTAATATCATATTTTATTAAACATATACTTCCTCCGTCCACTTACAATGTTTACATATTTCTATTTTGGGACGTCCAATTACAAAGTTAATATTTTATTAAATACCCTATTTTTTTCCACAAATACTCTTATTTTATATCACATCATTACTTTTACACAAAAAAAAATAAAGGTAAAAATATCGTTACACTACTTTTAACTACTCACTGTAATTAAGATACTATTATTTCTTAAACACCGCGCCAAAAATAAATGTAAACTTTATAAGTAGACGGAGGGAGTATTATATTTATAAGGTTTTCACTGATTATCAAATCAAATAAGATTTAAACTAAACTTCAAATTAATATTTTCATTTCAAATCAATTTAAAATCAAATCAAACAAATATGATGTATGTAATCAAAAATATCATATGCAAATTTTGCATTGTAAAAAAAATAAAAATAAAAATAATAAAATAAAATGAGATGGATAGTGGTTGATTTTCACCTTTTAGTTAGGTTAAAGATATGATGAAAATTGACATTTTAAAATTCCAACTATAGTCAAAGAAAGAAGTACAAATGTTAGATTTTAGTAGGTCAGATTAAAAGTGGAGTTGATTTATAGCAATTTATTTGGAATCTTAGAGGTTTGTTTTTAAGTATTATTTTAAATTGAAGTATTTTTTTAATTAAATATATAAAATTGAGTTATAAATAATAATAATAATATTTTGTATTAAATTAATT